ATAGACGTAATATATTATGAAATACAATTGAAAATTCACCTTATTATTATATATTAATTGAGGATGAAAATTATATTATTGTGATAGGGAATTTATATAATTTTATATTTATCTCATTTATACGTTCTTATTTTAAATGCTACTGACTTAAACAAATTTTATAAAGGTAATTTAATGTCAATTTCTCTCGTTGTTATCAATTCTACTAAACATTCAAAGACTTAAAGTAATGGATGTGGTTCCAAGTTCAAATCTTTTAATGATTATAATTCTAATAACAACTAAATAATTTCTTAAACTCGTTTTCTACTTAAAGGCATTGATCCTGACATATATTCATCCTTCATAAATTAGGTTACCAAAGATTAGCAGATCTAATTCAAAGTATATAAACTTTTATGTTTTTTAAATACTATATTCATTAACTTTTATCTTGTTTCATAAAATAAATCTTCCAATTAATATAAATTGATATTTCTAGATAGTAATTCCCAATAATTGATAATTTCTCTATCCAATATATCTTATGAAAGTAGCCATTCACAAATTTATAGTTCTACATCTATACAACTCTTTAAACCATCAATACTTATTATTTTGTCCCATTACTAAGTAAAATTGAGTTATTCAGATAAAAGTTAGACATATTCTTCTTTTTAACAAATTTGTATTGTCTATATAATTAATGGTAAAACTTAAACCCATAATGGTTTACTTGTTTTATTATAATTCTTAACATTATTAACTTTTTATTGATTTTATCTAATCGATAATTAAATTAGACATATTTCAATATATTATTTAATAAGATCAGGATCATTTAATTATTTATCTTCTATATATTTATTTAACAATTGTGTATATTTGTAAATGACTAAATCCTATAATTTTGTCATTCCTCCTTCCTTCTTTATATTAAACAAGAGAAAATTATAGAATTTAGATTTATCCTATTGAGTATTAAGATAAACATAAAAGTCTTCTGCATAATCATGTAATTACTTTTCATCCATCCATATTTTAATATTTTATATGTTTTCTATATTTATTGGTAAATCAACAATTGCTTAATAGCTTTCATATAGATTATCGATTAATTCTTCTGGAAATTAATCTTACTCTAAATTATGAGCTTTTAGAAATAATACATATAATTCACACACTTCTGGTAATATTTTATTGATTAATATTTTAACATCTCTATTATCTTAAATCTTTTAACCAATAAATTCTTATATACAAATAATAAAATCCTTAGCCCAATCAAATGATGCAACCAAGTTTTTTTCAATCATAATTTCTGTGTTTTCTTTTATTAAACGAATAATTTCCCATTTTATATCCAAATTGTTAATTTTAAATGAAATTATTAATCTAATGAATGTTTCATTGTACAATTATTATGCTTATTATTTAAACTCTTAATCTTCTTATTATCCAATCTTTTTCAAAAATTTTGTTAAATTTTGAATCATTATTTTAAGAGTTTCTTCCCAAGCTATTATGACTTCATTTTAAGTTTTAATTGAAGTTTATAAATCTTATTCAGAAAATTTAGTAAATTTTGGATAGTCTTCTTCTTTTAAATATTTTGGAATTTTCATATGAAAAATAACTTACAATTATTGTAATTATGCAACTCTTCCAATCAAATCGTCTAAAATCTTAAATAATATATTTTTTAGTAAATCAATTTAAAAGTTAATTCTAAATGATCCACAATTAATTAATATTATTTATATTATAATATGTAAGGCTGATTATCTAACATCTGGAGTGTTATCCAATGATAAATCTTTTAAACTCTATAAAACTACAGTCCATAATTCTTCTACTTCAATTTGTGATGTCTAATTTGTACAAATCTTATTTAAATTATCTGCTAATTACCAAATCAAACCAACTGAAACATAATTAATATTTTATTCTGTTGTTCTTTATCTAAATTATTTTATTAATGGTAATAATCTTCTAGTTGTCTTAGGATCCAATAAATGCATAAATTACCCTATCAATAATTCCAAAATATGAAATCCAATATTTACATATCCAGTAGGTTCTGTTCCATCACAACTAATTAATAAAATTTCTATAATAGTATTAAATCCTAAAATATTCAATTCATGTCCATTATTTTAAATAAGTTTAAAAATTATATTTAACAAAGTTTCTTTGACATCAGCATAAGGAATATTTATCATTTGTTAAATGGGACTTAATAAATGAGATTACCAACTATCTCCATCCCAACAACGACTTTAATCTGGTCTTAAAAAATAAATAAATCCTTATTGAACTAATTATGAAAAGATTTCCAATGCTGTTTCCCTAAATGCCTTATGTTTATAGTTTGCTATACATAAAAAATGAGCTGTAATAAAATCCCAAAATTTATGAATCCTGAACCAATTTTATTTTGTTATTTAATGTATCTTTTGCAATCCAAATTAAATAGATTTAGAATCAACCAGATTCTAAACATTATTAAATTATTCCATTAGACTCAAAGTAACTTAATTTATTGCTTCAATCATCTACAGTAAATGAGAATCTTCATATTCGATGCTTGATGAAAACAAACCCTCCAAGATTTTGTTTAACAATGTTATATCTTACTAATAAACTTCATGATATTATTCTTATTAAATAGCATTCTAAGTTTATGATTTTTAAATTAATGTATCAAATTATTACATAGTCTTCATTATTATATACCATGATTTTATATCTAATAAATCTATAAAATTAAATAATTAAATTTACTTCCTATTTATGCAATTTTAAATAAGATTTTAGCACTTTACAATTGATATTTTGTTAGAGTTACATTTTGTTTAGTAACACAAAGACTACTTAAATATTTAATAAATGCTTCTCTAGTTTTAACTTAACCTAAAGAACTAGATAAATTAATCCAATTTTATAATGAATTTAAAATAGTTTAATATTGGATTTCATCATTCAAATTTATCATTAGATTTTAAATTGTTTTTAAAAATAATTATTAGGTTGTCTCAATTATTTAATTAACTTCCTTACCATTCTCATCAACTATAATTTTTGATTAAACTTATTTGTAATTCTAATTGAAAAATACAATTTAATTTTTATTAGCAATATTTAGTATCGAATCAGTAAAATTAGATATACATTCAACTATTTATATAATTTGTTATTATACTTGATTTTTAAGTGAACAATGATTTATTATAAAAGGGAATCTCTGTTAAATTTAATATATTTTATTAATATACATTCTTTTACTTTGCATATGTTTATTATTAATTAGATTAATTTATAGTGTATTAAGGTTCTTATTCTGTTGATAATTTGACAATAAAAATTAAATGTTATAAAAAAGTAGTTTATTGCTATTAATGTTCTTCCTATATAGATCCTTAATATAGTATCATTACTAATTTAGGATCTTTTAATAAATTCAGAATTCCTTCTAAGATCCAATATCTAACATAACCATATTATGGAGATCTAGTGAATAATAGACTAATATGTTTAAGTAAAGATATATCTCTTTACAAGGTAATTATCATACTGAATGAATCCCTAATTCTTCTTGCATCTATGATTAAAATATTTTATATACTAAATTAAACATCTGCAGAATCCAAACTCATTTCTTCATAAATAATCCCTGAAAATTCTTCAATTAATTTACTAAGCTATTCATCTTTATTTAAAAAACACCCCAAAATTTAGATGATCTAAAATATCATATCTCTGCATATTCCTTTAGAAAACTCATTCTATACAATGAAAGGAACCTTTTATCCTTTCATTCCTTAAATAAGTTGTAAAAATATCGTAACTCCATTTTTGTGAGGTTCATCTTTGTATGATATATATAGAAAATCTAATATTTCCATTAAACCTGTCATTGCGGTTGTTTGTATAATGGGATTTCTTGAGTTTACTAAAGTAAAAAATATAAAGAGTAGCTACTTTTAGATTCACTATTACTTTCTCTATGCTTTCAGGATTATTGATATTCACTATATCATAATTAATTAAATGTACACTGCATTGTACTAATTTTAATTGTACATTTTCATTTATTTCATCTTTAAGCAAATAGAGAAACTATTATAAGAGATGAAGGTCTGCCTAAAATAGATACTAATTTACTTTTTGTAATAAATTTGAATTGATAAATTTTAGAATAATGTTAAGAGCAATTCCAGATGTTTAATTAGTTTTGCTTTCAGGAAGCTTAACAAAAATTTTTAAGATTTCTTATATAGGTAAATTTTATTATGACTTATGCTTTTTGATTTCATCAATTATTCCCTAAATTAGAGGTTTCAAAACTTGATTTTTCTTTTAATCATTCAAAAGTTATTAGAATTCATTCAATAAAGAATCAATTAAATTCATTAATTTATAGTAAATAATAATCACTCTATTAAAATTTATGTATACATAATCCCTGTCATTATCTTAGAATGATATAAATCTATTAATATAAAATAACAGAAATCAATTCACCAATAAAATTATTATGTTTAAAGAAATTCTAATAAAGACAAGATTCAAGATTAAAAGATTTCTTATTAATAATTGTAAATCAAGCAATATTTATATAAATTTAATATATATGATGATTGATAATAATAATTATATTTAACAAATAATTCCATTTAGATTTATATTATTAAATTTATTAATTATAAAGGAATTTAAATTAATTAGTATTAATAAACTAAAAATGATATGCCTTATTTATATAATTAATATGCAAAATTTTATGAATGAATTTAAAATCAAATTTATTGTAAGTTATGATAAATTAGAATAATATATTACAATATAAGAAGTTATTTTAATAATTAAAAAATTATTATATATTAAATTAAAATAAAAAGGTAAATCTTTATAAAAGTAAAGATATGATAAACAACATTTAATCAATATTATAAAATTAAAAAATTTAAGAGAGTAATATCTATTGAAAAGTATTCAAAATAAGTTGAGATACTAATTTTTCAATTATAAATTTGTTTTTTTTGATTTAAATTCCTCCAAGGATGTGAATGATCAAAGTACAATTAGTATTTTTCACTATCTCCAATTTTGTATTAATCAAGTGTTTCAAAGCTCTTTTCGGTATCAATTAAATCTACGTAAATCTTTTTTCTTGAAGTACTTCTAATAGCAGGAAGTGTGAATGAATTTTCACTAGAATCATCCCCAAATCTAAGGATTTAATTTTTCTTAAGTGCCAATTAAGCTTATCTTTAAGTTTTTTGAAAAGCATTTTCTTCAGTTTAAACAGGAGTCTTTTTTCTCTTAGCAGATTTACATCTAATATTAAGATCTTCATATAATTTAATAGTTTTCTTAAATTCTATTTTAGTTTCAATAAGCTCTTATTCTTAATGATGTACATCTCTAACATCATATACTCTTTCTTCAAACTTTTTCATTCTCCAAATTTATTTTTGTTTTTCTAAATTTATGAAATCTTCTAAGCTATTATTTTCTGCATATTTTTTAAAGTCATATTATGAGAATTCATATAAACTGGATCCATCTGAAGCACATCTAAGAGTAAATTAATATTTCAATTCAGTAGGATGTTAATAAAATATTTCTGATTCTTAAAGTTCACTTAAAATTAATTATTATCCTTGATATTATTTTACAACATGAAATACTCCATATTTAACAACAAAAATTTAAGAATTATCTGCTCCTTCTTTAACAGCTACTTAATTTCTTACATAATGCTTCAAAACCAAATAATAAGATAATTATTTAAGATCTTCATCATTCCATAATCTTAGAGGAGGAATTGTCTATAAAAAAACTAATTTTTCATGATGTAAATTCTAAACTTAATATAATAATAACTTTACTGATTTTTCCTAATATGTCTATATATTGTTTTCGTGTTAAACAACCAAATTCACAATCTGTTTTAGTTGTGACTGTTGCTGTTGCTTTTAGATTATCTTTTATTAAGGCTAATTCACCAAAAGAATCACCTTATTCAAGTGTTTTAATTTCTTGAAGACTAAATTAATCTTCTTCTCCTTTTAAAGATGGTTAAGATAGAAGTGCACCTTATGTTGAAGATTATTGAATTTATTATATACTAGTGTGCTAAGTAATGTTATTATTTTATATAACTTTCAAAGAACTTTTCCTTTAACCTTTTTGAACATATATGCTAATACTTACTTTGCCAGATAAGATTACATAAAAAGTTCTGTTTTCTTTATTAATTTAGATGACTATAATTAATAAGATATTTACTTGGATTACCAGCAGGTATTCTCAAATAAGATATGTTTTTACATAAATCAGCAACAATAAGAGGTCCATATTAAGCTTTCAATTTTTATACGAAACTTAATGATAACATAAATTATTGAATTTGTTCTTATTCTTTTTAGGTTCTCTACTTTTTTAAAAAGGCTTGTCTTGCTTCATTCAACAAATCATTTTGTGAAGGTTTAGCAGGTAGGAGACCTTTTTACTGTATTAATTTTTTCATCCTATTCATATTTTAAGATGATAATAAATATTTTATAAATTGATTATTGTTAAATATAAATTTAACTAATTAAACAATATGTAAAGTTATTTACTCTCAAAAATTTGAACAAAACATAAAATCATCAAAATTTCATAATAAAATGGAGTCATTCATCTATTTAGTTCATAAGATCTCTTCTCCCTTGTAATTTTGCATACTTCAATTGGCAGATTTGCTTTTATAATAAATATCTTTGTCTACTTTATCATTAATACTCCATTTATTATTATTGTATATCTTAAAGAATTATAAAACTGTTTCAGGGTAAAGGAAATTAACAAATGCATAACCTAAATTTCCTTCATTCTAATAATAGCATTTAGCTATTTACATTATTATCAGATGGTAAATAGAGAAAATCAAATAAAGATTTAAAGTCTTTGTTTAAGAGATTCCTTAAATCACTTGGTCTCATGTATTTAGGAATATTCTTAAGCATCAAAGTAGTTCTATCATCATTAAGTATCTACAAATAAGGAACAAAAAACTACATTTTCCTCACAAATTTCTAAACTATAATAAAAAGGTTGTAGCTTTTAGTATATTTGTCTTTCATCTTAATTTAATATAAATCTCATTTCGATTAGTTCTTATGTAAGTAATTTTTAATTAAATAGACTTCCTTCATCAGGCATAAATAGTTTAAAGTCTCATAAGTAAAACACAATACCAAAAGAGCATAATGATGCTTCAAATTTTTCATCTTGACTTAATAATGGTCTTGGAATTTTTAAGTTAGGAATTTATTTTGATTCAAATGATGAATCACTAGAACTAGCTGGAGAAGCTGTAGTATTAGCAAAAGAAATTCTTTCTTTTTAATGAGGTGTACGGAGTGCAATATCAATTATATCACAAATCATTATTTAATAATAAAAACGATGGTTCAATGATTTTCTAATTTTTTTATAGTTGCTCTGGTTTTGACTTATCTTTCAAAATTACTTAAACACACTAAGCAATTCCACTTTCCTTTTGGTACTTCTTTAAGTCCTAAACATTTGGTGTGAAATACTTTAGGACAAGTATCACAACAAATAACTTTACCACCAAATCCGCATTTCTTGCATTTATCATCCCATTTACTCTCCATATATATTGATTATGATTAAAACTTAACCCTTTATCTTAAGTTTTACACTTTAATTTCTGGTTCTATAATAGGTATAATAGGTTCAATTGTTATTTATTTTTTAACATGTATTTCCTCTACTTTTTTTTTATCAGGTATTTGTGTCACTATTTATTATGTAATTTTTCTATTTAAATAGTCTTAAATTATTTAACCAAGGATTTCTAAACATATTTTCAATTTGACTAGATTACAATCTTTTTTTAATTGTTCTATTAAATTTAATCTTAAAGTTTCATAATAAGTGCCAAACAATTTCATAGGCAATTTTCTAATTCTCACTTTTCCTGTATCTAATTATTCTAATTATTAAAGAGCTGTTTATAATGGTTATTCAGCAGATGAATCATCTTCAACAACTTTTCTTCTTCTATTCTATTATTAATATGATTCATCATCTTTATTTAATTAAAGATTTTCATCTTCATTAATTTCTTCTTCAGGTCTTAATTCTAATTTCTCTTGTAACATAGTATTATCAACAAAATATTCTATTGCTTTACAAAAAGGAGCAAGATCTTATTCATTATAATTCTTATCTAGTTTTTTTACAATAACATTTTGGAAACTCTTTAAAAATTAATTTCTAATTTCACTACTGCACCATCTTGAGTTCCTTTGATTTAGATATTCAGTCAGCATATTTTCAATATTTAAAAATTCCTATATTAACATATCAATATCTAAATTTTCTAAACTATTTATTTTATTATCCTTAACACTATTATTACTATTGTTTTCTGCATCATCAATTTCACTATTGTCTTCTGAGTTCTTTAATTTATCTTCCTTTTATTCCTCTTCTTCTTTATCTTAATAAACTATCAATAACTTTGCTCTTTATAATTCTAATATGTTATTTCTTAATGAATTTTCTTTAACTCCCTTTTGACAAAATACTTCCATTAATACATTTATATCTGTTATATCATAATAACCCCACTAAGAAACTTCATCATCAATTATAGAATGTTTCATACAAACAAATATTTTGTCTGATTCCCAAAGAAAGAAATAATATTAACTATTCTTGTTATCATATCCTAAAAACACAGAAGGATTTAATACTAAAGATGAAATTTATATGATAGCCAATTCCTTAAATATATTAATTATAATAATACTTTCTCTTATTAATTGAATCTCTCAATTAATATATTTATTTCCTTTTCTAATTTTTAAGATTATTATTTTAATTTTTGACATTACTTTTGTGCACTTTCCTTTTATTTAATAAATTTTTGTGTTTCAACTCTGTTTAATCCATCTTCTAATAATTTAGACTAAAAAATTGCCAAATATTTTACTTTTGCCATTTGATAATTCCCCTCAGATTCTATAATTTCTTTATTTATTTCCATCTATTTACTTCTTTGCTCTTTAATTTGAATTCCTAATTATGTTTTCATTCTATTATTTGAAAGTATATTTTCAGTTCTATATTAATATAGAAATTAGGTTCTCTTTAATGTTTCTATTCCATCAGCCAAAGCTATTACTAACTTTGTCAATTTATTTATATTTGTATAATCACCAAAATCAATTAAATAATCTGGTAAATATAAAATTCCTTATTTAAAAATATTGGTTGGTAAGGATTTAACATCATCTCTTATCAATTGATAATACCTCTATCTATTTGTATACCACATATATCCCATAAGTTGCCAATAAGGTATTTTCTTCATTATATATATATAATACATATTATTATTTTTGCATTTATTCTATATCTAAATCTTCAATAAGTTATTTTAAATAGAAATAACAAAAAAATAAGATTAATTCTTATGGATTATGTTATAAAGTAAGATAGATTTCTATTCTTGATTTTTGATTATATAATGTATGATTATCTTGAAAATGAATCAAAGTTCCAATATTATTTGACTATAATTAAGCTAAAAATAATATGGAATAGATACATACTTTCTATTTATTGTTCTTGAAGAATGTCACTTATAATTTTATTCATATTATTGTATGAATCCCAAATTTTTAGTACATCTTCAAAAATTTCTTAAGGAATTGCCGGGTCTATACGAAGGGCGGGTTTCTTTTTAGGCTCAATATTAAACAAACCTTAATAGGCTGTTAAATATTCATCCAAGATAGGAAAGGTTACTCTACCTTATTATATATAAGTAGGATAAAGCATTTAAAATTCAGTAAGCTTTTTGATTTTGTCTTCTTATGGTTGAAGTGTTTTTTAAAAGAATTCTTGTATTTAGTTGCATTGTTTCTTTTTTTATGGTTTTGATTCCTTGAGTTTTCTCTTTGCTATCCTATCAATACAAGACAAACAATGCCATTTAATTCCATCCTAAAATTGAGGCTCTTTGTTTTATTTGCGTATACATTCCTAATGGTATTTGAAATGACAGCGAATGCAAATAATAGTAAGTGTAGACATAGTTGATACTTAGCAGAGTCGACATATAGACTTATCACCAAACTACTGTTTTCCATCAATTGGCTTTTTGAGTTCTTATTTGTCTTCTAGTTTCTTGTGCTTAAGACCCTTCTTGCTGGTAGCTTGGTTTGAATCATATGCTATTTCATTTTCATTAATTGCTTATTTATGTAGTTCTTAACTGCTCATTCTAGTCGAAGCCTGCGAATTATTTGAATTTATTTACTAGATTCAAAGAAGCGCTATAAATAATTCCTATACAACTAATTAATTATATATTATTAGCTGAAAGCAATATTAAGAATTCCCAAAATTTTTGGATTCATTGTTGAACTACTTTTATATTACTAAGAGTTTGAGACATGATTTTATTAAGTATTATCTAACAAACAAAGTATATAAGTATGTTTTAAAATTATATTTCTGGTACTATTTTTATTTTAAAATGCTGCGAAATTTAATGAAGATAGTAATGAGAAGTTCAAAGTTAGAATAGTTAATGAAATTCAAAGGGAAACATGATATAAGTTGTTAAGGTATTGAATAATTTGATTGAGAGAGTTCAAATAGTTGATAATGGATACAAGACAACAATTTACATAATTAAATGGAGAATAATTAAATTGTGTTGTAGATTTAATGAAGCATGACTAATTAGTAGATGATGATAATACAGACTATTTATTGACAGCAATTAAGAATGTTGAAGATTAATAAATCAAATATTAACTTTTAGATAAAATCATATTGCCAACTTCCAATTTTTCAAAGGAATAAGTCAAATAAATAGAATAGATAATTGAAAATTGTTAATAATATGCTATGGGATTGTCATTAATGGGAAAGATGGTTGCTTTTTATGATTATTAGAATATATAAATAATGAATAAATTTGTTAAGGAATTTGATGTTACTAAAACAAATGCAGAATAATTAGGTGCTGCTTGCATTGGTTTAGCATTGGGATAATACAAAGATAAATAATTATGGGATGATATTGCCTAACATTGTTTAAAATTAGACAAGGATTTTCATTCATATATGAGAATAGCAACAGGAATGGGATTGACAAATAATGGTAATGTTGAGTTTTGGAATGATTTTATTGAATAATTTAGAAAATAATTAAAAACTATAAATGAAGATCTATTTACATAATCATTACAAGTTATATCCTAACAAAATGTTGTTTCATTAGAATTATGTGAAGCAGAAATAGAATACTATATAATTAATTCACATATTAGAATTGAAAATATGATGTCAATCTATGTATCTATGGCAAGAAAATAATTAGGATCATAATAATTATATTCTAAATTATAATAAGATATATATGAAATGTAATTATCTGGAGATGATTTAATTTTATATGTAATTGAATTAATGCAAGTAAAGGATAGATTACCAAATTAAACTCTAAATGTCTTGGTAGCTAAAGCATACTCAGAAAGTCAAAATCAAGAATTAATAGATAAATTAACAAATTTAATAAAATGAATTTTATTTTTAATATTTATATGAAATTGTACAACATAATTAATTTATCATTTAAAATGTTCTTTTATTTTTGAGGAAAGTTCATCACAAGTTTTCTTAGCATCACCTAATAACATATTGTTATTTGGTTTATAGAATACTGGATTATCAATAGCAGCATATCCAACACCCATGGATCTCTTCATAACTATACATTATTTAGCAGCCCAAACTCTTAATACAGGCATTCCTAAAAAATTAATTCAATAAAATACCTGCAATTGGTGAATTTGGATTCTCTTCAGCAGCTGAATTTACAGTATCATTAGCTCCAATTACAACAGCAAGATCGGTATCAGGGAAATCATCATTAATTTCATCCATTTCAAACACAATATCATAAGGAATACCAGCTTCAGCTAATAAAACATTCAATTAACCAGGCATTCTACCAGCAACTGGATGGATACCAAATCTAACTTTAATTCCTTAATCAATAAGTGTCTTGCACATTTCAGCAACTGGATATTATGCTTTAGCAACTGCCAAACCATATCCAGGAACAATGATGATAGATTTGCTACCAACCATCATTTCAACAGCTTATTCAACATTGATTTCAGTATGAGTACCTTCAACTTTAGTAGATTAAATAGCAGCTGGATTAACATCAAATCCACCAAAAATAACACTTGTTAAATTTCTATTCATGGCCTTGCACATAATATAAGAGAGAATAGCACCTGATGATCCAACCAATGCTCCAACAATAGTTAATAATGGATTATCTAACATAAAACCTTCAGCACATAATGCCCATCCTGAATATGAATTCAAAACTGTAATTACAACTGGCATATCAGCACCGCCAATAGCATTTGTTAATGTAACTCCTAAAACTTTGCTAGCAGCTGTTGCTGTTAATAAGGCTGTCATTCCTACAGCAAAACTACCTGTTTAATTATATATTAATAAAGATGCAACAGATAAGGCTGCCAATGCAATATTAACTTAATTATGATAAGGAATAACAGTTGGATTTGAAGGCAACAGATTTTATAATTTAGCAAAGGCAATAAGTGATCCAGTAAATGTAATACCACCTGTAAAAATACCAAAGAAAATTGATAATTTATGAACAAGTGCAGCTGGATCTTCAGCCAAATGAGGGAATACATGTAAATAATTACCAATAGATGTTAATACTGCTGCCAATCCAACAAATGAATGGAAACAAGCAACTAATTAAGGTAAATCAGTAATAGCAACTCTTGTAGCAACTGTACCTCCAATAGTAGCACCCAACATCACCATTGATGCCCATTAAGCTAATAATTCTGGAGAATATCCTTTATATCCTAAAGTTGCAGCAACACCCAATCCAACTCCCAAACAACCAAAACTATTACCAATTCTAGCTGTCTATTATTGTGCTAATCCAGCAAGTGCTAATATACAAGCTATAGATGAAGCTAAATATGAAAGATTTGTCAATGGTTCTTTTGGAATTCCATAATAGAGTCCACCATAATATCCAAGCACTCCTGTAGCACCTGCCAATGCCATTAAATAATTATATTCAGGAGGATCAGTTGGTCTTCTAAACATATTTAACATTCTTTATGTGACTAAGAAACCACCAGAAATATTGAGTGAAGCTATGGCAACAGAGATAGCTGCCAATAACCCAGTAAAGGATCCTGGTAAATATTTTCCATCCATCAATTCCATACCACCAACTATAATTATACCAGATACTGCATTTGTAACTGACATAAGTGGTGAATGTAAGGCTGGAGTAACACCCCAAACCACTTGATAACCAACAATACCTGCTAAAGCAAAAGTATTTAACATTTTTAAGAATTCCATATTAGGAGATTGATAACCTAAAGCCATCATTGCCATAAGTGAAGCTGATGTATTAATNAATGCTCCAACAATAGTTAATAATGGATTATCTAACATAAAACCTTCAGCACATAATGCCCATCCTGAATATGAATTTAAAACTGTAATTACAACTGGCATATCAGCACCACCAATAGCATTTGTTAATGTTACTCCCAAGACTTTGCTAGCAGCTGTTGCTGTTAATAAGGCTGTCATTCCTACAGCAAAACTACCTGTTTAATTATATATTAATAAAGATGCAACAGATAAGGCTGCCAATGCAATATTAACTTAATTATGATAAGGAATAACAGTTGGATTTGAAGGCAACAGATTTTATAATTTAGCAAAGGCAATAAGTGATCCAGTAAATGTAATACCACCTGTAAAAATACCAAAGAAAATTGATAATTTATGAACAAGTGCAGCTGGATCTTCAGCCAAATGAGGGAATACATGTAAATAATTACCAATAGATGTTAATACTGCTGCCAATCCAACAAATGAATGGAAACAAGCAACTAATTAAGGTAAATCAGTAATAGCAACTCTTGTAGCAACTGTACCTCCAATAGTAGCTCCTAACATCACCATTGATGCCCATTAAGCTAATAATTCTGGAGAATATCCTTTATATCCTAAAGTTGCAGCAACACCCAATCCAACTCCCAAACAACCAAAACTATTACCAATTCTAGCTGTCTATTATTGTGCTAATCCAGCAAGTGCTAATATACAAGCTATAGATGAAGCTAAATATGAAAGATTTGTTAATGGTTCTTTTGGAATTCCATAATAGAGTCCACCATAGTATCCAAGTACTCCTGTAGCGCCTGCTAATGCCATTAAATAATTATATTCAGCAGGATCAGTGGGTCTTCTAAACATATTTAACATTCTTTATGTAACTAAGAAACCACCAGAAATATTGAGTGATGCTATAGCAACAGAGATAGCTGCCAATAACCCAGTAAAAGATCCTGGCAAATATTTTCCATCCATCAATTCCATACCACCAACTATAATTATACCAGATACTGCATTTGTAACTGACATAAGTGGTGAGTGTAGGGCTGGAGTTACACCCCAAACTACTTGATAACCCACAATTCCTGCTAAAGCAAAAGTATTTAACATTTTTAAGAATTCCATATTTGGAGATTGATAACCTAAAGCCATCATTGCCATAAGTGAAGCTGATGTATTAATTACATTCTTCCAAGCTTATTTATATGGATCTACTTTAACTTCTTATTTTTTATGAGAAGCAGATTTTGATGTATCAGCTTATTAGAGTTCACTCTTAGATGTAATGATAGGAGGAGGTGGCCATTTCAATTCTCCATTCAATGTTACTAATGATTATCTTACAACATCATCATTCAAATCCACTTGTGTCATTTAACCATTTGGATCTTTGATTGTTCCTACAATGTATTACATCAATTTTCCAATATTATTAGCATATAATGTTGAACTTTAAGTAGGTAATCTGCTAGGTAAATCAGTATATCCAATAATTTTAACTTTTCCTTAATGATTATATAATTCTCCTGGTTTGCATAATTCACAATTTCCTCCTGTTTCAGCAGCCAAATCAACAATAATTGATCCTTATCTCATATTTTCTACTAATTCTTTTGATAATAATTTAGGTGCTGGTCTTCCTGGAATAAGAGCAGTTGTAATAATTATATCAACTTCTTTGGCTTATTTTAAGAATAAAGCTAATTCTGCTTCTAAATATTCTTTTCCCATTTCCTTAGCATATCCACCAATACCTGCACCATCAACAACTTCTCCATTTATTTTGACTTCCAAAAATTCAGCTCCACAAGACTTTACTTATTCTTTTGTTGCTAATCTAGTATCAAATGCTCTAACAATAGCTCCCATATTTTTAGCAGTTACAATAGCTGATAAACCAGCAACTCCTGCTCCAATTACTAATACCTTAGCAGGTGGTACTTTTCCTGCAGCTGTCATTTAACCAGCAAAAAATCTACCAAATTCATTTGCTGCCAATAAAACTGCTTTATATCCTGCAATATTGGCCATAGAACTTAAGGCATCATATGTTTAAGCTCTAGTAATTCTTGGAACACATTCCATAGCAAATGTTGTAATTTTCTTTTCTTATAATTAGTTTAGTAATTCTTTATTCTATGCTGGGTATATGAAAGAGGTCTAATTTTATTAATAATAATTACAAGAGTTTAGTTTTCCTTTAAAGCCTTTGTATTATCTGGGGGTCTAATTTTTAATATTACATCAGATTAGTCATAAACTGAATTTGAATCGACAACTTTTGCTCCAACTTCTTGATAAACATTATCTGCAAAATTAGCCTTCAAACCTGCACCAGTCTCTATCAGAACCTATTTAAATATTATTAGTATATACTTAATGACCATCTTTGACTAAGTTTTTAATAGATTCAGGTGTTGCAGCTACTCTATTTTCATTAGGAAATGTTTCCTTAGGAACACCAAATACAAATTTTGGATGAGTTGGTTTCTTATCACCTTTACTAGAAAAACATTATCGAGCACTTAAGAGCAATTATCTTGTAGCTTGACGATGAAATGAGAGCATAAATAAATATCTTTTTTTTTATAAAAATTTATTCTTATATATATACAAATTAATTTATAGGAAATTTTGGTAATATAATTTATTCAAATATTGTTATGAGAGGTGCAAATTCAAATTAAGGATAATCATCTTTACCAGATAGTAATGAAATCAATGAATATATTAAGGAGTACTTAAGATACTCTAATTATTCAAATACATTAGAATGCTATGAAGCAGAAATTAAAAGTAAATAGGTTTCCAATAAAGTATATAATTAATATTGATATATAGATGTTAAATAAATAATAAGTTATCAAATAAACAGGAGAAGAATTACCTCGTATATTTTAATTGTTAAAAAGTGATAATAATAAAACAAAAAGAGAAATCAATTTAGAAAAGGAATAAAAGTAATTTAATAAAAAATACTAATAAATTTTATAAGCAGGAAGATAAATATTTTCAGTTAGCATTAATTTATTGTAATTACTACATTCATTAAAGGAAACAGCAAAGAATGAGAATCTTAGTGAAACTTTAGAAAATTATAAAATTTAACTAGGAAAATATCATAAAGTAATAATAAATGAAGGTAAACCAGAAGGAACAGAATTGATTACTGAATAAGTTATGCATGAACATAAAACTAAGTTATTAAAGAATTATTAGGATAAGCATGTAGATGGTATGATAGAGGTCTTACTTTCATTAAGAGTAAATGCTTTATAAATTGCACCTGAATTAAGAAAAAATCTTGTTTATGAATTAATTAGAAATGATGTATTTAATATTGAATCTACAGATAAATTTGATTTTGTTGTTCATTTATTGGATATAAACAATTAAAGTCTTAGACATGCAATAGCAAGTTTAATAAGTGTAATAAGTAGTACTTTAAGAGGTGTGGAATATTTAACTTATAATGGAAATATGATTATAATGGAAAAAATAATTAAAATTTTAAAGGAGTAAGAAAACGGTTCTGTAACTTAAAGATTTTGTTTGGCAATTTTATAGAAAGCAAGTATTAAAGATACAGTAATACCAACATATGTACATAATGAAATGATTTAATGGATAATTAACTTAATTTAAAAATCAGTAAATACTAAGATTCATGTATTTTGTCTTGATTTTGCTTCTGCTACATTGGCCAATATTATACATACTCCATATACTTTATAATATTTGGAACATTAACCTAGATTTGCACATTAGGTAATGGAATAGTTATTAAAATTCATTAAAGATTAAATTTAGGTTTCAGTTTTGATGCATGTTTTAATATGTTTATCTTATTTGAGTAAAGAGAATTTCGCTAAGTAAATGGAGGAATGTAGATTTATAGATAGAATAAGTGAATTTGTTGAATATTATAGTGTAATTAATACAGGTAAATTTATAATATTACTATTAAATAAGAGAATGAAGCAGCAGAGATTGATAAAAAAACTGTATTAGACTTATGTGCCCATATGTTTCATCCAAAAGACACTTCACTTGACAATTCTGAAACTTTGGAATTAAATGAGTTAAAAACTGAAGATAGGATTAGAGAATATGAAAATGAATAAGGAGAATTAATATTTGAGTGTTTCCAAGATGAAGTAAGTTGAATATCTATATTTATTTTTATTAAATTATTCTTTTGATATCATAAATTTATTAATTTTTAATATCTTATACTATTTTTATGATATTCTAAATCATTTACATTTATACACATTTCTAAATAAAAATTACATTTATATTTATTGTATTGAGAATCAATTTTAATTATTCGAATATTAATAATGAATAATGCTAATTTTTTCACAAATATTATTTTATAGATTTGTCTGCTTCTATGAACTTCTCAGAAGTATAAAAAGAAGACAACCAAATAAAGTAAGTTAATCTATAGACAAATTAAATCAAAAAGAGAAAACGTATTGATTCAGATACTAAAGCAAATCTGGTATATAGTGTAATTAAAGATCGTTTACCAATTTATTAAGTAATAATCTTTTTATAATCCCTTAGGCAGCCATCATTCACAAAGTTAAATATTCATCTGCTAAACATATATTAAGAAATTACTACAGTGATACTACTAATTATTTTTCTCCTTAAAAGAAGAGAAGGAGAAAGATTATTTGTGATGTAGCCACAATCTTAGTAAACACTAATACTGGAAAGATCATAATATATTCTTAATAAAGTTAAGTAATTCAATGTTTAAGCAATGGTGTTAATGCATAAATCAAATAAAAAATTCTTGCTAATCTAAGTTAATCAATCAATTCCGAACTCACTGATATAAAGTCTTAAAAGTTACAAACGAAATAAAATTTTAAGACTATTAAATAAAATGCTAAAACAGAGAAAATGGAAGACAAACTAATGGCTCTTTTGAAGACACTTAAAAATTAACACGAATAAATGGTTTCATGATATCAATTAAAAACCTTCATTATATATGTTCTATTCAAATATTGTAAAATTTCAAATTAATATGTTTGGATTTCGATTATAATATAAGATATTTTATTATGATTATAAAAATGATTTTTATTTTAAAAATTCATTATAAAATTTAGTAGTGCTTGTATATATATATAAATATATGAAACAAAAAATATATACATAAAATTTCATTCTTTTAACTAAGTTTTTAAGGAAATTCTTTGTAGCTATAGATTTATAAAGGAAAAGAGATTTAATTAATTACTTTAATTCACATTTATAATAGTATTTTACCAAATAAAGTTTAGCTATTTGAGTTGCTAATTTCACTTTAACCTAATTCAATTAATTATTAGAAATATGAAAAATACAATATGATAACTAAAATTAGTCTAAAAAAAGTAAATTTTTATTAATTTTTTGTAAATTTTCAATCAAATTTCTAAAATGGATATTTTATGATCAAAGAATATCATAATATCAAAAAGGAGTTGAATAATCACTCCAATTTTATGGTTATTAACTATTTGATTTATAATTCAATCCTGATATTTAATTTTCTTAAAATTATTATCCATGTTAATAATGTTAATTTATAGAGATTAATAAATAGTTATAAGGTATTTGTTTTCATATCCAAATTTATTACTATGTATTTAATCTAGATTAAAATAAAATATTACCTTTCTTACTTTAATTATAATATAATGGAATATTAATATTTTATTAACACTATTTTATATCAAAAATTTAATTAACTAAAAGCTTATCAATAACAAAATATAATCCTTTATAACTTAAAAAATGATTCATTATTTACTAATACTAAACTTTGAAATATAAAAATGTTAGTTTTATTTAACTTTTTTTAATTACATAAGATCTAATCTTCAATTTTCTTTAAGTAATATAGTAATTGTTCAAAAATAATAGAGCTTAGTCTCTTTAAAATTAATGAAGCAAAATTATAATATCTATATTATTAGTTAGTTTCATTAGGAACATAAAAAAAGAAAGAAATAATTAGAAATTTATATATATTATTAATAAATTTTATATGTCAATTCGTTAAGAGTAATATTGCCAAATTTTATAATAGGTCAGATCTTAGTTGTGAACTGCTGAGGTCCACATTATAGGATATTAATAATAGATTAAATAATTTACATTAATGTGTTCCAAATCCTCATAGTAGAAAAGATAAAATGTATAAAGAAGCACCAATTCCTAGACTAAATTTACATAAAATAAATTATGTGTAAAAAGAAAACTATTTACCATTAAAGAAGGTGACAGCATCTTTTGGTGATTAAATAAATGATTAAATTGAGAAAATCGATGAAAATAATTTCGACGATTTATAAAAAAAACCTTAGATAAAAACTATGGCTTAATAAATTCCATAAAAATTAAGATGTCATTCAATAAATAATTCATAATAAGTACTAAAAAATTAGAATAATCATTCAATTTAATTCAAAGTATCTAATAAATCAAGATTATAAAATTCTTGTGATATTTAATATTTCTAATCATTGCATCAATCCCATGAGAAACCTTTGAAATCCTCATATATTTGTAGTTAATACAGTTAAATAGCATAAAAAGATGAAAGTTTTGAATATGTTAAACCAACACTTATGCAAAAACCAATTATATTAGAATAGTAGTAATAAAATGTGCAAACTAGAAACTACTCTTAATTATCTACACCTATTAAACAAGTAGCAAATGTCTCTTAAGGATAAACTCCATTAAAAAGAGGGAATTCATCTACAAACAAAAAAATGATATAGAATAATTCAAATTAGAATCAGTCTTATTAATGTTTTCAAGTTTANTATTTTATATCAAAAATTTAATTAACTAAAAGCTTATCAATAACAAAATATAATCCTTTATAACTTAAAAAATGATTCATTATTTACTAATACTAAACTTTGAAATATAAAAATGTTAGTTTTATTTAACTTTTTTTAATTACATAAGATCTAATCTTCAATTTTCTTTAAGTAATATAGTAATTGTTCAAAAATAATAGAGCTTAGTCTCTTTAAAATTAATGAAGCAAAATTATAATATCTATATTATTAGTTAGTTTCATTAGGAACATAAAAAAAGAAAGAAATAATTAGAAATTTATATATATTATTAATAAATTTTATATGTCAATTCGTTAAGAGTAATATTGCCAAATTTTATAATAGGTCAGATCTTAGTTGTGAACTGCTGAGGTCCACATTATAGGATATTAATAATAGATTAAATAATTTACATTAATGTGTTCCAAATCCTCATAGTAGAAAAGATAAAATGTATAAAGAAGCACCAATTCCTAGACTAAATTTACATAAAATAAATTATGTGTAAAAAGAAAACTATTTACCATTAAAGAAGGTGACAGCATCTTTTGGTGATTAAATAAATGATTAAATTGAGAAAATCGATGAAAATAATTTCGACGATTTATAAAAAAAACCTTAGATAAAAACTATGGCTTAATAAATTCCATAAAAATTAAGATGTCATTCAATAAATAATTCATAATAAGTACTAAAAAATTAGAATAATCATTCAATTTAATTCAAAGTATCTAATAAATCAAGATTATAAAATTCTTGTGATATTTAATATTTCTAATCATTGCATCAATCCCATGAGAAACCTTTGAAATCCTCATATATTTGTAGTTAATACAGTTAAATAGCATAAAAAGATGAAAGTTTTGAATATGTTAAACCAACACTTATGCAAAAACCAATTATATTAGAATAGTAGTAATAAAATGTGCAAACTAGAAACTACTCTTAATTATCTACACCTATTAAACAAGTAGCAAATGTCTCTTAAGGATAAACTCCATTAAAAAGAGGGAATTCATCTACAAACAAAAAAATGATATAGAATAATTCAAATTAGAATCAGTCTTATTAATGTTTTCAAGTTTAACAATAGACATAATAATTATATAATTAAGATTTAATTAAGTAAATTATTAATAATAATATTGATTAGAATTTTACAAAATCATTCTAATCAATATTAGTAATAGTAGATTCAATATCATTCAGTTTAAAATGCTCTGAACTCTTGTTAAAATACTTAGAATATGGCTTAATTCAAAGTATCTCAAAATAGAAATGCTTCAAATAACTAAAGAGTATCTATGGGATAAATGTTATATGGAAATTCAATGGTTAGATTGTGATTTTATATATACTATTTATTATCTAATAATAGATTATTCTATTGTATATGATTGTTTCTTGATATATTAATTTAAGATATTTTGTATATTTCAGAATTTTCAAAAACGCTTAGTTTATTAATTAATGAAAATTTTAGTAGCAATAGTAATTGCCTTGTGCTTGTTTACACATCCAATTGTATGCAAGAAACACTAAAATGATGAAGAACATTCTGCCTTTGAAAAGAGTATAATTTTATGAGTAATCATAGGCCATAAAAAGCTTTCTCTTTAAGATGATCCTTCATATTCTAAATTAGAAGAGATTTAAGATCATCCACTTGGTTCCAAGATATTATAGACAATAGCTTTGTAATTGAGAGGAAATGAATCTTTAAGTGCTGTAAGTAAATTGCTGAATGACTTAAAAGGAGATTTGGAAGTATAAATATATTATAATTTTAATAGGGTAAATAAATTGATGCTGATAATGAAAGAGCATAAATAGGATCTTAATGCAAGAAAGATCTTTAAAATTATAGCTAAAGAATCAGTTTATCAATTAATGAAATTAAAGATGCAGAATTCAAAGCTAAGAGATTAAATGAAGCTATTGCAGTTTATTAAGCAGAAATAAATGAGAAAGCTAGATAAATATAAGTATTCTAAGCTAAGGATGATACTTTAAGAGATATTAGAAGATAAGATAATTTAGATTTTTCAACAAGAACAACTTAAATGAAAGAGATGGTATAAGCCTTTGAAGTTATCCTTCCAAAATTACATTAAGTATGGGATGTAGCAGCATAACACAAAGCTGGATCATTTATTGAAGAAGAGGCAATCAATGAAGCTTTAGTTTAATTAGCAAAAATTGGGTATATATCTAAAATAATGTTTAAGTGAAGAAAACCCAATTACAGCAATGGTTGCTTTAACTTCAACATTGGAACCAACAGCTGTTCAGACTTTAATTGAAAAAATGGAAGCTATCAGAGATTCAATCAAAGAAAGTATAAAAGCAGAAGAAGAGGCAGAAGCAAAGAATGCCAGAGTATTTATATTATCTACTCTTATAGGATACTGATACTATTTTAGCTGCCATCTTTAATGCAATTGAAAGTTTGACAAGAGAGAAATCAAGTGATGAAGAAGCTTTATAAGAGACAATTAGAAATAGAGATATTTAAGATAAGAGATCTAGAGATGCTCATGCTGTAATTAATATTCTAATTTATTAATTTAGGAATTCAATGCTGCCAAGAATGGTAATCAATAAAGAAATTAATAATGTTAAGAATATGAATTACAATACCAATAAAATACTATTGAAAGAGATAAATAAATTGCCATCATTAGAGATGTTCAAAATATAATTGCAACTAAGATTGAAGTAGTAACATGCTTCGTAGAAGAGAATAATTTATTCTGATTAATATGAATATTATATAGAATTAATCAATATTATCAAAGATTCATTGAAAAAAAGCTAAAGAATTATGATATGATTCCCATGGCTTTAAGTCTTCAATTAAAGAACATTCAGTGATTGTTTATTTCTATAAAAATTTTGTTTTTTATTTTCTTTGTTAGATAAATTTTGGTATAATAAAACTTTTATCTTATTAAAGTGATGTTTCTTTTTTATTTTGTTTAAATTAATTTATTGTTTATTCAATTGTAGTAACATTAGTATTTTTTTTCTTTTTTATAATTTCTTTTATGTATTATTGATAGATTTGACACCTATTTGTTAATTGTCCAAATGTGTTATTTTATTCATGTTTTACAGAATTTGATTTTATTTTTTTTTGTTTATCAAAAGTTATTTTGAATTTTATTGGATAATTTAATCTTGGTGATTGTGAAATGTTCATTTTGCATCCATAAATTGGAAACCCTCTTTGGAGGTCATTGATTTATTTGATTTAAGTTTTACGAATAAACAATTAGTAATTTGTACCTTGAATCTTTGTAATATTTTAAATATTGTCCATATGTAAGTATTGATTAAAGATATATTTGTAAATTATCAATAAAAGTATTATAAATAAAGAAATTAAAATTGAATAATTAATCAACAAAACCTAATTTAACAAAAATAGGATTCAAAAAAATGTAATATTCTTAACAAAAGATATTACTTTTTCTATCATAATTGTAATTAAAGTTATATCTCTGACATAATTTATATATATATGAATTTAGGGAATGTAATATTATTTTCTACTATATTAAATCCTATTTTTCATTTATTTGATCATTTTTAAGCTATTTTTTAATTTATTATAAAATTACAAATCCTTTACCATAGAATTAAGTCTGCAGAAAAGTCTAAGATAATTCATACAGAATACTTGTAAGAAGATATATAATAAAAAATTAAAATTAGGATATTATTTATTTTTTTATTCAGAAAATTAAGGAGTTACATAGATTTTTTGGTTAGAGTCAATTAAGTATATGATTTAACGTTGTATCTTACTTATCAACATTAGTATTAAGGATTTCTCTATTTTTTTTTTCTTTTTATTTATAAATTATCTGAGTAAATTACAAAATAATTTATAAAAAAAAATAAAAATATTTTGCACCTATCGGGACTCGAACCCGACCTAGAAGCTTGGGGGGCATCTGTACTAACCTCTATACGATGGGTGCAAATTAATGATTTTGGATTGATAAGATTATGTATTTTAAATTATAAAATAATTGATTTTAAATTAGATTACTTTAATTGTACATATTTTTATGAATCAAACTTTAAATTATTATTTTATTTGCAAAAACCTCTAACTTAAAAAGATAACAGTTTTATTCGATCTAACTTATAATTATAATATATGATTTAATATAAAAACTTATATATATAAAATTTAACAATAAAGTTCTGTATTTTTTTAATGGTTAGCATAGTATTTTGCAATGTATTTTAAAAAATTTGCTAAGATAAACTAATTCAAAACAAAATAAAAAACTTAAAGATTTAATATTAAATACACAGACAGAATTATAGATAAAAATATAATACTTAAATCATTCTTAGAATTTGATTGCTTTGTTTTTTTATCATTTAAGTTAATATTGTTTTAATATTACATGAAATTTATTATATTAAATATATAATAATATATAATAGTTATTAATGTATTATATCTATTAGTTTACTATATATTAAAATACATTTAATCAATAATCTTATAAGATTATTATAAAATTAATTCTTAAAATGAAAATAATAATTGTACTTAATAAATTCTATTAATTAAAAAAATTGATTTTAATTATTAATATTCTATAATATTTGTTTAAATTAAATAAACAAAATTAGATCAAAATTTTTATGTTATTCAATATAAAACATTATATATTTATAAGAAATGCATTCTTTATTTATAATTAACTTGATAAATTATCAAAGTTTTTATTCAGATATTAATTTCAAAATATTATAAAATAATAATGAATAACTAATCACAGGATAACACTAAAACATAAAATATGAAGGACTATAAGGCATAGCATAAATTAGAAGACAGGAAGAAAAGAGTGCAACAATATAGAGAAAAATACCCAGAGATGACACCAATGGTTGTTTAAAAGCATCCAAAAGCCAAGATAATGTCATTAACAAGACCATAGTATTTTGTTTATAATAAGGTAGATTCTTGGTCAATTAAACAGTCAAGTTTTCTGATTTTAAAACCTAAATCAGAGCCAAACTTTAATTATCGCCTTAATAAACATTGTTTTTCTATTGCGGAAATAATATAATTTCTGATGGTAATTTATCTAATTAAAAATAGATATTTCACTTCAAGAATTATATAATAAATATAAAGATAAAGAAGACGAATTTCTATATTTGAATTATTCTGATTGCGAAGTTTTTGGGAAATGAATTGATTGATATTCATATAAATAAGTACATATGTACTATAAAATATTTTGAATTATATTAAATGAATCAATAAAGTATAAAAATTAAGGATAAGTGATTCCTGTTAAAAAAGAATGTAGAAAATTTTTAATTAAAAAAAATGGAAAAAAATAATTTATCATTATATCTGTTAAATTTCGTAACGAATGCTCTAATAAATTTTGATCATGGAATAATACCAGCATGTACAACTGATATGAAATTGGATTTAGGAATAGATGACGTTTAAGTAAGTATTTAAATTGTAATCTAATTTTAGTTAGGTATGATGGGATCATCAGTTTATGGAGGACTTGTAATAGGTTCATTTATTGGCACAGGCATATTTGACAAATATAAAACTAAACACATAGTTACAATAAGTGTATTATGTTGCATACTAAGTTTATCTTTATTTATTCTAACCAAAAATATTATTCTTCTATTTATATCTAGATTTTTAACAGGATTCTTTTAAGTATGCAATATTAATTTATTTGGTGTTTTTAGTAGTTTTTTTTCCAGTTTGGATAGATTTATTTGGTGAAAATCATAAGACTTTGTGGTTGACATACATGTAATTAGGAGTAGCTTTAGGGACTGTATCAGGATATTTAGTGACATCATTATCACTACATTTTTCATAGAATGTAATAAAAATTTAAATTATTTAGTGGGTATATCCATATTATTTGTAAATATTATTACTAATACCTTGTTTTTTATGTTATAGTTTTTGTGATGAAGCAATGTTATCAACATAAGATGAAGGATAATTAAATGTTAATAAAGAGAATTTTAAGACTATTTTTATGCAAAATTTGAAAACCTTTTTGTCAAATCCTGTTTTTGTTTTTTCAATGTTATCATTAAGTTCTTTATTTTTTGTTGTAACAGGAGTATAATTTTGGATAACAGATTATCTTAGAAATGTATTATTAATGCCTCATGAAGTTGTTTTTAAATCATTTTTAATAATATCATTAACTGCACCTCTTAGTGGAGTATATTTGGGAGGATTAATCTTACATAATTTTGGAGGCTATGATGGATAAATAGCAATATAAATAGCAGCTTTTGAAGCCTTATTAGCAAGTATATCAGGAGCATTCATACCAATTCTAAATAATGGAGCATTTGTATTGCTTTTCTTATGGTTTTTACTCTTTTTTGGTGGAAGTGCTGTTCCTGCAATCATGGGTATAATGATTACTTCAATTCCAAGAGAATAAAGATCAAGTGGAAACTCATTAAGTCATTTATTTTAAGAACTTTTAGGTTATCTACCAGCACCAGTTCTTTATGGTTATGTATAATAATAAACTGGAGGATCAGCATCTCGTTGGGGAATGATTCTTCTATCTATTATTGGATTTTTTGGTTTATTCTATATAGTATTAGCAATCTTTTATAAATCAAAATAATCAAAATAATTGGATACTAGTATTAATGAATCAGAGTTAAGAGATAGAGTTCCTTATTTAAATTCTGTTGATTAGAATGATTTAATGTAGAAATCAAAATTTGCTTAGATTCGGATGTAAACTTCTGTATAATCAGGAAAATCAATTACAATTCCCATATAATAAGATCAAATTAATAATGAGTTCTAAATTGATAATTAAACATCTTTGATAAACAAAACTCATAATTTTAAAACAAGAGTTGCATATCAAAGGTAAGCTTCTGTTTCTTAAGCTTTATCAAATTTTTCAAACCTTGTTGGTAGAGGTAGTCTAGATAGTGATTTATTTTCTATTAAACATGATGAAGATAGGAAATTAATGGAAAAATATACAAATGAAATTGAGCTATAAGTTGCTGGTGGTTACTATTTAGTAAGTGAAGGAAGATATGTAAAATTTGAAGAACATTGATTTATTTACATATTTTTATTCAAAAATACATAGACCAATTAAAATTATAACATACGAAGATATTTAAATAGGTATTATAATAAAAAATTATACAGATCTTTTTATAAAACAACTTTATGTAAACTATTTTTTTTTAATCATAAAGATTTTCAAAAATTATTTTGAAATATATTTAAATAAATCAAAAGCTTTCATCACTTTTTAAGAATCTTCTACTCTTATTTATCTATATCATACAAATTATATAAATGCCATATAGAATTATTCCTTTTTTAACTCCTCTTATAGGGTTTTATGATTTATAATTAACAAATTAGATTTTCAAAGTAGTTATTATAGAAAATAATAATACTTATTGATTAGAGTTAAAAACATGCTAATTTACATCAAGATATCCAAAATTTTATTAATAATCATTTACTCTAAATTATAGTATCTTCATTAAAATTAATCATGATAAAAAATATTTTATATAAATTTCTACTTTCAACTCTCTAAATGGATAAGCAGGTACAGTGAATTTTAAATTATTAAATGGATAGCATAAAGTAACTTTATAGACTCATTGGGAAGATAATTGTGAATATTACTGTCAACCTGAAACTGGCTTTTTATTTGAAGATTAAAAAGATTAAAGTCAAATTTCAAACGTTGAAAATGGAAATTATCAAACAAAAATAAATATTCCTGAATATTATAATTATAATGGAATAATTAATGGAGATCTTTAGCATATATCAACTGGTATAGATGCAAAACTATATGGAAATATTGATATTGATTTAAGTGGTGATTTTTCATCTTAAAAGATTAAATCAGAAATCTGTAGAGTCAAAGCTAATAATTTGGAAATAAATTCTGCATTAGAAACATAATTTGGATAATTATAGATTAAAAATAATGTTACTATTAAAAAATTACTCATTTCAAAAGTAACAAATTTATATTAAGAAAATGTAAAATTTAAGTAGGTTATGTATAAAATATGCAAAAAAATTATCCAATTATGTAAAAATTCTAATTTTTAGAAAATATTGAATAGAATAATCATTTTTATATATAATCATAAGCAAAAACTTTTAATATTGGAACATTTTCAGGAAGATTGAAATGTAATATAAAAGCAGAATCATTTTTATTAAATCTTTGTCAGGATTATTTTATATCAATTATTCTAAAAATGTATAATTAGGGATAACAAATTAACAGAATTAAGGATTTATCAAAGCAGATAATATTATTTTAAATATTTATGATAAATTGAAGTTCAACATATTTAATTGTGGTAAATCAATTTATGAATTTAATGAATCCTACTATAATATATATACTGAATGTGATAAACTTGAAGTTAGATTAATTAATAATCCTTTTGGGATATTATGATAATTATATATATATATATAAATAGTAATATTCACATAGAAGATGATAGTTTACTCATAAATTCTTTTATTTTGTTTTCTCTAAATATTATACCATTTTCTCTTGCTTTTAATTCCTTTTATTTTTCTTAAAGTGCTTTATATTCTTTATGAATTCTTTTTTCGAATAATTATTGAGCAATATCAATATCAATTTATTGTTCTGACTCCATATTTTCCTAACAATATGAAGTTAAAGTTTCTTCTGTTTATGTTTATCGATTCACTAATGATAATTCTTTATTAATTAATCCCATTTCTTTATCTCTTAACTACTTTTCAAAAATATATAATGATTCTTCTTTCTACTTCATTTCTTAATAAAATTAATCTAATTGATTTTATGTTTAATCAATTAATCTTTTTGCACTTTGAACATCTTTTTTTAATGAATCTATTTCTTCAATTTATTTTTAACTAATTGATTGTTATTCTAATAGTTTTTTTTCCAGTACTTCAATTTATTATTAATGCTCATCAAAATAATCTACGTAAATAGATTCATTTTTTATTTCACTTAAAGGATTTCGTTATTTCATAAAATATACATCTGAAATATTTTTATTTGCTGATTTCATCTAAAATTTAATTTAATTTATCTATTAAAATTATGGAACTGCTAAAATAAAAGTTTTATATATAAGTTTAATAACAAAATGACTTTTTTTTATTTTATCTTTAAGTTACCTACTATGATATATTTATTAATAGTTTTCTTATTTATCATTTAATATTAAAGTAAATTATAATTTTTATTTAAAAAATGGCATAAAAAGAACATAATGAGTTTGATAAAAATTCAATTGATGATGAAACAGATTTTGTACTTGATAAATTTGCAGAAGGCTATCGATTAGTAGAAATAAAAGGAATTGTAAAAAATTACATAGAAGCACGATACTAATAAACCTTTATAGCTATCAGCAACAATGACTATAAAGTGTCTTATTATATTTACAAAAAATTAGAAAAAGTATTAATAAAAGCACTAAAGAATTTCAATTAAGAGCCTGATTTACTAACTGAATATTCTAAAGTTATGGTACGACACTTGTTTATAATAGCTTTATTTATTAGATATCAATTAAACAGTTTCATCAAATGAAAAGTTAATGATTCTTAAATTGCCAACTGAAGTTTAGGTTTATCCAAAAATAGAAGATATCGATTTCTATTATTATCTTCTAAAGTATACTATATAGACTTTAAATAATATTGGAGTAATTTTGATGAGAAGAAAAAAAATTAGAGAGGCAGAAAGTTATTTAATGAGAGCATTGGCAGCTAGAAGTTATGTACTAGAGACTAATGTTTCTTAATTTTAAATGGGAGTATTATTGGAGAATTTGGGTTTTGTTTTTTTAAATAAAGGAGATAAATAAGATGCTAAATAATTTATTACAAAAGCATTATTAATATTTGAATAATTATCATAATCACAATATGAGAATGTTGAAGTTAGTATAAACTATAAACATATGCTAAATTTGGTTGAGTATTTATTTCTAATACATTTAGAATTCTATATAACTAGAATGAGGAATAAATATTATCATAACCAAGAGAAATTTAAAAAGAAAGAATGGTACATTTACTTGCTATAACATATAATTATTATGGGGAAGTTTTTTAATCATTAAATATGCAAGATTAATAGAAATTTTGTTAAGAATAATTTTAATTTTTATGCAATTTAATGTAAAAATTGAATCCAAGAATTGAAACAAGAAAGAAAAAGATTGAAAATCCTTAACCTTAAATTAAATAAGAAGTAGATAAATAAACATTGGAAATAGCTAAACATAAAATGAATTAAGTTTAAGTAAAAGTGGAGAAAGTAGATTTGAAAGTTAATTAAGATAATTTTTAAAAAGAAAAGGAATAACTTCCTTCACAAGTTACATTAGATTAGGTTCTCTATTAAACTTATATGTATAATTATTATTATTATATTAGATTAATTCGAGCTTAAAGATTCAAAGTTATCATTTTATAATTAGAATTTTTTATTTAGATAATTGTCTTTTCCAAACCTCTTAATCTTGAAAAAAGTTTATATATTGTTGAGAGTGATCTAACAGAATATCAAAAAAAAATATATCCTGATTCATAAAATTCAAGTGATTAACTATGTGAATTTTTTAAGAAGTAAATTATTTTTGTATTTAAGATTAATTAAATTGCTTTATTTTTAAGATAATCAACTTCACATCAAAGAAATAAGACATTTCTAATCCATAGAAGAATTTAATAAATTCATATGACCTTCTATTTAATTTGAATTAAGTTTATAAATATATAGGATAAAATAATATTATTTTTTATGTCATCATAATAAAATTTCCTTAATTTCTTAATTTTAATTGATTTTTCTTTTCTTAAAGTCTTGATCATTATGATTTAATACTTAATTAAATATTTTTTATATATTAATTTACTTTTGAAAATTGACTTTATTAAACTAAAATTCAATATTTTATTTTAATATTAATTTTAAGGTTTGAAAAGAAATTTTAATTTTTAAAGATAAAAATTGTATAATTCTTTATATAGAGAATTTCAGAAAATGAAAATAGTTATATTCAACCCAAGATAAATATATATAAATAATATAGCTGAAAATCATTTGAAAAAATAATTTGAATTTAATATCATTATTGATAAACTTTTGATTGAAATAAAACAATTTAAGGTATATTTTAGTATTTTTATGTAGTTGCTATTTAAATTTGATATGAAATTCATTATGATGAATTGTATATTTTCAAAATAATCATAATATTTTTTTGAATGATTAAAATTAAGTTATAAAGATTTTATTTTTAAATATTACAATCAAATTGTATTAAACAATTTTAGTTTAACTAAACATTGTATTGGAACCAAAAATTTAAACGTGCATATTTTTGAACGAAGAATGGGATTAATCTTTAATTATTTTATTATAATATGATATATACTCTAACTTCAGAATAAGCATAGATTTCTATTAAAATCGATAAGCCTAGCTATTATCCTGGAGAGATTATTAAAGGGGTGATATATATGAAAATCAAAACAAACGACATTTAAGCAGGTCTATTGTATTTAAAAGTAAGAATATAAATAAAACTAATATAGCTTTGTGGATAAGAGAAAGTCAATTAATTAGACTCATATAACTAATTCTTTAGCTTTAAATAATTCATATATAAAAAATAGAAAAAAATAACAGATTTTGGGAAGTACAATTAAACTGATTATTAGAAAAATGCCTATGATAGCCTGCAAAAAGTATTTTGAATTAGAAGTACCATCTTTATATCCAAGTTTTACAATTAACTATTATAAAATGGTATAATGTAGAGTTCTTTATTTTCTCTCAGTCAGTTTGTAAAGTGTAGATGGAAAATATTTATACAAAGTACCAAAAAAAAATCGGGTTGTAGTTCATATATTTAAAAAATTGGCAATTCAAAATAGTATTCCAATTGAATATTAAGGAGCTACAAAAATGGACAAAAGATGTTGTTTTTCAACAGGGGTAAAGAAATTTATAAATTTAGAATACAAAAGTAACAATTTAACTTTAGACAATATAATATTGTTTTGGAGATACAATCTCATTAATTTTATAAGTTGACAATAATTAATCAAATATTGCTATCTAAAAATTTGAATTAAAGATTTCGTCTTAATTAATAGTTTTATACAAAGAATAAAAAAGAAAATTATCTAATTATTTTGAAATCTTCTAATAAGAAATAAATGGTATGTAAATTAATTTATTTTAGAATAAATTAAAGCACATTCATCAAAATAAATTAATGCTAATTTAATTTTACCAATAGGAAAGGAAACCAATAAAACGGCTATTTTTCCATAAAGTACATTAAAAACTAAAAGAATGAGTTTTTAATACATTCTAACTGTGGATGTAATTTTTGTTTAACATCTATTTGTTAAAGTTGATAATCTTACGATATCAGTTCCATTAATTTTGATTTAACGTCAAAAGAGAGAAAAAAACAATATTATTTAATCAATGGAAAATATAAGTAGAATTGGATCTATAGTTGAAACAAACTCTAAATTAAATACAAGTTAATTAAAAAAATTTATATATGGAGATCATAATTCTGCTGGTTATGGTGAATAAGATGGATATGATGGACCTGAAAGAAAATATAATCCAATAGAAAGTCTAGATGAATCAGCTTTAAAGGATGTTAAAGGGGCTTTGGAATAATTAATACATAAGAAATAATATGAAGAAGATAGTGAAATTGATGAAGATTTCTTAGAAGAAATAGAAGGAATAAGCCATAATAATATAAGTTTCAATTAAATATAGTCATTTGAATAATAATAAGAAAGAACTATCTTTAATTAAAAATAGAAAAACGATCTCAATTATTAACATATTAATAATGAAGAATTCAAAAAAGAATATGAAATTTAAGTTAATTTGTAAACAATAAAAGAAGAATAAGAAAGTAAAGGAACTTAATATAATATAAATAATGGTTTATCTTCTTCTTAAGTTCGAAATCATAATTAATAATAATAAATAGAATAAGATTAAAAATATGCTAATAAAAATGGATTTGATTAAATTGATATTGATGAAATATCAAATAATGAAAATTGTATTAAAAATACATAAAAAAATACAATACTAAAAAAAAATATAGATAGCCAAATCTCAAAAGAACAAAACGATTAAAAAGGATAAAAATAATTGAAAGTTTAATTTATTGATAATACTTCAATAGATACTCTTGATGGCAAAACAGGAGACAAAATGAATTCATAAAAATAAAAAAGATGAAAAGTCATGATAAAAAATATTGGAATCGATAATTTGTTATTCATTTAATATTAATTTGTAATATTATTTATACACAATTCTTTTAATCTTTATTAAACCTAAATTTAATAATCAATATAATTCTAATTCTTAATTATTAATAAGCACTTATTTTCTTATTTGTAAAATATATATTATTCTACATTTATTAAATATTTCTAGATTTTTCATTAATCATTTAAGGATTAAAGTAATGCTGTTATAAAAAGATACTTCCATCATTTTTAGATCTCTCAATCATCTTCCTAATTTTTTTATTTAGATCATCATTGAATCTTTATTACTTGTTCATTCATTAATTTTTCTTTTTTTTTGTTTATTATATATTTTATTATATTTATAAAAATATCATGTTTGTCTAATAATATCATGTACCAATAATATTTGTTTTATGAAAATTATGGCGAATTTAAATAAATAAAATTATGAAAAAATATATATTGATAATAAGAAGAAAGCATCATTTTAAAAGTATCAGTTATGACTTTATAACTTAATTTTTCTGCTTTTGTCATAACTAATATATTACTATATATAAATATGCAATGAATCAAATCTAATCCATTTCTTCAATTGTTTTCTTAAATTTATCACTATATGGAGTTTCTGGTTCCTCTTTTATTACACCTAGTCGTTAAGAGAATCCTAATTTCTGCTGCTATTATTGCTAAGCTTATTTTTATTATTGAGCTTATAATTATTGTTTTTCTTCTAAAGATTCAAAGGAGGAATTGCTGTCACAAAAATTGATAACATCAAAAAGGTCTTTGACATCATCGGAACTCGATTTAGTAGTACATTTGGTAAGATTGATTGAATGGATTGATTATTAAAAGTGAATCGATTTCTCTCTGATTTGCTAACTGGTTTCTTTATAAGCTATAATGATTTATCCATGATTTTTAGTTAAATCTCTTTTATCAATAAATTATTCATTAGAATTAGAAACAGATTATTGTAATATTTTCATATTTGCTTACATAGACCTTACAATACCGAAAAGTGGTCTATCACTACACCCAAGAACGATGTCATCCTTTGATCTCATTTATTGATTCTTAGAGAACATCTTAGGTTAATAAAGCCATGGATGAAGTAGAGCCTCTAAAATTTTATTATATATCATTACAAGCAGAAGATAATCGTTTGTCTGGATTCCATTTCAATATTCTTTTGAGAAAATCAATGACTAAATGTGGTAATTTAAGAAATTCTGGTTAGAGAAAATGTTTTGTATATTCTGATTAAGTAGAAAAACATTCCATTTGATTTTCTTAATCAATAGGCAATTTACCACATAACATCTAATAACAAACAACTCCTATAGCCCAAACATCAATCTATTTTGAATATCCAGAACCAACCCATAATTCAGGAGCTTAATAGGGCATTGTTCCAGTTACTGTCCACATAAGATTATTTTTGATATCTTTGCAATTTTTTTCAGGTATAAGGAATCTTTTTGAAACACCAAAATCGATTAACTTAATGGTATTGGTGTCATTATCAAATACAATGTTATCTGGTTTGATATCTCTATGACATAATCCAATTTTATGAATATATGAAACAGCCTCAAATAATTATCTTATAATTAAACAGGTTTCATTAAGATCTAAAGTTTGTCTTTCCTTTAATAAATGTTATAGACTTGGATATGGTAAATATTCCATTACTAAATATGAACATTCCATATTTGGATCAATATATAGCATATTTGTTTTGCAAATATAAGGATGATTTAAAGCCATGGTATTAAGGAATGTTTATTTCATTATTTCAGTTATTTCAGGATCTGCATTCCTTGAAATTTTAACAGCATAGGTTTCATCTGGATTAGTTATTTACCAACATTACCTAACAACTGCATGAGCTCCTTCACCCAAAATCTTTCCAATTTAATAGATATTTTTGAATGATTGCTTCATTTATTCAAGTTGTTTCTAATTTGATAGATAATCAATTATTTTAGGTGCATCTTCCTTAAAGTCACTTTAACTTGAGCAATGAACATATTCTAATATTTATGGACATTGATTGATAATTTCTTAAACATTCTATTTTTATTAATTCTCATTCTTAAATAAATCACTTTTCAATTTATTTCTTAATCTATCAAAGTTACCTTTTTTGTCCATTGTATTTCTTATTTACTTTTTTATATATTTATACTAAAATTTATTGTTTTAGAAAACTAATAAAAATTGCTATAATACTCAATACTATTTAATGCCATAGCTTAATATGATAAATTAATCAAGTTTAAATACATCATTTATAAACTTGATTCTTAATAAAAAATTACAATTTTTAATTTTAAACAAAAGAATATCCCAAAAATTTTAGATTAATTTTAGTTAATTTAAATTTATGATATATATAGATTGTTGACCTCATAATTATAATTGGAGAATCAGAGTAGAAATTTAGTATTAAAGAATTCAAACTCTAAACAACTTTTTATCTAAATAAATTAAATAATTAAAATACTTATTAAATATACCATACAAAAATGAATTAAAAATAGAACTTTATTTATTTTGAAGCTATAATGACCATTGATTTAATATACTTTTATTAATCATTATTTTATTTATTTAATTAAATAAATTTGCATAATCTGTATAACAATTTAAAATTATGATTGATTTTATGAATTAGACATAACTAAAAGAAGTTAATTAAATCAATTTTATTAGTTTGTTTAATTTAATGATAATTACATTTAGAAATTTGATTTTGGAATCAATTAAATTTATTAAGATTATTAGGATCAATTAAAATAGTTGTTAATCCATTATTTACTGAAACCATAAAATAAATAATTATAATTCTTTTTTAATAAAAATAATGAATGAAATTTTGATTACAAAGATATGTTCATTTTGATCTAGCAAACCCAACCCTATCATTATCTCTATCATAAACAGAATAATATTTGCTTAAGAAAGTGTCACCCAAAATCCAAGCTGGTCCTTAAGGGAAAGGAATGTCTAGAGGCATGAATGTTCCAATACATTCACAACCTCCACCCATTTCTAAAAAGCTGTCTGTAGATGCAAAAGATCCATATGCAATCTAAATATATAATATTTATTTATTTACTTCATTTCCATATGAATCTATCTTCATTATATAATCATGTGCATCAAGATCATAATGAATTCCATCCAACACAAATGTTAAGGTTGGTAATTCTTTTAGATTCTTACAATTTTCATCTATATTAAGAGCATCTAACATATCATATAAATCATCTGATGGACCTGTTATCAATGAAGTACCAGTGTCTGCTATAACACTGCAACCTCCTTTACATAATCCAACATCCTTTCCATTTACTAAAATATTATTTGCCTCCAATAGCCAATAATACTTATTTGCCACATTATGAAAATGCAATTCTCCTTCAAAATGATCTTAATTCCATCCACCTAAAGTTAATTCTGAGGTTCTAGAGCCCTCTTATCTAGAAAAGTAAAATGAAAACACATTTCTATCCAACAATTTTTATTGCATGATATTATCAAATAATGGATTAAAATGATATGCAGCCATTGTTGGATATGCTAAACCAACTATACCATCAAAATCAGATTATGCAAATACATCTCCATTTTCCCTAACTATTTCTGCAAATTCTTATTTTCTAATCTTAACATTACCTATATAGGCAGTATCTGCATTGATCTATTAATTTATTTAATTATATACCTCTCCCATTAATTCACCAGTACCAAATTCAACATCTAAATCATAACCTAANCAATTTAAAATTATGATTGATTTTATGAATTAGACATAACTAAAAGAAGTTAATTAAATCAATTTTATTAGTTTGTTTAATTTAATGATAATTACATTTAGAAATTTGATTTTGGAATCAATTAAATTTATTAAGATTATTAGGATCAATTAAAATAGTTGTTAATCCATTATTTACTGAAACCATAAAATAAATAATTATAATTCTTTTTTAATAAAAATAATGAATGAAATTTTGATTACAAAGATATGTTCATTTTGATCTAGCAAACCCAACCCTATCATTATCTCTATCATAAACAGAATAATATTTGCTTAAGAAAGTGTCACCCAAAATCCAAGCTGGTCCTTAAGGGAAAGGAATGTCTAGAGGCATGAATGTTCCAATACATTCACAACCTCCACCCATTTCTAAAAAGCTGTCTGTAGATGCAAAAGATCCATATGCAATCTAAATATATAATATTTATTTATTTACTTCATTTCCATATGAATCTATCTTCATTATATAATCATGTGCATCAAGATCATAATGAATTCCATCCAACACAAATGTTAAGGTTGGTAATTCTTTTAGATTCTTACAATTTTCATCTATATTAAGAGCATCTAACATATCATATAAATCATCTGATGGACCTGTTATCAATGAAGTACCAGTGTCTGCTATAACACTGCAACCTCCTTTACATAATCCAACATCCTTTCCATTTACTAAAATATTATTTGCCTCCAATAGCCAATAATACTTATTTGCCACATTATGAAAATGCAATTCTCCTTCAAAATGATCTTAATTCCATCCACCTAAAGTTAATTCTGAGGTTCTAGAGCCCTCTTATCTAGAAAAGTAAAATGAAAACACATTTCTATCCAACAATTTTTATTGCATGATATTATCAAATAATGGATTAAAATGATATGCAGCCATTGTTGGATATGCTAAACCAACTATACCATCAAAATCAGATTATGCAAATACATCTCCATTTTCCCTAACTATTTCTGCAAATTCTTATTTTCTAATCTTAACATTACCTATATAGGCAGTATCTGCATTGATCTATTAATTTATTTAATTATATACCTCTCCCATTAATTCACCAGTACCAAATTCAACATCTAAATCATAACCTAAATGTTCATATGTCAAACTCTTTTAACCATCATATTATTTATGATTTTTACATCCATAATCATGACATCTTGCAGAATTCAACCAAATATTAGCTGATCCAGTATCAAATATAACCTATATTATAATAAAATATATTAATCTACTTTAAATTTATTTTCTGATGCTCCAAAACTAATTTCACCAGTATATTATGTATTTTTAAAATTATATAATTTTATGCTCTCCTTTTATTATGTTTATGTTAATGAAATATCATCTAATATATCACTCTTAGATCTAAAATGTTATCCAGTTGTTATGAAATCAAATAACGATTTTCTAGCCTAAGATTGAGTTCGTTCCAATTTTATTGAATATATTTTATTTTGCATTCCTGGTTGCTCTTCTAAAAATGAAGCACATTAGGATGACAAAATCAAAATGGAAATAAAGTAAACTTATTTCATTTAATATTGAATGTTTTCCTTTGAAAAACGATAATTTTTACCATAAAGTGAATTAACAGAATCAATTATCAAAACCATAATTAATAATATAATATACTCTAAAAATAATATAAATCTTATGATATCATTAATATTAACTAATATCTTAATAAGATCGATTATCTATTCATGATAGCTTAGATATTGAATTTAAATAAATTATATTTTGTATAATGAAAATTTAAAAATAATAGTCTAATTCCATAAAATTAATTAAATAAATATGAAAATTAGAATAAATTAACCACAAATTAATAGATAATTATTAAATACAATCATTAAAATTCAAATTTCATTTTCCATAATAATAAACAATAATTAAACCTCACACACATTTGTATCTTTTAAATTTCATAATAAAACAAAACTTTATATTCATTTTTTAAGGTTTAAAAAACAATTAGATATACAATTTACATCTCTCATTAGTAATCAAATGTAAAATTATATCTTAATCTTTTAAATTAGAAAATTAAGAGATGTTCAATAGGTCTAGAGATAAAAAAGAATGAGATAAATTTCAACAATTGATCATTAAATTTAAAAAAAAAATTCCCATCTAAAATATAATATTTTTCAAATATCTGCACAAAGAAATAAAAATATCGAAAAAAAATAAGCAAGATATGTTATCTATTAGATAAAGAATATGTTGAATAGATATTAAGAATGTTCTATATACTCCTTCTTAATCTAATGAATTTTCTGTTAATATAAATTTTGATTTTTTTTAAAAAGATTTACTTACAAAAAATCAAAAATTTCTATTTGGTTTCTGAATTATCTATTCCAAGTAGCATTATAATTCAAAAATCAATTGATTTAAAATAATTTGATTATTTATAATAAAATTTGAAAAGTTTAACAAACTTTACAAGAAGCAGAGATTAATTAAATAAAAATATAGATTTTAGATTATAAACAAGATTCTATTTATATAGGTTTCAAAGGATTCATTCTAGATGATCAAGTTTTACACTTGAATTAAATTAAGAAGCAAATTAATCAATTAATTTTTGAGTGTCAATTCTTTATTTGTTGAGTCTCTAACAATATATTATTGTAATACTTTAATTTTTTCTTTTTCAATATAATTTGTATTCTATCTTCGAATTTGATTATGCTCTTCTTGTTATTCTGTTTTTATATGTTAATTTTCTATTCTTTTACTTTAACCAAGACTAAAAGCATTATTCATTCTAGTTTTATGCATATTTAATTGCCATTTATCTTTGTTATAGAGTGTACTTTTAGGTATTTCTAATAATTTGCTGCTCATTAGATGGCTAGATTTAAAGTTTTTGTTAGGCAGATTAGGAATGAAACATTATAACTAATAAGGAATATTTTTAAGTCTTTTGGCTCTTAAACTCTCTTATTTTGGAGTATATAAATGAAGTTAATTAGGACTACTTATTTCAGTGACCGTATGTTTATGTAATCTCTTTTCAGTTTATTGAGCTTTGTTGATTGATGGAATTCCTATTATAAATACAAAATATATACTTGATCGTGATGTTGTTGTTTAAGCTTCTGATTCAAACCTGACACCTTATTCTAATTAAGGTAAATGAAGAGTTAATTTCACTTTTCTTTCTGAATACATTATTTATTGATTAAAAGATGATTTCAGTGTTTAGTTAAGTATAATATCAATTAAATATGGTGGTATTCAAATTGTACTATTTAATTAATACATAGAATTGAAGTAAATGCTTATTATAATTAGAATTAACCTAGGAAAATTAAATCAAAGTTATAGGATATTCAAACATCTATGAAACAATTAATATTTGTTAATCTTTCTTATTATTAAAAAGTTGAAAATTTTGTTAAATTATGTAATACTATTGCTAACTGCATTAGTCTATCTTTACTTAGGTTTGTCTTCAATAGGATTGTACTAAGAAAGGACCATTATGTGACAAATGTGTTGATACTCATAAAACTCATATCATAAAGAATTTGGAAACATATTTGAATGATTATACAAAATACTTAAATATGGAGTATTAAGCATAAATATTGTAAAAATTAGAATAAATGAAATAATATTTTCATGATAAAATTTCATCTTTATAAATAGATGTAAATTTTATAGATGAAAAGAGAAAAAAGGAAATAATGAAATAATTAAAATAAGAGAAAATGAGTCCTCAATAATATCAATCAAAAATTATTGAATTAGTACAAAGAGATTAATTAAAAGATAGAGAATATTTAGAATAATTCTTTGAGCAAATAATCGAAATTGAAAAGGATATCAAATCCTAATTCTTATAATTACCTTAAAAATTAGTATAAGCTTAACATCATCATCAACCTTCACATCAATCTTAATAAATAATAAATAATAAATCTAATCTTTCAAGTGAAGTGAGGGAATTATCACCTTAATTATCTAATAGATCAAATAAATCTAAAGAACCAATATTCTAATAAAAATAAATGAATTAATCACCTCTTTCTAAATAGTTACTTTAAAGAGACTTGATGCCAGTTGGTTCATTTAATAATTCTAAATTAAAAAATTATTTTACTGAATAAGATTCATAATTATCTCCATAAAATTCATTCAAAATTACTAAACCTTTTGAAATTGATAAATCATCAAGCAAATAAAGTAGAATTGAAGGAGACAGATCAAAAGCCAAATCATAAAATGCTTCATTTGATTAATTTAAATAGAATGCTTCATTTGATTAATTTAAATAACTTGAACCCTTTAAAAATACTTAAAAATCATAAAATATTGAAGTCAATCTATCTTAATTTGAGAAATCAGAAAAAATGGATTTATCCAATCAAAAATAGAATTAAATTAGATTTACTCCATAAGAATAATAAATGGTTGGTTATTTTACAAATCAACAGACTTTAACTCAAAAAGAAAATAGTTAATTTCATTAGAAATAACCTTCTAATATAAAAGCATAATTTACAATAAAAGAGGAAAAATAAGTATAATAAAATACAATTTAATAATAAAATGAGACTTATTTTGAATAGTAAAAAAGTTAAATAAATCAACCTTAAAATTTTGATAATAGTTAAAAATTCTAAAATTCTTAAATTCTCATAGCTTAATAAATTTAAACACCTTAATAAAGTACACTTATTAGAGAATAGGATACAAACAATTTTTAAAATGGTATGAAATAGTCAACATAATCAGCAATATCAGGAATATATAATGAAAATAAATCTTAATAAGATATTTCTTTTATTAGTTCAAAGTATATTATTGAATATTATTTAGATCAATAGTTCTTCCTTAAATAAAAATAACATAAAATTTATCAAATCCTTTAAAAATTGAAAAAGACATAACATTAAAAATTCATGATAAAAGTGTTAAGGATTTATGTTTTATGGATGATGATAAAATAATTACATGTTCTAAAGATATGACCATAAAAATTTGGGATAAGTATTGTTATGAATATATTAGTAAGGAGAACTAAATAATTAAAAATGGAATTGAAAGATCATACAGATTAAATTCTATGCATTGCATTCTCTTAAAAAAGAATAATAGCTAGTGGATCAGTAGATAAAACAGTTAGAATATGGAAACCTTCTCCTTCTTGGAAAATTGCATTTGTTTGTTAAGGACATTCAGAGAGAATAAGATGTGTAGAATTTTTGGGAAACTTTATAGTATCAGGATCAGATGATACAACTGTAAAATTATGGGATTTTGATGGATAATTATAACATTCATTCAAAACTAATGGTAGAGTTAGTGCAATAGCTACAGATAAAAATCTTATTATAGTTGGAAGTGGTAAAAATATTATTGTTTTGGATACTAAAACAAAAAATAAATAATAAGATATAATAGGTCATAAGAATTTGATTTTGTGTTTATTACTTAGTAATTAAAATCAATAGAATACTTAAATATTAATAAGTGGATCAAAGGATAATTCTATTAAAATATGGTCTTATCCTAAAATATAAGAAATTAGAAATTTAGAAGATGATTATTCAATTTAATCTTTATTTTTTGATCCAATATCTTAATACCTATTTGTTGGTCTAATGGGTTTCGAATAGGAAGGAAAGATATCTATTTGGAAATTAGATAATTAACCAAAAAAATAATAAGAAATAATTTTAAATCCATATGGATGTAATAAAGTGTTATATGATGGGATATATCTTTATAGTGCACATGAGAATAGAAGAATGGAAATTTATATTATTAATGAACTTTGATATATAATATTATTCAATATAATTTTAATTAGAATAAATTGTTCTATATTAATAAATTTATTAGATTAAAAAATTTTATGCAAATTTAAATAGAGAAAAAGAAAAATTCTTTATTTACTTAAGGCGTTAGTTATGTTGTGTGGAAAACTATTGTTAATATCTTCAGCTTATATGCTATTGTATAAGTATCCTTAGCTTTATTTGATGAGCAATCATATAAGTTTTAAAATAAAGGAACAATTTTTCTTTTAATTAGACTGTTAATAATTGTATTTAGATAATAGTTAATTAGATCGTTCTATTTGCAGATATTTTTATAAAATTCAATGTTTAACAAATTATAGATAAAAATGTAATCATAAATAAAAACAATGAATTTTCGAAAAAGTACTTATTATTTATATTTTGGTTTGACTTTTTACCTGCTTTTTTTGTTTTGTTTTAAACATTATTTTATTTACCAAATTACATAGCAGTTTTGATATTTTTGAAAGTAATATCATTAATAGATGCTGATACTTACACTCAATAATAATTGCTTCATCATGCATCAATATATTTTGTATATAAGGTATTAAGATTAATAGTGATACTCTTATTTGTATTTAATTGTTTTGGTTGTCTCTTTTATCTAATGGGATTGATAGGATTGGATTCAGATGAATAAACTTGGCTTGATTTTTCAAAGAGTTATAGTGGAATTATAGTAAAAGATCAAACAAGAAATACTAAATATATAATATCTACATATTGGGCAGTTGAAACTCTAACATCAATAGGATTTGGAGACATAACTCCTGTGAATACATATGAAATTTTTATTACAGATTTGGCTCTCTTTGGATAAATGTTTGTAATTGTTTATACAGTTTCCTATATTGTATCTCTTTAAGACTAAAAAAATCCATATGATAAGAATATGCATGCCATAAAAAAGTTCATGAAAATAAAAAATATATCTAGTGATATTGTAAATTAAGTATCAATTTTTCTTGAATAATATTTTTATGATTATAAGAGAAGGGATTAAAAATCAGAATAAGATGTTATGAGAAAATTAACTAAACATTTATAATCTAAATTGTTATACCAAGCCTATTAAAATTAATTATTGAAAATAGAATGGTTATTCAATCGATTTTCATTATAATGTTTATAAGATATTGCATGTAAAATTAAAGAAGTATAAATTATTTCTATATATAGTTATGTCTAGGAGCTGACTAAATTATAGAATAAGACATCTATGATCCTAAATTATATATAGTAGTAAATGGTAAAATTAATTTATCATTAAATGGTGTTTTAATTAAATCTATTGAAAAAGGAGGTAGTTTTGGAAATTATGAATTTGTAACTGGAATTCGTTAAAAATCTAAAGTTGCTAAAACAGAAACTTATGCTATCTTATATTATATATCTAGATAGGATATGATTCAATGTTTATAAAATTCCTTTGAAGATTATCAAAAATTTTAAGAGATATATGATTAAGTAATATATGAAAAAAAACTTGAAACTATAGGATTGTATTGTTTATTATGCAAAAGTACATGTCATTTGACATAATAATGCCAATAAATTAATATTAAAGAAATGATCTAAGATTTTGATTAAGTGACAATTTAATAAAGATAAAAGTTTAAGAGATCATCTAAGCGTCATGATACTCAGAATGCTCCAAAGGATTTTTTATAATATAAATTTGACTTAAAAATGGATTATTAAAATCTAGATATAGATCAAAAATGTCAAGCTTATAAGAAGATGCAATTTATACCTTTTGTAATGAGGATGGAGAAGACTAAAGTAGATCCCTTAAGAATAATTCGAGATGTAATTGATGAAGCAAATCAAAAGAAGGAATTTAAAATATTAAGAGCATTACCAATAATAAATTGTTCTAGTTCATTTGTTGATATATGGAATTATTTCATTTTTATCAACACTTTGATATTATTTACTCTTGTTCCTTTAATAATTTTCTTTTATATAGATTATGATTCATTTAAAATGAACCCTTTTTTTAAAGGAATGAGATATTATTATATGGTATTCATATATTATTTAATTAGGCAATCTTATTTTTAGATGTCATTTTAAAATTTAATATTAATTATTACTTTTTTGGGGCTCTTATAACATCTAGAAAATAGATAGGAATGAGATATTTATCTTCATACTTTGTATTTGATATGATACCAGTTCTAATATTACTATATTTTGATTTCATATACACATACACTATAGTTTATCTTCTCATTTTATTTAAGGCAGTATCATTCTTTTAAATAGAAAAATAAATCTAAGAAAGATTAAAACTTTATCCATCTAAATATAATACTTATTTAATTTTTAAAATGTTCATAGAAGTTTTATATTTATAACATTTTTGGGCTTGTATGTATTTTGCAGGAGGTGAATATATGTACTATAATTATCCTGGTATAAAGACATGGTTAAATGATCCCAAAAGTCATTTTGGATCTATTATAACATTACATTATTCAAAATAATATTTAGTTTCATATTATTGGGCAGTTAATGTAATAACAACTGTAGGTTATGGAGATATCTACCCATTAAACAATATGGAATGGTTTATTAATGATTTAGCTCTTATTTCTGCCATAATGATTGCAGCAATTAATATTACAAATATTGCATTTATTAGAGCATCCTCTAATCAAAAAGAACAATTAAAAAATAAAATAGCTATTAGTGCATTTATGAGATAAAATTTAATCTCAAAATAAACAAGAAACTTTATATTAAAATATTTATTGAATAGTGAAATCTTTTATGATTATAGAAATACTGAATTAGAATTCTAGACTTTTGGAATGTTACCCAAATCTTTGAAAACTAAGTTAATGGATTAAGCATATTCTTCAGTTTATACTAATTTATGGTTAAATGTATTTGATAGAGAAATCATAGCTCAAATAGCCTAAGAAACTAAAGAAGTAAATTATTATTAAATATATTAAAAGGCATTTTTTAGTGCTCATGAAAATATCTTTTTAGATAATGTTTTTGATAATGATTGTTCTTTGTATTTTATTGAAAAGGGTTGTGTCTAATTGTTTTTTAATTTACCTATATCTAACAAAGAAGAAACTCTTATTGCTAAATTAAAATCAAAAGAATCATTTGGACACTATTCTTTTGTAACTGGAATGAAACGTTAAGGTAGTATATTAAATAATAATAGCTTCTGCCAGAAGCTATAAGCATGCTCTATTGATTTATTTAGAAAGAAATAATTTTTTAAAGGCTCTGTAACATAATTTAAAATAAGTGGCTTTATTCGAATAAATAAAATATGAGGTCCTTTTTCTTAATAAATTACAACATTTTAAGATCAAATGTTATACTTGTCAATCAAGTGAACATATGAGTATTTCTTGTCCATTGACATAAATAAAATAGAATATTTTATTGACATTTAAACCAAAAGAGAAAATGAAATTCATTTAATAAAGAGAATATCTAAAAAGAAATAAAAAAACTAAAACATAAAGATTCAATTAAGAAATCGATAAATAATTTATTAAAAACTCTAATAAAAGACCTTTCAAAGAAGTATTCTAACAAGTAAATTTAATAATTGATGAATCTAATTAAATGTGAATAAGGATTTTAATTCATAATTATTAATAATATTTTATTTTGTTATTTGATTATTGATTAATTAAAAAGGTAAATTAGAATATCCTTATTTTGTTTAATATAATTGTATGTAGAATTTATATATATATATATAAATTTATTATTCCTATGTTTTTACAATCAAAGACAATAATAAAAATGATTAACATAATTAGATTATTGAAATTTTTCTAGAATATAAAATAATGATACTGTTTATTCACTTGTTCATAAAAAGCTGTAATAAATTCATTTCATTATAATTTAACATACTCTAATAAAATTCAGATCAAAACTAATTATACTCTTAAAATATCTTATTTTATTAATTGTAAATATATATAATTGATAAATCTTTATTTTATATTAATTAATAAATGTTCTCGTTTTAAGATTCCTGATTATAATATTAAAAATATAAACTAAATTTATCAGAATATATTCAAAGAGATAATAGTAATCATATTATTAACATAGGTAATGAATTAGATCAATTAAATGAATTTTCTTCAGCCCTATAATTATTGCATGTATCCTTATCGTCCACAAATATATTATAATTTGTATGCAGAGAACATTCAAGAACAAAATTCAGCTGCTACAACTTATAAGCAAGAAGTAGTATAATGGTATATTTTGTTTTGATATATTTACAGGCTATTCACTTTGGAATAATCTGAGTTGTATAAACTATTTCAGATAAAAGGATAAATAAAAACATTTCCAATATTGAAAATGTATATACATGATAAACAATTTCAACCTTCAAATTATGCACTTCTTCAACAGTTAATATTAATTAAATATTTATAGAGCTACAATTAAATTAGAGTCTAAAATTGACGATTAGTTTATAATGAAAACAAGAGTACTTCACAAAAAAACAGATGTATTTAATATAATTAAACAATTAAGGAATTATATGAAAAGTTGATGATTTTTGATGATGAAAATTTTCTAGATACTATTATTGTGAATGAACCTCATCTAGAAAATTTAAATAATTTTATTGAATTGTTAGATGAAATTAGTGATAAATATTTTCTATCTACTTCTCCCAAAGCAAATTTAGAAAAAGCAGAAGATCCTGTTTGGTTTCATTAAAATAGCTTTCATAGTTGTTCAGCCTGGATTATAAAGGAATTTGAGAAAAATATTAATTTTTATTACAATATTCAAAGAGATAAAAAGAAAAAATATAGATTATAAAAATAGATGGTAAATAAAAATAATTCAAAAGATTTATAAGAATATTTTGAAAGAAATCTAGCTAACAATAAAGAGAAAGTAAATATATTAAATAATTTTATTAGCTAAATTATTATTTTGAATAAATATATACAGATATTAAAGAACATCCAAATGAATTAGAAAATATTTTTTATGAAAATATATTTTCAGGCACAGCTATTAAATTAATAAAATCTTAAGTTGAACTTTCATTTAATTTTTAATAAAAATGTCACTCTGATCCTAATATTATTAATTCTATGCTAATTTTTTCTATGTCAGATTTATTAGATTAGAAGACATATTTCCTTAAGAAATTTTATTAAATTGTTATTCAATTATTTTAAGAACATTTGGAGAATGAATTATTTAGTAGTGAAATATCAATTAAAAAGAAAAAAGATAAAAAAAAATCAAAGAAAAAAAAATCTGAAAAAATTGAATATAAAAAAACTCTAGATCCTATAGAATTGAATCAACGTCTCTCTAGTAAGAATTTATAAGAATCAAATATACTTAGATTCTAAAGATCATATTCATAAAATAATTTTGCTTATTCTTATGTAACTCCACCAAATACACCTTCAGCTTGGGAAAATAGTGATGATCAAAAGTAAAAATTATTATTTATTTTTTAAGTGAAATTAATTCTCAAAGCTAATAATCTTAGAATCAAAAATAATAAAACAATGAAAATTAAAAAAGGGTTTTAGAAAGTATTATAGATTTAGGTTAAGAAAATATATCTTAAGCATTCGTAGAAAATTTATAAAATCCTACTAATGATGATTTTGTAGAATATACATAATCTCTAACATAAAATATTTTAAATACAGTATATTAATCTTTGATAGATGAAAATGTATACAAAGAAGAAGTAATAAGAGAGAAAAAAAAGATTAAGAAGAAATAAAAAACTGTTTGGAGATCTATACCAGAAAGTAGAGATGAATAAATGTAATTATAATCTCCTGAATCTGAAATTACAAGATTCTCTGTAGAAACTTAAGCTTAAACTATTAAAAGTCTTTGTTCAAATAGAACAGCTTCTACATCAGAAGAAGAAAAAAAATAAAGATTAAAAACAAGAAAATCTGCATGTTAATTTGAATAATAAGAAACTGAATCAATTTCATCTTCTAATTAAACATAAGATAACAATTTAAAAGAATAAATAGAAAATGTCTAATAAAAAGCATAATAGAAATTAATTGATTAGATCAATTTTGATATTTTAGAATTCACTGATAATATTATGAATGATTATGAAGAAATGTTACCATTTAGACTATTAACTTTTGATAGAATTAAACTAGTAATTTAGAAAGTGTTCTATGGAATACCTGATGATATGATATAGTAAGTATATAATCAATAATAAGATTATTTGGTTCTTGTGCAACTGGATTAGCATTAATTGATTCAGATATTGATATTGGAATAAGTGGATTTTAACCTATGAATAGAAATATCATTAAAGCTCTTTTTGATAATTTATTTTTTGAATTCTCAAAAAGAAAATGGGTTATAAAATCTAAGTATTTTTATATAATAAAAATTTAGTCCCATTTTTAATTCAGTGGTTCCAGTAATTAAACTTGAAATAGATCCTCAAGTTTCTTAGACAGAATTTGAAGGTAGAAATCTAAATGAAACAGATATTCATAAATGGAAAAAACTTAAATAAAAAATAAAAAGTTGCATAAAAGTGGATATCTCATTTAATTTTAGTGGAAGTACATATGATTCTCTACATTCTGGTTTTATTACTACAAATTTAGTTAAATAATGGATGAAAGAATATCCAGTTATATAATAATTAGTATTGATTTTAAAGAGTATAATAAAGAAATTAGGTTTATCAGAATCATATACTGGTATATTAAATATATTTATTATAAAGGTGGACTCTCTTCTTACTCTCTAATAATTATGGTATATTCTTATCTAAGAGAAAATAGAGTAGCATAAAATTAAATAGGAGAATAATTCATAGATTTTCTTAAGTATTTTGTTAATGAGTTCAATTCTTCAACAACTGGAATTGGTCTTTTGGCTGATATCAAAAATCCATAATCAAGGTATAATTATTAAATAAAAAATAGTTATTTCTTTAATTTATAAGATTATTGTTTACCTTAATTGCCAATAACGATTTTCAATCCTTTTAATAGAAAATTACTAACTAATTCTTGTGTTCATATTGGAAAAATATTTGATTTTTTTAAAGTGACTTTAGATTAACTTGAATAAAAAAGAGAATTTTATTGCAACTATGTAATTTTAGGTAAGAAAAAGCAATAAAAATTAAATAAAACTATGGGGAATTTTATTACCAACTTATTATAATCAATTAAATGAATTGAATATTGTGTATAGATTATATATTAGTTTTACTATGTTAGCATCTTTAACAATGAATTATTATATATAAAATATAATTGATATTGAATCAATTTTATACTGAATGATATATAAATTATATAACAATAAAGAGGGTCTTTAAAATTTAGAATAAGAAATAGTATTTTATGTAAAATTATTATTATAAAAAATGGGAAATTAAACTTTATGTACTGCAGAAAGGAGTATAGATTAGATTCATGCATTAAATAAAAATAAATAGAGAATAGTTAGTTAAGTTCAATAATTTGCAAGTTTAGATAATGAATCAACAGATAAATAATCATTAATTATAACACATTAAAATGAATAAATATAAACTAATACACTAAATGATTGGCTTGAAAGTTTACATGAATCTGTATTAATAAGTTAATTAGATTTTTAATGTAATGAGGTATCTACTAAATACCTTTCTGAAATTGATGATGTTGATGATATTGAGGATTGTAAGACTTAAATAATTGATTAATAAGATCTTAATGAATATAAAAAGAATTATCCATATTGTAATTCTATTTTAGATATGATAATCATTAATTTTTATGTATTGAAAAAAAATGAATTTAAGTAATCGTCATCATTTATTTATTAGAATAAAACTAATTGGAGGGCCTCCAAAATAAAGAATGAGATGGTCTTGTTGGTAATTGATGGCTTACATTCCCAAATGTTCAATTCAATCAGATCATTTATCTTATGTTGATGAAGATAAAAAATAAGTTTTTGCAATTAAAAAAGATACACATAGAACTGTTTCAACTAAAGATATTAAATACTTTGAAACTGGTTAAGGCAAATAAGATCTTGAAAAAGTATTAGTTAAACTATCTAAATTATTTCCTAAACTAGGTTATTGTTAAGGCATGAATTTTCTTGCAGGTTTTACTTTGATCATTAATAATAAAAATGTCATTTAAAGTCTTTAATTTTTGGCTCAAATAATGCTTAATCCTAAATTCTTAATTTATTATCTATTTTCAGAGGAAATGCCATTATTAAAATTACTTGAATTTATTTGCTAATAAGAAATTAAATTTAAGATCCCTGATCTCCATAATCATATTTATATTAAATTGGAAGTTTCTAATGCATTTTGGCTTACTAAAATAATAATGACTATGTTTTTATACAATTTTCATATAAATAATGTATGTAGATTCTGGGATTTCATTTTAGCAACAAATATATTTTAAATATCAGCTATCATTTGTTCATTTCTCGAAATTTATAGAAATTAAATATTTTAAATGGATGATTTAAATGCTTTTATTATATGGTTTGATAAAATTTAAGATCAAGAAATACCTTAAGATTTAATGTAAAATTTAATCTAAAGATCTTGCTAATATACTCTTAAGAAAGAAAAAATTAATTCTTATGCCAAATTATACTGTATAGGTAATGCAAACTATCATCCTCTGCATGGAGAAATCGCTAAAGATTACAATACAATGACAAAATTAAAAAAATATATAAATAAGGACATATTTGATATTTGATTTATATATTTGAAAAACTCTAATAAATATTTATAACAATTTAATATTTAAATATCTTAATGATTAAAAACAATCTCATATTAAAGTATTTTATTTAAGAATCTTAAATTCAATAATTTTATTAACATTATTGAAATCAATAAGACAAATTTACTGAAATTAGATAAAAATTTGATCTTCTTAAAAACATTTAAGAAATTATAAATGTATGAAATTATCAATTAAATATCATAGATTTAATTTCTATATTAAAATATAAAACCATTATAATAGATTAATTAGTTTTTAATAAAAGTTTAATTCTTTAGTTAAATTAACTTACTATTACTCACAAATATTAAGAAATAGAAACTAAATGAACATATCCATTATTTATATTGATTTGTTATAAAAATACAAATGAATATATATATATAACTTAAAAAGATTATTTATTTATTATTTTATAATTTACTAAATGGAAATTAGTTAAGACACTTTGAACTTTTTATTTAAGGAATTATGTGCTATGGCTTTCTTATAACAAAAATCATAAAATGAATTAAATGAACTTTATCAGTATTATACAATGCAAGAAGCAAGGTTAATGAATCAATTTTATCATTATTAAACGATCAATGAATAAGAATTGAAGTATGATTGAAATATTATACTTTAGATTGGTGAATAGATTTATAGCAAGAATATCAGAAGCTTTCTAATTGATGGTGGCTAAAAGATAAATTATAAGATGTAAAGAATCTAAATTTTAACCATCAATATATAATTGTTTAACTTAAACTTTTGAAGGCAAGAATAGTCTTATTTGTCAATTAATTTAAACTATATATGGTGAATGTAGGCTTTAGATAGAAATATTAACAAATAAAAACCAAAAGATTGAAGTTAAAAGAGTAATTCTTTTTCAATATTAAGATACACAGTCAAGATAACAACAATGATGAAGATAAATTATAGAATCAATTTTATTCAGTTTAAGTTACAAATAAGAAGAATATTTAAAATGATTGGCAAGTTAATATGAAAAATAATAAGAAATTGAATAATTACTATTTAAAAGTATTTCCTAAATTATATGATGTGATTAGCAATGTTGATAAGTATATAATAATATTTTATATTTAGGAGTCAAGATGAATAAATCTTATATTTCTAAAATAGAGATTAAAATATGGATAGAATATTTAATTAGTTACTTTAATAAAATCAGCATATCAAATAATCATTAAATTGGTCACTTAATTTGGATCAAGAAATATATAATAATAAGATTGAATAAAAATTGTAAAAGATAAAATTATAATAATTAATCCCAAGTAATTAATTATCTACTTAATCATCTCCTACAAAACCATCATAACCATCTAATAAATCAATTAAATAGAATGCTCCTACAAGTCCATTCAAAAACAATAGCATTAATAATAATAATCTAGGTAAAATGCCTTCAATTAATGTAAAATTTAGAAGCATTTCACAAAACGTTCCCATGAGTGAAACTAATTTTAAAAGTTAAAATATGTTCCTTAATCCTTAATAATAATAAGCATAGTAAATTTAATAATCCTAACAATATTATTCATCAGAAACAGAAAAATCAGCATTATTTTCTAAAATAATAGAAAATTATAAATAAAATTAATTTCAATTAAATAAAATTAAAATAGAATTTAAACCTAAAAGATAGCATTGCTCTGTTTTGAAAAGTAAATTAATGATTGATCTCATACCTCTACATAATTCAAAATTAAAACCTAAAGCCACTCGATATTTTTTATAATAAGTTCCATCAATAATCAATTGATCTTATTCTTTTATATATTTATAATTGGAATCATAATTTATTTTTATAAGTTAAAAATTACAAAAAGAATGTCTTAATAATTAATAAATAATTAAAAATGATTTTTAAAGATTTTTGAGAGAATAATATATCATATTTGATACTTAATTAACTGTTATTCAGATATTATCAAATAGAAATTGATCATTAATCTCAATAATGGTCAAAGTAACTAAATTATACGTTTGTTCTTACTTGAGTTTTTATTCATTTATAAATTTTTTTTATATCAAAAATAAAAATATGGATAAAATGGGTTGTACTTGTAACGGAACTCTTGCGAATAATACAGATTTTGACACAGATTTAGATACTATGATGGGTAATAATGTTCCTAAAGTAAGAATTTTTTTAATAATTTATAGTATTTAATTCAAAATAATAGTTAAGAAGAATCTTAGTTAGAAATATTTCATACATAGGATTAAAATAAAAATGCTCAAAGTGAAAATGAGAAAGAAATAATACAAGATTAGATTTATAAGGAAAATGAAACAAATTAATAAATAGTGGAAAATATTATTCAGTTAGACCAGAAAATTTAGAGTATTATATTATATTATTATAGATTATGATCAATTAATGATAGAAAAAAGTTTAAAGAGTCATTTTGAACTTTTTAATTTGACTCAATAAGCTATCAGTTTTCTTATAAAAAACTTAGTTTACTGTACATAGTAAAGTGATTAGTTTATAATGGAATAAGGGGATCAAGTATATAAGCAATATATATTATAGACTACTTATTTCATAATTATACATAAAGGATAAGCAGAAATTATAATTAATGACAAAAAAGTAAAAGTGATGTCAGAAGGAGATTATTTTGGAGAAAGAACATTATCTTTAAATGTAATTAGAAGTGCTTCAATCAGAACAATCAGTAATTATATCTATTATATATTCAGCTGACTGTAATTTTTGGAGGCTTGACAGATAAATTTTTTAATAAGCTATAGAACTTATAATGAAAATAGAGTATGAAGAGAACATATAGTTTATAAATCAAATTTCCTTCTTTACTTTTATGTAACCTTAATAGAAATATATTATTATTCAATAACTAATTACAACTAAATATGAACCAGGATAAATGATTGTGAATGAAGGAGAATAAGCAGATTCATTTTATTTAATTAAATCAGGCACAGTTGGAGTTTTTAAAGAGAATAAATAAATTAATACTATGGGTCCAGGATATAGTTTTGGTGTATAAGCTTTATATGAAAAAATTACAAGAGGAGCATCTGTAAGAGCTGAAACAGAAGTCAAATGTTTGACAATAGGAAGAGATAAATTAACTAAAATATTAGGATCTAATATTTAATTGATTATATTTAACAATATTATAAGATGGAGTATTGAAAAAAGCAGTATTTTAAGTTAATTAACAAAAATACATAGAGAAAAGATTTCTGTAAATACCCATATAGAAAATTATAAAAAAGGATAAGTTATATTTAAAAAAGATACTATATGTGATTAATTAATAATAGTTCTTGAAGGAACTTTATAGTGTGGTGATGAGAAAGTAGAAAAAGGTGATTGTTTTGGTGATTAATTTTTGTTATAAAACAAGTAGAATGATTTGTTTTTAATTGATTATTAGATGATAACAGATGGTGTTTTAGCAAGCATTTCATTTACTTAAATATATAAAATTATAGGAGGAGATTTTGTAACATCATTATAAATGAAATCTCAATCACATGAGGAAAAATAAAAAATTCCTATTATTAGAGAAGATGCTTCTCATATTCATTTTGAAGATCTTATCTATATTGATAAAATAGGTTATGGTCAATTTGCTATGATATATTTAGTTAGTCACAAAGATTAAAATAAATTATATGTTCTGAAATGTATACCTAGATCTAAAATTTATGAGGGTAAATTACAAAAACACCTTTTAAATGAAAAAATGATTTTAGAAATATGTAATTTCCCTTATATAAATTAATTGGTTAAAACATATAAAGATTTAAAGGCTGTTTACTTTCTTTTAGAATATATTAAAGGATTTGATCTATTTTATGTAATAAGATAAATTGGCTTATTAAATAAGGAACAAACTCAATATTATATTGGAAGTATTATCTTATGCTTAGAATATCTTCACTCAAATGGAATCGCCTATAGAGATTTAAAACCTGAAAATGTGATGGTTAATACTGATGGGATAGTGCATTTGGTAGATCTAGGGAATGCAAAGTTAATTAAAAATTCTTATGAATAAAAAACTTTTACAATTCTAGGCACTCCACACTACATGGCTCCTGAAATCTTTGCTGGAGGAGGCCATTCTTATAATGCTGATTTTTGGAGTTTAGGCGTATGTTGTTATGAATTTCTATGTGGATTATTACCATATGGTGAAAATTTTGATGTAATCATGATACTATATAATAGAACCCTTATGAAATATATGAAGATATCATTAATAGTGAATTAAAGTTTCCTAAACGTTTTTCAGATGAATCTGCTAGAAGATACATTGAATAATTACTGTCTAAATAACCTGCTCTTAGATTAGGTACTTCATATGCTAATTTAAAATCTCATCCTTGGTTTGATGATTTTAATTGGGATAAACTATACAATCATGAATTACAACCTCCTGTAAATATATTTATTTATATCTTAAGTATATTCCTCCTAAAAATAAATTGATTAATGAAACTAAAATTGAGACAAAAGTATAAGAAGGTAAACCAATCTACAAAGTAATTGAAGAATCAGAATAATATAAAAATATTGAATAATAGATATAATAAGAAACGAATATCAATTGGGATTAAGAATTTTGATACATACATATGTTATAATTATATTAAATATTTTATTGTAAATGTACACTATATTATATTGACTCATTTCTTGGTTTCTTTTGCTTACTTTCTTTTCTCTTTAACTCCCACAAATTTAGCATTGTACCATTCTTATCTTAATCTTCTGTAAACATTTTTAGCTCTTAATTCTTTTGAAATCACAGTTGCCTTTTCTCTCTTTGGTGTTCTTTAGAAAGTGATGACCTATAAATTATTAAACTCTATTTTACTTCTGGATTAGTATTCTATGTAAATGGTTGTTCAACAACATTATTAGCTGAGTCTTTTATAACTCCATTCTTTGGTTTACCAGCAACTCTTGGGAATAAGACTAATTTTGATAAATATGCCTTAATTCTTTTAACATTAGCTGCTAATTCTTCTTAACTGTTGTTTCTTCTTCTATGATCTACAGCAATTCCAACTGTTCTAGCAAATTATGCATTAAGTCCTGCTTCTTTCAATTCAATAAGTGAAAATCCTCTTCCTTATTTCTAAACTCCATTATATTTAATTGTTTAGCCTCTTACAACTGGTCTAAGTAATTCCACTGGTCTTGGAGATGCTCCTATTTTAATTATTTAATTATTTATATACTTAATGCATTTGATTATCTTCTTTATTGTCTTCTTCTCTTTGCAGCTGGTTGATTATAGAAGGTCTTAACAAATCTTGTCCAATGCTTTCTTAAATGGGCATTTGGGAGTTGTTAATTATGCTTCATTTTTAGAAATTTAAAAAATAAATATATGGATATTTAAAAAATATATGAAATGTCTCAAATGAGAATTATTCAATATAAAAATCATTTCTTTCAAAGTTAAGTAATCATCTTCAAGGATTGTCTAAACATATAATTAACTAATTTACTTGATAGATGGCTTTCTATTCTATTTTCTTTCACTGGTAATTGGAGTCTCTTTATTGTCTTATCCCTTTCCTTATATTATTTCTACTGTTTTCAATTGAGAAATAGAGTTCTCAAAGTGTAATTCTGTTTTCTTAGTCTTATTCTCATCAAATATCTCAACAAGTTTTGGTTATATCATAATATATGCTTTTTAAGTTTGGACTAACTTATTCTCAGAAGGTGATTTCTTCATAACAATGGAGTCTTAAGACTTGTCCCTAAAAGAGAGAATATAAATATGTAATTATACAATGTATTGAGAATGAATGATCTCGTTTAGTGATGAGCACGACTAGATGAAATTGTTTTTGATGTTTTCATTAAATGATAGCTGAAATTAATAAAAATAAATTAATTTACAAAAAATTGAGATGAAAAAACCACTTAAAGAACTTTTAAAACTCTCACTCACTAATTCTTAATCAATTTAATTTATAAAATATTCTTTCATACTAAAAGGAAATTTTACTCAATATTTTTACTAATAACATTTAATACGAAACCCCTTTCATCATTTAAAAATACTTATTACAATATAACTTTTAATTATTACTATATAAATATATAAGATGAAAAATATTCAATATAAAAAATCATTCCAAATTTTATTTATTCTTTTAAAAATATAAATAGAAATCTAGATGATATAATAATAATCTTAATATTTCAATTTTTGGAAGTCAAACTATATATAAATTATGACAAAATGTCAGAGTTAAAATTCCATTAAAATTAAAAAACACTATGTATATTAATAATTGATTTTGGATGTATATATGTTAAAATATTCAGTCTTTAGCTGCTCTGTAAATTTTATTGCAAGCATCTTCTAATAATCCTAAAAGAGATTCTTAAGATTCTTCCCTTAATTTTTTTTCTTCTTCTATTTCACTCTTTACTCTAGAAACCAAATCTTTAAGCATTTCAAATATAGCTGCTTCTGATTCCTCTCTTTTATAATTTATTTTATTAATACCTTAATTTCTTTTAATTTCCTAAACCTTCATTTAATCGTTTAATTTCATCTCCTGCTCTTCTCAATGTACCATTATCATTATCTTCTCTATCTTATCCTTCTTATTTAACCATATCGTATAATTTTGGTAAATCATTTTCCAATGAGGTTGTTATATTTTCAACTTACTCTTATCTAATCTTTCCTTCAGTTTATATATCAGATTTCAAATATACAACCTAATATTTAACTAAAAATTTACTTTTTCATCTAAGTAGCCTTACAATTTAAGATTACCATCTTTTCTTAAAGCAATCTCTTATTCAAGTTTAGTTGTAATTCTACTTTCAAAGGCAGCAACCTCTCTTACTCTTTGTTCAAATTAAGTTTCGAAAGCATTATTTTCTTCCTCTATCTGTTTTTAAAGACGAACTATTTCATCTTTTAATGTGTGCTATAATTATATAGTATCAAATTCATACAAGTTTTCTATTGTAAGAAGTTATTGTGTCTTAAATTCTTTCCTCTACACCATTAATTCTTCCACAAATGGTATCTATTCTATGTGCTTTAGAAGAGTCATGTTATAATTGTATTGAATTTAGTTTATCAGAGATTTTAGCAAATCTTTCGTTGAAAGGTGTATTTGGATTCATTTTTATTAACAAATTTTATTTAAGTATATTTATATTTTAAAGAAAAATGGATATAAATAAAAATAAAACAATAGGAAAAATTTATTTATTATCTTAAATTTTGAATCAAAGCATTAAAATTAGAAATTACATAAAATATAATTTTCTTAACTCTATAATAATTATATTTTATTTTTTATTTTACTATTAACTAAAAATTATTAGTATTTAAATTACCCTATCAATATATATATATATTAAAAATATAGGCTATAAATAAGTTCTATTTTATAATGAATTTTTATAAATATAAGTAATTACTTTTTTACAATAATTTTTCTACCTTACTTGATTACTACATCATAATTATATAGATATGTTAATTGAAATCATTATTTAATTTAATAAACAAATTAATTTAATAGGAATAGCTATTATAATTATTCTTATTCTATTCAAATTGAAATAGGTTAAGAATGAAAGAATAATTATTTAAATATGTTTATAATTAATGCCATTATTTTATACTAATCAAAAAAAGCCAAAGGATTTTTTGAGCATTTAGTAAAATTTATAATTGCAAAGATCGAATTAACAAAACCTAGCATATATACAAACTTAGTTGAACTTTGGGAATTAAATTTAATATTAGATTGAATTAAAGAAAAATTTAAAAAAAAAATCAAAATATATTTTTTATATTACTTATATCAAAATGACACTGTGATTAATGATATTCTGTCTCAAATTTCAAATTAATTTTCAACAATTATTTATTAATTATTATATATCAAAATGAACAAAGTTAGTGAAAGTGAAGAGATCTTAGATCCATCAAATTATAGTAAAAGTTTCAAGTAAATTATTTAAACATAATAATTAGAAGGAAAAGCAATAGGCCATAACATTATTAAAAGGTGGATGCTAACTTAAGATAATAAATTATAGACCAAGCATGTAATAAAGGATAACCCTTAAGATAGGTTTAAACTATAATAAAATGATTTAGATTGCATAAAACTTAGGAATTAAGTATTCTACAGCTAAAGCAATAGTCCAAGTATACCAAAGTGAAGGTAGAATAGGAAAAAAAAGGACAAGAGATAAACGAATTTATTAAGAAATAGAAACTTACATCTTGATTGTTAACAAATAAACAGGAAAAATAGAAAAATTGAAGCATAAATCTGAATGCAATGACCTGAATACAAACATTTTGAATGCAAAGTTAAAGTAAATAGTTTTTAAAATATAAAAGCCTTGAAGAAGCTCACTACTCTCAAATAGCTCAATATTTTGAAAATTGTAATCTTAGTTTACCTTTAGAACATCTAGAACAATAAAATGAAAGCATTATTAATTTAATGAAAATCTTGAATGAACAATACAAACAATTCCAGGAATCTGATGAGAAAAATTAATGAAATAAATTGAAAATAAATTATAATTGATTATTTCATAATATTTATGAGTACATGACTGTGTGCATTTTCAAACTTTCAGTAAATATCTTACAATGATTTTTTCCTTTAATAATAATTTAATCAATATATTTAATTTTTTATATTTAAGAATTTTATATTATTCTTACTATTAAATTAATTTATTAATTATGTCTGCAACATGTCTGTCTTACTCATTCAAAAATAGATAAAAATAATTAATTTAATGCTATATATAAATAGATTTCAATTCTTTTTCTTTTATAATTTAATTTTATTATTTTATAATGAAAGTTTTTTGCCTCTAAATAATAGATAAAAAAAATACATATCAACTCCATTATTTTTAAGTAATCCATATTTTTTGGAGAGAGGATCATCTAAATAATTCTCTTCAAAAATTGAATCTTTCCAACCCACTGTTTCAGAGCAGTAATGTGATTATTAAATATTTGATATTTAAGGTTTTTATAGACTTTCATTAAGTATTTTGTTAAACTTTTATTCATCTGTTTATAATTTATCTATATTCCCATTTTCTAATTAAATACTATCAATGCTTTTTTTTGCATCTTCAAATTAGTCCAAATTAGCAACTTAAGATTTTTCATATTTTGGTCTTCTAGAATTATAAGTGCTTAGCATAGCACTACCTTAATTTGATGCAACACTAGGTTATTGAGAATCTTATCTTCTCAAAAGAGGAGGTTATAATTAATTATTTTAAGGAGGCGTTAAGAAATTATTATTACTTGATTATCTCATGAGATTTGTATTACCTTTTTCAAGAGATTTCTTCATTTCTTACTAATTTGGAGGTAATAAAGCTTAATTAAGAGTTGTAGATCTTTTCATTTCTTAAGATTTTACCATTTCATTTGCAGAGATCTTTCTTTGAGAAGGTATTTCCCAATCATAAGTATAATCTAATATAATTCCTAAGCCATCTGCTGACTTTTGGAATAAATTGTATATGTAATTATAATCAGGTTCACTTCTATACTGTAAAGTCTTTAAATATCTTAAATAAATTGATTAGATACTCAAGGATAATTGGGAATTCTATGGGTACATCTTTGCATAATTCTCTAGGGTCGATTGTCATTTTCATATCTCCAACTTTAGTTGTTCTCTCTTCGTCAGTAACATTCTGCATATTTTGCCAAGGTAGCTGCCTAGACTTTATATATTTATAAGATTTCTACCCCTTAATAAAGTACAATAGAACATACATAAGAGATTCCAAGTCATCCTTTCTACTTAATTCGTAACCTTTATGAGCAGCTATGGATGCATATCTAGTGGTTCCTATAAAGGAGGTTCCATCTCGAAAGGGTCTAAATTTTAGCATAATAATACATGATTCTTCCGATCTTATCTAAATATATTTTACTGATTCCAAAATCTACAACATAAATTTTAGAAGATTCATTATCTAAGCCAAATAAAATGTTTTCAGGCTTTAGATCTCTATGTACAACACCTTTTTAATGAATTCTTTCCAAAACTTTAACAATTTATATTCCTAATTAAATCGCTGTCTTTACAGAAAACCTTCTTTTCTATTTCATATAATAGGCAAGATCTTTTCCAAGTAGCTATATTATGATGATATTGTAGTCATCCTATTCGCCATGCCAATAGAGATTTGGGACTCCTTCTGTATTTGCTAATCTTTATAAAACCTAGACTTCCCTTTCTAAAGAGTTAATTTCTTGATTTTCTTCTTTTTCTATTTTAATGGCTACATCAATGTTGTTTTCTTTGTCACGTCCCAATAAAACTACACCGAAACTACCAGAAGATAATTTCTTTTAAGCAACATACCTGCCATTTAATATTGATAAAGAATGCATATAATAAATTTTTATTAAATCAGTTCCAATTCACATTATTTCAATATTTTATAAATGTTGTCTAGGAAGTCTTTAAGTATAATGATAGATAATAATATTAATTACTGTTTTTGTTACTTTTTAGTAAATTTTCCTAATTGCTTATCTGATTAAATAATCTTATAAACTTTAGTCTTAGCTTTTGAAATGTAAATAATTTAAAATAGTCATTTAGGAATTATAGCACTGAAGGAACCAAAACAGTAGAATAAATTAAATAAATATTATTGCAAAAACTTTGATTAAGAGAATTGTAATTTTATTTAAAATTTCTAATGGAGGAATGTTATAAATTAATTGAACGTCAGATGTATGCAGAAGCCTTGAGAAATCTAACTTAGATATTAAAAAAAGAGATCAAGAATCCTTAATTGGAGACAATTTTTTTGATTTAGCATATTCTTAGTTAAAGTTAAAGATATAAGAATTTGCAAATAAAAATCTTAGAAATTATAAAATAAGATGAGAATGAAGAAGATATAGATGATGATAAATATTTCAATCTAGTTTTGGATTTAATAAACTTATATATAGATTAAAATAACATTCAACAAGCAAAAAGTTGGTCTAGACAATTAAAGAAATATGCACAAGGAATCAAATATAATGAACCATTATTGTATTTAATTGAGAATTTAGATAATATGCTAGCTTACAAATAAAAAAGTGTTGATTTGAAAGAATAAGTAAATGAATTTGTTTATCAAAGTTTGAAACTTATGAAAGATTATCTGAATTAGAGAAAAAGACTAAATATTTTGAATAGGATGGTATGCCTGCATATCTGATACCAACAAGATGGTTTAATAAGTGGAAAAGTTATGTGACTGATACATCTATTGAATTACCAAATGAGAACTTTAATATGGAAAAGGAAATAGAAGTCTTAGAGAATCTATTTAATGTTTCTAGTGATCTTGATATTGAAGAATAAATAACTGCTCCAGGTCCTATAAATGGATTTTAATTGATTTAAATTCAATCAGCTCTAGATTTGGATCCCTTTGGTCCAAAATCATATACAAATTACATATTAAAAGATAATATAAGAGAAGGGTCAGATTTTATACTAGTTGGACATAAAATATTTGAATATTTTAAGAATATTTATGGTGGATTCGAAATCAAAAGATTAATAGTAGAACATAGTTAAACTCATTAAAAATATGTTGATGTAATTAATATAATAAGATTTAAATAGTTAGTACCAAGAATAATCTAATTTATAATTTTACCAATTGAAGAGAAATTTAGATGGAGAATAATTACTGCAAATAGTAGTGATTTAGTTTTAGATTTATGTAAGAAAATGAATAGAATATTAAAATTGAATAATGAAATTAGATGGTGGAAGTTTAATGATTTTTAGAGTCAAGAGGATTTTATACAGAAATTTAAAAGAAGAGAATTATATAAATAAGTATCTGCTAAAGTTTTAGACAAAACAATAATGATTGAAGAAATTAATTTTACAAGTTCAGATTTATTTATATGTGAAATAAGATATGGTAGAGATTGGTAAATAAGTGAAATTGATAAAAAGAAATAATCCACTTTTAAAAAAAAAATGAATATATCTGATGTTCCTAAGATAATGAATGATTCTCGTAAAGGTGTAACAGGTTTATAAAATCTAGGTAATACTTGTTTTATGAATGCTGCTTTATAATGTTTAAGTAATACTTATGAATTAACTGAATATATGGTTAGTAATGAATTCTATTAACATTTAAATTGTGAAAATCCATTAGGAACAAAAGGAGTTTTGGCAACTGCTTATGCTGAATTAATGAAAATAATGTGGTATGGTAATAATTCAGCTGTTAGTGCTTATGATTTAAAAAGAGTGATTGGTAAATTTGCTCCATAATTTTATGGTTATGGATAATAGGATTCACATGAATTTCTATCTTATTTATTAGATGGTTTACATGAAGATCTTAATAAAGTTCTTAATAAACCATTTGTTAATGAAATAGAAATTACAAATGAAACTGATTTTGAAGCTTCTAGAATATTTTGGAATAATTATATTCTTAGAAATTAAAGTAAGATTCAATAATTAATGGTGGGTTAATATAAATCTACTCTTATTTGTCCAAATTGTCATAGAGTTTCTAAAACATTTGATCCTTATATGAGTCTTTCACTTCCCATTCCTTCATATACATTAATATAATTATCCTTGTATTTTATATATTAAAATGGGAAGATACCTTTAAAAATATAACTTAATCTTACTAGTGATTAAGATGCCAATTTTATTGGATAGGAATTATCATAAGCATTAAATATAGAATAAGATTAAATGAATTTTATTTTATTAAAAGATCATTTGATAAGGGAAAGAATTAAAAAAAAATAGAATGTTAAATGGATCTAAGAACATGAAGGTTAATTATTTGTATTTTAAATTGAAAAAGAATTTCATTAATTATCAGATGATCAAATTCATGTTGATTTCTATTATTGTAATAAAACAGATCGATCAAATTATAATGAATAGATCTTAACTTTCCCTAGATAATTTGTATTAGAAAAGAAAAATAAAATTATTGATATTTACTTTAAAATTTATCAACAATTCAAACACCATCTCATTTTGATTATTTAAGAACTTGCTGATTAATTATTAAATGAAGGTGTAAATCTTGAAGAATATTGTTAGGGTGTCCCTGAAACATTAGAAGAATTCATTGAAGAAATCAAATTATTCAAAGTTGAACTCTACAAATTATTATATAGAGGTAAACCATTAGATTACCTTAATCAGGATCCTATTGAAAATTTTAATACTAAAATTCTTTCAATTAATGTTGTATTAAATCCTATTTTTGGAAGATCAGAAATATATAATATGAAATTCTAAAGATGCAAAGATTTTAATATTGAATAAAATAGATAATTAAGAAAAGGAGAATATACATTAGAAGATTGTTTAAGATCTTTTGCTAAAGAAGAAACTTTAGGTAAAGGTAATGAATGGTATTGTAACAAATGTAAACAACATGTATAAGCTACTAAATAGATGGAAATCTATAGAGCTCCATAATTATTGATTATTCATTTAAAAAGATTTAGGTCTGGAAATAATAGAATAAGTAATTATGGAGGTTTCTTTTATTCTGGTGCATCTCAAAAAATAACAACAATGGTTCATTTTCCAAAAAATTTAAATTTGAATCCCTTTGTTCTTTCTAAAGTGAATGATAATGATTCTATAGATTATCATTATGAATTATATGGAGTAGACAATCATTTTGGTGGTTTAGGAGGTGGACATTATACTGCCTGTGCATATAATTCATTAATAAACAAATGGGTAGATTATAATGATTCAAGTGCAAGAATCACATCAACAGATGTTGAAAGTGAGGCTGCTTATGTATTATTTTATAGAAGAATAGACTCTCAAAAATGTAGTTTAGGAAGATGATTAATTATATGGGTTATGTATAATATATGATTCAATCTTATTTTTCTTTATATCTTATGATTTTCCTTAAAACCCAAGTTAATATGAACACAATAACAAATGCTATAATACTAACCAAGTTTAAGTAGAATTCTGAAAATACATAATACCAATTTCCTATGTATGGAACAAATGGATCATGATCTGGTCTACAAAGCATAAAATTTAAATTAGCCCAAGTCATCAATGAAATTGGTAACATATAAATCTAAACTTAAATATATTCCTTACTCTTTAATAAAGAACATGAGATTCCCATCCAAACATCTAATGTATAAAGAATGTCTTCCATTCAAAAAAGAAAAATCTTCCACTTAATGTCAATACCAAAGGACCTGCAAAAGCTCCAAGAAGATGCTCTATCCAAAAGAATTCTACTTCTAGAGGCAATTCTAAGCCTGTTATAACTGGGAATTTTAATGCCTTTAATTAACAGAACAATTCAATACTGCAAATACACCATATAACCATCTTAATTGACAAATAAAAAGGATAGCACTAAATTTATGTTTTTTTGTCAATAAGACATATCCTTACATCAATAACACTATATGACATGGGTTATTCATAAACACACCTATGTAATTGTCTTATTCTCACATTTACCCCTTCCTGTATACAATTTATATCCAGTTTGAACAGCAAAAGTACCCCAACATGCTAATCCAACTAAATATTCAAAAATATTAGGTTTCTTTCCCATTGCTCTTGTCAATTCCTATGAATATTTTATTTTAGCCCAGCATTTTTCTTCATCTGATCAAATTAATACTCATCACAAGAATGCAAATTATGGCAGAAATTGTAGAGATGGAAATACGAAATGTATTTGTCATATCCTAATAACATTTTGGTCCACCATCTGAAAAGTGTTCATAAGTTTCTGTGTAGATATTTCCATACAGTCCCCAACGTACAATATCCATTAATTAAAATTCTATGACTGATTAAACAAGTGTTAATTAATAATAGTTAATCACAGATAAAGATATAGTATTAGAGTCAATAAAGTAATTAAAAAATTGGACTCCTTCATGGTGTTCATATATCAAAAATATTATTAGGAAACAAGTTTAAATTAATAAATCATTAGACTATAATATTATTTATGTAAAATTTAGAAATTTAGACAGAATACATTCAATATAAAGGATTCATATATGTTATATTACAACTATAAAAAGTTGAAAATTGAAGGAATTTTAGAAATTTTATTGTTTTGTAATTTAATAAGAAAATTTGTTACAATCTTCAAGTTCAAAAGATTAAAACTAATAAGTTTGATAATACATGAAGAATAAATAATAATAGATAAAATAAAATCATCATAAATTTCAAGATCAAAAAAAATATTATTTTTAATTTAAGAACTAAAATATGTCATATAAAACATGTTGATTTATTTAAAGCAGTATGAAACAAATTAAATGGATAATAAGTTATAGAACTTAAATAACTATTGTAGCATATTTAATTTAAAAAATACTATTTTTTAATGGATTTTATTTCTTTATAATTTTGGTTTTTTTCCTGACTGAAAATCTGATATTATTTTTAGATAACGTGAGTTTAAGTTATTTATGAATATCATGAGAAATCATAGATTTTAAACCAAGAACAGTTTATTTACAAAAGCTGATTGAGGTTTTATATAAATCAAGGAATTCCTGTTAACCAGAATTGAATCTGACATAAATTTTAGTATTTATTTCTCAATAGAAGAATGAAATACATTAGGATTACATAAATGATTAATTATCAATACAAAATGATAATAATTCTACCATATCTCTTTTATTATTCGATTTAAAAAGATGATATAATCATTATATCACATAAAAGTACGCATATAAAATTGAATCCGTTATCCATTTAATTATCATAAACTCAAAAATGATTTCTTAAAACCCCCTACATGAAAGGTAGATATGTTGATTTTTGAAAATATCTAAAATAAATGGATCCTATTTTAGATAAATAATCTAAATTAAGGTTAAAAAAAATATCACATAGGAGTAGGAAATACTTAGATGGATTTAAATTTTCTATGTTTTTTGGATTAATTAATCCTACATTCTAATTTGAATTATCTGCTAAGGCAACAATAATTGACTTAACTGCTACTCAATGTAATTTAGTATATTAATTATTGGATAAATTGATCAGAAAAGTAAACATAGTTTTGGAGGATTCTTTCCACAGGATTAGATATCTCATCGATCTTTCTATAGAATAGTTTAGTTAGTAAATATATTGTATTAAATAATTAAATCATTGAGAAAAGGAGCAAAAAACCCACTTGCTTTTGGTTAGGTAGTTTCTTAAATCTTCAAAAATTTTTACTGCTTTAAAAATTAAAGGTTATTAATATCCAATGGAAAAACCTTTAGAGAAAGATATTTGGTCTTGGAATGAGCTTGTGCACTCTAAAAAGTTTGAGTAAGAGTATATGAATAAATCAGAGATATTTATTCAGAAGGTGTTTATTTGTAATGGATTATTTCCTAAAGGATGTAGATGAGTAGAAATGATATTTATAAATTAGATCCTAAGAAGATATTTGCTCTTTCAGTTACCCAATTTGATGTCACTACTGGAAGTTAACTAATGCTAAATAGAATTTTTAGATTAAAAGTTATTCTGTTTATAAGGTATCATTTTATGTTTTTCATTTTAGTATAAAAAGAGAAATATGTAATTTATAGAATTGAGAATATTTATGAAAGTGAAGTTACATGTGATCATTTGATATAAATTATAGAAATGTATAACTCTAATGTTCAAATTCATGAAATTTTGATATATATTATATATATTTTCATTATATTAAAAACAATTGATATATAATAATTTTTTATATAATACATTCTATGAATCCATTGGCCACATTGAAATTTGTTAATATTGAAAACAATGATTTGTAAAGTCATTTTCCAATTGATCCAAATGCTGATATTATTTTAGTTTTGAATGGCAAAGAAACTTTTTAATTGTAGATCAGGTTACTTAAAAAAAGAAGCCAATATTTCGAAACATAATTGCATAATAGTGACTCAAAATTTAAAGTTATACCTGGAAAACATGATGCAGTAGTTTTTTAAAAAATACTCAATTGTTTTTATGGTTACCAGTATCACATTTATAAAGATGAAGAATTTTACTCTGCTTATAAAATCTCTCACTTTCTATAAATTAATAATTTTATCACTACTCTTTAGGATTCATTATATGAAAATTTCTAAAGAATAGATATTCATATTGTATTAACACTTGCTGAATTATATGAGATTGAATCACTTAGAGAAAAATATATTGATTACTTAGATGAAAATCCATAATTATGGAAAATTATATTGCCTATTCAAAAATTAGAATTTTATAGATAAAATTATTACTCTATTTGTTGCACTAAATAAAATGATGATATCCCTATTAATGTTTTACATTTAAAAGAAGACATATTAATTAAACTTCTATCATTCCATAATGAATAAAAAAATAAGAAATCATTTCCTGAAAAGTTTTTAACTCCAGATGATATTCTGAAAATTATACAGTATTATGTAAATATTAGATTTCAAACTTAAGAAGAAAGATAAGAAAATACAATAAAAATTGTCAACTCTATATATAAAGTAGAAGACATCTATTCAGACAATGATGCTAGAAGATTGTAAACATTCATGTCCAAATCATATTCTAATAGTGTTAATTCATGTAATTATTTTTATTATAAAGCTTCTTGTTCTGATAGGTCTTCCAAACTTATTATTGAATAACAGAGAGATATTGAAGAACTTAAAATGAAATTATAAGTACTAATTCTCTATTCTATACTTTAAGTGTACAATTAAAGAGAATAATGAACTATAATTAAAATCTAAGATGCTTGAAGAAAGAATTGAAAACCTTCAATAATTAATTGAAAATCAAAAGAAAACGTCAATCAATACTAGCAATTTGAATAATTCGAATACTTAAGATATAGAGTCCTCCTAATTTGTATACCATTAAGTTGCTGAATCAATACCATTAGATAATTCATCAATTGATTAAAGTGACAACTCATTTTTTAAAAGTCAATTACATTTTAATAGCACACCATAAACTGTTTTTACTCTTTCAGAACTCTCTTATCTTGGTGAAATTTTGAATGCCAAAATTTATTAATAAATTAAATTTAAATTATTGTATCGAGGGTATATCTTAATGTTTTTATTAGAACTGAAAATAATTTTTATCTTGTATCTGAAGAATAATTAACTTCAATTAAAAAAGCCACATCCATTTTAATTCTCATTAGATCAGTAGATAATGATTCAGTTTTTGGAATATTTAATTAAAATAGTCGAATATAAATTATTAATTTTTAGAGTAAGAAAAGAGTAGATTATAAAAAAGAGTTAAAATTAGCTATAAATTCTAATTATTTATTAAAATTAGGTAATGATATTGAGATATTTGTTGATTGTTGTAATAAAAAAAACAATATCTGCAATAATATAAATGGATTAGGTTGTTTAGCTGGTAAAACTGAATTTCAAGTAGATGAGCTTGAAATTTATGAGTGCTCTATCCATAATGAAATTGTGTGATAGACTTTATTTATTTATATTTGAAATTATTAAATATCTCTTAATTCTTATTAATATGTTGTTATTGAAACTTACTAAAAATTATATATTTTTTAAATAATAATAATGATTATAGAAATAATTTAATTCTCAAATCAATTAAATATTCCAATTCTCAATAAAATTAACTTTTTCTTAATCTACCTTATAATCTATGTCACCAAAGTCCTAAAAATACTAAATCTTAAACTACATTTTTATTTTCCCAAATTTGAAATTAATCATTTATGTTATTAATATTTTTTCTAATGCTTAATCTTGGAGGCTTATATTACTTAGCTTATAATCTAATCCAATCTATTTCAGCAAAAAATAAATGTTTCTTAATTTTATGTAAATCAATTTAGGTCATTCTTTTTTATGGAGACTTTATAAGCAATAATTTTAAAAGATCTGTTGCAATAGCACTAACGTCTTTGGGAATTTATAATTATTCTATAATTTAAAAATTATTTTATTTACAATATTTGATATTTTCAATTAAAGTTTTAATATTTGTACTGAAATATGGAGGATAACCTATAAGCATTTCAAATAAAATAATTCCTATTTAGTAAATATCAGTTGCTTTAGATGATCCAATACCTTCAATCAATTCAGGTGGAAGATAAGCTGGAGATCCACAGAAACTTTTTGTTATTATTTCTAAATCTGCATTTAATTGTTTGCATAATCCAAAGTCTGTAAGTTTAATATATCCATCTGAATTTATTAAAATATTTTCTGGTTTAAGGTCCCTATAAAGTATAGACTTCTAGTGAAGATGTTCAATAGCTAAAATTATTTAAGCAACAATAAACTTTGCAGTATATTCATCCAATACTTTTCCTCTAGTCATATATCTTGTTAAATCACCTTCAGAACAAAGTTCAGTAACTAAATATAAGTATTTTTAAGTCTATAATTATTAGTAATATAAACTTAGAATGCAAAATATAAATTAACAATGAAAGGATGCTTAATAGTTTTAAGAATTTAAAGTTCTAAAACAGTATAGTTTAAATAATCATGTTTGATAAGCATATTCTTTTCTTATTATTTTAAAGCACAATTAAGATTTTTGTATTTAGTCTTGTAAACTTTTCCAAAACTGCCTTTTCCAATTAATTCAAAACTTTCAAAATTTGATAAATTTATATTATATTATTATTTGAATTTTCCTTTTTCTTCAATAAGATCAATCTCAAATTCTGCTTCAATGACACTGTCTAATGATTATTTAAATTTTTCTTTTTCTACTCTTTATTTCTATTATATGTATTATTTTTATTCGATTACTGCTGAATCTTTAATATTAATAATTTAATTAGGCTTTTATAACATTAAATTATAAGCTCGCATAGCATATTTTATTTCATAATTTGAATTTCTTAATTAAAAATTTTAATTAATATATCTAGCATATCCTACACAATTCTTTAAACCTTCATACCATCTTCTTGCTGCCTATTTTTCTCTAAATGCTATAAATATATGATTAGTTGAATATTTGATTTCCAAGTAGTGATAGTATTCTTCCTAAAACCACTCATTTCTTGATACTTTGATCTCATTTATTTAATCTAATGCAATTACTTCACTTAAAATTAAAGCTTGATTACTTTGGATTATTTGGAATGTCTTCCTCTTTTTTGAATCTTACTAATGTTCCAGAATCAGGATCAGCAATCATAAATCTTTGATACATAATCAATTTGAAATAATTAACCTTCAATACTTTCCCTGTAAGAATTGGAGGCCTACTTGGTTTATTTAAAATAAAAGTCTCTTTTATACAATATCACCATACATCTTTCTATAAATCTTCTAAAGTGATTCCATTCATTGACTTTATAAATGAATTTCTATTAACTTTATTTAACCTTAATTCATTTTCATATTATAATATTTATCTAACTTATATACCTGCTACTTAAATTGGACTTCTATTGAACTAATCTAGAATACTGAATTTATTAATGATTAAATACTTTACATCAATCTATGGATGTTATAAAAGAGATATTGTTATTTCAACATCATCTAAATGTGCAGCTAAATGTAATGCACTTCCATGTTTGCTTATTTTATTAATCTTAATATCAGATTATCCAATTAAAAATAATACAACTACTGATAATAAATTTTGATATACATTATTTTAATTTTAAACAAACAGCCAATGACAGGCAGTTCCATCCATCATTAGTCTCTAAATTAATATCAGCACCTTCATTTAATAACCATAAAAAAGTCTTTTCATATCCAGTTATTATTGAAACATTTAGAGATGACCATCCAAATATTGATTAGTCATTTAAGAGTAAATTCTTATTCTTTTAATAATTATCTAAAAAATTTTTTGCTTACTAAAAATTATTTGTCTAAATATATTCATAAAATTTTTCTATATCATCCTACAGATCTATTTTGGTATTGGATTTAAATTGATTATTTTTTAAGGAGTTACTAAAGGAGTCATGTATTTTGTTTTACAAATCCTCAGCCAGACTATTTGTATTATTGGGCGCAAATAATTATATTTCAGAATTAAAAGTAGATTAAAAACTAAATTAATCATCTATATTTTTGACATATACTATAGATTCTTGATTGAATTATATTGAACTTAAATATTAATGCTTTTCAATTTCTATAATTTGAGAATTTTTTAATAAATATAATTTTTGATTGCATACCTCTATTGATGTAACATTCTATATTTCAGATTATAAATCATCAACTGTACCTTTTGAAGGTACTTTAATCATGCAAAATTATTTTTCTCCCCGATTATTATAATATTTCAACTTAATTTTCATTTTAATTAAATTATATGTTAAATTGGAATTAAAAATAAAAATGAAATTTTGTTATATTCAAACAATAAAATTAATTGGTCATTTTACAATTTTTATTATATAATCTTATTTATTAAATCTTGAAGTTAATTTGATATAGTAGATTTATATACTATTTTATGAGATTAATGGAAGTCTTTTTGTAAAATAAGTAATCTCATATCATTTAGTAATCAAATTCAACTTAAATATAAAGAAAAATTTTAAAGCACAAAAGTATGACTATAATTCATTTTATAATAATTCAACTTTATTCTCAAGTAATAAATTATTAGCTCTTATTAACCTTCTTGTAAAAATATAGAAGCTAAATTATAATTTATAAAATTAAATATTCAGTATTTTGTTTATTTTGAAATACAAATACAACTTAAATCAATATTCCATTAATTCTCTTTACTCAGTTGTCAAATGTTCTAATTTTTCTTATTTCATCTTTTATTTTTTGATAGTCTATAATTATTATTCAAAACTCTCATCCAATTAAACTTCTATATGACTTGGAGCTTAAAAGGACTAATTTAAAATAGATCCTCTCTATTATTAATTAATTTTAATTTACTTCAATATCTTCCTTCACTTAAATATCATCTAAATTTATAATTCCATTTTAATTATTCTAATTAGATAGATTTTCTTTAAATTATTTCTTAATTTTCTCAAAATCAATTGGACTTATTGAAGTGCATTTTGATAATATTTCTTGAATTTCTGTGTTAATAGTATTTTTTTATAACAAACTTGATAAATCCTAGCTTATAATAACATTTAAATTTACTATGCACCAAATCCTTTCTTCTTATATGTTTAAAACTATGCTCCAAGAATTGAATATAAAAGTTCATTATATTCTTTAGAAACTTCTTCATCCATAAATGATATTAACTTAATTATCATGCATAATCTTAATTCTTTGTCTTTATATTAATCGAAATTGACTTTTCTATTAGATTTAGCTAATTTATTGTTTCCTTATTTAATAGAAGAATCATCTATTAAATAAGCAATTATAGAAACTATTTGCTAATTTGTTAATCTTCCTGGGATGAAATCAAAAAATTAATTTATTAATGTTCTTATGTCTGCTGGTTGATCATAACTAAGTAAAACAGAGTTTGATAAAAAAAATGCACTTAATCCAATAATATTTGAATTAGGTATAAGATATGAATTAATTTCATTATTTTCATTAGAGTTAATTCTTCCTGCTAATAAAAACAAAGATGTTAATATTTAGGCACATTTTAATGAAATTTAATGATTAAATTCAGCTATTTCAATCAACATGACTATCATTTCTTCAGTGATAATGATTGTTGAATTAAAAGTCTCTATTTTTAACATACATTCATGTAAAATGATCAATAAATTAATTAAAATATCAATATTAATGGCTGTATTATTTATTAAATTTAAATTGTAATTATATGTGAATGTGAGTATTTATTGTATAAATGACTGGACACTATTAGTATCTGATGATATTTATTTGAGTAATGCAATTAAGCAAAGTTATGTATCATTGAAGGTTTCTGATTCTGGATTAGATCTTAAATTATTAAGAACAGCTTTTATAGTTTAGGTTTGCTGAAATAAAATAAATTAATTTGTCTCAATTGAATTAAATAGACTAATTAATAATTTAATAATTGAGTTTTTCACATTTGAAGTCACATGAAAATTTTTATATTCTGAGGTTTTCTTTAACAAAGGTGGGGCACTTGGACTTTCAAATGGATTCTTATCATTAGGAGTATCTAAATAATCTACTAATTTAGTAAATATAAAAAGCTCAGTATTAGATAATTAATTAATCTCTTTAGCTACTTCTAAAACGATATAAGTAATATCAAAGATATCCAATGGATTTTTCCAATAATCTTCATCAAAATTATTGAATAACATTTAAAATAATTCTTCATATAACTATTAATTTAAAGCTCTTTCTAGAAAGGTTTCTGTTAATTTATGCCATATAGGTTGAGAAGCAAACTTTTTATGATCTTTCATCAAAATATTAAATAGAGATTTTTAACTTTTTGTTACAAATAATCTTTCTTATGGAATTCTTAAAAAAGCATTCCTATATACAGACATAACAACAAATGGATCTGAAATAATATCTAATAATTCTTAAACTGCTGACATTTCTTCATTTGTTTTAGTTACCCATTCACTAATATAATTTTATTATTTACAATTAATCTGAATAACCCAATTTAGTTCCTATTATATATTCTAAGAATGTTAAAATGCATTGGATATTTTCACTTTGGAATTATTTATTTGCTTTTTTATTTGAAAATGATTCTAAGGTTTCTAAAAACTAACTCCACCAAACCCTTAAGAAATTATATTTTTCTTACATTGCATATGTCATTTTATCATTAATCAACTATGAGATTATATTAGAAAATGCTAATTCAAATTTTAAAAAGTTATCTGATACTTATGTTAAGGTTTATAAATGTTCTATTTATATAGACCTCTGACTAATTTCAATTTTAGATTCTTCAAGAAATTAATTCTAAACTGGAATTTCTTTCAACTATATAAACTTGTCTAAATTAAGTATAAGCTCTTATAATATATGCATACACATCTTTATTATAATAGGATTTTAAGACAGTTTCTAATTAATTGTTTGTTATTTTTACTATTTTACTTTCTACATATAATGCAGAATCAATCAGTCTAATTTTATAAGATTCTATGTGATCTATCAGTGTTTTTACTTCTAACTTAAACTAAGATGATATCTTTGCCCAGTCAAACTCATTAAAATATTTCATTATTTCAGATTTCTTGTTGAACTCTTTTAAAGATTCCTCTCTTGGTACTAATTCAAAGATTTCCGTCAGAATAGCAGAGAATGTTGGCTATTAAAGGTTTCTAGACGTACTTCCAATACAGCCCATATTATGAATATATAAATATTATATTTATGATAATCGGTTATTTTATAATAACTCAAACAATTTATATCTATAAAATATCCATAAATTATTTAATAAATCCTATTAAATTAGTATTGTTTAGAATAGTATTTAAAAAAAAAGGGGAAAATATAATTCAATATTTTTTATTATTATAATTTTAAATAACTAGATATACTTCCTTTAATATACTATCCAATATAAATTTCAAATTTATTAGAGTGATAATTTATTACATTAATCAACCAGTATTTTATATTCTATTTCAAAATCTAAGATCAAAAATACATTTAAAATTTCTGAAAAGCTTCCTTTATTAAAATTAATCAATACTTAATAATAAAAGCCATCATTTAAATTACAGAAGATTGAAGTATAAAGATTTTATATATAATAAATGTATATATTCAAAAATTATAGATCTTAACTTAAATCACATATTAATATATACAATAATCAATTTTAATATAAAGTTGTTTCAGAGCATTATAAAATTAAGAAAATAAACAAAAATATTTCTTTTTCATTATAAATTCAAATAATTTCTGTACATTATTACTTGAGTTGTTATATCAACACAAATTATTATATATTTCCTAAATTTTGGGTGAGATTAAATATAAATTATATTATGAAACCATAAATTTGTTTATTAGGTGTTCAGAAGTTTGCTAAAGATAAATAAGTTCTCAAATAATTATAAGAATAATTAGGAGATAAATTTATTAACCCAACTGAAATTATTAAGCCTAAAATGAAACCATTTTGCTTTTTGTAATTTATTGATGAAGATTAAAAAAATGTAATTGTCTAAAAATATAGTAAAGAAATTTGTTAAATTGATTGAAGATAATCCAGAAATGAAACTTAGGTTAGGTGAGGTTCATAATGAAAATGCCTTTGAAAAATAATTAGATAAGAAAATAAAATAATAAAAATAAAATGAATAAGAAATAAAATAATTTTAAGAAAAACATTAAAATAGAGAAATTGTTGAAAGAAAAGAAAATGAATTAGCATTATAAACTGCTCCACTTTATTAGATTAAATATGAAGAATAAATTGAACAAAAATTGGTAGAAATTAAAAAAGTAATTAAAAAATTAAAAAATTAATTTATTTAAAAGAATGGTAAAGAATATTCCCCAGGTTGGATTTTAGAGTAATTATTCATTCAATATAAGTACAAATTTAATTAAAATTAATGATCCTATAATATGTGATGAATAATTTAGATTTAATTATAGAAATAAAAGTGAATTTACTATTAGCTACAATAGTTAAAAAGAAGTTTGTGTTGGTTTTAATGTTGGTTCAATTCAAAAAAATAATGATAGTGTAGAATAAGTAATAAATTATTAATATAAAAGCCCAATACATGTCCAGTTACACCTGCTATAGCTATGGAAATAGCAAATAAATTCTAGAATTACTTATAATCATCTAAGTTTTAACCTTTTAATAGATAAAATGGAAGTGGAGTATGGAGGATGTTAAGTGTTAGAAAAAGTGATAGGACTAAATAATTATTAATAAGTGTAAGTATCAATAAGGAAAATTTAAATGAAGATGAATATGTTTTGATATGTGATGAATTAATTACATTATTTAATACTACTTATGGAGAGTTCAGTTTAGAAGGGTTATTATTGATGCATTCGAATAAATTGGGTTAGGATTTAGCTAGTTCTGCTGATGACACAAAAATATTATATGGAAATTCATATTATTAAGAAATCATTTTAGACAAAAAAATAAATATATCATATAATGCTTTTTCTTAAAATCATACACCTTAATGTGATAAATTATATTAAGTAATTATTGATCTTTGTAAAAACAAAAAAATTACAAAATTTTTAGATTTATGTGCTGGTAGTGGTACTATAGGAATTTGTGTGAGTGATTAAATATAAGATATTTTAGCAATTGAAATGAATTAATCTTCATGTAAGGATGCAAATGAAAATTATAAAATAAATAATCTTCAAAATTGTTAAATTATATGTTCTAAGGTGGAAGATGTTATTAAAAAAGTTACTCAAGACTTAAAGAGTCTTGAAGGAAAATAATAATAATTAATGGCTTGTTTAGATCCACCTAGAGCAGGAGTCCTTAATAATGTAATTGAGTCTATCAGAACATGTAAAGGTATAGATCATATTATTTATGTTTCTTGTTCTCCTCCTTAAGTAATTGATAATTTAATTTAATTGTGTTTACCATAATCTAAAAAGAATAAAGCACCAGAATTTAAATTGGTAAATGTAACATTAGTTGATATGTTTCCTTAAACAAGTCATTTTGAAGCGGTATTTTATTTAGAAAGAGATTATGGCATATTATTTGAATGATGTGATATAAATATAAATAATATTTAATAATATCTAAAATAACAGTTATTTCTAAAGTAAATAATAAAAATTATTTTATTAGACTTCCTTTTTCTGATTAGAGATATGTATTGAAGAATTCAAATTATTTAATAAAGCTATTTTTCCATTTTATAAAAAAGTATTATTGAATAAGAAATTAAAAGTATTCCCATTTCTTAAACATTAATCCAGAAGTAATATATTTTATATATATAACAGTTGCACTCGAGTTTCTATCTGTTGAAGAAATATAATCATTTAATGTACTAAGTTTTATAAAAAAAGTTACTTTATTTAGACTATTTTAGTTAAATTTAAATTTATAATAAATAGTAGAATTGAATTTTATGAATTTATTTGATCTTTCTCATAGTAAACATATCTATCATTTATTTAAGAATCCTTTTAAGCATTCAATATAAATTAATAAGTAAAAGACTAATAATCCAACTTGTTTATAATAATTTTGATAATTTAATCCACAATAATAATAAGTATTTAGTTAGTTTGGTTTATTATAATGAATCTTTATTAAATTGAAAAAGAATTATGATCAAATAGAATTTTATGTATCTATTATTTAATACTAAAGTGAAATTTATTTAAGAAAGAAATATTTGATAAAACTAAACATAAATAATCGATTTAATAATTAAAAATTATAAAAATGGAATGGTTATGAGGAATTAGAAGAGGGGATGTTTTAAAAATGGCGTCATTTAAAGTAAATAATTGAATCGAATTTTGATGATGACACATTTTATAATAAAATTTATTAAGGAGAGAGTATTAAATAAAAAAATGATTGATATTTGATAATTAAATTTTAATTAAAACAAATGGCATCTTAACTTGAGGAGAATCTCTTAGTGGGAAATACATTGTCTGACTTTGGTATGACAGCAAAAGAATTATCGTATAAGATATATTAAATTTAAAAGAAACTTATTTACTCCTGATAATGTGAGAGATGGATCAAGTTTGGCATAATTGGCAAGACATGGAAAGATAGATGGGCTGATGAAGAAGTTGAGAACAGATCCAAAAGTATATTAGAAATATATATATATAGAAAGGGTTAGATAGCAGTAATATCAATGATATGGAATTGAGAGTGAAGAAGTAAAATATTTATATATATTTCATTATAGTTTTGGTGACAATAAACCTGAAATAAAAGAGCCAAAGACACTTTTGGAATATGTAAAATTATGAGTTAATGGATTAGATCCTTGAAAACTTTGAAGATCCAATGCTTAGAATACTTTGTTTAGCTGCAGCAGTTAATTTAATTATAGGTGTATGGACAGAAGGATGGAAAGAAGTATTAATAAATAAGATTTAATTAGGGATGGATGGATGGAATGGCAATATTCATAGCAGTTATTATAATAGTATCAGTAACAGCAGGAAATAATTATGTGAAAGATTAATAATTTAGAAAATTGAATGCAATAGCAGAGAATAGAAATGTAAATGTTAAGAGAGGTGGTAAAATAGTAAGTACTAATATATATGAATTGGTTGTTGGAGATATAATGATTGTTGATACAGGTGAGAAATTGCCTGTTGATGGAATTGTTATTGAATCAAGTGATTTAACAGCAGATGAATCATCAATTACAGGAGAAACAAATCCAATTAAAAAGAATGTTCCAGTCACTTATGATTCAAAAGAAAAAGTTAATCCATTTTTAATTAGTGGTTCATCAATTATTGAAGGTACAGGTGAAATTCTTATCTTGGCAGTTGGAGAAAATTCATAATGGGGAATATCTAAAAAATTGATGACTTAATAAGCTAAAGATGATAAAACACCTTTATAAGAGAAATTAGGAATCTTAGCAGATTAAATTGGTGAATATGGATTAAAAGCAGCTATAACTACATTTATTGCTATGACACTTCATTTACTTTATGATGCAGTATTCAATGAATATCCTTTGTTCTCAGCTCATGCTTTAAAAGAAATTCTCAATTTCTTTATTGTCTCAGTTACAATTATTGTAGTTGCTGTTCCTGAAGGATTACCTTTGGCTGTTACAATAGCTTTGGCATATTCTGTTGGTAAAATGAAAGATGAAAAAAATCTCGTTAGATTTTTATCTGCTTGTGAAACAATGGGAGGTGCAAATAATATTTGTAGTGATAAAACTGGTACATTGACTGAAAATAAAATGACTGTTACTAATTTATATGTTGAAGATACAGATTTTAGTAAATTAGATCCAAAAGCTATTAAAAATTCAACTTTAGAATTACTATGTGAAGGTATTTGTTTGAATTCTATGGCACATCCATAAATTGATGAATCAGGTAAATTTGAGCATATTGGTAATAAAACTGAATGTGCTTTATTGGAAATGTGTTATAAATTTGGATATGATTTCAGATAAATTAGATAAAATATGGGAGAAAAAATCAAAAAGAAGTTCCCTTTCAGTTCAGAGAAAAAAAAAATGACAATCATATTAGATCCAAAAGGAGATAGAACATAATTTAAAATTTATACTAAAGGTGCTCCAGACATGCTTTTAGATAAATGTTCTCATTATATTAATGCTGAAGGAAGAGCTGTTGTGTATTTATAATTTCTTAAATTTTAGTATTACCAATGATTATAAACAAAAAATTAATAGTGTTATTAAGAATTATGCATCTTAATCATTAAGATCAATCTTATTGTTGTATAGAGACACAATGATCTAAGGTAGACCATCAAAACCAGAAGAATTTAATAATGTTGAAGATATAATTGATAAATCATATACAATAATTGGAGTTACTGGATTATAAGACCCATTAAAAGAAGGAATCATTAAAGCAGTTTAATAATGTAAAGAAGCAGGAGTAACTGTCAGAATGGTAACAGGAGATAATTTTGATACTGCAGTAGCCATTTCAAAGAAAGCTGGCATATTACCACCAAATTATGAACATCATGAAGATTCACTTGCAGTTATGGAAGGAAAGACATTTAGATAAATGGTTGAAGGATTAGAATATGAAAAAGATGATGAAGGAAATGATATACCAAAAGTAAAAAATTTAAGCAATTTCACTACTATTGCATAAGAATTAAAAGTCTTAGCAAGATCTTCTCCAGAGGACAAGTTTTTATTAGTCACTGGTTTAAAATAACTTGAAAATGTTGTAGCAGTTACAGGAGATGGTACAAATGATGCACCAGCATTAAAAAAGGCAGATGTTGGATTTGCTATGGGAATTTAAGGAACAGAAGTTGCCAAAGAAGCAGCTGGTATTATACTTTTAGATGATAATTTTGCTTCAATTGTTACAGCTATGAAATGGGGTAGAAATATATTCGATTGCATAAGAAAGTTTCTTGTGTTTTAAGTCACTGTCAATGTTGTTGCTGTTTCTATGGCATTTTTGGGAGGAGTCTTCTTAAAAGAATCTCCATTAACTAGTATTCAAATGTTGTGGGTTAATCTTATTATGGATACATTGGCTTCTTTGGCATTGGCCACTGAACCTCCTACTGATGAATTGTTGACACGTAAACCATATGGTAGAAAAGAACACATGATTACACCAGGAATGTGGAGAAGTATAATATGTCAAGCAGCATTCTAACTATTTGTTCTTTTGATTATATTATTCAAAGGAGATTCTATTTTTGGTATTGAATCTAGTAGAGGACATAGATTGGATGAAGAATATAAGTAATTATTTATCTTATCTTATTTTAGTCCTGTCTATCAAGAACATTATACAATATTTTTCCATATTTTTGTATTCTTGTAAGTCTTTAATGAAATCAATGCTAGAAAATTGAAAAAAACTGAATTAAATGTATTTGATGGATTCTTTAACAACTATCTTTTCATAAGTGTTATTGTTGGAACAATAGTTGTTTAAATATTGATTGTGTAAATATTTATCATAAAATTTAATTAGTTAATTTGGTGGAAAAGCAGTCAAGGTTACTCCTTTAGATTTTGCTCATCATGTCGTTTGCATTATTATTGGAATGTGTAGTTTGGCTGTAGGATACTTTATTAAATAAATTCCTGATTAATATTTCTAATCCATTGAATTATTTAAAGAATAAGTTGCTCCTGAAGCTGATCCAGAAACTCTATAGGTAAACTAATGAATTTATAAATTTTTTAGGGTAAATTCAAAAGACCTTCCACATTCCTTAGAAAGAAGAGAGCCATTGAAAATAAATAACAACGTAAAGGTTCTTAAGAAATAGAAATGAAAGCTGGAAACAGTGGTTTTAAATAATGAAATTTTATAATTTTAAGATTGAGAATTTAAATAATAAAATTAAATATCAAGGTTATAAAAATGACTTCTATTGAGCATATTTAATGAATGATTGTGTCAACTAAGTTTAATCTGTGTAAATGTAGAAGCTTATCTTATTTTAATACAAGGTTTATTATTAAATCAAATCCATCATCGAAGGGAATACGATAACAGCTTATTAACATTAATGATCGCAATATATATTTTAAGAATATTAAATAGAGTTGTACGGGCCAATCTTTTTTAATAAAAAATTTGTTATAGGATGGTTTAATTAAAATTCTTAATTGTTATTGAAATGAAAATCTTCATAGGTTTGTGGATTTAAGATTAAATTAGTCTCTGATTATAATTCTACTTATTTACTTGATAAAAAAGTAAATTCAAATTTGACAAGTTTTTAAAATTCAACTTTAGTAGGACTTTCTTATGATTCTTCAGCAACTTTTTCAATAAAATCAAGTTCTTGAAGACATTTTTTTTCAACAACATAATTTTATAAGGGATTTAAATTCAATTCATTTTTTACATAAAGATTAATAGTAGAATTAGAATCAGCTTATTTGAGACATTATTCAAAGATATTAAAAATTATTTATGAAAGGAATTTAGAATTGACTTTAATCATAAAATCATCTAGATTTAATTCATAATTAAATTTCTTTTTCAATTTCATACTCATATAACAAAAATGTTATTGTAAGTTAATAAGAAAATATTTTAGATTAATTTTACTATAAGCTGCTAAGAAATTATTGATTTTAGTTGAATTAACAAAAAAGTAAAAGTTTTAAAAATGATTCATAATAGATAAATTAATGCATTTAATTTACCAAAGTTTTTCATTATCTATTGAACTTATTTTTAATCCTATAATTTCTTTATATAAATGTTAATGTGAAGCTGAAAGTTAATTAGAAGCAAATTAAATAATTTTATTTAAGAATCGAATTTATTCTTCGCTTTTTGACATCATTTAAGGTTATTTTTCTTCCTTAATAACAATTAATAAATAATTCTTGCCATAATTAAGAGTTTTGATATCAATACTGACAATAACATTTTTTTCTTTAAGTTAATTGTAAAATACCCCTTCCATTTCTTCAGTCTCTTCTTTTGGTTATTATTGATCTACTGATAAATTTTGTTTAATCTTATAAAATGCAAATTCTTCCAATGTTTATTTTTTATTAGCTAATCTTCGCATAGATAAATCACCAGATCTTTAGATGTTAATATTCTATAAATCAACACTCGTTGGTATTTAACCTTTAGGTACAACATAAGTATTTCTCATCATTTCAATTAAAGTTTTCGAATCTTCAACGTTTAAGTTTGTAATGCTAATTTGATTTTGAAATTCCAATTAGAATTAGTTATTTCTAACATTAAGACTAAGTGCTAAAAAGGAATGTGGAATATATTCTTAAGAAATATCTCTTAATATAATAATAAGCATTTACTTCAATTTAAGATTATATATCATATACGAAAAGGCTAAACGAAACATGAATTCATTATAATGAGAATAGAGCAGAATTAATAATTATGTCATGAAAGCAAGTATAATATAAGCAAAGTCATCCAAAGTAAGTACATCTAAAATATAAAGTTAAACTATTGGGACAATTAAAAGAGTAAATAAGCGTAATTTAAAGTGACTAAATAGGAATTATATAATTGCAATAGTGGCAGATGAATATCCATAAAGAAATGGGGATCTTATATAATTAGAACTACATATTACTTTTACATAGTTTAAGATGCAACATATAAGCTTATTGCTAAGGATGCCATATACATTAAAAAGTAATAGTATCGAACTTTCTATGCAAATCTTTAGCCATAAATTAATGCAAAGAAAATGGCTATGCTTGAAACTGCTAAAATCACCATTACAATTATTTATCGTTCTTCCAGCAAATTAAATATGAAGAAGAGGATGCACAATAGTAAAATGATTATTTCTATTATTCTAAAGTATGATTGCCTGTATTTATTCATTTCCACTTCATAAAGATCTTCATATTGTTTATTAATGAAACCTAGGGTCCATTTATTAAATGGTAAATTATTCATAATTATATGATCAGCTGCATGACAAAGAATATAACAAAATTATACTCAATCCAACTTGGACTCCCAGAAATCCATATCCAACCTTTCGACAAATAGATTCAAATTCTCCACTCTAAGGCACATCAACCAAACTCATAGCAATGAATAGTCCTCCCAAGAAACCTCCCAATTCACCCAAATTGTCATAAAAATTATTTTGTCCAGATCCAAAAGTGAATATCATTACAAATATTACCACTATGGCAACAAAACATACAACAGCACATTTCATTTCTCCCAAAGCATTTAACTTCTACCAATATAGAATTATGTACTATTAAATATATAATAAAAATATATACTCCTATCAAGAACCCTACACAAGCATATATACAAGCAAATGTTTCTGAATAAGTTGTATATTTGCAAAGATTGCACAAATCTCCAAATAAAGCACCGCATGCTCCTGCTCCAAAAAACACTATTATTGTTAATAATAATCCTTATGTGGCTTCTAATATTGAATAGCAAATTAATATCATAAAGATTGCAAGAACTAGATTATAAAAGTCTCCAACTAAGAGTAATGATGTCACCCATCTGAAAATCTCAAAATTATATTTAACATCATTTGGATCATTTCCACCAAAATCATTCAATGTTTTCCTGTATACTGATAAAAATTTATCATTTTTATTGACTCCTCCAACTCCTAACATTGTGATATATAGAATAATAATCAAAACTGAGATTATTGTAGTAAATGAAATAAGTTTAATTTTTGGACAGAATGATTTTTTCAACATGTCAAAAAAATTCTCACCTCTTGGATCTTCATCAATGCCTCCTAATATTTTTAAATGAATTTAATTACCAAATATTGATATCATTTATTATCCTCCATTTCCCCTAAAATTCTAATAATTATTTTACTCATCATTGTTATCACCTAATCTATGTATATTTGCCATTTTATATTTAAATTATTCAATTTTTAAAGATTATTATAAATATACATATAATAACCTGATTATAGAAGTATGAAAAAGAAATTATTAAAATATTTATTATTCCAAATATTGTGTATTTTTTTATGAAACTTAAACAAAATTAAACAATAAATGTTATATAATATTTTGATAAACCATTGCAATAATTGTCCTACATAAACATATACAGAGCTCTCTTAATAATTAATTTATCTATTATGAATTCAAAACATCCTGTTGAATTATTGAAGAAAAAGATCGATCCTGAAGCTATCATGTATAAATTTAGATGGAGTAACAATTCAGTATCAATTGAACCCATGACTCAGTTAACTCCTGAAATGTTGGTTCTAGTCCATGATTATGAATTAAAATAATTAGGACATGACCCTCAAGAGCCTAAACCTCAAAAACATATAAAATAGGATACACAAATTATAAATCAAAATAATAATGGGAAAAAATTAGAAGAACAAAAAAGGGAAAAAAGATCAATTGATAAATTAGAAAAAGTTGATAAAACTGAAAAAATAATTGAAAAGACACCAGAAAAAAATTCAGAAAAACAAAAACAATAATAAATATAGAAAGATGTTGATAATGTACTTAACAATAATACAGGAAATGGTCCTCATAAACCTAGAAAGAGTAAACCATGTTAAGTGAAACAAGTTAGACATGATAATGGAAGAGTAGATTTTTTGGTGTGTTTTGAAGATTAAACAGATTAAAAGTGGATTTCATTGGATGAGATGAAAGAAAAGGCTCCTGTAGCTGTTTGTGAATTTTTATTAGGAAAAGTAAAATATGGAGGTACAATGAATAAAAAATGATTGATTAAGTAATTATTGTTATAAATAATTATCATTATAATTTAATAATAATTTTAGATAAGTTCTTTATAATTATATAGGGAAAAAATACTCAATAATTGAATTAAATTATTATTAATGAATTTTAAGAATCAATTTAAGATATAGCATTTCGAGTTAATTTGAAAGACTGAAGAATTTTCATATCAGAAAGATTAAATTTATATTGATTAATAATATATTCTCAGTAGATGATTTCATTTCGAGTATATAAATGAATAAAATGATTTTGATGAATAGTTTTATCAACGAATACTTTCATTAATAAAACACAAACAACTTATATAATAGATGATAAAGAATTATAAAATATAAAACTGAATTTATTTGAAAATGTAATCTATTTATTATTAAATACATTAAATCTTATTTTCAATTAAATGATATTGTTGTTTTACTTGTAAGTATAAATCTTTTAGTCAATTAATTCTAATTTAAAATTTAGAAAAAACAATAAATGTTCTTTTATGAAAATTTTAATTGTAAGATTGAATGAGTTCATAAACTATTTTATATAGTTTGAATAAACCTAATACCTTTTTAAATTTAACAAAGAGATTTGTAAAAAAGTAATTATTAATTATTATTTGATAAATTAAAAATTATATTATTTACGTGTTATGCTATTTGAGCTTCCAGATAAAATTGGCAAAGCATTTGGAAATGGTACACTTTCGATCTAGTCAAGCAAAAATAATAAATTGGCTGAACTTATCAATTCTAAATATACTGAAGATATAGTTGAAGCTATCAGAATGCTATATTGCGTATCAATATCATCAATAAATATAGTAATATTTACAAAATAAAGATCTAACTCTTTATATGTCTAGAATAATTAATTTACTCCCAAGAGAAGATCTTGAATTAAAAAAATTATGTTAAATATTGATAAGTGAATTTGCAGCTTAGCCAAATGCAAGAACAAGCAAATCCCAAGGAGATGTCCTTATTTTGGCTACTGCTCCAATTTTTAAAGATTTAACTAATTAAAATACTTCAATAAAATTAAATGCTCTGAAAACATTATCAAGTTTGAGAATTTAAGAACTTACACCAATGTTATTTACAGCAATAAGAAAGATTTAATCTGATAAAAATCCATTAGTAAGAAGAAGTGTTGCGTTATCAATTCTAAAAATGCATGATATGTGTAGTGATGATGTTTAACCAGATGATTATAATGATATTATTAATTTTCTGCTTAAAGACACTCATCAAACTAGATTATATGCTATCNCAATTTAAGATATAGCATTTCGAGTTAATTTGAAAGACTGAAGAATTTTCATATCAGAAAGATTAAATTTATATTGATTAATAATATATTCTCAGTAGATGATTTCATTTCGAGTATATAAATGAATAAAATGATTTTGATGAATAGTTTTATCAACGAATACTTTCATTAATAAAACACAAACAACTTATATAATAGATGATAAAGAATTATAAAATATAAAACTGAATTTATTTGAAAATGTAATCTATTTATTATTAAATACATTAAATCTTATTTTCAATTAAATGATATTGTTGTTTTACTTGTAAGTATAAATCTTTTAGTCAATTAATTCTAATTTAAAATTTAGAAAAAACAATAAATGTTCTTTTATGAAAATTTTAATTGTAAGATTGAATGAGTTCATAAACTATTTTATATAGTTTGAATAAACCTAATACCTTTTTAAATTTAACAAAGAGATTTGTAAAAAAGTAATTATTAATTATTATTTGATAAATTAAAAATTATATTATTTACGTGTTATGCTATTTGAGCTTCCAGATAAAATTGGCAAAGCATTTGGAAATGGTACACTTTCGATCTAGTCAAGCAAAAATAATAAATTGGCTGAACTTATCAATTCTAAATATACTGAAGATATAGTTGAAGCTATCAGAATGCTATATTGCGTATCAATATCATCAATAAATATAGTAATATTTACAAAATAAAGATCTAACTCTTTATATGTCTAGAATAATTAATTTACTCCCAAGAGAAGATCTTGAATTAAAAAAATTATGTTAAATATTGATAAGTGAATTTGCAGCTTAGCCAAATGCAAGAACAAGCAAATCCCAAGGAGATGTCCTTATTTTGGCTACTGCTCCAATTTTTAAAGATTTAACTAATTAAAATACTTCAATAAAATTAAATGCTCTGAAAACATTATCAAGTTTGAGAATTTAAGAACTTACACCAATGTTATTTACAGCAATAAGAAAGATTTAATCTGATAAAAATCCATTAGTAAGAAGAAGTGTTGCGTTATCAATTCTAAAAATGCATGATATGTGTAGTGATGATGTTTAACCAGATGATTATAATGATATTATTAATTTTCTGCTTAAAGACACTCATCAAACTAGATTATATGCTATATATGTGATTTTCAAAATTACTGGAGATCTTTAAATATTACACAAATATTATTTTTAACTTATCAAAGACTTACTAAATTTTAATAGTTTTGATTTGGAAAGAGCTCTTCAATTATTATATTAATATAGTGTGATGTATTTCAAAGAGGGTGATAAAGATCTAATCAAATTATTAGATGCTTGTGAAATCCTTCTAAGATTACCTTATCCAAGCATAGTTTTAGCAATATCTAAAATTTATCTTTAGTTCCCCTAAGAAACAAGAATTAAGAAACTTATCAGAACTGTTGTCAAATTTTTAAATATAGGATCTGAATCCAAATTTATAATTCTCCAGATGCTACATCAATTTGCACTCTCATATCCACAATATTTGAAAGAACATTATAGAGCACTTACAATTTTATAAATAGAAAAACTATATTGTAAATTACTTAAATTAGAAATTCTATCCTTATTGATAGATGAAAATAATTTTAATAACATTCTAGAAGAATTGTTATATTAAGCCAGATCTAATTAACCTTAACTAGTAGCAGTGGCTGTCAAGTTATTATCTAAAACTACTATCAAATTTCCAAAATTTATTAAAAGAACTATTAAATCACTTTTGGATATTTTAAAAACTGGTAGTTCTGACACTAAAAATCATGTTATAGCATCTTTTTGTAATTTAATTAGTACTCAAGAAAGTAAATTACCTCTTTTAGCTATTTGTCTTTAGAATATTGAAGATATAAGCGATATTAGATATAAAGCCACTGTTATTAAATTACTTAGATTAGAAATAGGATAAATACCAACAATTGTTGCTGAAAGCTTAAGAAAACTATCATTAACTTTTTCTTAATAACATGAAAATGTTAAATATGAAGTAAATTAATATTTAATTTTAATAGATTTTGTTGCTCAGCCATTAATTATAAGCAATTAATTAAGAATAACATATTGAATTGTTAAATTAATATATTATGACTTTGGCTAAATTTGATTCAAGTCTCTTGGTTCGAGATCTTTATAGAACTTTATCAAAAAGTATAGAATTTAAAGAAAGTTTTGTTTAAGAGGAGGAAAATGTTGCTCCTTCTTTGGAAATGTAAAAACTTCCCATAGGATCATTGTCACATTTGGTTGGAATGCATTTGCCAGGATTAAACTTACCTTCTTATTTAAATGAGGATACAAGTGATAAAAGAAAAGTTGAAATATAAGTGCCACCATAAAAAGTAGAATAGTCTTAATAATAATAATAATAATAATAATAATAACCAAAAAGTTAAAAATAATAATAATAAACATAATAAGTAGAAAATAAAAAAGAAATTCTCAAAAGAGTAGAAGAAGATGTTAAAAAACATTATTAAAATTTGGATTAAGTTTTAAATGATTTCTTTACAGACTGATGTTATTAATTTATTTATTCTAAGTATTATTATTAATGATAATAGTTAATAATTTCTAATTTAAAAAATATATCAATCACATTCTCTTGTATATAAATTTGATTCTGAAAGAATTAGTAAATCTTGATCTTTAAATTACTAATCAAATATTTCTTCTGGTAGAATGAAAATCTAAATTTATCATCTAATTATTACTTGATATGAATTATGTGATTGATTAATTATCTATTCAATATTCCAAATCACTTACAAATTTTCTAGTTAAGCTGCAATAACTTTATTATTTTTATCAATTCTGACATGCTAAAAATTTGGATAGTTAAATATTCCCATTAAAATCAAATCTTCTGGATTTAATTAAACTCTAATTGGAAATGGTTTTAAATCTAAATGCTATTAATAACCATTTTGGTGATTTGTTATTATTTATTAAAACTAAATATATTGAGAATTGTTAATAATAATAAATCTAATATAAGATTATATTTTACTTTTCATCTGCACTTAATACAATATCTTTAATGGGATCTCCTAATCCTTCAAAACTATTGACTTATTTCATTGTTTTAATATTATCAAATACAAACACTATCCCTTATTAAGTTCCAATTACAATAGATCCATTTATTGAACTTCTTATAATTATATAATGATCCTTTAAGTTTTAATCAATTTAATTAACTACTCTATTAAGTTTTATTATTTACTTTTTTAAATAGTTTTGTCTTCATTTAGAATATATACTGATGAATTATTTAACAATATGAATTATTTTTCAAAAGAACAAACATCTGCTATCTAAAAATTTAACTTAACAATTTCTTAGGTTTCAGTTCCTAAATTAATTAAATGTAATTCTTATGAAAATTATTAATAAAGGATTAATTTTTATGAATTATTACCTAGACATGTTTTATCAAATTTAATTTATTAATCAATCTAAAAGAATTTATTATTTTTAATAAATGTAATGTTTCTATCTTCTAAAATTATTAGATTATCATTTTCATAATTAATAATTGATTTAGTTTTTGTTGTTTTCAAACCTTCTTTTATTGTATGTAAGTCATCTCGATAAATATATTTTTTCTATTTTTTTTATTAAATTTATTAAACTTATGTCTCATTTAAATTAATTGTAGTTGCTGTTGAGAATTAAATAGATGAAGATGATGAATCTAATTATAAATTCTTTTTGTTTTTCATATTTATTCTTGATCTTTATAATATAAAGGCCATTGATGTTGCTCCATCCAAAACATCAAATTTGAAATATATTACAATTGAATTGTATCCATCAAAATAAACCCAACTTAAATAATTCTCATCTTTATCTACTTCAAAACTGATAAATTCTTTTAATGACTAAATTAATAATAATTGTCTATCTTAATTATATAATTCCATTCTACACTCAGTTTTAGATATAATATTTAATGCCATAATAACTAATGGATTAATAAGTCTAATTTCTGCTAATTCAGGATATAAGACATATAATTTTCCAGCATATATTTATTTAATAGAATCAATATCTGATTGTAAAAAATAATTAATAACATCTCCTACAATTTCTTTCTCTTATCTATTTCTATTTGTAGATTATGATAAAATTGATCTATCTACTTTCTTTAAAGTTTTCTTCATCTATTTCTATTATACTAAATTATGCATTTCCAATTTAGAAGATTATTTTGCAGGAATTGCATCATTTAATTCATTCAAATTTTTTGGAAGCGCCTTTTTGTTCCTCTAAATCCAAATTAATTTACTTAAAAACAATTTAAAATTTTAAATTTTTAAATTGTCTGACTTTGTATTCTTTAAAAAATGCATCCTTAAACTCCATTTAATACCTTATATATCTCTAAATTAAAGATTAAAATTATACATTAAATCTATACTGAACTCTTCCACTTCATCACTTAATGCTGAATGGTAAATTGATTTAAAAAAAGAAATATTAAAATAAAAGTCTCCTTCTTTTTAACTAACAGTATTATTATATGATTTAGAGGCTCTCTACAATCGAACAATCAAAATATGATCAAACTCATCATTTGTTAATTTATCAAATACAAATTCTGTATTAGATGATCTAAGCATTTAATAAAAATACTTACAATTTAGTATATTTAGCTTCATCCTATTTAAAGAGTGTTCCTAAGATTACAAAATCAAATATCTCTTAATCTACTAATGGTTATTATGTTCCTACAACTTTATTGAATATACCCTTAATAAAATTCATTTTTAATAAATAATCATTTTTTTATTTTCCAAATAGTAAATATATAAATTAAACGAGCATGCATTAACAAATTTTTTTGTACAACATTCATTTAATATTGATCTAATTTTCCTCCAGGTGGTGACCATGGTTTAGCTTTAGAGTTAAGTAAAATCTAAAAAAGTAATAAAGTCTAAATTTACTTTGAAACAATCATTTGAATTAGATTTGAATGCATAATATAAAGGTGATAATTATTTATTATCTAATGCTTCGATATTACTGCAATTTTTAATAAATAATTTAACCAATAGTGCATTATTACAAATACAAGCAATATGTAATGGAGTTTATCCATCTTTATTTCTGCTATGAATTAAATGTGGATTCTCTGATAAAGTCAAAATGATGTTATCATAATTACCTTCAATTATTTATTCATAGAATTAGTTATTATATTTGATTGGATAATCAAACCAAAAATTAATACGACACTTATATTTGGCTACAAATAAAACTTATTTTAATATATTATGAAATCTCTCTCTTATTTTAATAGAACAATTAATTAATTTAGTTCTTGATTTAAGCATTTTATGACATGTAATAGGTACTCTTTTTTTTCTTTATTCATTTGTAAGATGTTAAATTTATTAAAAAACAGACTTAAAAGTTGATTATTTCATATTAATCATATCATTTATTTGATTATCATATTTTTTTTCTGGTATAATTTATTTATTTGATTAATGAAATTGAAAACGAATTTATTAGTTTTGAATAGATTTAATTTAAGCTGTAATCATTTCTTTATCTATATCTTCAGCATAAATTTAATTGTCTTATCTTGATAAACATCTTTTATGAATTAAATTACAGATCTCATAATTTGATAAAAATCTACTTAATCTTCTTCTTGACTGTTCATCAATATAATCTTCTCGAAATTTCTTTTTATTTGTTAATTCATTCTAAATTTAACTTTTATTTGTTTAATGAGTTTTTCTTTCTGTCTTAATTTAAGATTCACATCCAGCAACAACAGAATTTCTTCTTGTCTAAATTCTAGTTGTATTCATCTAAGATTAAGAGTTTTACTCAACTATACTATTTTTCCTTTTCAGTTGCCAAAAAGCAAAGTGTTTTTGATCTGATTGAGTTTATTTAGATTGTAAAAGTGATTCACTAAAGTGACATAAAACCTAAATAAAAATAAATTAATTTACATTAACTTTTTTATCATTTGAACATAATTAGGATTATTTTGGTTTATCTCTCCAAGTATAGTAAAAGTATTTTTCTTGAGTTTCCATTACAAAACTTATAAAATAATAATATAATCATATAAATAAATAATTAAGTTACACAACATTACTGATTATTGATTGATCAAGAACAATTTTAAGTTTTGGTATATCATATATATATATATATATATATCAGAATTCCTTTTAATTATTAATGTAGTACATATATATATATATATCATTATATTATTTACCTTATCCTATATATAAACTTTATATAAAATATTAGTTCTGCACAAATAATTTGAATTGTAAATGTATTTACAAAGATGTTTCTTTTATTAATTATTTTTATGAGTAGTTTCGATACTAAATTGAATTTTTTGTAATAAGAAATCAAAATACTGACTGAAGAGAATAAGGAATTAAGATAACTAATTCAGATGAATAAAGAGATTCTTAAAATATATAGAGGACAAACAAGTACTAATGTAATAACTATAAAAATTAAATTAGACTTTGCCAAGCGGTCCTTTAATTACTTTGGAGGTTTGTAAAACTGAGTCTTATGAAGGTACTGATATTCAAATTATGCTCTCTCAATTAATAGAAGAAAATTGTAAATTGTTTTCTTTTAATGAAGACTTAATAAAATAAAGAGATGATTTGAGAGCATAGGTTTTTTGATTTTATGATTGTTAGAATTTACTTTTGTAATAAATAGGAATAGAAAATTCTTAAAGAATATTGGATATTCAAAGTGAGAAATAAATAAAGTTGATTGACCTATAGAATTAGCTTCTAGTTAAAGATAATCAAATAATTGAATTAAATGAATAGTTATAAAGTTTGCTTTAAAAAAAAAGAATGAGAACCAAAATTGTATTAATTTATACATATAAAAGCCAATATCAATATAGAATGAATATTTGACCTTTTAAAACTAAATGGAAGCAATGTATAAAATGCTCATCAAATACTATGAAGAAAATAGATTATAAAAGTAAGAAAATAAGAAATTGTCAATGATAATTGATATAGTAAAGAATGATAAAATAGAAGATAATAATAAATAATTAAATGAATAAAGTCCAAAATTGAATGAATCTAGTTTTGCTGATATATTACCTGCTTAGATTTCTACTACTCAAAATCATTAAATTCTGATTCCAAAATTAAATCTTGGAAAAGCTTAAAAAATATAATAGTTAACAGTTGAAAAATAATTAGAGTAAGAAGAATAATAAATTTAATTGGACAAAGTTTTATAAATGGACTAGAAATATTATTAATCAAATAAATCATAAACTCCATAAAATAAAAATGGATATTACATAAATCCTAATAAATTATTAATTCAACTTACATCTCTAGCTGATTAAAATAAAACACTTTAAAAAGAATTAAATTAGTGCAAGACAAAATTGTAAGATGAATTGCTATTAAATAAAGCATTAGAAAGTAAGTTAGAAGATATGAATAGATATGTCAATGAATTGGAAAGTACTAATGAACTATTGATTAAATCTTAAATTGTTTTAGAAAACAATTTTTAAAAACTAAAATAATTTATTATTTAAGGTAAGAAAGAACAATAACTTATTAAACATAAATACAATGTTTCTTTGCAAAATTTAAGTTAAATGAATTAGTAAACAAAGAAAAGATGCAATTCTGGGTACTGATATATATTTTAATATAAAATAATAAATGAGAAAAAATAAACCAACATAATAAATTATTGTCAATCGTGACATTTCTCCTTTAAAAAACAATTAAGATCCTGAAGAAACAGAATAACTTCCTATAATTAAGTTTAAACCTGTTAGAAAACCATCAAAAAAGAATTTTGAGATCAAAAAGATTAGGGTTAAAGTAGTCAATTCTGAAAAAAACTTTGTTATTAATATAAAATAAAGCAAATTGAATCCTATATAAAAGGAAGAATCCCCTCCTTAAAGTGAAACTAGATAATCATAAACTTAGATTGATTTGAAACCAAAAGAAGATAATAATCGATCATTATCAACAATTAAAAAATCTACACATTTAAAATTAGAGATAGAAGAAACATTAGAAGATAATTTAGATTCATATGTTAAGCTTTACTATTCTATTATCAATTTGATGGATGCTATGAGGAAGGTAATATTATTTTATTTTTAAAAGTCAAGGATGTGAGTGAATTAGTAGATTCAATTAATAGATTTTAGGAGGTAATTGATGGAATTCATTTTTAAGCATTAGAGAACCTTTTGACTGAAAATAGCAAGAAATTTAGATAAATTTTATTATAAATAAAATTAGGAGTAATTAAAAATTATATTATAAATTTTAGATAATTGTTGTTGTAAACTGCTTTTTTGATTAACATGTTTTTTAGACAAATAATGTAAATTTTAGGAATTTACTTATCTATAATTTATAAAATTATTTATTTTTAGGAGAATTTATTATTTAGAAAACATAAAAATAAGAATTAGTTACAATAATTATGCAAAATAAAAAGTATTTTGGTAGTAAAAAAATAGAATCAAATACATAAATTAGATAAAATCTTGAATTACTATAAGGGTTATATAAGTTATTAACTAAATAATCCAAAGATCTTTATTAATTTTTAAATTCATTTTTTAGATTAATTCCTAATTTAAAGATAGTAGAAAGTAATTTAATGCTCTAAAATTTTATATCTCTATATTTTACTATTTAATAAGGTTATCATGGATTATTGGGTATTCCATTAATAAGTGTAGCTCATAAACCTTATCTTCCTAATGAATTTACACATGATTTCACTCTTGTATTAGACATGGATGAAACTTTAATTCATTTTGTTGAATAAACCAAGAACTTTTTAGTAAGACCATATGCAGAGTAGTTTCTATAAGAAATGAGTAAATATTATGAGATTGCTATATTCACTGCTGGATTACCAGATTATGCAAATTGGGTTCTTGATTAAGTTGTTTTTAATAAATATATCTAATATAGATTATATCGATAACATGCTATGTAATATCAAAAACACTTTATAAAAGACTTATCTAGATTAGGTAGAAATATGGCTAAATGCATAATAATTGATAATATTGCAGCAAATTATCAACATTAAGAAGAAAATGGGATTTAAATTAAGACTTGGTATAATGACCCTGATGATAAGGAATTACTTAAATTAAGTGTTTTTTTAAGAAAAATAGCCGAAGAAAATTGTGAAGATGTTAGGGATGCTCTTAAATAATATAAAAATGCTTAAGTAAATTGATTCTCTTTATCGAATTAATAAATATCTAAATAAAAATTAATTAATTAACAATGTCTTCATTTAGACCATAATCCTCATAGGTAATTTCTGTTAGATCACCTAGTAGAGGTATGTAGACTAAATTTTATAATAGTTATTCCTCCTGTTATTAATATGGGGAGATCATATGTTATACCTGCTGCACAAAGTTTACCTACTACTGTAATAGTAAAAGAAAAGAATACAGGATCATATAATAATGATAAAGAAGTTGATGATAGTGCAAGAGATGAATTAGAATAGTGGAAGAAGAAGTGTTTTTCATTAGAAGCTTAATTAGCTAAATATGAGATAGATAATGAAATCGTAATGAATTTTGAGTTATTTTTAGAAAGATGAATTATAATCTAGGATATTAGGTTCATAGGAGGATGTTAAAAAGTTTTAGATTGATATTACTAAAGCACAAGCTGATTTAGATAATTAGAAATCTGAAATGAATAGATTGATTATTGAGAATTAAAAATTGTTAAATTAATAAGTTGAAGTTGAAAGATTAAAGAAATTAGTGGCTGAAAGAGAGGATACAATTAGTCAAGTATCTAATAATATTATTTATAAAGTTATTGTAAAAATGTAAAGAATATCAAGAGTAATTATAAGAGCTAGAGGCATTTTAATAAGCTCTTTAAGATATGCATAATCAAAATTAAGGAAAAGAATAAATGATTGAATCATGGAAATAAAAATATTTTGAAAATGACAACAAAAAATAAAAAGAAATTGATGATCTTAAATCTAAACTTGCAGAATTTAATCCTGCAGAAGTATAATCATTAAAAAGTCAATTTGAAAGAGAAAGATAAGAATGGTAAAATCAATAAAAAAAATATTAAACTGATTTAGCTACTGCTCTTAAATAATTGGATTAATGGAAAATTAAATATAATGTAATTAGAATCTTTTTATGATAGAATCTGGATTTACAACATTAATAATTAACATCTGCTCAAAAAGAATCAATTGCTAGAGTTGAGACTTTGACTTAAGAATAAAATAAATTGTCTACTTAGATTCATTAATTAAATGATGATAAATAAAAATTATAAATTGAACTTGAATAAACTAAAGGATAACTTAAACTTCATTAAGGTTTAATTGGAGAATTAGATAGGATTAAAAAACTATTATCTGATAAAAGTAATGAATTATAATAAATGTTATAATAATCATAGTAAAAAGATATAGATTTAAATAATGCAGAATTGACTATTACTGAATTAAATCAAAAAATTAAATCATTATCACTTTTATAATAAGAAAATTAAAGATTATAACATGAAATTGATGAATCTCATAGAGAAAATGAAAGATTAATTCAAGAGAATTCTTAATTATTAAAAGATATTGATAAATTTAAACTTTTAGAATAAGAGAAATAGTAATTAGAAAGTAAAGTTAGTATGTTAGCATCAGAAATAGAGAGATTGAAAGTATAACTTAAATAAAAAAATGAAAAGATTTTAGAATAACAAGAAGATTTGAAAAATTTATAAGAATAATTAAGAGAAATTGATTAATTAGAAAATTTAAATCATTAATTATTGAAAGATTTGGAATAAAAAGATAAAATTATTGAAGAATTAGAATAGAAATTATAAGAAATCAATATTCTTGAATAAAAATTGGCTGATGCTAATAATAAAATATATGATTTAGAAAATAAGGTAGCAATGTTGAGTGCTGAATCATAAAGATTGAGATATTTAAATGATTAAAAAACTGAATAACTGAAAAATGCAGAAGTATAATTATCTGAGTTAAATATTTTGAAAGAAAAATTAAGTTAATTGTAAAATAAATATGATGCATAACAATAAGTGAATTAAAATTATTAAAATGAATTAGAAAAACTTAGAAGTTAATCAAATTAAACAAATACTACCATAGCTGAATTGAAAAGATAATTAGAAGAATAAAAAGCATTAAATATTGTTCATAAATAATCTAATTCAGAATCTGTTATTGCAGAATTATAATAATAGCTTAGTACATTATAACAAAGTTACAAAAAGGTTTCAGAATCAAATTTAGCAAATGAAGAAGATCCAACTTTAGATTTATAAAATAGATTAACACTTCTTAAATAAGAAAATTAAAGATTAAATTAAACTATTTAATAAAAGAATTAAGAAGTTCTTAATCATTAATAATAAAATCAAAATTTATAACAAGAATTATTAGAATTAGACTCATTAAAAGTATAAATCAAAGAATTGCATGAATCTAATACTGTATTATAGTCTTAAATATAAAATGAGGCAAATGGAAGATAAGAATTAGAATAAAGAATTTAATAAACTGAATCTGAGAAGTATGATTTATAGAGTAAGTGTGCAATGTTATCAACACACATAGAAGGAATGAAATATAAATTAGAAAAGATGGAAAATGTTGATGATCTTAAAAAAAGAATTTAAGAATTAGAAGGTTAATTAGCAGAAATGTAGGCTTTAGAATTAGAGATTGAAAGTTTGAAAGATAGAATTACAGAACTTGAAAAAGAATTAAAATTATGGAAATAAAAACATGAATAATTAGATTAGTCATATTAACAATTATAATTGATTAAAGAATAGATGGAGAATAAATTAGCTATGCTTTCATCTGAAATAGAAAGACTTAAAGTTTTAAATAAAAAAAAGTAAGGTGAAATTGATGAATAGAATTAAGAATTGATAAAATTAGATTAAGAAATGAATGATTTACATAATTAATTAGAAGACATTAATGAATTAAAAACTTAATTAGGTTCACTTTAAAACTAATTACAATAATAAATTGATGATAATTAAGATAAATTAAATGAGATTACTCATCTCAAATAATAAGTTGCTGAAATAGAAGGTTTATTAGTAAATTAAGAAGATTTACAAAATCAAATAAAGAAATTACAAACTGAATCATAATCAAAAGATGAAATTATAGATTAATTTAAATAAAAATTAACTTAATTAGAAAGTAAGATTGCTGAACTTGAAGATATCAAAGTAATTTATTATCAATAAAATATTAGTATAAATATGAAGATAAAATGGCACTTTTGAGTAGCGAAGTTAAAAGACATGAATACAAAGCAAAGAAATTAGAAGATAAATCTAATGAATTAACAACTTAAGTAGATAATTTAACAGCAGATTTAAATGAGGCAGATTAAAAAATTATTGAATTAGAAAAAGTAATATATATATTTATATTTAGGATTTAGGAAAATGGAAATTTGAATATTCAAAATTAAACAGTCTTCAATATAAGATAGATGAATATAGTTTCTTATTAGTAGTTTCATTTGCTGAAATTGAAGCTTTAAGATAATAAGTCAATACATTAAATGAATAATTAGATGGTCATCAAAAAACAAAAATAGCATTAGCATTAACATAATGAACAATATTATAATAATACAATAATAAACAAATTTATTTATGAATAAAATTCTAAGAGGATTTTCAACTGTAAAATCCATGAAATTCATCAAAGATAAACAACCTTTAATAAAGATTAGCGAATTACCTTCTGGAATAAAAATATTTACTGAATAAACTGCATTTCCATTTGCCTCTGATATTGGAATTTGTTTTAAGGCTGGATTAAGAAATGAACTACCCTCAGAAACTGGATCATTATTCAGTCTTAATTAACATATGTATCATATTTCAGAAAATGATTGTCTTGAAAATTTGTAAAATTATATGCTATTTAGTGAACAAACACTTAGAACAGGCTGTATGTTAGATTAAACTTATGATTCAGAATTATCATATTGGAAGTGTTAATTCATATAGGAAGATTTTGATATGATTGTAGATGTCTTATTGAAACTTGCTTTGACAACCAAAAGAATTGCAAAAGAAACAAGAGATTAATTTAATAAAATGAGTATTCCTTAAGAAAGAGTATTATCTAACAAATAATTTAGATGACTGTAGATGAAGCTATAAAAAAGGCTGCATTTGGTACACATCCATTAGCAAATGCTAAAACATCTGCATAAATATTACCCAAATAGGAGGACTTTTCAAGATTTTAAGAATAAATGCTTACAAGTTAAAATATGATAATTGGTTATGCAGGTGTTTGGAGTCATGAACAATTTAGAGAATATATTGAAAAAAAATTGGTAAATCATCAATAATGTAATTATATTAAAATAACTGGTAGTTTTCTAAAGATAATTAAGGAAATAAACATCTCCAGAGTTCCTTTCCCAAATCTGTGCTTTAAATGATGATTAAAATGATTCTATTGATATAGCATTACTATTTAAAGGAAATAAATGGAGTGATATAAATATGCCTACATAATATATCTTAAATTAAATTTTAGGATCTTCAAGTATTTGTAGTATTTTATAGGTTCCTGGTCAACTGGTGGTCCTGGTAAAGGAATGAGATCTAGAACAACTCTTAATTTAATGTAATCAATACAATCTGTGGAAGAGGCTTCAGGAATTTCTTAAGTGTTTTCTGATGCTGGAATATTAGGATTGAGAGTGCAAGGACCTCCTACTTCCAAATAAGAATTATATTCATGTTTAATTGATGAATTTCGAAAATTGGGTTAACCTATGAGTGATGAGGAATTTTTGAGAGGGAAAAACATAGCTATCACTTTAATAAATTTGAATTTGGAGAGATAAGCAGATCGATTAGAAGAATAAATTAAAACAGTAAACTAATTAAATTATTTAAGACATTTTTAATGGGATAAAATGCTGTACCACTTTATGAGAGTTTAATCTAAAATGTTACTAAAGAATAACTATAAGATTATGTAAAAAATCTTATAAATAATGCTGAACCAACTCTTTTGTACTATGGTAAAAATGTTTAGGAAGTTCCCACAATGTAATAAGTTAAAAGAAATTTGAGAAAGTGATATTTATGTGATGTATATTATATATATATATATATTTATATTTTTTATATGTTAATAATTATCAATTCTTTTATTAATCAATAATATTATACAAACTCATTGCACTTTATCTCCCATAAGTTTGGTTACCATTTTTTATATAATTTAAAAATCTATTGGTCGTTAGTAATTTTAAGGTTATATTTAAGTATATGATGATTAATTAAAATATTAATTTTCTTAATTAAGTTACTATTAATTAAATTATCCTTAATTCTGATAAAAATCATTTTATTGATGATAATCATATTTTCTTTATTTCTATTTTACATAGTCTTCATTTGATTCCATTATTTATTGAGGATAATAAAATTAATCATATTAATTATTCGATTGATTATATGGAATTTTTTTTTAAGTTTAAAACTAATGCTAATAGTGTTGGTTTTATTTATAATTTCCTTTTTATATTTTTTATGACTTTTTTTTTAAATAAGGTTATGTTTTCATATGCATTTCATTTTAATTATTAAAGTAATATTAATTCTAATATTGGAATTATTCTTAAATATTAGGATGATAAGGCATATTGTAGGCATATTAATTCTAAGTTGATTATTAGTAAAATTTAGGTTATTATTATTGATTATTTTTAGATGTACCTTAATAACCTTATTAACAAGGTTGATTTTAACTATTAGGAATTGTCTTATATTAGGATGATTTTTAAAATTAATTTGATTGCTAATTTTAATATTATTATTAATTTTACTGATTGTAATTGTAGGGTGATTAATCATAGGAATAATCTTAATCATCATAATTATTTTAATTCTGTTAAAATGTTTTATTCGATTCATTCTAATTTTAAGTCTTATAGTAATTAACTTTTTTATTTTTGATTTAATTTCTTTCTTTATTTTTTATTTAATATTAACCATCTCTTTAATCGTTTCTTTTATCATAATTTTTTCTTTTTGAAGAAGATTATTTATTTGAATCATATTTTTTATTTTCAGACTTATCTAGTTTAGAATTTTATTAATTTAAAGCCAATTCTGAAAATTGTTTTTTAGTTTTTACAATAACAATTTTATCCAAATGTCTATCATAAGGACTTTTAATTTTCTTATATTTTTCTGTTATTTCTTTATATAAACCTTTGCCTGGGATTAATCTTTTAATGATTGACATTACAATCTAAAATAAACTTATTGATTCTAGACCTTCACTAAAGAATTTATTATTAAGTTTCTTAATTGCAATTAATCTTGTGATGATATTTACAATATCTAAACATGGTCCTTTGTATTTCTTAATTTCTTTGTTATTATTATTGACTTAACATATTATCACAGAACCTAAATATTCTTTTTCAACTTTTTTAACTTCAATTATTGTACAATATTTATGAATTGTAATATGTTTGATTATATTATAAGTAGTTAAAACAAATTCTTATAACATTTTTGATGGATTAATTGTAGGTTAAGATAAAAAATCTTCTATTTAAATATCAAGATTTTCAAAATCTAAATAAAATAACAATTTCTCAACCATCTTCTAAGTATCACCCATATATTCAAGTTCTGGAAATATATGTTAAGGTTGATTCTCAACAAGTTTTGATTTATAAAATTATTCAAGATTTGTAATTAAACTCTTTTTTGTTTGCTTTTCATCTAAAATAACACTATCAGATTAACTTTAATTTGAATTATTAATTTCTTCATTATCTTTATTAAATATAAAGTTTTCTTCATCACTGCAATAATTTACAGAAGATTTCTTTGAAGGAGAAAGAACAAATAAATCAGAGAAATTTGGATTTTCTAAATTCTATTATTAGTTTAGATTAAATAATCCACTATCATTAAATTCTTAGCTAAATCTATTATCTTACATAAATTCTTGGTTTATAAATAGCTAATTACTTTGTACATTATTTGATTCAGTTTAATTACCTTAGTTTTATATTTGTTAATTATTCTATAACTTATCAATATTCTCTTATGGTTTATCAACTTTATTCATTGTAATATTTTTATCACTTTCCAATTTTGATGATTTTTCTAAAGTATCATTTTTATCTTATTCTTAAAATATTAAACAATCATTTAATTATTATTTATCTTATTTTTCTTAATCACTTTCTTCAAGTCTCTCAATTATTTCACTATCTGATTTTTCTGCTATTTTAGTCCATTTTTCCATTAATATAGGAGCTTTTTAATTTAGAATTTAAAATAAATCTTCTTTATTTTTACACTTAATACATTCAGCCCTAAATTCTGGCCACCAACTATCAAAACAATATTAGTACTCTAACAATTCATATACTCCTTCCAAACTTGTATATTATTATATATTTATATTTTATTAATCATTTTCAGGTATCTAGTAATTTGATTTAATATTTTAATTATTATTTTTATTTAAAATTTCCTAATTATCATGATTTTACATTTAAATTTCTTCATAAGTTAATTAAATATCTTATTTTTACAATTATTCTTTTTATATAGGATATTCTTCAGTTAAATTTTCAGAATCAATAGACTTTTTACTAATGATATTGGATATTATGTCATTAATTTAATCCTATTATTTCTAAAATTCTAAGCTAGAACTGCCTTATCCTTATTAATTAGAGCATGGAGGATTAGATTAAATTAAATTAGTATCTTAATTGAAATTTTATATTTTTTGCTTCTCTATATTATCTTTAATTTATTTTTTAGATTGTTTTTTAGTTTTTATATTATTTTTAGCAATATGAGAATTTGTTTCTACTTATTGATCATCTTCTAGTATTTAATTTATATTATTTTCTTTAATACAATCATCTATTTTAGACTTAAATTAATTTATTTAATCTTATTAAATCCTTTTTTCATTATTATTTAAGCATTTTTAATTTGATTAAGCAACCTTATTGAAATTCTCATTTTTATTTTCTTAAACTTCTGTATATTTATATTATCCATTCTAAACTTGGATGTCCAACTCATATAAATTCATAATCTTTTTTAAGAATAGTCCAATAAATTATTAGTCATTTTTTAGATATTGTTGAAAAATAATTTAAACTAAATCAACATAAAGCTATTCTATAAACCATTATGAACAAGAACTAGACTGAAATGTTTCAAAAATCTATTTATTTTCAGAAGATTTATAAGTGAAGGCTTGTATTAATCTTAAAATTTATGATTTATTTGAATTTAATAAGACATTAGCTAAAGTCTTTAGTTTATCAAATAAAACAGTCTTTTATTCTTCTTTTGATTCAGCTGTTTGTAATTGTTATTTAAAATACTCTAAAATGGCAACAACATCAAATTAATGAGGTCTTATTATACTATATGTTCTGCAATCTAATATGGATTTACTGTCAATCAAAAAAATCATTTTTCATAATCACTTAAATTTAATGATTATTTGATTTAAAAAATCATTGTATTGATTAAGATTATAGATATAGAAATTAAAGTAGGATTAAACTCTAAAAATCAAATCCATAATCTAACTATAATTTTTGATATTTATATCATATTAAAAACTTTTTAGTTAAAATATTAAATAAATTGATGTTTTATCATTATAATCTTGGTAATTTGATTTTTGATCTACATTTAATTTCTGCAAACTTTAATGAGCGTTCATCAGTGATATCATAATTAGCTAATGCAGCAGCTAATTTGTATGCAGCATTACATTCAGCCTATTATATAAATGTAATAATTTACTTCAGATAAGAAAACTTCAGGATCTGAATTAAAAAGTACCTTGCTTTTTAAGTTTTATCGATATAATTTTTCAAACAATTGAGGATCAACTTTTTTATTTTTTTTTGATGTTCCAGCCTTTGCTAATGATGGAACTTGGATAGATTTAATTTAAGGAGTTGAAATACTGACTTTGATTCCATGTTTTAAATTTTCTTATAAATCTTATTATTATTATTTTAATTCTTTAACAATTTCACCTTAATTTGTAATACTATCAAAATTAATTTATTGATTTCCTCCTTATGTAATTTAATGTTGATCTTTTTATTAAACTTTATGTTTTTAGAGTACTTATTCTGGTTTTAATTTTTGATTAAATTATAAAGAAGCTTATTATTAATGATTATTATTTCCCTCATCTTCTTTTAGTATTGGTTTATGATTAGAATCAAATTATTTAGCATCATCAGTTGAATAATTTTAAACTTTAAAATGTCTATTATGAATTCCTTATTTAACTTATTTTTCATGTACTTCTTTTTCTTTAATTTTGACTTAATCAAACAAAGTTTTAATTTTTTATTCATATTTTTCATAATATTCTTTGAATCCTATTTCTAATTTCCATTCTGGATTACTCTTTATTGTTGACAATTTAGTTTAATCTATTTTTTCTAAATAATAAAATGGATTGAATTCTTCCTATGGAGATTTAGTTAATCCAAGAGGATCAGAAATCTTATCCTCTAAAACTTATATTTATGGTAATTATCCATTTTATTCTTCTGATAATAATTATTATATTAATTGAGTATATTTAAGATCCACTCTCTCATTTAAATCTGTATTATAAATTTCTTCTGTTCCACTTCTTTTTAAAGCAATAGGTCTTGGTTCTTTACGATCATAATTTTATTAAAATGAATCAATAAATTTACCAGTTTCAGCATCCCATAATTTAACTTTCTTATCAAAAGCAGTTGTAATAAGGAAGTTTTCTTTTTCTACATATTCTAAAGATTTAATAACTTCATAATGAGCTCTAGTAATCCATTTCATTTTAACTTCTTTTTAAGGTACTTTAGGTAATGCTAACATTTATCTTGCATTTTAAGTAGATCCAGTTTTGATTCCCTTCATTCTTTTTGTTGCAGCATCCTCTTTATCTTTTTCATTAACAACATTAATCAAAAAATCTACTAACCAATCAACTTCAAAACATTTAATAAATCCTTTATCATCACTAAGAAATAAAACCTTTTTTTCTTAACTGAACACTGCATTAGAGATTCCTAATAATTAACTAGGAATTTCAGGATCTATATTTGTAAATGTATAAACTTTAACAAATCTATGTAATACAGGAGGCATAGACATAATTGAAACTCTTCCTTAACTATTAGTAACAAACAGAAATGGAATTCCTTTTATTAAATTGATAGATGTAATTTCTTCACCTTATTTAAATTCATTAGCAACACCATGCAATTTATTTGTATCAGTTTCATAAAATCTAATTTAACCAGAATTAGTTCCTGCTAATAAATGTTTCATAGCAGGATCATAACTTAAATATGTTAATTAACCATCTTAGATTATAAATGTACGTAATAATTCACTTTCTCCAAATTCATTATCTAAAGTCATAAATACATTATTATCCATAGATCCAGTAAAGAATGCTCCAATATCAGATGCATGAACAATAGCAACAACTTCACCTGAATGTTTTGGTAGATTCTTAATCTTTGCTCCATTTATTACATTAAATAATGCAACAGTTCCACTACTATCTCCAATAATAAATCTTTTATCTAAATTATCTAATTTAAATGCTGTAATTTCAGTTGTTGTAATATCACTATATATTTTCTTAACATCTCCAGTTAAAGCATTCCAAATTTTTATTTTAGTTCCTGCTGGTGTAAAAAATGCCATTTGATTTTCAATGAATTTACAACAAACTGCAACATAATCATCTACTGAATTAGGATTATAATTTTTATCATATTCATAAGAATAAATTGATCTACCACCAAAGATTAGTTTTAATGGTTTAGGTATATAGCATAAACTTGAAGGATTAAATTTATGTTTTTCATCTTATGTTTCAACACTAAATTATTAAACACAATTAAATTTCTTTGTATCCCAAACCTTTACACTACCTTCTTAATCCAAAGAAACTATTTATGATGTACCTTCAATAACTACTACTCCAATCACTGGACTACTATGTCCTTATATTTTAAAAATCAAACTTTCAATATATGGATTCCATACACATAAATTATGATCAAATCCTGCAGAAAATAATAAGATTAAACTCTCATTAAAAGCTAATGATACTATACCTCTTGTATGTTCCTTATATGTTCTCTCTCTTTTATTATAAAGAGTATTCCACAAAATTAAGTTACCATCTAAACTAGCAGATGCCATAAATTATAATTTTGGCATAGCAATCATATCCATAACTACATCAGTATGACCACCTTCACTTTGTAATTATGTTTCTGTATCAGTTTTTAAATTCCAAATATTAATCTATCCTTCTTTTTAACCACAATATAATATTTCATTTATTCCATCCCAAGTCATACTATATATATCGTTATTGAAATGATGTTCAATCATCTCCTCATCATTATCAGGTTAATTGGCTAATACGAATCCTGATGATTAATATCTCCATCCTCTTACATAACCATCATGAGTTGATGTCAACAATACTTGATACTTAGGATCATCAATGTAGAGCATTGTCAATATTTTTGTTTTCTTCTCAATAGTGTCTTCTTTCTTTACAATAATAAACTAGTTTATTATTAGATAAATATACATTTTATTTATCCTTATCTTTTTTTGCTTGAGTAGTTACAACTTTATCACTAATAGGAACAATTTTTAAAGGTCTTAATCCAAATCCTCCATCAGGTGTCATAAATTAGATCTCATCACTACCTTCTTCAAAAAATGCTATTTTATCTATCTCCTTTATGTAAATAACTCTAGTGATGATTTAAGTGAATTTTTTGAATGGTTTCATATTAGATTTTGTGTAAAGTTTGATCTCATCTTATTTAGACTTAATATTATTTAATACAGTTGCTTTTTCAATAATATAGTTTGTGAATTCTTCCCATTCCAATTTCCCATTACCATTTAAATCTATTTCCTCAAATAGATTCACCAGTTATCTTATTATAATATATCAGATACCTAATCAATTTTATATCTCTGTTTGATATTTCTAATTGCCAACTCAATAAATGCTCTTTTACAACCAAAATAAATTCTGTCACTTCCATAGATCCTTGTCTCATTAAAAATTCGGTTCTTAAGACATTAATTGTAAATGGATCAAAATTAAGAGTTAGATCAGCTAATAATGTTTCATCAGTATGTAAAATCTATTTATATGTTGAACGAGGTGAATAGATAGGAACAGTATGATCTAATTTCGAAAGCTTTTTAATTTACGTTGTCATAAGAATATTAATTATATAAATTAATTATAATTTAATTCCAAATTGTCATTCTCAATTTTCAACAATACACCTAAAATATTACTATATATATATAATAATTTAATACTTAACATCATTCATATTAAGTTTACTTATATCAATACAATTTTTAGAAATCACTCCATCCTTATCATTATCTAAACAGTCAAATATATACTAATAATATTTTTCCTATTTTATCTATAAAGATTGTTGATTCTATTTTTGTATAACTCTTGTATTAGGTCTAAATGTACAATTTTCATCTAAAACATCTAATTTATCTAAATGTTTTTATCTGCTTTTATTTCTTTCAATTTATTTTATCTTACCTTTTAAATATAAATTTTCACATCTATTTTTCTCTCTGAAAGTTTAACAATTATCCATAATTTAATTAAAGGGTTATTAGTTTATAAACTTGTTTCTCTAGAATTATTATTAATTTTCTTTTTGCACTGAATGTAAATTATTTTATGAATGAGATTTCTCAAATTTAATTTTGTTTTCAACTAAAAACTCACTTAATTAATATGAAGATTTGAATGGAATAATCTTCTGTCTTATATTAAAATACTTTTCATAACATTAAGCTAAATTACTATATTAAGGTAACACTGTTGCTGACTATATAAATCTTATTAGATTATCAGTAACTAATTGTAAATTTGTTAAATTTAAACCAAATTATATGCAAAACTAAACACCTAACTATTGGGGTGTGAACATAGTATTGATTTAGAATTCTTCCATTTTATCTAAAATCAATATTGATAACATTTAATTGGAATTTTAAAGGCTGTTTAATGAAATCATTTCGAAGTCCTTTATAAATTTCAATTTTTTATTAATAATTAACAAATATATGATTTATAAAAAATTGAGAATGTTTCATATTCCTTTATACTAATATTATGTATAATTTAAGTTAGTCTAACAAAATGAATTTGTTATTAATTTATTAAAAAATTATTATAAAATGAGAAAAACAACATAAACTAAATAGTTAAGTTTATTTGACTCAATCTTATCAGGATAAGCTTAAAAAGAAGAGGAAGAAAAGTAAATTAAATATAGTGTAAAGAATCAAAATGAATAAAGTATTTAAAATACTAAATCATTGCATCATTTAGTAATTTATAATAAAATTCTTAGAATGATATTTTTTATTCAAACATTATTGATTATAAGGATTTTAAATAATCTTTGAGATATAATAACAAAAATTTGAAAAAAATAGCATTAGAAAATATTAAAAATCCTCATCCAAAAATTATTAAGAATTTAATCAAATTTGATTTAAGTGGTCTTGTAGAATTAAAGTTGATTAGTATAGATATCACTGATTCTAAATTTGAAATGTTTCTAAAAAAAGGAGGTTTATCAAATTGTTTTAAGAAACTAACAATATTAACTTTAAATTGTTAATCAATGACTTCTAGTTCTTTAGAATATTTATTTTAAGGAAATTAAATAATAAAGTATTTAGATTTAAGTCATACAAAAATTGATAATTAAGGTATTTATTACCTATCTAAATTATAATGGCCATATTTAGAGACTTTCATTATATAATGGTGTAATAAAATAAATAATTTGAATGAATTAGGAGAGAATGCTGAGAATTTTCCCAATCTTAAAATATTTGATAGTAGATTTGTATATGCAAATAATGAAGCATATAACAAAATAATAAATTCTTAACTTAGTATAACATTAAATAATATACGTTTATTTGGAACTGATGTAGATTTAGATAATATATAATGGAAATAAAGTTTTTTATTGAATTTATTTTTGGAAAAGATAAGAGGATTAAATACATAAGAATTCATTATTCAAAATAATACAACTTGTGATAGAACAACTAATGATTATAAATAAGTGAGAATAATAACAAGTAAATTAAATGAAATAATATTTAGAAATCTATAAGGATAAGGATTAACTTATGTCAATAAATCTTTCTTGGAAGATTGATCCTACTATTGTTTAATTACAATATATAGAAACAGTAGAGAGTAAAGATTAAAAATTTAGTAATTTTGGTAAATTATTTGAATTTTTGTCTAAGGAATGGTAGTTGAGAAAGTCTTTAAAAAAAATGATTTTATTTTTTGATAAAATCTAATGTGATGAAACTAATTTCGACATATTATTAAAAACTATAATTGATTTTAAGGAAATGAAATAACTCTAATTGTATATATAGAATTAAATGCTATTGAAACCTGTTAGCTATTATTTTGTGTTTAATTAAATAAGTGAATTACAAAAATTAATAAAATTACAAGTATTTGTTATTATCAATTTCAGCTAGATTTTTAAAATGATAAATTAGTGATAAATGATATTTTACTTAATAAAATATATCGATCTTTGTAATAGTTAATAAATTTAAATACATTAGAATTAAATATAAGAAACAATAAAATAGTAAATGTTTTGGATTTGTATACCTTCAATTATCAAATTATTACATCAATTTTCAATCCATAATTAAACTATATTACTTTATTAGAGACTACTGAGGATAATTTAAATTATCAATTTTCAGATGCAGCCGATCTACTATATAGTAATCCATTTAAAATTATAAATATTAATAATTTCTAAAATTTTATCTTACAAGAGGATCAAAATAATACAAAAGAAAGATATTTCGAAAGAATAACTAAAGATTATTATAAATAAAAACGAAAATTATTGAAAAGTGCAGTAATTGCTGACTGTTAAAGATTAAATTATCATAGGAGATTTAGAAAGGAACAGATTAATGAAATTTTTTAATATATAATTAATTCTAAATGAATGATCTTGATTCTGGAGATGTTGCAAATAAATTTAGTGACTTCTATGAATTCGAAGAATTTTTAGGTTCAGGAGGATTTGGTAAGGTTGTTTAGGCAAAGAACATCAAAGGAGAAAGTGTGGCTGTCAAAATAGTACCTAAGAGAGAATGTAGAAGAAGTTATTCAGAAATATTAGCAGAAGCAAGCATATTGAGTCAAATGAAACATTCAAATATAGTGTAATTTAAAAGAGTACATGAAACAGATACAAGATTATTAATAGAAATGGCTTTGGTGAAGTACGGGCAATTGAAAAGATTATTTACAGATAAAATTGAATTGAGTTATGAATAGAAAAGACAATTAATGCAAACTTTATTCAAAACAGTGGCATTCATCCATGAAAGAGGAGTAGTTCATAGAGACATTAAACCTGAGGTGAGGATTGTATGTATACTAGAGAACCTTTTACTTGAAGACCCTAACGATATGACCACTTTGAAAATTGTAGATTTTGGATTGTCAACTAGATCTTAGTTACTCATCAGTGGTTAATGTGGCACACTCATCTACATGGCTCCAGAATTCTTTACTAGTAAGCATTACTCTAAAGTAAAAATATTATTAAATAGACTAGCCAGTTGATATTTGGAGTTGTGGAATCATATTATATATGGTATGTACAGGTGGAAAACATCCATTATATGTATAAGGATAAACAGCTGAAGAATATAGAGAGAAATTGTATTAGCATTTGTAAAATCCATAATGGAATTTCCCTGAAGGTTTTGACTAATTAGCTAAGAATCTTTTCTTGAAATGTGTTGCTGAGGATCCTATGCATAGATATAATGCACATTAAATCTTACATCATCCATGGATTACTGGAAAGGTTAATGATCCTATTCCACTCTCTTTACCTGAGATGTATAAGTCTTTTTCAATGAGAGAGCGTGTAACAAGAATTATTAAGGCTTTAATGGTCATTAGGATGATGTCAAAAGATTATTGGAGATGTATCAATACTAAGAAGGTAGATTCATCTTATTTAGATCAAGTAATTATTTTTGCTATTATTATAGTGTAATAAAATCTCATAAGCTCATTAATAATAATAATAATAATAAAGTTTACTTGATAAGTCTTATGTTAAGGAAATGATGGCAGAACATGCATAAATTAAATAAAGATAACACAATCACAATCATAGAGTTGAAACTCCAAAATATTAAAGCATTTTAAAAAGATTAATAGATCCATCTCGAAATTAACATGATTCATATTTAGACTAACCTAATAATAGCTAAATTGTAGATGAAAATATGCTCAATTAATATAATTCCATTAATAATAATCAATAAACAGATGGTTCTTAACGTTCAGTTTCTTAATAAAGTATTTAAGATGCATAAGAATGTGCTGAATCAAATAGTGGCAAACTTATTATTATCAAAAGAAGTAATCAAAATAAAAAGAAAACAAAAAAGATTGTTTAATTTATTACTACAAAAAAATAAAATAATAGTTCAGTTGATCTATAATAGAGATCTAGATCCACAACAGCCAATAATCCAAAATAACTAATGAATACTCTTGCAGAGAACAAATAATTTGAATCTCCTAAGAAAATTTAACTTGCTTCTCTCACTTAATTTTAGTAATAATAACAATCTCAACCACATCTCATTTAGCCTTAGCAATCCATACCATTTCTGAATACTGTCTCATAATTTAATGTGTTAAAACCACTTCCATCTAATTAATCCCCTGTCCATAGACTTAGTAGCCATAATGGTGGCAATACTCCTAGTCTTCATAACATCTTAAATTAAAACATAGAGCAATAGTAACATCAGTAAAATCATAGCTAAGCATATGGTTATATTAGAAAAACTAGTGTTATAACCTAAGATCCAAAGATTGTTGAACCTCCAAGTATGTATTAATAAAATATTTTGCTATTTTAGGAAAAAGGAGTAATACTTCTACTCGGAAATTAAGTGTTGTTGAATTAGATTGTCATGATTAATAAAAATATGAATAATAAGAAAGTAAATTTAGATTTATTATCAAAATAGAAATAGTTCATAATTAATTTTTACCTAGAGGATGGTGCAAAACCTTACCATTTTAAAAGTTTCTGCCTTCCAAATAAATGCAGGTCCATCCTTAATTTATTGAATTGAATGCTTTGAGATAATAAATTAAAATTCCTTTACCCATATAGCTATAAGTTCCAAAAAAAAAATGAAAAAAAATATAATTTAATGATTTGAATAATCAATATTAATATTATTATTATTATTTATGTAATTAACTTTTTTTCTTTTAAATTTATTACTGAAAATATATATAAAATAAATAAATATATATATAAATCATTTTTTAATTTATCTTTGTTTTTGTCCATCAGGATATATTATATCAATATTTCCATTTGGATATTCAATTTATTTTACTTTCTTACTATCTATTCTTTGGATAATACCATCACTAAAAAAAGTTTATTCTTCCCCATTTGTTGAAATATACTTTTCAGTACCATCTCCAAACCGAATTTCCTTTCTGCCATCTGTAAAATGGATTTCAATCTATTAATTCGAAAATCTATAAATCTAATAATGAGATAAATATCTTACATTTGGACCACTGGCTACAGTTATTTAAGTAGTGTGGGCATCAGCAAAAAAATAGATTATGGTTCCATTAGGTAGAGTCTATTTTACATCTTTATTTGTAAAATGAACAATTACATATCCATCAGGGAATACTTCTCTTTTGACTCCATTATGAAAAACAACCTCCTTTTTTCCATTTGCATATTATCTAGAAACTTTACCATCTTAACCTACATTTTAATTAACTATTTTTGATGGCATATCTTTATTCCTCTTATACATTAAATAAAAACGATTTTGATCATATATAAATTCTTATTCACTAATTAAATTATTAATATTTTTGATAGTAAATGGTATATCTTATTCTTACATACTTACTAAATCATGCTTTTTTTATTTTTATTAATTTACAATATTAATTTTAGATTTTTAAGTCATTGATTTCTCCATTATATCTTCATATTTTTCAGATAATGCATCACTTTAATTATCATCATCATCATCATCATCCTCATCATTTTTTAATTGTTCTTCTTCATCATTATCAAAATCATCTTCATCTTCTAAATAATAACTTTTCTTATCTTATATTGATTTTGTTTTTTATTTCAAAGATTAATCATCAGGAATACTTTAAGGACTTTAATTTCTTAATTTTTATGGAAGAACTTCTTTATTAGAAGATAAAACAGATTAATTTGATTTTATTTATATTTATTATGATTTACTTTGTTAAATAGAAGGTTAAGATTAAACATAAGAAGGTTTCTTTTATTCTAAAAGTCTTAATTCTAAACATTTAAGTTCTGATTATAAATCTTGATTCTTTTAATTTACTTCTTCATATTATTTTTTAATTCTATCATAAGCTAATTTATTTTTTTAATCTTTTAATTTTTATTCATCTTGCAATTTCTAAACTTGTTATTTAAGTGATTCTATCTCTTCTCTTTCTTTTCTATTAGGAATATTTTAATTAGATTTTGCCTATCTTTCAAATACTCTTTTTTCCCTCAACATTTTTTTTTTCTCTTCTTCTTTCCATTCATCTAATTATAATTTCTCATTTTCTTTTTATTTTTCCCATTCATCCCTTTCTCTTTATAATTGCTTTAATAACTCTTCATATTTTCCTTATGTTTTCTTTAATTTATCATTTTCGCTCTTAAATTTAGCTATTTCCATATTAAGATTATTAATTTTATCTTAAACTTAATTTTTTGTACTTTCTTCTTCACTTTCAGAATGATTTGATTTATCAAATTTGTTATCTTTAACTTCTTTTTTTAAACCAAAATAAGAAGAACTGATTTTTTAATTTTAAGAAGCTTAATCTTTAATAAAATCTTCATTATTATCAAACTAATAATCCTTACTTTAATGATGAGATGAATTTTAAATTTCTTATTATTTTTAATTTTCTTTTTATTTTTAACCATACTATTATTAATTTTATGACTTTGGTTTTGGTTATTCTTTTGGTGTTTCTGATCGTTTCATTTTATTTTAAACTTCTCTTTACTCTTATTTTTCAAACCTTTAAGGATTGGATGGTTTTTAAGATTTTCCTTAACAATTTTAATTTTGCATAATTGTATTATTTATTGCATTATTTTCTTTCATAATTTCAGCATGTTCCTTTTTTGCAATATCTGATCTTTATTATGCATTTGATAAAAATTATCTTGTTCCTTTTTTTAAAAATGGTTTTTTCTTAACATTTCCTTATTATTCATTATTGTATTCAAAATTTTCTATTTGTTGTTTTTAAATAAGATTTCTTTCAGGCAAAGGATCAAAATTTTAATTTTTTATTGTTTTTATTGATATTTCTTCATAATTTTTATATGTTTTTATTTGATTATCCTCAACAATATTCTTAGATTATTATTTCATATTTTAATTTTATTTTCCTCTATCATTCACTTAATTATTTTATTTTGAATATCCAATAGTTTAATCTTCTAATGAATTCTGATAATTGGATTTAATAGGAATTTCATCAAATGAATTTTTTTTTGTAGGTTTTATAAGGATTTCATCAAAAGTATTCTATTTAGCAGGTTTTATAGGAATATCATCAAAAGTATTTTATTTAGCAGGTTTTATAGGAATATCATCAAACTTATTCTATTTAGCAGGTTTTATAGGAATATCATCAAATGAATTTTATTTAGCAGGTTTTATAGGAATATCATCATATTAATTCTATTTTCCAGGTTTTATAGGAATATCATCAAAAATATTTATTTTTGTAGGTTTAATTGGCATTTCATCAAATGTATCAAATGAATTTTAATAATTCAATTTTTTTTTTGGTTATTCATCAAATTAACTATTTTTTCTTTATATATCTTATTAAATTTCTGATTTTTTTCTATAATTTTCATCATTTTTTATTGTATTTGAAATATCTTCTAGCTATTTATGATTAATCATATTATCCTCAAATTAATTTTATTGCATTGGTTTGATTGGCATTTCATCATAAGGATTAGATTATTTTCTATATTAATTTTCTTCATTATTATAAGTACTTCTATTGAGATTTTTTTGATAATTGTTTTCATTACTTTAATTTCTTTAATTATAATATTTAGTATTTTATTGATCATTATTATTAGTTTGTTTCTAATTGATGCTTGAATTCATAAATTACCTTGATTAATTTCTATTATAATCTTCATTATCAAAATTGTTTTATGATTACTTAATTGAATTTTAATCCTCATCAAATTGATTATTATATCCTCTTTCAACTTATTTTTACTAACCTCTTGATTTCTACTCTAGATTATTATTCTTTTATTGATTATAATATTCATTTTATTAAAGATTGTAATCATTGAATTCATTTTAGCTATTATTTGTAACTGGAATATCATCAAAATTAAGCTATCTATTAGTATTTGTATAAGTTTCCTAATATTATTATTTGGGATACTTCATAATATTTATTTGGATTATATGCATTAATGAATTGGGAGGTTTATTACAATTGACATTCATCTGGTTTCACTTAATTATAAAACTAATTCATATCATTCACTTTATGCATATAAAATTTCTCTAAATCGAATCCTTCATAAATATATCTCTATACCAGATGAATGACTTTGCATCATTGAAATCATTTGAGATTAAAACATTTTCATCATATTTTACATCATAACATCATTTGGGTTAATGTTTTGTGTGGGAATATCATTTTAGAATATAGACTATCCAACAGTGCTACGCTACTAATACATTAAAAAATTGAATTCAAATTTTAACAAATAATAAGTTCAAAATTTCCTCCAAAAATTCACATACGGATTATCAATCTTCCATTTGATTAATTCTTAATAGTATAGATTTTATTTGTTGGATTAAAAAAGATATTCAAAAAAGTACATTAATAACATCTTTCTAGTAAAATTTAACCATTGTTAAAGATATAAAATCTATGATAAAATAATTATTAAGGATACTTCATTTCTTAATTTTTATTAAAGTTAAAAAGAATTTTTGTTGAATGTTATGACATACTGTTTAAGTTTGTAAATATAAGCTATTAAAAAATAATTTAATATAGGAAATAGCTAAATATGACTAATTATTTCTTATAAGTATCAATAAAACATTCTTAAATTGAATAAAAATCCTTATTAATAACTATAAATTCAAAATTGAAATTTAGAAGATGTATAGAATATAAAAAAAGAAGATATAAAAATTAAAAGTATTCAGATTAAATGATAAATTAATTTAATAATATTCAATTATAAATAAATTATTTTTCAATAAATATAAATAATCTTTAAATATAATCAACCAAATGTATTTTCAGATAATATATATTTCTTTCCAATAAAATTATTTAAAGAAAACGATTAACAATATGAAGATTATTAATTATAAACAATATTTTCAATAATAATAGTATTAATATCGGAAAAATAAAAAAAATGAATAAACAATAAAAGAATTCAATCAACTATCTTATTTAATTATATTTAAAATATCTATTGAAAATATAATTATTGGATTTTTATATTATATTTTATTGTTTAATATTTGATCATACTTTGCCAATTCATTATGGTAATTATTCTTTATTTTAATTAAAAATCTTTTATTAATTGAATTAATTTTATTAATTTAATTTCCCTTAATTAATAAAACTCTAAATATTAGTTTAAATGTTTTAAGTATTTTTTTACTAAAACTAATAAATAGGTGTTTATTACTCAGTACTGAAAATATTCTACTATGGCTTTTAAATTTAATTTAGTCCATTATTGCCTTCTGAATTACTTCTTTGCTTTCTACATTGTTCTTACGGCTTTTATAATATTTTCTTTATTTACATTATGAGTTTAAATATTTTTACCCTTTTAATTTAGTTCTAACAAAATCGAATCAATAGTTATTCTCATAGATGGATCAATTTGAATCATTTTTTAAACAAGCATTACATATTTTTAATCTAACATAGTCAAATTATTTTTGATTTTTTAGTCAATCTCTTGTTGTGTAATATTAAGAATTTCATTATAAATTTGTTATCTATTAGATTTCATAAACATGACTTTTTGAGTAAATAATTCATAAATAACAGTACCAAAGGCCCAGATATCTACTGATTAATCATATCCTTAATGATTATTATTTTGTTTTATTTGTTCTGGAGGCATATAATGAGCTGTTCCACATTATAAGGTAAGTGCTAAATCTTTAGTACTTGATAAACCAAAATCACATATTTTATATATTTTTTATGACAAATTTATATTATGATCTTTTTTAACAAAAACAAGAATATTTTCTGGTTTTAAATCTCTATGAATAATTTTTTGTTCATGTAATTCCTTTATACCATTGGCTATTTATTTAATTATATATCTAGCCTCATTTTTATCAAGAGGATGTTTATCTATTTCATTTTATAAACTATTTTCACAATATTCCATCAATAAAAAATATTCATTTGTTTCATGATGTTTTTAAAATTCTATGATATTAACTAAGTTTTTAAAGACTTTTTATTTTAACTTTTATAAAATTTCTATTTCTTCTTTTTGAATGGATGATTAAATCTTTAAAGCATATAATTCAAAGGTTTATTTATTTTATATCAGATAGACTAAACCATAACTACCTTTACCTATTAATCTCTTCTTTATATATTCTATTCCTGATATTGTAAGTAAATCTTATTTTTCAATATCCTTAAAAAATAATGGGAATGTCATTTTTTATTGGATTTATTATTATTAATTAATGTTTTATGGTCCATGATTAATCCCTTATTGAAATGTATGCTAATTAAAATGTAGAATTTATGGTTGTTATATAAATGTTGGTAATTAATTATTATTGACAAAATTAACTTAAGGATTGTGGAATTATTATGAATTTACTAAGTTGCATTATGGTGGAATATGATTTTATTGGTTATTATGCATATGTATTATATTTTTAAAAAAATATTTATTCACTAATCAAAATTAAGATCATTTTCTATTAGATCATTAGTCTCTGTTTATTCATACCTATTTCTATTTTTTTATTATTTTAATGCATTCAATTTATCCTAAAAGTTTAATCCCTTCTTTGATCTTTTTTCTGTAGTCTATTCTATATCAATTTCATCAAGAGGATTCAATCCAAAAACATTAGTAAAATATTCTAATTGTTACTCTATACTATATTTTTAAAATTCATCAAGATATATATATTCTACATTCCAATCAAATACTTATTCATATATAAGTTTTTATATTTATCTTTCTTTTCTTAAATGTTTCAAAATATTATAATCTTATTCTCCTAATCTAATTTAAATGTTTTTTTCTTCATTTAATTATAATTCAAAATCTGAAGGATCTAAAACTATTAAACCAAATTTTAAATTTTATGTTTTAGTTTTTATTAAATGAGTAACATGAAGCATCATTCCTATTCCTTAATCAAACATATTTATATAAGATTGATTGTATTCTTATTTTAAATTAATATCTTTGCATTATTATTGTAAAGATTATTTTAGCACATCTTTTAGTTCTAATAATTAGGAATCTTTGAAATTATTTAATAAAACAGATGTTTAAGCATAATGAGATACTTTAATAAATTAAGAGATTTTTTCAATTCCTACTTCTAAACTGAGTTTCTCAATTAATATTACCATCCATAAACTCTCTACATATTTATCAATATGAAAAATGGTATTTATATCTAATTCCTTAATACCCATACATGCTTCCTGTATAAGTTCTTTCTTTATTATTCTTTCTTTTGTTAATAAATGTTCTTATAATAAACACCAAGAGATAACAACCCAATTATCTTATTTAAAAAAGAATCTCATTTCATCTTTATATTATTAATTTAAAACTATTAATTAATTATGAAGATGTTCATTCTTTGGATCAAGATATAAAGCCTAATGAAATAATGATTTATGTATAGATTATTTGATTTTAATTTATTATTATTAACAGAATTTATAAAAGTATCTCTAACAATAATTCAAAATGACTTAATCTTCATATGGTAATTCAATTTCCTAAAGATTTTATATAAGTAAAATTGATAATTTAATTTATTCTAAATGAGGTAATGACATTTAAAGAGTTTATAATATTGCTACTTTTAAAGGAGTTGAAATCTATTTTAAATGATCAGATGTTAATTAGATTGGTATTTAAAGTTTTGATTACATAGATGCAATTGTTAAATATGCTAAATAAGTTGGTTTAATCTATTATTATTATTATTAGTCTTTATTAAGTCTATTAATTATAATTTCATTCAATAATTTTGTTAAATCAAAAGTTTCAGAATTATTTGAAGCATTTAAATATAATAGAGTCAATTATCTAATTGATAATAAATTTTATCTCACTATTAATTATTTTGAAAACTTATTATATAATTCTGCATTTCCTTTTCTTGATTTAAGAAAACTCCAAAAAATTGAACAAAATTATTTATCATTAACTTTATCTATCAATTCAATACAAGCTCCCTTAAATGATAACATAATTATATATTACTTCTATTTTATGCTAAAGAGATTTATCATTATATTTAAAATAATAATTCATTGTTGCTCTACATAATTTAACTAAATCATGAGGTAATAGATTTTTATTAGATGGAAATTATTCAGCTAATTGTTCTTCTATTACTAATTAAAATGCATTTGAACATATATTTGGTATAAATATATATTATGCTAATTTAATAAAATCTGAAAAACTATAATCTCTTATTCTTTACTAAACTTATTTCTCTGTTACTGCATATATTCCAAATCCTCCTTTTTGATTGTCTGGGCATTTAGAATATAAATATGAATAATAAGCTAATTTCATAGGATTTATTTCATGTTAAGCAATCTTTATCACTGATGCTAATTAACCATAAAGAATTGCTGAACCATAATGACAATATTAATAAGCCCATAATATTTTTTCTATATCTTAATAATTTATTATTTCATTTTTATCAGATAATCTATCATATATTTCATTTTCCATTATTCGAAAAAAATCTTAATCAAATCTTTTGACATAAGCATATTATTCTAATATTATTGCAATTTAACTAAATGTCAATTTTTCATACTTCTTTGAAAAATATTTAATAAAATAATTATAAATGTCATTCTTTATTAATTCTTATGTTGTTTATATTTTATTAAGTAATTAATTTCTTTAAGCTTAATCTTATTCTCCCAATACTTTTATAATTCTAATTGCATCATTTGGCTCAATATAATGTCTCTTGATTTTCAACCACAATTAAGGATTATATTATCCTACTTTTATTTACTAAATAAATTTCTCTTCATGAGTCTCTACCACAGATTTTATGGCAGACTAAATTTCTTTTAAACTAAGAATATCAGAATGCAAATCAATTTTTTAAGAGTAAAGAAACTTTATTACTTTTTTAAACATAATTATTTTATAATTTCTTTATTTATTCCAAATAAAGAAATGAAAAATTGATTTCTCAAAAATTTTGTTCAAAGAAATAGATTCTATTTGAGCTCCTCTCTTTCCATAAAAGATTCATTCATCTATATTTATTAATATATTTTTATACATAGCTTTAATGTTAACTATATTTAAAACTACTATGACTTAATCTTCTTTATTTATTGAATGCAGCAGGTGTATAATTATAATCATCACTTAAAATAAATATATTATTTACTTTTCATATTTCTAAGGAGTTTAAGTCCATTATAAAATATGTTATTTATTTGTATTAACATTATCTTTTTATTACTTTTTGAAAAGTAGGTATTTTTTATGCATTCTATTTCTTCTAGGATGTTTTATAATTGTTCTTATTTTTGAATCATTCTTTCATTAAAAATTAAAATTACATAATGTTATTTCCTTAATGCAGTACTCTCTCTACTCTAAACAACAGGTAATTTCTTAGGTTCTTCAATTTCTTCTTCTGAATCTGTTAACAAACTAACATAGGTTTTATTTAAAAATATGATCTCAAGGGCCTTTTTTTCAAATTCAATCTGAAACTGATCAAAATAAGAAGGTCTTTCTTCATAAAATTATAAGATACAACCCTTTAAGTATAAACTATTATTTAATATTCTATAGTTTTTCATTGAATTCTGAAATTCTCTTTTTCATACCTGAATTCCAATGATTTTTAATTGCATTATCAGTTCTTCCTTCTAAATGTTTAGCTATTTCTGCCCATTTGTTACTAATTGCTTTATGATATAGAAATAGAATCCATTCTTCATCATAATCCCAAGGTGATTTCTTAATTAATGGATTCAAATGATTATGCCATCTATTCATATTATCAAATAAGAATGACTACCTTTCTCTGCATTATTTTCCAATCCTTCCTGGTAATTTGGATGCAATAAAAGTCCATTTATGTGGACCATACAATTCAACTAACTGCATAACTTATGAATCCTCATAATCAGTCCAAGGTTCTAATGTTTAATATGAATAAATACTTTTTTTTGTTTTCTCTATTTTCTTCCTCATTTTTTAATTTTTTTGAAATAATTTATTTAACTGATTAATAATATTTCATAAAATTAAATATATATTATATAATTAAATGAAAAAAATGCTCATATTGAATATTATTTAATAGATTCCAAATATCAGGATTAATATTGTTTGATCTGAATAATATTTCAGATATTCATATATGATAATAACGCTTCCTTTTTGTAATTCATAAAGTATGTTGTGAATAACTTTATTACTATTTCTTCATTTCCTCTTTATATTCAATATCAATATAAGAAAATTTCTCTTTGGTATATATGATAATTTCTACTTATTTTAATTCTATGAATACTAGATTCAATTCATATAAAATTTAAGCTAATTGTTTTTTTTAGACTTTATATAACAAGTTAATTCTTGGAACAAATTTGTAAGCATACTTTGGAACAAAGTTGTAAGCATAATTATCTTGAGTTAAGTAGAATTAACTCTGCCTTATATGCAAAATAGAAATCAATTTAATGCATCAATTATTTTTGAAGGTTGAGGACTTTTTAATGAAGACAGAAAGCATCTTATAACTTCCTCTCATTAAATATTATCTTAGTAATACTATGGTCTATTATCAATAACAATTTTCTGGGTTATGTTTAGACATCCTAAAAATTTACAAAAATTATTAAAATAATGTAATATTTCATTTATTCATGAAGTTGAACTATTAGTAATTCCTTCATCTTTAGAAATTGAAAATTCGTGTGTATGTTATTAATAATGAGTATAGATAGTTTCACTTAATTGTAATAGTGATGTATTATAGTCTCCTATTAATTGATGATAAAATTCAAAAAGTTAAGATAAGCCTCAATTATAAGATACTTTAATAAATAATTGCATATCTAAGCAACATAAGACAGACTTATGTGATTTAGAATCTCAAACTAAATAACATTTAGTACTTCTAAAATTTATTAGCAATTAATCAAATTGGGTCTAGTTATTTATTTGACTCAAAAATTTAATATAAGAAAATTAGATATTAAGAAGAACAATAAATAAATGCTCAGAGAATTTTGTTTAATAAATAACAAATAATTGAAGATAGAGTAATGAAGAATGTAATAATAGTTCAAAATTTGATTAAATTAAATAAAAAATAGTTAAATAAATAATTAAGAATAGCTAATAATCCATTTACATTATCAAATTTGTACATTAATTTCAAAAAACCTCCATAATCATAAAATTACGATTAGATAAATAATGATTATTTGATACTATTTAATCTAAATACACAAGATTAAAATTATTTAAAGAAGTATTTTAATCAATAAAAAAACAATAAATTTAAAATAATTAATTCTTATTGAGGTTTAATAGTTACAAAACATATAAATTTAATAAATGCTTAAAGATTAAATTAATAAGAAATAGGAAAATAATAATAATAATGATTATTTATTTATATAATTATATAAATGTTTGACCTTTTGAGAATGAACTTAAATCATGAGATGGTGCATTTTTTACACCAACAATCTGAATTATTAAGTCCTACATCTTGATCTATTTCAGGGGTTGTTATTTCATAAACTAATGATTTAATAAGAGATTTTTACAAGCATCCTCAAAATACTATTTATTATAAGGTATTTAATAGTGCTTTTCTATTTCTTATAGAACCTCTTCAATATGAATGATCAGTGTAATTACTTATTCTCTTGTATTTATATTTGGATCATCTATGATATCTTTCAATTACTACATTTTAAATCCTAAAACTTCAGCATATATTTTGCTTTTGATATTGATAATTAATTTACTTAACAATTGGTTCAAATTGTATAATAATTTATTTCAAACCTTTTCTATCTTCATATGTTTATTTAATTAAACCTATTAATATAATTGAATTCTCATGTGCAAACTCCTATAAATGTTTTTGTGTTATATTTTATTATTCATTTTATAATTTATTGATATTCAATATTTTCATTATAATATTGAATATTATTAATATTAATATTCGTTTTTAATGAGAGTAACATCATTATTGTTGATACTTCTAATAAACAGTGTTATAGGCACTAAATCAATTTATGAAATATCATAAAATGAATATGGAAAAACAGTGCTTTAAGCAATATAATTAACATTGAATGAGGAACCAGCCTCATTTGGAAGGACAATAGATTTATTATAAGAATTAAAAAAGGGAATTCAAAATGATTAAGATGAAGATTCTGGACTTTTAGCTGAAAGATTGGAAACATGTGAAACACATATTTCATAAAATTCATAAACAATATCAGATTCATAAACAAAATTAGCATAAGCTTAAGAATAAGTTGGTCCACTTGAATAAAAATTACTAGATAAAAGACATTAGGCAGAAGATAAGGAAGGTGAAGAATAGAGAAACAATGATAGAATAAATAAGTTGATTTTATAAAGATAAGAATCTAGATAATAATTTGAGAGTAAAAGAGATGAATTAACATCTATTGTTGGAGCATTAAGTGAAGCTAAAAAAATTATTGGTTCTATTAAAACAGATCCTACTGCTTTAATTTAATTAAAAAATCATAAAGAAAATATATGTAATTATTAAGAAAGTAAAATTAGTAAATTAAATTTAAAAGTCATCAATGTTTTATACTTTGATTCATTCAACACTTTCTTTAATATAATAAGGAACAAGTCAAGAAAAAGTAATTAGAATTATTGATGATTTGATTGATGAAGTTTATTAAGTTTAGAAATTAGAAATGATTGCTGATGATCAAAGAGAAGCAGACTTTATTAAAACTAAGTAATTTTAGATTTTAATATTTTAGAATACGTTTTGAATTTGCAAATACTAGATTAAATACTAAAATTGCTGAATTAAGAGCTGATGTGCAATAATTATAATAATAATTACTAGAATTAAATAACAATATTGCAATTTATTAAGACTTAGTCAATCTTAAAACTAAAGAAAATGCAGATTGGCAATAATCTTGCAATGATGCATAAAATAGTCATAATGGATTGACAGATTATAGAACTTAATAAATTACAATTATTGATGAGTGCATATCATTATTATAAGGACATGACCCAGAAATCACATAATTTATTTAGAGATTTGTTTGAAAAATATTAATTATTCAAAAAGATGCTTAAAGCAACATCTAATATTTAATATAAATCTAGGTAAAGTAATTCTTCCTAGAATTTTGTCTTTATCCATTTTTATAGTAAATATGAAATTAATTATAATTATATGAACTTTATGAATACTCATTCACAATTTAACTTTTCAAGAAAATCATTGCCTAGACCTTTGATATCTAGATAGCTTACAAGGGAAAAGAGTTAACCAAGTTTTAACCCAATAACTCCATCAGTAAGTTATTAATAACAATATTTTAGACAAAATTTCGTATCTCCAATACTAATTAACAAATGAATAGAGAGAAGATTTAAAAAGCCAATGGCAATTATTTTAGTTAACATGATGATACAAGTGGTAGTACTAAGATGTCAAAAGCACACACTTAATAACTGTTGAAAAAGAATGAAATAGAATTTAAGTAGTCTTTATTTGATCAAGAAGACAAAGAAGAAGAACTCTAATTTACATTACTATGTTAAACTCTTGAAAAGCTGTTGTGATTATTTAATAAGAAATGATAAAATATTTTTTGTTTTATAAGCTTTTGTTTATAATAAATAATAATAAATATATGTACCGATAATACGATTACACATACTCTCCATCTAAATCATCAAATACTATAGATGATATGGAGCAAAGACTTAATGCAGTAATTAATGCAAATGAAAAATTGGTACTTTTTATAACTAAGATTTTATTATAGACTTTACTGTTAAAAGAGAAAATTTAAGAGAATGATTAACTGAAGGAAAATATTGATATTCTTTATAATAATAATCAAGAATTATCTGAAATTAATATAGAACTGTGTGAATAAATCAAAAAGTGTAAAAATTAGAAATGTACTTCACTTCATTAGAAAAATCATATTGAAATGGAGAAAGAACTCTAAAAATTAAAAGAAATTATAGCTTAAAAGGATAGAGAATTAATAAATTATTAACATCACTTTGAAGAAGAGTTGCAGTTAGAAATTACCTAAAAAGACTATGTAAAAAATAAAAAATAACGTATTAGATTGATAAAATCAAAGGTTTAGAAGATCAAAATTAATAATTAATACATGAATTAGACTTGGTCACTAAAAAGTTAATTGAAAGCTAAAGAGGATCATTAACTAATTATGAGAATAATTAGTTAGTATAATAATATGAATCAATAATTGAAGATTTATAATAGAAAATAGAATAAATGAATAAGTTTCTATTTTAAAAGGATGAGGATTCATCATAAAATTATAATAAACAATTTTTAATACAAATGGAATAATTATAAGTAGAAAAGATAACCTAATCATTATAATTAGAAGAATAAAAAAAAAAAATAAATAAGTTATAATAAGAGTTGGAAGAGAGGAATATTATGATTGATTAATTGAAGAAAAATTATAGTCTAAATTCATCTAAAAATGAAATTATACAAAAATAAAATATGCTTTAGAATAAATAAAAATATATTAAAATAGAAGAGAATGTATTAGAATTGAGTGATGATATAGAAACAACTATTAAAAGAAGATCTAATTTTGATTATTAAAATGGAAAATATATTTCATAAGGAAAAGGTTTTATGGAATAAAAGAGTCCTCGTTCTTAAATTTCAGATTAAGATTCATATTTATATTTATATGAAAAATTATAATAAGATATGTAAATCAAAGAAAAATAATATAATGATCTTATTGTTAAAAAATAAATAGCAGATAATGAAATTTTAAAATTAATGAATTTAATTAAGGATTTAGAATACTCAATTTAAGAGAAATAATTATTAATTGAACAATAAGATAATGAAATTAAATCTCATAATCGAAGTATTAGAAAGAAGGAATCAGAACATAAGAAAAATATAATCAAGTAGTAAGATGATATATAAATTTATGAAGATAAATTAAATGCACTTGAAAATCTTAGAAATGAAGAACTCAAAATTTATGAATAATAAATTTCTTAAATTCAAAATTAATTAAAATAAAAAGAATTAGAACTTAAAAAATTATAAGATTTAGTTAAAGATAAAAATAAATTATAAACTAATTTATAATCTCTTATTGAAGAAAAGAAAGAAATATAATAAAATTTAGAATAGAAAGATTAAAAAGAAGAAGATTTGAAAGCTAAAATTGTATTGCTTTAATAGTAACTTAAAACAAAAGAGATAGAAAATAAAAGTTTAAGAGAAAAAGGTTTAAATTAAAATAAAATTTATGACTTAGAGAGTTAGATAATTTAATTAAAATTAGAATTAGAATAAAATTTAATAAATGCAGAAGTTTAAACTGAAATAATAATAAAAAATGAATAATAAATGAAAATGAAAGAATTTCTTATTAATAAATTATAGGATTAATTAAAAGATGCTAGTAACAAATAAAAAGAATTAATAACAGAAAGAGAACTAGAAAATTAGAGAAATTATTAATAAATTGATGAATAAAATGATCTATTAAGAAAATAAGAATATGAAATTAAAAAATTACAAAATTTAATATCCTCAAAACCTTTAGAGAAAACTTTAAACATTCAATCTGAAAATTTAATCTTAAAAGAATAAATAGAAGAATTTATAAATTAATAAACAAAGTTAGAATAATAAGTAATGATATTAGAAACATAACTGAAAGGAAAAGATTAAGAAATAATTATCACAAGTTAAAAACAAATCTTATCAAATGCAGAATTATAGACAAATATGAGAAAGTAGGAGGCTGATTATAATGATAAATTAATAGAAAAGGAATAATTAATTTAAGGATAATTAAAATAAATATAAGCATTAAAATAAGAGAATGAATAATTGAATGAGAAAATAAATAATTCATCTAATATAATATAAAATCTTGAGTCTAAATATGCTTAATTAGAATAAAAAGAATAATTTTAATTGGAAACTCATAGATAAGAAATATAAAAGAAAATTGAATAAATTCCACTAAGTGAAGATGGTACTACTCTAAGTGAATTAAATTCGTATCGTATGGATGAATTAAAAACTTTTGCATCTTAATTGGAATCATAAAATAAATAAGATTTAATATAATAAATTTTAGATTAAAAAATTGAATTAATATAGAAAAATGAATAATTCAACAATTAAGTTTAAATAATTGAAGAATAAAAATAAGAAATTAAGGTTAATGAAGAAGAAATTTAAAATCTTAGACATCTTTTATAAACAAAAGAAAATCAATAAGCTGAATTAAAAAGTTATAAATAATCTATTGAATCTCTTGAAAATTAATTAAAGGTTAAAGAATAAAGTCTAAAAAAAGTTTAAGATGAAAATAAAGAATTGTAATAACAGAAATAAATAGTTGCTTAATAGAAAAAATAAAATGAAATCTAATAATAAGAATCCAAAAAATTATAAGATACTATTATAAATTAAGAACAATTAATGAAAGTGAAAGATGAAAATCTGAAAAAGTTGTAAGATTAACTTAAAGAATTAAACAAGAAAAATGAATAATTTTCAAGGGATTTAAATTAGAATAAAACCTTAAAGGATTAAATTGAAAAGCTTAAGAGTGTTCTAAATTAAAAGGAAGAAGAACAAAAGAATCTATTGAATTAAATCGGTAATCAAAAGAAATAGGAAGAACAAATAAAAAAATTATAGTAATAAATTGAAAAGGAAACAAAAACAAAAAAAGAAGAAATTGAAAAACTTTAGAATGAACTTAATTAATCAAATTAAGAATTAAAGCAGGTTTAATAAATAAATTAGAATTTTTAAAAATTAGAGGATTAAGTTAAAAAGCTTTAATAATAATTAGATTAGTAAACAGAAAAAAATAAAAAACAATAATTAGATTCTGAAAAGAAAGAATAGGATCTAAAAAAATAGTTAAAGGAGACAAATGAATAATTATCAGAATGGGAATAAAATGATCTTTCCAAAGATTAACAAATAGAAAAACTTAATAGATAAATAGAGGAATTTAAGAAGAAAGATGCTATATTATAAAAATAAGGAAAAATTGTAAAAGAACTATAAGAATAGTTAAAATAAGCAGAAAAAGTTAATATTGAATTACAAAAAGAAAAAGAGAATAAGGAATCTGAAATAAATTGTTAAAAAGAAAATTTAGAATAAGAAATTAAAGATTTAAAAGAATAAATAACAAAGTTATAAAAATTGAATGGTGAACTTTTTATTTATGAAAATATCATATAAGTAGATGTACGTAAAATGTAAGAATTGTAAAAGAAGATTGTATGCTTAGAAAATTATTACTCATAACAAGGTTCAAAATAAAATATAGAGACAAAAAGCTAAGGAGTAACTCCTAGAAAATAAGCTAGAGGTAATTCAGCTATGAAATAAAATGATGATTAAATTTCATAAATGTCATTTGAATAATTATAGTTGCATGCTAAAAAATTAGAGTAAATAATAAAAGAAGCAGGATTAAGTAATAATATAAACTGATATATATATATATATTTTATAAAATAAGTATGACTTCATTATTTCATTTTATCAACAAATTACTTAATTTTGTCAAGGGCACTTTAAGGTATTTCTGTTTCAAATTCAGCTAATGGGACTGTGATTGTTTCTCTATTTGGATAGGTTAACATCTTTATTTTATAAATAAGAAATTCTTTTATTATATCATTTGCAACAGATATGTTATATTTAGATATAGTAGGTTCAATACTAATATTCATAGAAGGTTCTCCTACAAATGAAACCCAACTACGGCCAATAAAATTGGGTGTATAACATAATCTTAATCGACCATTTAAAGATGTTATTTTAACTTTAATATTAACAGGTAAATGCTTTTTAGCCCAACTTATTGTAACAAAGGTTTCTAATTCCATATAGAAGAAACCTCTAAATGATAATTCTAAATCAAAAATACAAGAATCAGTATTTTTTTATGGAATAAATTACAAAACCTCTGGAGGTTCTCCTCCTATGTCTATAAATGTTACATATATTTCATCTAATTAGGAGGGTCTCTTTTTATTCAAAGATCTGTATAATTCAGTCATAAATTTCTATCTAAAATAGATTGATTTAGTCCATTATAGAAATAATACTCTTATTAATTATTTTAGTACAAATGTCTCTTTCATTGAATTTACTGTATCATTAGGTTACTTAGTTAGTTAACTATTAGATCTAGAGCTAGTTTTTGGAATAGTTGTTGTATTATTATGGATTAAACTTTAAGTTTAATTGATTTGGATATCTTTAGGAGTGAATGATATGTTAGCTTAATTATCAAGAAGACTTTTGACTATTTAATCTTATTATTAATAAATTTAATCAACTAAGAATATTTTAGATAATTATTACATTCATCAATCATTTTCATTGTATGATTAACAACACACTTTGAAAGAGTGGCAAAAGATAAAATAAATTGAAATTTAGTTTTGGAAATTATTTCAAAATGTTAATCAATATAGTGTTTATACTTATTTTCATATTAATTTAGTTTTTTTTTTAATTATTCTGCTTCCTATTGATATTAATTATAATTTTATTTAAATTATTATTTCATTCTTTAATAATCTGTGAATCCATCCACTTTAATAGAATTAAATTTTTCAGAATCCTTCAAAATGCAATTGAATAAATAGGTAATATTATTAATCCTCTCTTTAACAGATACTTAAGTATCTTTATATTCTTTATATAATTTAGTTCTATCTTCAATAAAATTATTTGTAATCATTTTAATTTGAGCAAATAAATTTTAATAAAATAATCTATCTTTAGGAAAACTTTTTATAAATAAATCAGTTATCCAAATATCTTTTAATTAAATTAATTGTATTTTAATTTCATCTGATGTTATTTTCTTAATTACTTCTCCAATTTCTATAAAAAAATCTAAACATTCTCCATCATACTTTTCAAATTATTGAATTTGATCTTCATAAATTTTAAATTTTTTTATTAATTCTTAAAGTTCTTCTTTTTCATTCCTCATTAATCTAGGAGGATCTATTTCATCTAATGATACAGTTCTTGATTATCGATATATTATTTAAGTAGGAGCATTTATTTAACTCTAATTCAAATGTGAATCAGTTTATAAATTCTATAATTTTAATATATTTTTAAATGACTTCATATATTGTTCATAATTATCATAATGAGTTTATAAAAGTGATCGAATTACTGTTTGATACATTACAATAAATTATCTATCCCAATTATCTTTAAATTCATTTAATTATTAATTTGTTTTAGTAATTGCTACTTGTAATTCTTTAAGTTCATACTTAGAACTCTATAATTTATGTTAAATTGTAGATAATTATTATGTGGATAATTTTATAGACATTTCCATTTTAATTAATTTTTCAGGATTTGTTTTATTCTTTTTTAATTCCCTATATTGAAAATTATTGGATTCTAAATCTTTTTCAATTAATTATTTTTATCCTTCATAATTTTAATTTTTACGAAAGACTTCATCATATTAAGATTGGGTTTAATTTTTTAATTTCTTGATATTTTTATATTCATCAAGATAAGTTTTCTAAATAGATTGTATTTGAGGTTATGCTACTTTAAGAATTTAATATCGTTATTATTAGAATATTTAATTAAGTTATTTAATTTACAATTTTATATTATTCCAATTAGGTACTATAATATTTCTACCTTGAATTTATATAAATGAATTAAGTAATAATTATTATTCATTATTTAATTCTTAAAATAAGATTTTATGTTATTAAGATGTATCAATTTGATCTAAAATTGATAAAGATTCTTTTTTGGCTAATTTACTTAATATAGAAGCTTAATTCTAAAGTTCGAAACTCTTTTCTAGATTTGAATAATAAGCTAAAAGAGAATCTGTTAGATTAGTCACACATTGATATTTTTAGAGTAAACCTTTTCTATCTAATTTGATGAGAGGTAGTTTTTAAGAGCCAAAGTAATTTTTGATTTAATTTAGATATAGATCAGCTTATTGCTATATTCTACTCTTTTATGCAGCAGGAATATCATCAATTTATTCAACTTATTCATTTATATCCACTTGGCTTGGTTCATAGGCACTAAGTGATAGTGAGGAATCATTAAGTTTATCAGAGTCATCAGGTATATATGATTGAAAATTAGTAGAATGATTGATCATAGAAGCTATTTATTTGAATCCTATTGTCAATTTAGAATTGTTAATTCTTTTTAACATACGATAACGTAATATCCAAATGAATCCTAGAATCTCAATGTAAATTGTATACAAGCTTCCATATAAAAAATAAATGTAATTGTTTTGGTCTAAAAGTGGAATTAAGAAGGCAATTGATATTATCAATAATGTAGTAATTAATTTCATTATTTTATATATGTCAATTAAATAAAAACTATATTAAACTTGGCATAGATTCTTATAAACAAATTTTAATAGTTATTTAAGAAGTGCACCTACACCAGGAAAATAAAGGTTGTATAAGCATGTTGATATATAAAATGAATTCGATAAGTTTGAAAAGGAGAGAAGAAAGTAGAGATTATAATTAATTGAATATAAGAATAAATTAAAAAAAAGAGTATTAGAAAAGGAAATTGCTTTAATTAAATAATTTGAATCAAGTTAAATTGATTATGTTTCTACTAATAATGCTTCACTTGAAAATAATAATATAAATAAAGATGTCACAATGGATGAATAAAGAAGACAATCTCTTATTAAAGAATTGGAATTGATCAATAATTAATTGACTTAAATTGATAAAGAAAAGGAAGAATTAAAGATTTTAGAGAATGATATTGCAGAATTAGAACCTAATATGGTAATTTTAAGAGGTATTTAAAAAAAAACTGTATTAACCATGATTAATTATATTGAATTTCAACATAGACATGTTTCAGGTTTGGTTTTGAATCCAGAAACAATGAAAAATATTGAGACTGTTCATTATCATGTTATGAATAATCTACCAATTCAAAGAGAAAAACTTTATGAAGTTGTTCCAGAATTATTTTAGGAAGAAATTGGAGAATTAGATGAATATAAATAAAAATTAATTTAAGAAATTAGACCTACTTTAGATGTATAAGAGACTAGTGTAATCTAAATTATTGAAAAGAGTAGAATACCTGAATCAAATGATCCTATAGTTACTTTATTAAATGAATAAAGAGAAATGATGATGTTTGTTTATAATAAATGTGTTCATTTTTGTAATAAATATGATGATTGGATAGAAATGGTATATATATATTTAATATTGTTTATATTAGAAATTAAAATAAGGATTTCCAGATATTGATGCTATTATTGAGAATTTGTTATTGAAAAAAGATTTAAGTGGAATAGATCTTGAGGTATATGAAGGATATAAAGAATTAGAAAAAATAAATGATGATTATCATGATCTTTTAGAATTGAATAAAATTAAAATTAGAAAAGAATAAAACAAATTAGAAATGCCTCCTTTTGTTGAATCTCATGAATTATTAAGAAAAGTATGGACAGAAAAATGGGAAGCTCATGTTAAGAATTCTCTAGATTTCTCTTAATCAATCTTAATTCCTCATAATACTTATGAATCTAAATTAGATTAAGTATTAGCTGATTATAAAAAGCATGATATATAAGATTTGATTGAATAATGTATTAAAATATAATTTAAATAAATCTAGCAAATCAAGCTCTTAAAGAGAAATTAGGAGGAGATTAACCAGTTTAATATTATGATAGAAAAGATAAAGATATAAATTTAGTCAAATAAATATAAATTTTAGGAGATATTATGCATTAAATTCCAACTCATGAAGAAGAATTAAAAGAATTATAAAAAAAAGCTGAATAATTTGATAAATTATAAATTGATGATAAAACATAGATATATAAAAGTGAAGAAGGTAGAATTTTATTAACAGAACTTCCTAAAGTATTACATTTAAATAATAAAGATCCAAAATAAGTATTTATAAATCATAATCTAGTATAATTTATTATTTTGGGCTGAACACTTTAATATTGAACCTTAAAAATTGAGAAATATCTTCAACTTTATACATTACCCAATCCTAGATTAATAAAATAAGGAAGAAAAATAAAAGATATTAAAATTTATATATTAATGAATAAGACAACAATAAATTCAACGTTTATATTTTGAAATTTCCCTTAAAAACAATTCTCTCAATCTTGGAATTTGCAACTCTCCTTCCTATTCAAAATCTAATATGATTGGTCCTATTTATTAAAATGTTATTTATACCTGGAGCAACTATTTCCTTCTTTTTATCTCTTACTTTTTAAAGCATAGGATGTTCAATAGCTTAATCAAGAGTAATTCTCAATTTTGGACTAAATTATAGACATTTATCTAAAAAATCTAATGCTTCAGGAGGAGCACCAGGAAAAATATCAACAAAGGCCACTTTAGGTTTCTTGGGGAAACTCTTCAAATATTCTATAGCTTTTTTATCAGTTACAAAGTCCATATCCCTATAAATTATTTAAATAAAATATAACTTTTCTCCTGGAGTGCCTAAAACAGAAAAAATTACTGTTAATTAATCAGTATTAGAATATGGAAATCCACCTTTTTTGGCAATTGCACTTCTTTCTGGACTTAAAGGAAAACAACTTGTTCCTGGAAATAGAGGAGCTCTATCAAGAAATGTTGGTGCATTCTCTTTCATCATGTTTAATAATTCTGCAAAGATACAACCTACAGACCAAACATCTATAGCTGCAGTATAATCTTTCTCTAATAAAATCACTTCAGGGGCTCTGTACCAACGTGTTACAACATGACCTGTTAATTCTCGCTTAACGGCTTTTGCATTCAATTTGTTTTATTTTTAAAGCATTCTAGGACCTTTCTTATCATCTTTCTTTTTTGGTTCTTCTTATTATCTTGCCATTTCTTCTTCTAATGCTTGATCAGAAACATCAATTCCTAGAATAATAGTTTTTATACCTTGCACACTTCTAGCCAATCCAAAATCACATATTTTAACAGTACAATCTTCATTCAAAAGTACATTAGCTGGTTTCAGATCTCTATGTAATACTTTAGCTGAATGTAAATATTTAAGACCAACACATATATTGTAAATTATAGTTTAAATATGTAAAAACTACAAATGTATTGGTGATTTGAATAATTTTTTTAAGTCACTCTTTTCTAAAATAATATAAATTACTTGTGCATATTCCATTACAACATAAATGGTATCAAATTTGAGATCAGTTGGCTCTAAGATTTCAATAATCTAAATCAGGTTTTGATGTTTTAATTCTCTTAGAATAGTGATTTCTCTTAGAATTCTTTTACAATCAATCTCATCATCAAATATTCCTGTTAATCTTGATAATCAAAACTTTTAAAACCTTTTGATTGCCACCTTTTTGTTAGTTGATTTCTGTAAAGCTTCTACTACTTGACCATATGATCCAGAACCTATTTATTTTATAATTTCATAATCATCTCCAACTTGCCAATCTGAAAAATTTTTGGGAAGAGAAGACAATTTCTGAAGTTTCTGACCGTCCTGCATTAAACAAGTTTTTAAAAAAATAAAATAATTTAATGATTCATTTATGGATTGGAATTATGTAATTTAATAACTTAAATTAATTAAAGATTTATATAAATGATTATTCATAATAATTTATTACATTCATCTATCATCTTTAATATATATAAATCAATAAGAAACTGTTATCTTGCTAATTAGTTAATTTTTATTTAATCAATTAAAGTAATTTTATAATGTTAAGTGAACAATAAATTTTATAAATAGTCTTAGCTGCTGATGGTATAGTACTACACTTTTAATTTTACATCACTAACGAGATATTATATTTAATAATAGGGTTATCATCAGTAGTTTTTCATGGCATATTATTTCTAATTGAATAAATGATAAGAAATCAACTATTGAAGATGTCTTTAAATATACTTAAATTAGTACAAATATTTATTGTTTCCTAAATGTTGTATCGATCTTGGATGATTTATGTGGGAATTCAAATAGTTTGCATACTCAAATTTAACTAAAAACTAACAAGATTAATGATATTCATTTTATTTTGCATTCATTCAACATCCCTTACTTTTGCAGATATGAATTATTTAGCAACTGGAATAGTAAGAAATTGTTTATGTTACTTTTTACTTTTATGTTTATTTAAAAAACAATCTTACACAATTGATTAAATGGAAGGGATAATCAACTAAATAAGTTCAGATATTTTCATTATTCTCGACAATAATTTTATTCCAGAGAACGAATAAGAGAATTTTCAAAACATTATGAATGATTATGTTCTAAGAAGTGGTGATGAAAGAAGTGATCGTATTATAACTAATAGAGAGTAATATAGTGTTGGTATTCAACCAAAATTAATAGATGAAAGAAATACATTCCAATTCAAAGCAATTTTCAATCACTTAAAAACAACACTAAATAATTGGTCAGATTAAACATATGAAACCTAATCTAATTATATTATAATAGTTAAGAAAGTATTTATTAATGAAAATATCATTTAAACCAAATATTTTAAGTGTTTAGCAATATAATAAGATTATTTTTTCATTATTTAGAAAAAGTTAAAACCTAATTTTGCAAGAAAAGAGCCTTAAATAGATAATACAAAAGAAAATTTAAAAATTTTAAGCAAAGTATCACATGATATGAGAACTCCTTTGAATGCAATAATAAATATGTAATTATGTTTAAAGGATTAAATTGATAAAGCTTTAGCTGAAAGATATTTAAAACCTTCACTTAATTCTTGTAGATTACTTTTAAATTTAGTTAATGATATATTAGATTAAGCTTAGCTGTAAAATAGGAAAATTCGTTTAGTATTCAAAAAGTTTAATTTAAAAAAGCTAATCAATAAAACAATATCAATTTTTGATATATAGAAAGAGAAAAAAGAATTAACAATTATATTAAAATATGAGGACAATGTACCTCAGTTCCTTAATAGTGATAAAAATAGAATTAGATAAGTTATTATGAATCTATTAAGCAATGCAGTTAAATATTCAATGGCAAAAGGATAAATAATAATTTCTTGTGAATATATGAAGAAATCCTAAACTTTTAAAATTTTAGTGAGCGATACTGGTTTAGGTATTAAACCTGAAAATTTGGATATGCTTTTTTAAGAATTTGCAAGAGTTGAAGACAAATAAAATTAAGAGAAAAATCCAAATGGTATAGGTTTAGGCTTATTAATAAGTAACGAATTATCAAAACTATTATCTTCTAATAATTAAGGGATATCTGTTAAATCTTAATATGAAAAAGGAGCAACATTTTCTTTTTAAATATTAAATCAAAAACTTCCTGATGAAGATTTATCTGATTCTTTAGTTTCAGAAGTTGCTGCTTAGGAAGTAAGCCACTTGCCTGAGTCACATTTTTTCAAGTAATAAAGTTGTAGTTTAAAATCTAAAGAGTTTGTTATGCCAATAATTAAACAACCTTCATATGATAGTTATTAAGTTATTCCTACGAATAATAATTAATCAATTAAGAAGTACAATTTGAGAGTAAACTCATCAAATCTATTATCCTCAAATCGATTACTTCCATTTAATGTGGAATGTGAAAAGTCTTATCAAAGAAAATCCACTAGTCAATCAAATTAAATTATTGAATAAACAAATAATTGGTTAGATTAAACCTCTAAATAGCCTCCTGTCTTAATTGTAGATGATAATGAATTTAACATTATTGTCTTATAATATATTTTGGAATAATTGTATTTAACTTGTGATTCTGCTATTTCAGGAATAATAGCATTAAAAAAATGTAAGGAAAGAGCTTTGAGTCAATATAAACTAATATTTTTAGATATTGAAATGCCTGAGATGGATGGATTAGAGACAGCGAAGAAACTTTTATAATTTGATGGAAGTCTTATGATTATAGCTTGTACTGGAAATAGATAAACATAAGAATAATTGGAGACCTTCAAATAAGTAGGAATGTTAGGAGCAATAGAGAAACCGGTGACTAAAACAAATTTGAAAGAGTTACTTCTTAATATAAATGCCTAAAGAAACTAAGCATAATTTACTCATTACTTTTGATAATTAGTCATTATATAATAACAGTTATTAATAAATACAAATTATAATCAAAATTTATAAGGCAAACCTTTACTACGTTTTTAATTTTTAATAAGGCTAGGAAAATAGAACAATCCTCATACTTTTGTTTAAAAAAGATGTTCCCCACATTATTTAAAAGATTTTAGTAAGTAATACAAGGAAGTTTGATTCCTTTTTTTTCAGGATGTTTAAATTAGCATCTTTCACCATAACAACAATAACTTAATTTATATGAATGTTTACCCAATTGTAATATAATTTTTACAAACTTAAGTTTTATAATTGTGAGGCACATGTGTTTTCTATCTTATTTCATGTTTACCATGAGCAAATGCACACTATTTATATATATTTTCTATATACTTATTATCCATATGGACAGTAATCTTCTATTGCCCAATATTTACAAATCTAAAATTATTATTATTATTATTATTACTTCTGTCTTTACTTTAACAATAAATGAGATTTTATTTTTGCTCTTATTTTCAATTTTTACTTTATTTTCACATTCTTCTTAATCACTATAAAGAAAATAAAAGAAAATAATACCAACTAAAACTAGATGAGAGATTTTCATTCTCATCCTAAGTTGATATACAACAGCACTATTGCATTTTATAAAAAAATATCTTAAAAATAATATTATTAATCTTTATTTATAATTAAGTTAGATATAAATGTTAAGACATTAATACATAAATAAAAAGACAATTTAAATGTCAATTAATGTTTAAAGTTGAAACTAATGCTTAAAAATAGGATAATTAATGCATAGAATAAATATCAAGTATTATTTTGAATATTATTAAAATTGATTAATTATTGTGTATTAAAAATAAGAAAGATCTATTATATATTATATAATTCAAATTTTAACTACAATTATTAATATGTTTTATTAAAGGTTCTTTTTACTTTCTGTATTTTTTTAAAATAATGTGGAAATATTAAATATTTTTGCTATTTAGCTTATATTAAAATAAAAACGGGTTCGGAATCAGTTTTAATTATTTTTATGAACAGAATTTTTTTAACCTTGCTACTTGTTAGTGTCTGTCTTTGTTAAGAAGGTACTAAATATATGTAAAATAAGAAACTCTAATTTAACTTGAAAATGGAGTAAGTTTGACCAATCTAAATAAACTTATGGCTATGGATTATAGTCAATTAGATTGTTAAACAAATTTATTATAAGTTAGTCACTAATTGAAAATGTGGAGTGAATTATTTTAAGATGAGAAAGTTATTCATCATGAAATTAGATTATTAAGTACAGCTCATAAAATACTTAATCAATAAAAGTTTAATAGATTGAGAAACACAAGTACAGTGAAATTTAATGATAGACACTGTTCAAAGAGCAAAAAGAATTCTTGCTGCCCTAAGACACAATACACATAAGAAATAGCATACTATTTATTAACAATGGAGAGTGAATGAAATCAATTAATTGAAACATTCAATCTAATTATTACAAACAGCAACAAGTAGGAATATATAAAATATAATTTTTAGCTGAAGATGAAGGAAAATAATGTTGTGATAGAATTGAATAATTAATCAATAAATTTTTAGATGAAAGAAAACATATTGCTAAATAATGTGGAAATGCTGATGTAAATATCTTTTATAAAGTTAGGTTACCATCAATATTATAAATGATAATGAAAATAAAATAGAAGTTATTAATAAAAAATGTAATGAAAAAGATCCTGATGTAAAAATTAATAGAGTTGATTCAATTGATAAAGTTATTGTTGGATAATCTTAATAATAGAAGAAAGAAGAATAAGTTGTTGTTTCTCAATAAAAATAAGAATAAGTTGTTGTTACTCAATAAAAATAAGAATAAGTTGTTACTCAATAAAAACAAGAATAAGTTGTTGAAGAACATCATGAATCAGTTGAAGAACATCATGAATCAACATAAACCTAAACTTAAACTTAAACTGTTACTGAAACTGTAACAGAAGAAACAGTTGAAGAAGAAGAAGAAGTAGAAGAAACTGTCATTGAAGAAACAGTTACTAAGACTACTTCATCTAAAGTTGTGGAATAACCAGATGATGATGATGATGATGGTGTTGAAGGAGAATTGGTTTCTGCATAAGGTGTAGGAGCAAGTGGAGAAGGAGGTAGAACATGATTAAGTTAATATTAACAATAAATATACATTTTTAATAATCTTTTTATGTATAATGAGAAATCTTTATAATAAAATTAATATAGAATATGTCATTAGAGGAGAAATAACAATTTTTGGTTGATGAAATCATCAATAAGGCATATGATAGTGAAGACTTTACAAAATATATGGATAGAAAGAAAGAAAATGGTGGATAAGATTTAGATATCTGGTAGATGGATGAATTAAGATAAGCAGTCTATGATTATCAAAAAATGAAGAATGCAATTATGTAAATTGTTGATGATGATGTTGGATTTAAAAAGAAAATTGATTGTTAAAAATTAAATGGAACAGAAATTGGAAACACAAATAATGTGTATATTACAATTGATTAGTACAATATATATTAATAATAGTTTTGATAAAAAGGATACAGGATTCTTTAGTCTTAGTAAATCATATGTAAACTATAGAATTGTTACATAACCATTTTAATGGGCTGTCACTAGAAGATATTCAGATTTCGAATGGTTAAGAGAAATATTAACCAAATAATATCCTGGAGTATTTGTACCTCCTATTGCTAATAAAACTCCTACTAGATAATTTAGTGATGCTTATTTAGTTAAAAGAATGAAATTCTTATAAGTAATTATTAAATTCCTATGTTTTTAGAAATTCTTAAATCATTTACTTAATTCAACGATTCTCAAGAATGATAAATACTTTTGTGAATTCTTAAGAATGCAAGATGAAAAGGAATTTAAATCTCTCCAAACTGCTTCAGAGAAAGTTCAAAAAACTACTAAGTTAGATAAAGTTATAAGTGAGACAGGAACAATTGAAGTAGCTTTCAATCCTTAAACTGATAATTATATTAAAGCTGCTGGTAATTTAATGACAAGTTTAAATTTAGATTTTGATGTGTAAGATAAATTTTTATTATTAGAATTATGAAATAATCTAAAAAAATGTTATAAGATTTTGAAATGGTATCAGCAACAATGTTTTAAATGGGTGAATCTTTTGAAGTGCTTACTAATCATATTAATTAATTTAATTCTTCTGTTTAAGAACCAGAAAAGATTTTAAAGTTTGAAGCAGTTACAATCACATTAAATAATATGATGATGATATGGGGTAGAAACTTTTAGAATTATGTTAATTACATTTAAGATAATTTTAGAAATTTCTTTAAATATCATGACAAAGAGATAGTCTAATTAAAAGAACATTTATTATTAAGATAATAAAGTTAAGCTGAATATCTAAAATATAAGGAAAGATTGGATTTAAAAAAAGAAAAGTTTTATTAATTAAAAGAGTTTAATAAATGGGAAGTATCAAAGGAAATCTTAGATGAATTAAAATTAAATATTGAAAATAAAAAATATTGTTTGAGTGTTATGCTACCTAAAGAAACATCATAATAAAATGATTTAAGGGATACATATGCTTATTATAATCTATCAGCATATAATGAAATTAAAAGAGTCTTTGATTAAAATATTGATATTTATGCAAAACATTTTATTAAATTTGCTGATAGTCAAGCTAACAATTTAACAAAAGTAAAATTATTTATATTTTAGATGCATGTAACATGGGCTGATATATAAGGAAATTTATAAGGATTAGACTTGATAACATAAAATGATTAAAAAGTTTAAATTATGCAGTAACCAAAACCAAAAAATTGAAAATTTAAATGTTTTTAGTAATTAGTCAAAAAGATTATAATTATTATCTTTCTATTTTCTCCAATAATCCATATTTATATAATATTTAATTTATTATATATTTAGACATAAATAAATTGAAATTTATTACTATTTATTATATACTATAATAAATTATCTTATTTAAGGAAGATGAATGAATTTATAAATTCTTTCAATTTTTATGGTATTAAATGAGATTTTGATATTATTAAATTAATAGTAAAAATCAAAATCATTTTAATAAATAATGAATTCAAGCAATGCTATATTTGAAAAATCTTCTCGATCACAGATGTAGACTAATGATGTAAACTCATGGTTAAGAAGAAGGTAATTAATTTATTTATTTATTAAAGACATTTTAATAAAGTAAAAAAATAATATCTCTTACATCCTGATTAGATTAAATAAGAATAGGAAATAAAGAAAATATTTATTAATTTTGACAGAGATAAATCAAGTATTTTAGTTATTCAATTCTATAGAAAATATAGATATTGGTGAAATGTATGATATGTTTTAAAAATATGGGTTTGGAGTGACAGAAAAATAACTTAAAGATTTTTTTAGAGTGGTTGATAAGGATAAAGATAGTATTATTAAAATGATAAATTAGATGCTTTAAATTGGGATGAATTTAAAAACTCTGTGATTGATGCTGATGCTTCAAAAAGTATAAAAATTAATCATTTCTAATAGTCTTCTATAATATCATAAAAGAAGTCAGATAAAATTCAAATGTTGAATCTTCTAGTAATTTTGGATATATTCCCTTTTAATTTAATGACATGATTAGCTATTTAAACTATTTAATAAGTAGAAATGAACTTTAAGAATCAATTAAGGTATTAAATTACTAATTCATAGCAAAATTCATTAACAACTTATGAAAAGTTTCAATAATATCTATAGTTGATCTAACTGAATTAAAATTAGAATTAAAACTATAACTATTAAAAATAAACAAATCGAATAAATGAAGAAATGAAAGAATAAACATAAGATGAACTTGAATTTACAAAAGTTAATTCTAATAAATTCACATATTCAAAAACTTCATGTAATTATTAAAATTATAGTAGTTTACAATACTAATGACTTACCTTTATTATTGAAATTGAAATCAAGTAAAAAGTAGAATATTTAAAAAGATAATAATATGAGGACTAGCATTGATTCTTAATGGACTCATCTTTCTAATTAATTTAGTTTATAAACCAATCCTAAATCAGACAGATATCTTAATTAAAAAATGGCTAATAATCACATTCTAATTTTGAATACATCATCATAACATAAAGTACTTCCAAATGATAAATACAATAAATCTTAAAATATTGATTCTAATGTCAAATCAACACCTTATTTGTAATTAAATTTAAATAAGATTAATTCAAGTTATAGAGAAAATTTTCAAACTGAACCTAATAATAAGTAAGATTCCAGTAATAAAATTGATCATCTTCCAAAGACTTTGATTAACGAATTATAAAAGTTTTAAATTTTATCTGGAAATCATAAAAGAAGACACACTAATCTGATCAAAACTTCTCCAAATTAATAATGTGATTTTAATTCAAAAAAGTTAACATCATTATTAAAAACTTCAGCAGATGTACATCAACTAATAAATAATATTTAGTTAAGTCCTCATTCTCCAAGTAATAGTAAATTATGTACACCTAGATTCTTGAGAGATGAGAAATGCATAACATACAGAAAAACTATCAATAGGCCTATTTTCTAAACCTATTCTTAGTATAATAAATCAGAGAAACCATTAAATGTTACTTTAAAGGGTAAATCTTTGTAAATAAAATGAAGAGTTTAAATACTTTTTTAATAAATAAAGAATTATGATTTTTAATCATTTTAGATTTTTTTAATGAAATTTTAATTTTATTTTTAATAAATTATCCACATTTAATAATAATTCTTAAATTTCAATAGATTTTTCTCTTTTTTATTATTCAATAATTTTATTATATATTCAGATTTAAGATAATTTTTTATCAGATTTCAAAATATTGCTTTGAGATTTAAGAAGATTCATTAAATTAATTTATTATAAACAATATTTTTTATCAAACTCCACAATTTTCATTTGAAATCAAAATATAAAGTAAATATATTTTATAATATTTAGATTATGGAAGATATAAATCAAAAAATAAAGGACTTTAATAAAATTATTCTAATATTATTAGTTTAAGATTTAACTATACTTAAGGAAAATAAATTAATAATAAATGGAATAAGGCTTCCTATTATATGTTTAAATTTCTAATTAAATTTAAATTGAGTTAATTTCTTATTTTTTTAATTAAAATTTTTCATTTTTGAGAAAATTCTTAAATTTCAAGCCATAAATTAATATGTACATTAAGTTTAAGATTAAATAGACATTCTTCATTAATATTGTATTATTATTCATTTTTCTTATGAAATAGTCTTTTTCATTCCAATCTTTAAGTAATATTATTATTTTATATTCACTCTCTAATTTATACACAACTTTCTGAGATTAAATAAAATAGTATCTATTATAAATATCTGTGGAGTAGTACTTAAAACAAAACTTAATTTATTTTAAGTTATATATATATTAATTATAGGATTAAATAAATATTATCTGAATAAATTATAAATAATTTATTAATCAAAATCATTAAAATTTTTATTCATCTTATTTAGGAATTTGAATTTATGATTCAGAAAAGAATGAGATTACGAAAATTTTAACTAGTTTTCGTTTATATATATTAATTTTTAATTGTTTGATGTCTGTTTAGTCTATTTCAATTCACAATGCCTGTTAGATGATTTCATCAATAGTTTTATCTATTGTTCTAATATGTATTATGAAAGATGCTGCTTTAGCAACTATGTTCAAATCTGGATCCAGAGCTTTTGCTAAGCCTTCTAAAACAATCATATTTGTCAGTAGAGCTGCAAAATGGCCTTCAATAGACATTCCATTTGCTCTCAAGATTTCTAACATAGATCTCAACACCTATCCAATATTCATTTAAGCTAAAGGCACTTTACAAACATTTGTGAATAAATCTTACATTTCTTTCATAAATTTATCTTATACTTTTTGTTCGATTTATCTATTATTATAATGAGCTAATTGCAACATTAACTTTCCACATTCATAAGGTTTTCTCAAAGTTACAAACATTACTAATTTAATAAATGATGCACGATCACTTTTATTTAAAATGGTTATCATACCAGGATCTAGAAAAATAATCTAAACATCTTTTCTTGTTTATCCTTAACCTCTTAAATATGTATCAAATAATTTTTCATCAGTTTTTTTTTCTTATTTTAATTTTAACATCTATTCATAATTAAATAATAACTACATTTCCTTGATCTAATGTCTATGATGTTTGATATTCTGCTATTTTTGTTAAACCTTTCTCTATTAAGCCATCAACAATTTCATAAACGGAATCCTAAAGATTCCATAATTTTTATTAAACTTTTTCTTTTAATGTTTTAGGAACAGGAAAATCTTTAATTCTTATCATAATATTTCCTGCATGACAATCTGCATGAATAAAATTATCATAGATTAACATTTTATAAAATGCTTTCAAACCTAAATTGGCTAAAGCCAGGTGTTCTAATGTTCTTTTTTACTTTAAGAATAATGTCAAAGGTATGGCATCTTCATATGTTTCAGTTAGAATATCTGCTGATACATATTCTTCAATAGGTCTAGGAAATACAACATGAGGGTTATTTTTAAATTTATCACAAAAAACTTTAAGATTTCTACCTTCAAATCTTAAATCAGTTTAATTTACAAGAGTTTTCTAAAATTCTTCAAATGTTACAGGCATTCCTAATTATTTAATTTTTAAAGTTTCACTAAAAAAATTAGCAACCTTATATAAAATTCTTATATCCATAACTAAATTATCTATAATGTCAGGATGCCTAACTTTAATAGCAACATATTCTCCATTTAATTTAGCTCTATGAACTTGAGCTATAGAAGCTGAAGCAATTGGTTTTTCTTCAAATTCATCAAAAACATCCTTAATTTTCTTTTTAAAAGCTTATTCAAATTATTAATTAGTCTTTTCTAAAGAATGAGGAGAAGTATCATCTCTTAATGATTCTAATGCAGCTATAATTTCTTCTCCAAAAATATCACCTCTATGACTAGCCCATTGTCCTAATTTTATCCATAATGGGCCAGCTGATTAGAGTGTGTAAACTAAATATTTAAGCCAATAGGGAAACAAATAGGACTTGAATATTAAGGAAAATGGTAAAAAAATAGTCAAAGGTAAAAATTTTAATAACAAGTGTAAAAATCTGATCTTTCTTCTTAAACTTTAGATTATTCTCTAAAAAAAAGAGAGTTATTTTGTATTCTTCTCTCCAAAGTATTCTTATGTCAGAGCCTTGATTAAATATGAGAATTACTTCAGTGTCAGGAATCTAATTGTACATTGAGGAAAAATGCATTTACTGATACCTTTCTCTTCCTTATCTATACAAAATATAAGAGAAACCAACTCCTAAACTTAATCCTATTTTTGTTTTGGTAAAAAATGGCTATGGTTTATTGAAATGTGTAAATGGATATTTAAGAATTTTTTACATATAAATTTAATTTAAAAATCATTTAATTAATTCAGAAACTGATTTCATATTTAAATATTATTCTAATTTCCCTATTTAATTATCTAGTCTCTAAATATATAGTTATTTATCTTCATTCATATAAATATGATGTTCTAAAATAAACCATCCACATTATTATAATATTTATGATAAATAGTATTAACCAGCAACTTTAAATTCTTTATTATATTTTTATTACTTCTTTTTTTTGTCCTGCTATAAATATATAAATATAATATGCATACTTATGATACTACTGGTCTTATCCAATACTCTTCTGTTATATTAAGTAATATACAATATTATTCAATTTATTCTTCATTATATAACTCTATTCTAACAAATTACGGAATATCATTAGCACCAATCAAAGAAAAATTTATTGGTATTTTAAAATGATTCTTATCATAAAATATTTTGTTTGTTCCACCGAAATTTAAATCTCTAAGTAGAATTGCATTTTATTTGAATAATTCATCATCATTCTCTTCAAAAGGTTTCGAAAATGTTTGTAATGTGAATGATTCTAAAAGTTTTTCAAAGAAATAAATTTTATCTTCATTCCTAATCAAATTTTAGAAATTGATTCCATATCTTTATTTTAAGAATAAATTTGTAATTTCAAAGGATCCTTCAGCATTAATTTATTTATTCTAAGGGGCATAACTTAAATAACAATTTTGTAATCTCACCATACATTTTCCTTTTTCTAATATTACTGCTTAAATCTAAGCTTTTTGTTCATTAAATTGAATTGAAATATATTAAATTTCAACTATTTTATTAATTTTAAGTTATTTAATTGAATGTATATTCTATAAATTAAGAAATTATTCAATTAATTTAATTTATTGAATAAGAAGAGATATTAGCTTTTATTTATCTAAAATTTAAACATTTGGCAAATAATAAGTATTATGAATGGAACTCTTAGAAGAGTCCAATATTTATATTTGTTATGAATTTAACTTTGATAAATATTATAATATTTCTTCTTTTTCTTACATTTCATATTCATCTAAATTTTCTTATTTAAAATATAATTAAAATGTAATTTCATCATATCTTATATCTACTTATAAAATAAATTCAGTTTGAGAATAAATAGTGACACGAAACCATTTTAATCCTATATTGTGAATTTACCATGAACAATTTTCATTAAGAAATATTATTAACTATTCTAACAATAAACCTTGAGGTTATGGATATATTGCAATTTTAGTTTCATTTTATTCATTCACAATTTGAATAAATGGGACAATCAAATATTGTATAAATGTTTTAAAATTATTCAAATATTTTATTGGATAAGGTAATGTATGAATATATTGAGTATATTATAAAAAATCTTGTATTTATGAAATTTCAATATACTCATTCAATATTTTATCATTAATTTTAGTTGATAATCTTAATGCTTATTATAATTATTAAATTTCAATTTATATAGTTTCTTATTTAAAAATAAATGAGATATTTTAAAGTAAGGGAATATAGATTATTTAGCCTGTAAAATGATCAGTAAATTAAAAATATTAATGATCATCAATACTATTATTGTAAGTTGTATAATTCTTTTCATGATGAAAGGTTTTATTCATTTATAATTTAAGTTATTAATTTTGTTCATTTAAATGTTTAATTTATTCTAAATGTTTAAAATGCTATTCTTTTGTTTCTTTAAAATGTATTTATTCATTATCAATTATTTTAATTCTTAATTAATTAATTTCTTCTTAAAATAATTTTATTTATTATTTCCATTCATATCCTTGTTTTTCAAATTATTATTTTTCTTATTCAATTTTATTTATTTCATTTTGTAAATATATATATTTTTAATCTAAATCAATTTTACTATTAGAAATTTGATCTTCTTATTATTTTTTTTGAAAATGTAATTACACTTACTATTCAACTTTATTTGTAATTACTTTCTCCAAATTTGAAAGAGTACTCATTTTTAATGATTTTCTTTTTATTTTTTTTTCAATTGTAGTTTCCTAATCATCTTCTATTTTATTAATTCGTTTAATCCTATAGAATTTTCCTTTATTAATAGAATCTTCATTTTTAAGTCTTGAAAATCCTTTTTATGGAGTTTAAGAATATATTTCTTAAAATTCAATGATTCTTGGTAATTAACTTCTAAGTGAATCTAATAATCTAATAGTTCTGATTATAATTTATTTTTTAAAAGAAAACTAATTTTAATTTAATTCAGTTTATAATATAAAGCATTATTATTGCAACGCTGATTTTTAAGTAATTAATCCTATAAATTATTTATATAAAGGATGAGTAATTCCTAAATATTTTACTAAAAGTTTTTTAGAATTCTCATAAAATATTTATGTGCTCTTAAATCTAAATTATAATATTTAATACCCATTTTATAGAAGTTTGCTTTTTTGATGTATTTTGGTTAAATCTTAGAAAGTAGCCATTTCATACGATTTTGCTAAAGTTATATAACCATTTATTAATAAGATAGCCTCAGATTAATTTAATTAAGTAAAAGCGATATTTTCATAGAATTACAATGCCATCTCAACCTTCAAAAAAGCTTTGCCATGTAATCCAAGTTAATTAAAGATTTTAGCTGCATTCATAAAGATTATAAATTAAAGAGCATTTGAAAGTGCTTTAAGCAAGTGTTATTTTATAAATCTAAAAATTGATTTGGATAAAAGCTCATTTCTAAATAAATTTGTTGATACTTATGTAATAAAGCTCCAATATTATTAAGACAAATTGCAATAATATTTATGGAATTTGGCTAATTACGATACTCTTATATCAGTATTTCATATTAATTCAACATTTACTCCTTATCAGATAGGTGAGTTATTATAGATAATCTATTCATAATTATATTTATAAAATAAATGTTAGATAGGTAAAAACTAATTAATATCATATTTAACAACAACCTAAAAATCTTAGAAACCAATTCTTTTATTCTTTAATTTCATTAATATATTACTATTACTATTTGATTGGACTGTAGTTGTTACTGTAATCATAAGTTGATTTTCTTTTTGGTTTTCTTTCTTAAAATGTCATATGAACAATAGAGAAGATTTAATTTTATGTTTCTTCAATTTTTAAGTCAATTTAATAAGATGGAAAATCAGTTTTAGGTTTTCCATTTTTTTTTGCAATATACACTTCATAATTTCTTGGATTTTAATCAAGAGGATTATCCTTGCTAGCAATTTGTAATACTCGGTTGATAGCATCAACAAGCTCAGTTTCAGGAGGTAATTCTATCAAGACATTAATAATTTATTCTTCATTAGATAAGTAGAATCTATAAGGTTTTTTTATTTAATTAAATGCTTCTTTCAAAGAACTTATTAACGATATTTTAACTTTCTAACCTGTGGTTTTGGTACTATCAGTTTGAGACATTAACTACTTTATGGAAAATTATTGTTTATTTATTTTAGATTTTTTTAAACTCTGTTAAGATTTTATTCTAAATTATTTTAATTATACTATTATTATAATATTAGATTATAAGAAATAATATATCTATTTATAATATATATCAAAGTTCATTAATTTTATAACATAAAATTTCTACTTCATTTCATTAATTCTTTAATTTTCTAGAAATAAATTTGATCTAAAGTATTATATTCTTTTTTTGAAAACCAATATGTTTATATTCTATATAAAACTATTGTCTGTTATTTAAAATATTTAATCTCATTGTTTATAAATTAATAGTTCTTTCTCTTCTGTTAAATTAACAACAACAATACAAATATCTAATTGCTTTTTAATCTTGTTGATTGCATAATCTAAAATAAAATATAGAACCAATATTAATTATTAGAAGATTATCAATTTTGATATTTATTTAATAATTATAATAAGTTGATTCTCTTTTATAGATACTAATTTAATATTAATTTAATCTAATCTAGTTTCTTTTATTTTTTAATTGTTTTTATCTATACCATATAAAATATATTCTAATTTTACAATCTATAACTATTAATTCTTTCAACCTTTCTAATTATAATTAAAGAACTTGAAAACTATTTTATTTTCATATCTTCTAAAATATAAAAATCTATTATATATATATTTCTAAAAGGTTTTTATTAAAGGTTCACATTAAAATTATTTAAATTAATTGAGATTTCTTCTATTATGAATTTGATATATCATTTTAAATTTCAAATTTTATCATATTCTTTTTCAGATTCCTTTTTCCTAAAATTTTTGAATCTCTATAAACTTTCTCTTATTATCTATTAAATTTAGATATGTAAATAAAATATTATGTTTATTAATTATATAATAATAATATTCATTCATTATATAATTATAATCATTTCTTAGATTTCTTTTTTTTACCTCTTGTTTTTTTTCCTGTATCAGGTATATTAGCTAACAAAATTCCAGGTTTTGGGAGGGGTATCTTATGAGGATTTAAATGTCCTTGAGGTATAACAAGGGATTTTTGAAGGATGGTTATGGGTACAATCCTTTTTTCAGAAGCTAATCTATTTTTTAATACATTAATTTCACTAATCTATGATAATATTATTTTAGAATACTTATTTATCTATATCCGATTTAATACTATGACTTTTGAACACAGTACTAAATTATTTGGAAGGTTATACACTTCTAAAACAACTGGAAGATAAAGAACGATTATTTTAAATGTTTTCAGCACTAGGATGATTTGGTTCACCTCCAGGCAACCAACTTCCTCTTGCCCTTTTCAAGAAGTAAAGTCTTTACGAATTAATTCTTGATTCCAAATATGCATTTTTAGATTAAAAATCTTCAGCCTCATCATCTACTTAAGTAGGTAAAACAGTATTTTCAATAATTTTAGTAATTGGAATAGCAGTTTAAATGATTCTGCCTTTAGGATAAGATGCTTTATTAAGATAATTTGCATAAGCTTTTTCTTCAGCAAGATCCATTTTTTTAGATTCATAGATATCAGAAACTTTGATACCAATAGTCGAGAATTGAGATCCCATGGATTATAGCTATGATTATATTAAATTTGTATACACATTAAGATTAGAGTATTATTTCATCAATTCTACTTTTGTTTGCTGCCCAATCTTTCATGGATTAAACCATTTCAATATCTTCTCTTTGTTCTTTAACTTCTTTAATTCTTTATTATTAATAATATTAATTAAGTCGTGCTGCAGCCATATTATCTTCTATATTAGTTGGATCATAATTATGAAATATTCCTTAAAGTTCTCCAAGACGTTGATTTTATCCAATTTAATAAGCTAATTCAGTATCTTTATCAGTTTTATAAGTCTTTCTTTCAGGTGCAATACTAATATATTTATCTTTTCTTTCTTTTTTCTTTTTTTTTTTCTTTGGTGAAATATCCTTTTATGATTCCATATTTTTTTAAGAACCATCTATTTTATCAGGAGATTATTCTTCATCTTCATCTTATTCTTATTCTTATTCTATGCCTTCAATATAATCTCTATCAGTTGGTTTATTTGCTTTAAGAGGAGATTCTTCTCTTTGGATTTGACGTCTTGTACTTTTTTATTATTCTTCAAATGTTTCAAAAACTGGAAAATTAGTATCATACATCCAAGAAGCCTATTATTTAATTACAGAATATTATTGATTTGTTCCTGGTCTTGATAATTTATCAACTTAATCAATCATTTTATAAGTAGTCTATGAAGTTTAAGGTCTTGTATATTGAGAGAAGCCCATAATTCCTGGAGTAGTGCCAGGTCTTGTGCTTGTATCAGATAGTAGATTTTTTCTATGATAACTTTTCACTCTATCTTCAGGCGGATCTATGTCTGGATGCATTGATCTATTTTTCGATTTGTAATCTTCAATTCTAGAAGCATACATGCTTTCATTATAAGTATTTGGTATATATTACAAAGTCTGAGAATTATGTATATATAAGTTACATTGTCCTTTTTTTCAATAAGAGATTATGTTAATGATTATTTTTAGGATTTTGGTAATTAACGAAAGAACCAAGAGGAAACTTTATTTAGAAATTCTAGTTACTACTACTTATTTCTTGTACTAACAACTTCAAGTAATGAATTCTTTAATTATCTAAAGAGGTTATCATATACAAAAGGGTCTTTTAATTCTATTTATTATGCTCGATGTAGTGTCACTCTTTCATTCCAAGTCATTATTTACTATTTGAGCATCTAAAATATTTGATTATTATTCAAGTATCCAGATGTTAATCCATCCAGATCAATCTTTAAGAATTAGTTATATAACTACAATTTATAATGTTGGACGTTCATTGAGTTTATTGATGTCTTCTATCTTGTATCCTGTTCTTGAAAGACGTTCATTTAATTGTTGATCAATTGTTAATGGAGGTTATACAAGAGGTTTACCATTTAGATAAAAAGATCTCTCCATTTTCATTTTTATTTATTAATTAATATTTCTTAATGTATATTTATCTGATGGAAACCTTACAATACATGATATATAAAATCATTTCTGTGGTTATTACCATTGATAGTTTTGATACTGTTGATATTAAGGGTACTGTTGATATTGTTGATAATCATAATATTGATATTGATAATATGGATAGTATTATTGTTGATTTCGTTGTTATTGCATCTAATATTTGTATTGTCTCAATGCTTATTCTCTTTCATCAATTACTGTAAAATCATTTAGGATACTCTTTTTGTCTGCAAATTCTTCAAAGATTTTCATCATTTCTTTTCCTGTTTCCCAATTTAAAAATACTCCATCTCTTGATCGAGTTACTTCTACATTATCACTATTAATTAATTTTAATCAATTACCTATTTTTTAAATGCTCAAAATGTTTGTTAGGTACATCCTTTACATATAACCATTAAACATTAAAATGACCTTTCCATTTCTTGATTTCCCACCAATACTGGAAACTTTCATCCTTATATCCTGATGTCAATTTGGCAACTCCTACAAATTATCCACTTCTAACAACACTAAAAAACAAGTAAACTGTTTTGCCTTATTCTTGTGCTTCCAAGAATTTAGCATTAAGTTTCTCATTATTTTCTTTACTTGATGTCCAAATACCATATTTTATTGACTAAAAATATATAATTAATGAATCCTTTACTTTGTGAATATCATCATCATTATTACTACGAAGTATATAAGCATATGCCTCTGTATCTGCTAAATTTCTATTTGCTTGATTAATTTGTTTCAAAGCAGGTATTAATTTAGATGCTTATTCTAAATTAGTATAATCTTGGCATGATATGTAAGGCACTTTTAAATCTCTCTTATTTCTGACATATGGTTCATAATGATTATTCATTAATTTTTAATTAAATTTAAATAATCATTTAACAAATAAATACATATTCACTCTTCCCATATTCATATAGATTTGTTATAGTTTTAAAATTATTCTTGATAATTAATATAATACAACATTTATGAAAAATTCCAAAAAAACACTTCTCATAGTAGGTGGTGGTTTTGCAGGTATGACAATAATCACTCAAACCTATAAACAATTCAACATAGTCTTATTAGATTAAAAATCATATTTCGAAGTAATTAAACAATATCATTTCAAGTTTGTACCTTCTGTCTTCAATGCATTTATCCATCCAGAATCCATATTTGATCTAACCTTACAATTCAAATAGAGTAAATTTGGAGTACTCTTTATCTAAGGCAAACTAGTATTTACTATTTATATGTATAGACTCACATTGAAAATAATATAGCATATTATCAAGGAGGCTAAATTGAATTTGATTATTGTGCTATTACTATTGGTTCCAATTATACAAATCCTATTAAATCTACAATTCCTAAACTATCAGATAGATTTATTGAACTTAAAAAAACTTAACAAAAAATTATTGAATCTTAAACTATTCTTATAATTGGTGGAGGTACTGTTGGAGTAGAATTAGCTTGTGAAATCAAAGCAGCTTATAAATAAAAAACAGTTGCTATTATTACCAAAGGTAAAATATTATCAACAATGCCTAAATCTGCTTCTGTTTATGCTAAAAAAAGAATCTAAGATTTAGGAATAGAATTTAAAGAGGATTATAAAGGACCATCATTAGATTCTAATTTTGATTTAGTTTTTAATTGTAAAGGTAATACTTATGAAAATATTCGTCTTGATGACAATTTTGAAATGTTTGATTCCAAAAAATAATTTTTAGTAGATGATTACTTAAAAATTAGAACAAATTCAAATATATTTTGTGCAGGTGATATTTGTTTATCAAGTTAAAATGAAACAAAAACTGCATTTTCTGCTGAAATGTAAGGAGAAATCATTGCTTACAATTTAAAACATCCAAATAAATAGATCAAATCATATTGGATACCTAACACTTATATAATATCTTTAGGTGGATGGAAAGCAATCTTTATATTTGAATCCTTTACTTTTGGCGGTTTTTTACCTTATTTGATGAAACTCTTCATTGAAGTAGTAGTAGTCAATGATTTTAGAGGAGTTATTGGATTTAATATTATTCATTAAATAATGAATTATATTGTCTATATGATGCTCTATATCTATATGATTATATAATTGCTATTAGCTATTGCTCCTTTAGGAAGTAAAATTAAGTAAGATCAAAGAGTTGAATTAAAGAGAATTTAATAGGAAATTGAAGAATTCAAAAAATAATGACTATACTTTTAGACATTTTATTTAAATTATAATAAATATTATTAACTCAATAACTATTTGCAATTGACTATAAAGTGTTTAACATATGTTCATATTAAGATTTAAGATCTCGAGAATTTAATAAAAATTATTCACTATTTACTTTTAATTCATCATATTTTCTCTCCAAAAGTCTATAATTCTCATTCTCCTATTAAATTTATTCCTATTAAGATTTTATTATCTACTCATATCTAAAGTACTAAATTTAATTTATACTTGTTCAATATGTTTGTATTTGTCTAGTATATTTAACTATTTATATTCTTTTACTAATCTAATTCTGTTGTTTACAATTCTTTTTCAGATTCATATTATTTTAATTTATATAATAGTTGTTAATTTAATTCTTAAAGTCTTTATGTATACTTTTTATTTTCCTTTAAGCAATTCTCACATTCTTAATATTTCTTTTCCCATTCCTTACATTATTTTTTTATTTCTTAAAAGCTCTCATTATTTAATTCACTTTTTGATGGTGTAGATGTAAAATTCTATTGTTTTTATAATAATTCAATTTGCTTTTATTTCTTAGCCAGATCAATTTAAAGATTTTAAATTATTACATTTTTTTCTTTGATTTCCTTCTCCATAGATTTTAATGCTTCTCTAGTACCAGATAATCGCATTTCTAATGATTTTATTTATTTTGTAGTATTTTCAATATTTTTTTGTGAATTCCTATTACTCTAAATGTCAGCTATACTGCTACTTCTTTTATCCATATAATTATTAATGGAATCTTATAAATTATCAATAATAGATTCCTAATTATTTTCAAATTTATAAGGACCTGGCTTATATGGAGATTCCAATAATCGATGAGGTTCAATTCGATTAGGTTATTCCTCTTCAGTTTCTTCATCAATTTTACTCAAAATTCCTTTTTCATTTCTAAAATTTGGATTTACATTTTCATTATCGTTATCATTCTCATTTTCTTCTTTTGGTCGTATTTGGTTAAATGAAAATCTTACTGCCTCCTACCTTAATAATTATTATAATTCCTATTCTAGAATCCTATTCTCTTCTTCTATTTATTTCAAAAAAGCAGAATTCATTTAATTTTAAAAATTTATAATACATTATTCTAGACCCACTCCGATTTCATACAATCACTCTTAAAATAATTCAATTCTTCTAAAATATATTTGAAAAGCGAAAAAATAGATTTAATTATAAGATGATAATCATATTATATATTAATTAATAAAGCCTAAATGATACAATAATCTTTTGTTTTAAGAAATTGAATATATTTTAATTCTTTATTATTTTAATCACTTTATTATAAATAAATAATTCATTATAACACCTAAAAATCTCAGTTTATTCTTTAAATCAAAATGCCCAAGTTCTGATATAAAAATAATTTATCTCATAACAATAAACCGAATTTTAATAAGCTAAATACTTGATTTAATTTTAATACATTGTTAATTTATCAATAATAATAATTATAATCCCTAACAACAAATAATTAATATTTTTTTTATTCAAATCTAAAATTTGCTTTCAAATTTTTATTCTTTCCATGAATAAAATAAATTTATTTTAGGATTATCTCAATTTTGATTTTTTAGTATTGTGTTAATAAATACATTTTGATTGCCAATATTTTAATTTTTTATTTAAAGAATTATTTACTCCATTATTAAATAAAAGAAGGTTTTTATTATTTATTTGTTTTTTTATAGAATAAAAAGAATTCTTTATTTCAAAATATAAACAATAAAATCAAAAATAAAATTTGTTTCAATTTAAATTAATGTTATATTTTCTATAATATTTTTGATAATATAAATTAAAAAAAGCAATCAATTATCTTATTGTTATTTTTGTGGTAATTAAAATACTATTGGATCATTAGTTATTCTATAATTTTCATTTAACAAAGAGCAATTAGCAAATTTTATTCCATCTTCTTCTGTAATTCCATATCCTTCATGAATATGTCCAAATAGATGATATTTTGCTTTTATTTTTTTAATCCTATTTAATAATTCCTTATCACCTACATGTCCAGCATTATTAACATAATCGCCATGACCATATGAAGGACCATGTGTTACAACAATATCAGTTCCATCTTCAATTTGATTCCAAAATTGTTAAGCATCTTTTGGAAATAATTCAAAACCCCAATTACAAAACTCTAAAGAATATGGACTACCCCATATTTTATATCCCTCAACAATACATGAAGAATTTAATAAATAAATGCATTAGTTTTAAAGGTCTTTTATTTCAGCTTATATTTATGGATCATTCTTAAATTTTGGATACTTTACATAATCAAGTGTTAAATCATGGTTACCAGCAATCAAAATTTTATATTTAAATGGCTACTCAATGAGCCATTCTTTAAATTTCTTTATATCCTTAATTTCTCCACAATTTGTAAAATCACCACAATGAATCAGAACATCTCCTTTAGGTAAAATTATATTAGGCTTAATTTAGGAAGGACTAAGATATCCATGAGTATCACTAATACAAACAAAAGTTATATTTTTTTGCATTTTAATTTTATAAATCAAATATTATTATCTCAGCTTTGAAATATTTACATTACTCATTAATAGAATTAATCAGTACTAAGAATTATTAAATATCATTTCAATTAAATTTTAATATAGATTTCGAAGACACAAATAAATTTTCAATTGAATTATAAATAAACAAATTATGGTAAATATAGATAATACTAAAAAATTGATTAATCAAATTTAGTAACAAGACAAAATTAGAATAACTTTGTTAAATATTATTGAATGTCTCATAGAAAGTCTATTGAATAAGTATATTATTTCAATGTACTTACCAAAGTTGTAATTAATGTAAATATTTAAGTGTTCTTTTTGGTTTTCATATTGTCTTTTTTTCTTTTTTACTTTCTATGTAAAATGAAAAATAATTATAATTTATAATTAGATTACTTATACAACATTCAATTTATTATTATAAATAGACTTAAAATATTGATTACCAAACATTTTTGAAGAATCGATGGTTTTCTTCATCTTATATTGTGTAATAATAAGTTATAATTAGGTTTCATTTATAATTTCAATTCATTATAGGTAAATAAAAATTTTAAAGGAAATATATATGATTTTAATATATTTTTATTCCTGATGATATGTAGATTGACTTATTTTATTGAACCAATAAAAAAAGGGTGAAATATGATAGTTAATTATATTTAATTTATGTAATAATAATCAATATCAGATTTCGATAATCTTGAACAAGAACATTAGTTGATTGATTAAGTTAATTAAAAGTCAAAATCAGCAAAGTTTAAATAATATAAATAAGGATAATATTATGGAGATATTCAAAACAATGTTAGACATGGATATGGTATATTATTTAACTAATTATTATATTTTTAGGACTAATGACATATCAAGTTAGATATTATATTGGATTTTGGAAGAATGATAAAAAGCAAGGTTTTGGCAAAGAAGTATTGGATAAAGGAGATTCATATGAAGGTTAGTTTGATGAAGGGAAACCTCATGGTGAAGGTACACTGGAAACTGAGAATGGAATATATTCAGGTTAATGGGTTTAGGGAATAAAATAAGGGTATGGGAAATGGAGAGGGAAAAATAATGAAATTTATGCAGGAGAATGGAAATTCAATAAGGCAAATGGGTATGGAAGATATGATTATTAAGATGGAGGATGGTATGAAGGTGAGTTCAAGAATTATCTTAAGTATGGAAAAGGCAAAGAAAGCTATGCGAATGGAGATTTTTATGATGGTGATTTTATTAATGATAAACCTGATGGATTTGGTGTATATAGATGGTCTGATGGTTCATCTTATCATGGAACATTTTTTAGTGGAGTCAGACATGGTAAAGGCTATTGGCTAAAGAATGAAGATTCTTAAAATTATGAGAGTTATGATGGACAATATGTTAATGATTTAAAATCAGGATATGGTGTTTATAGATGGTCAAGTGGTAATGTATATGAAGGTGAATTCTTTAATGATCATAGACATGGATTAGGTGAAATGAGATGGGCAGATGGTTCATTTTATAAAGGTTAATTTCATAATGGTTAAATGTGTGGAGAGGGAGAATTGAAGAGAAACAATAAACCAATTATATATGGATACTTTGACAATAACAAACTAGTTAAAGAATAAAATTAGAAGTCAATTCCTATAACTATTAATTAGAGTTAAAATAATAGTTTTGATGGTAAAAGAAATTACTATTCTCTGTAATAATCCTTTAATCAAAACTAAAATGGTTAACGGCATCAGAAATCTCATTTTAAGTCTGAATGTATTGAACCCATCTCTAAATAAACTAAAAGAAATTGTAATACTTCATTGGATGACAATCAAATCTAATAACATTAAAATAAATTTAAAATTTCTATTGATTTTGATGATCATTAAGGATTTTCTACTTAATAAAAGTTCAAAACTATAAGTACAACAAATCGTCCTTTTTAAACTCAACAAGAGGGTTTATTATAAGTGACTAATAGAGCATAATCAACAAAAAAAGTTATAATTGAAAGTGTTAAATTTAAGAGAAGCTAAAATTCTTTTCGACTATAATCATTAAACTAATCTACAAGATAAACTTAAAATTCTCTTCCAAAATAATCAATAAATTGATTTTTGAAATATATATTATGTATTCATTTTTCCATGGATATGAAATAATTGTTTATAGAAGAAATACGCATTATATATGTTAAGTAATTAAAATGCAAAATTTAATTAAATTTTTTTCAAAATCATTTCAAAACACCATTTTTACAAAATATAAATTCAAAATTAAATAGAAAAATAGAGGGAGATATTTAAAAATAACAATTTCTTATCTTAATCTTTCTAATCTTTATGGGTTTATATAATTGTGTTTTTCCCTTTATTTAAGTATGCAAATTACTTTAATGTCTTATGTCTATTTTTTCTATTTGTAAATTATTTAAAAAATCTCTTTTCATACATCTCTGATTGGTTGAGTTTGTTAAAAGATTTGAAATTTAATTCAATAGAGTCATCAGATTCTATAAGTCAACCTCTATATAAAGTATAGTATGTTATTTTATAGGTACACAAATTGAATTTAAATATATTCCTTTTAAATATTAGATTTTTAAAGGACTTATAGATATGAATTATGAAATTTTATATATTAATACTCTATTGATACATAACATAAGTCAAAATTTTTAATCTGAATTTCCAAAATCTTTGTGTATCGATCTTTAGAGTTCAATTATTCTAAGTGCTAAAGTTTTCTTGTAATTTAAAACTGTTATTGAGTTTTGCTCATAAGTATTTAATTCAATTATCCTTTTTTTACCGATTTGAGTCGCTAACATAGTTTATGCATCAAAATTCATTGGATTATTAAATAATTATTTTCAATCAATTTTAGATATACACTTAATTAAGGCAAATACACAAACCCGAATATTATTATTTCAATTAAATTTCAATTATCATAAAATCATTTAGAATAACAAATGAGTGATATTGAAGAATACTTTGAATTTTACATCTTCTAAATATAAATTATTAAATAAGAAAAAAATTTTAAATATCTTGATAAAATATTTAATTCAGATATTTTAATTTTGCATGAGAATAATAATTATAAGATTCATAAATTAATTTTTTACTTCTTAGAATTAATATTATAATAATTTATTCAGCCTAAATTTAGTATTATAATTTTAAAACTATATATATTATTTTGAAAAATATAAAAATAAATTCTCAAATTAACATGAATTGAAGTATATATTATATCTAATTTTGAAGATTTAATTGATTTTCTTTATAAAATAATAATAATAGTTTATTAAAATAGGTGAGATTATTATAATTATTTTGATAATAAAATTCAAACCTTAATTCAATATAAAATAATAAGTTTATAAAATTTATATATTGTTAAATGATATATTTTTAAAGAATAAATGTAATGCTTAAAATTTTTTTAATTTTTTGTAGTTATATTTAATTATTTTATTTAATTTTATTGAAATAAATTATATTTAACGATGAATTCAACACTTAGGCCTGATTAGATTATTTATTTTGGAACTTCTAATACACCAAAAATTCCATGTCGATTTCATGAGGACTATTTTATTCAAAATTTTTGCAAGAAACAGTATTACAATTGAATAATACTTTTAGAGAATGCAGTTTACCAATGTGTCCTGAATGTATAAAGATTCATTCAGAGGAACATGAGCAAGAAAGAGTAACAAGTGATATTGATCTATTCTCTAATTGCTTGACTGAATAATATAATAAGTCATTAGAATATCTTAATCTTTGGGCAAATGATGTTTAAGAATCCAGTAATTTTTCAGAAGAGGTAGAAAAGGCATAAAAAGTAAGTTACATTCATATAATTTATAGTTTTAGCTCTAAAAGTTTTAAGAAGCTAAGTAGCAATTTTATAAGGCCATAGATGATTATTTTAGAATGCTTGAATCAACGATTATAAATGAAACTTAAAAATCCACTTAGGATTTAATTAAATTGGTTAGATCCAGACATAGAATTGAATATTTGGAATGGAAAACCTTACATGAAAATTTACTTAAACTTAATTCAGAAAAAGTAATTAAAACTTATTAAATATAGTGTTTACCTCCATTAATATAAATATATTCAGATCCAAGATAAACACCTTAAGCAATATATTAAAGAAATCATTAGGAACATATTGAATAATTGAATAAATTAAAGCTCAATATTAGATAAGTGATTGTTAATGATAATCTAAACTAAATTTTTGTATTATTAAAATAATACATAAATTTATCACCTGTTGTATAAGATTCCTAAATTTAATAAATATAAATAGCAAACACTGTTTAACCAATTATATAAACTCAACCAATTATATAAACTTAACCAATTATATAAACTTAACCAATAGTGTAAACTTAACCTATTGTAAATTAAGCAATAAATAACAATAAATATTAATCAAGAGTTATATAGCCTTTTAGTGCCATCAGAGAATACACACCTTTATAGCCTGTTTTGTATTAATAAACACCAATAGTTCCAATAGAACCTTTACAACTTTATCCTTAGCAGTTTTATCATCAAAATCCTGTTTTATAAGAACCTATGCCAATGCCAGTTATGCCAATTTAATAATCAACTCCCCCTTAGATCATAAGATCTCCAAAAAAACTTGTACAACCAATTGTTGAAGCAGGGGTTTTAAATGGACAATTAAGAGAAACAATGGCACAAAGATATTATGATTAAATGTTAAAAAATGAAATAAAATGATTTATAATATGAATTATTTTTATAATCAATATATAATATTCTTTTATTATCACAATTTATTGTATAATGATTTTAGACTCCCTAATATTTGTAAAAAGAGTGTTCAAAAAAATGGTTACTTTTTATAATCTTTAAATATATTATTATTATTTTAATAATCTATGATCTTGAAATCCGTTATGTCATTAGAGTTGTTTTATTATTACATCTATAAAATCTTAGAATATTTTAAATTGATTGTTGGAGCAAGTTCAAATTTTAAATTTAATTAATAACATGCTAGTAAAAAAAGTCAATTTAATCTTAGGAAAATAAAAACAAAATTAAAAATCTTCAGAGGTTAATTTTGATTTAAAATTAGACGACAATATTCATAATAATATATTTTCACTATTAATAGAAACCCTAAATTTTATTAAATATATGGCTTAATAAAATACACAAAAATTTATTTATATCAATTTCTTAGGGAAATAATAATAAAATAAAAATTGGAAATTCATATAAATCATATTATATAAATGATAAATTAAATTCAATTTAGATTAATTCTTTAGAAACATAAAGAAGAATAAAATTTATTAATAAGATAATGAAAATATCAAAAATTAATTACTTTGATCAATTTATACAAGTAAATCTTGATTTATATATTATAATCAATGAAATTAAATTTAATAATAGGGTTAAGTTAGATTAACTTTAAAATGAATATATAGTAGTAAAATAAATTATAAAATTGATTTGATAATTCAATACAAAAATATATATATCAATATTTATTTCATTGTAAGTTAGCTAAATAATAAAAATTTTAAATTATTTATATCACTATGAAAAGTAAGGACATGGATGCTCCTCCACTTAGTGAAGATGAATTAAATGAAATTTACAATTGGGTTGATACAGTACCATTATCAAGACCAAAAAAACATATAGGTAGAGATTTTGCAGATGGAGTTCTAATTGCAGAAATAATTTAACATTATCTTCCTTAAATTATTGATATACATAATTATAGTATGGCTCATTCTGTTTAATAAAAATAATATAATTGGAATACTTTGAATACTAAAGTAATATAAATTATAATTTATAGGTATTTAGAAAAATGGGTTTCTAAATTACTTAGAAAGATATTGATGCAGTCATTTAAGTAATTCCCGAAGCAATAGAAAGAATCTTAAAAGTAATTTAAGTAAAATTAGATATGTTTTTGGATCACTAAGAATAAAATTAAGTGCAAAAATAAGAAAAGCCAAATGAAGTTTAAAAAAATTAGAATTAAGTTAACAACCAAAAACCAGTACACAATAATAAATAAAATGATAAAGATTTAATTATTTAAGATTAAAAGGAAACAATAGAAATACTTGAACTTAAAATATAGAAGCTAGAATAATTAGTAAAATTAAAAGATAGTAAAATATAATAGTTAACTTAAAAGATATAATAAGCAGGAATAAAATGATATAGTTACTCATATATCATTCACATAAATTTTAAAAATAATTATTCTCTGTGTCACTTTTACTACTATTTGTGTCACTTTTATCAAAATAATTTTTTTAATCATCTGAATATTACTAATTTCTTTTTATATTATTTTTTATTTCTTCCTCATCTAAAGTTATATCTTAATGTTGATTTTACATTTTCTAAAAAATTGACATTCTTTATTTTTTTATGGGTTCTTATTATTCTAAATTTTTTATAATTAATGGAGAACTTTAAGGAGTTGTATTTGGTGTTCGTCTTTATTTAATTGAATTCATTTCTATACTGATTTTTTACAGCATAGCATTACCTTTATCATCTTCCAAATTAGATTGATCAACTTTTGAAGTGGTATTGAATGACATGGTGCTGGATTTATTGGGTCTCCTCTTAGGTTTTTGATAAAAATGCTCTTATTTTTCTAAGGGATCAGTTTTCATCTTGAGACCCATTTATTTGAGATATGTGACTATAATTTACTCTTTTTTTATCCATTCATTTTCAGGATGCTAATTACTTAATATTAACATTTCAAAAGAATCATCAGTGTGTTAATCTGAATTATATAGATTTTATCCATCTTTATAGTTTGTATTCTACTAATGAACATTTTATTCAGCTTTAATAGTGTTTTCTTCTTAATTAATTGTTGTTTCACATGACAAATATTAACCTATATTCATACAAAGTAAAACTCTGAATGATGAATGAATTTTTATATATTTATTAATATCATTAAATCTTACACAATCAATACTGAAAATTATTACATAAATGACATCTTTTATGAATGAAATACAAATTTGACCTTTGTAAAAATATTATTAAATTCAAAATGCTAATATTTATAAATAAGAAGTCTCTCAATAATAATATATTTAAAATACTCCAAACTTAATCTATTTACTTTATAATATTTGTAAAAAGAATGTAAATATTATTATTTTTAAATTACTTAAATTGAAATAATTTAAATTACAAAAATATGGTAATTTTCTAAGATTTTAAAGAGGTTAAATAGAATATTCAAAGATCATCTGATGGTTCAACTTCCCATCCTGTATCTCCGAATCTTTCTTATATTGCTATAAGGGACTGAACTTTTATTTTTGCATTATTTGGACTTGGTTAATTAATAGAACTATTAATTGTATATTAAGTCTCTGCTCTGTGTTTTCTAACAAGTTTCCTTTATGGATAAATCGACTTTTAAAAAGGGAAAATTAGAGTATCACATGAATCCTTTTAAGAAGGAATTGACTGTAAAATATGATGATTACCATAGTTAATATTATCTAATTGCTTTGAGTATTTTTAGAAAATAATTTTTGTTGACATTTAATTATTATCATCAGCAATTGAACTACATCTTGTTTTTATGGTATCTAAAAATTTGATTTTAGAAGTAGATAGTTTCTTATCTGACTCTAATTAATTTTTAGCAAAGATTAAACTTCGTTTCTTCATTTTAATACGATCTGATTCTTCAGGCAACTGATATTTCATTTTGAGTAATGCCATTCTAGTTGATTTTTTAAGCAGCTCTAAATTGATAGCACAATTAAATCTAAATCCTATTGTCTTCTGATTTGGAGAAACCTTATTGCTTTTCTAATTCATTGTTGAATAATATTTATTTTTATATTATTACTATTAAAATAAACAAAAACACCATATTTTTGAATCAGTTTCTTATAAATCTATCATTTCATTGATACATTAACTTTTCTAAATTTTGTTTTTACAACTTATTCTTAAGCTATATTTTTCAATAAAGATTTATTATGTAATAATTCCATATTTGTCATTTTTTCATGAGCACTTTTATTTCTACTTTCTTCAATTTATTTCTTAATATCTTCTTAGTTTTATTTATAATTATTTTTGATATACTAAAATAAATTACAATTATATACAAGTTATTTTTCTTTTTCTTTTTATGAATAATTCATATGTTCTAATTATTATGAAAGTAATAATAATTTTTATTCTTCATCTTCTGATAATTTTTTTTATTATTTCTATTAAATTTACAATTACAATTATTATTTGACTAATTCCATTTTTTCTTTTTCTTTTAATTTTTTATATTACTATTATTATTTATCATATTCTTCTTGTTTTTTTAATTATTCTAACATTTATTTTCCTTCATTTTCTTCATTTTCCTTTTATTTAGATAAAACCTAATGGCTATAATTACTCATAAATTATTTAATTTTTTCATCCCTATTCTTCTTTTATTATTCTCTTCTTTCATCATCTTATATCATTTTCTATAATTATTATTATTACAATTTAGTATCAATTTCTTTTTAGAGTTTAAGTTCCTCTTATGCCTTTAAATTATTATATATATATATTACTTTATGACGTAATTATTCATTTTCTTTCAAAATCTATTAAAATTTATCTTTTTATTCCTATCTTTTTTTATTTAATTCTTAAGACTCTCTACTTATTTCATTTTTTAACTATTAGAGCATTTCATCATCTTATAATTTTGATTACTTTTAACTTTCTCTTCTAATCTAATAAATTATATAAATTACTTTTTATTTTTTTCTTAATAAACTTATTCATCTCTTAATTTCCTTTCTTCTAATTATTTAATTTTTATCTATTCCTTTTTCTATTTTTCATATTATTCAAATTCCTATTTCCTTTATTAATTTAATTAATTAAATTTAGCTTCTTTCAATGCCTCTTCTTTTTTAATCTATTCCTTTTCTTTTAATTATTTATCTAAATCATCTCTTAATTTTTGTCTCAATTATTGTTCCCTCTTTTTTTTCTCATCTTATTCTTTTTAATATAAAGCTGTATCATGTTTAATAATAGCAGCCCATTCATCTTATTCATCATCATCCAATTAATAAACAGATTTTTATTTATTCTCAGATGTCAATGAGTCTAATCTTGGAATTTCTATAGGATGATTATCTGTTTTATGATTTTATTACTCTTATCCTATAGTAATAGTTTTAGTAATTTATTTATTTTCATTATTTTAGTTATCTTCCTTATTTTGTAACTATTGAGTATTAGATTGTTATTTTAAGGATTTTATTATTGACTCTTTTTCCTATTGAGATTTCTTGATTGCTTCTTATATTTCTGCTTTTAATGCTCTTACACAACTTTCATTAAATGATGTTTATTTAGAATTATAATGTTGTACATAACATTTAATTAGCTTATTATAATTTATTAAATACTTCGCTATCTATTGGTTTAGTACAGAATTCTTTTATTAATTTATTCAGAATGAAATCTGATATATTAAAAGATTACTTGAGTTTGTCTTATTTTTTTATTTATTTTGGATACATGAATATAAATAATTTAATATATTGAAAGAATATATTTAATAAAAAGTATGAAATTTACAAATACAAAAAATCATTGTAAATTTATCAAATTTTCAATAAGATTTTCAAAATTTTTTGATACATTTTCAAGAATTTTAATTTAATCTGCAGCATAATGTCTTTTTTCATTCTCAACATTTTTGTGTGTAATCTTCATTTAAATTAAATTACTACCAAAATTTTATTCTTCATTTATGTTTTAGTATGATATTTGTAATCCATTAATTTCTTTAATTTTGCTTAGATATCTACATATATCTTCTTTTTCAATCTAATATCAATTTATTGATCTAAAGGTAATTTATATATTTGAGGATTCTCAATAGGATTTTCATCATTTTAACTTTTTATTACACCAAGATCTGATAAAATGAAAGGATTTGTTTTATATTTTATATCATGAAAAATATCTTAAGGATGTATTTTTTTATTTCTTATAAAATCAAAACATTTACTTTCTGATTTAACTATTAATTTATTTATAATTAATTTATACATGAATGTTTTGGAGTATAAACTTCTACTTCAAATTCTTAAGTTGATAAAATCTCTTATTAAATTCTTAGACCATCAATTTACATTGTAGAGAACAATTTAATATGAGGATTTGTTTCAAAAATGGAACTTCTTCTTGTTGATGAAACCTTTGATTCATTAAAGATTCTAGGATTGATCATTGTAAGAGATTCATTCTGTATTTCTTATTATGATATTGACAATATATCTTAAGGAAGAGGTAAATTTAATCTATTTAAGAGAGGAGTATTTATGGTTTCAGCATAATTTCTATTGAAATTTTTATTTAAGAAGACTTTAAGTGTATCTGAACTCATTTAACGTAATGGAGAACTCTCTACTTCATAGTCATATGTAATAGCTCTTTCATGATAATATTTAGTCTTTAATAAATAAATGATATACTTTTTCAATGTCTCCTAGATAATAATAACAAACACCTAATTTTGAGTATACTTCATTTTCATAATCTAAATCATTATTTAACCATGAATATTGTAAACATTTTTTAAAGAATTTAATTCCAATCTCATATTATTACATTTTAATTGAACAATTTCCAAGTCCAATCAAAGATTTCATTTTATATTTATCCATTGTTTATTTTGCATAATTAGCCATAATTCTAGTTTAATTATGATAAAAGATGGCCCAATCAAGTTATGATGTTAATTCAAGCATAGAAGCAGCAAAACTAAGAGTTTCAATTAATGCTATTGGAGATAAGGTTCCTATAGAAAATGTTAAAATTTATTATGAAAAATCAATTAACTAATTGAAATGCAATTATTACTTAATTTTCAGCTTTGGATTTGACTAAATCAATCAAATGTTTTTATTACTTATAAAGGTAAAGTAAATAATTCTTTAATCCAATATTAGATATATTCAATATTTTAAAATAGATAACTTGTTATTTAACTTAAGGATCAAATTTCATTCTTCTTTTCACTTCATTAGAATCAATATTTTCTTATGTAACAATTAATTATTTCTATTGAGATCTACTTGCTTATTGAAATAGTCTATTTTTCGGTACTGGAATAGCAGTTCTATTAGTTTCTTAAGGGGATGATTCTTATTTATTGTCTAAACTGAATTAAGAGTCTACTCTTCTTATAAGATTATTTCTGCTTGAATGAAAAGTTGATCTCATTTTAATTTGACCTCTAAATGCAGAGTTAGAACCTGAATCATATTCTGCTTCATTCATTCTATGTGTAGAATATCCAGTTCGTTGAGTTGTGTTGTAAGTTGTTCCACTTTATAATCTTGATTGTTGTGATAACGACTATTATGAAGTTTGTGATTGTTTTATAAGCACATTCTTTAATCTATCCAAAATTATTCACTTATTCATACTTTTAAGAGTCTACTAATTTGAATTAGACTGCACTTCTGAGTCGTTTTTCTTAACTATCATTAGTTTTTAATTTAAGAGCAGATGAAATTGGCCTCATCCTTTTTATTAAATTATATTAATAAATTAGTTATATATTAATAATAACAAATATGATTTCAAAGTACAATTTATCAAATGATCCTAAATAATAAATACTTTCCTCTTTAAGAGAACATGAATTATAATGATACATACATTAATGATTCGAAATGATATTTATTTTTTAATTAAATCATTAAGGGATAATTTTTACTTAAGAATTAGTAAGATCCTTTTAAGAAATAATTCAAAAAAAATCTTAAGGGTATAAAAGGAAATAAAACTTTAAAGAAAATATTAAAAATTTAAACAAAAAATAATAATTGGAAAAGAATAATACAAAGATTTATATATTCAGACTAATTAGATGCAGAAGATAAATCAAAGAAATTTTATTAAATTTTAATTGATATCCTTATCAAATTAGAGTAAGATAAATAAAAAGTATTGAAAATAATTATAGATATTAAATTACCAAATTAAAATATAAGGAAGATGGAAGAATTATTGAATCATTTTTATTATTAATTAAAATATTAATTATTGATTACTTATATATTTTTATTGATTTATAATAAGTATTAAATTAATTATAAATTCTTAAGCTTTTAGAAAAATTTCAATCAATATTAAATCATTTAAGAGTTTGTTTGCATTTATTGTTATAATTCAATTTACCAATTTGAATTTTTGTTTTACAAATCGCTTTTTTTTAATTATTAATTTAGTTCTTTGTTTTTTATTTCCTATGCAAATTTTGATAATGATTATTCATTTAAATCTTATCTACAAATGGGACAGAATTCTTTCTATTTATCTACCACCCATGTTTGCAAACATTTATAATGAAATATATGATAACAGGGTGTCATTAAACATATTGAATCTTTCTAATAATCTTCTGTGCAAATAACGCAAGATTCAGATGAACTAGATTTAAGATTTTTTTCTGAATTGGGATAATGTTAATATAAATCTTTCCATTTTGTTTTTTTCAAATACTCATTAAATTATTATAAGGTAATTCCCTATTTTTTATTTTCGTCATCTAACCCAATTTAATTTGGCCTTACTCCTCTACATTTTTTGATTATACAAACTATAATCACTATCAGTATAATGACACCTAGTGGTAAAAATAAGTAAATAAGTATTTAATTAGTTTACTGTTCTGAATCTTCAGATGGAAGACTGATATTAATATTAAACTAACATGTACCTGGAACAACAATTGTTAATAATAGGCGATCAAATCTAGATAATAATAAAGTAGTACCTAAATAAATCTGGATTATTATTCAATTTAGAAACATCTATAATCTCTGATTAATATATAGATTAAGGATTAGAATAAAATGAAAAAGACTAATTATTAAATTATGAAGTAGCTACTCCATAAATATAGTTTTCAAACATTATATATACAAAGATTTAAGAATGTTCTGATAGGAACATATTTGAAATTTCTAAATCTAGCTAAATTTTTTCTAACTAAGTCTTTTATTAAAAATAGAAATATTTTGTTCCACTTATAAACATATTTTCAATTTAATTATCCATAATTATGGGAATTCCTGTTTTGGAACAATCCAAATCAATCATATCATCTTTGCATGCACATATACCAAAATTGCAAAAACCTAAAGTATTTGATGTACAATTATTAGGACATGGAATATTAGTATTCTTACTTATTTTTAAGATATATTTATATGTTATCTCTTCATCTCTTTTTTAAATATTAATGTAAAATCTGTCACCTTAATTATATGAATATGCTGGTATAAGTATATTTTGATAACTCTTATGAAGATAATCACCATTTAAATCAGCATATGTTGCTAATATTGTGTTATTTTCATATTTTGAAGTTTGCCTGCTTTAAGTTATTGTAAAGGACAAATTCACATGACCATCTTTAGGAGTTTCAAATATTAATCTTTTATATGACATTATAATTACTCTATAAAAAGATATCTATTAGTGTCAGCTGATTCAATTGAAAAGAACATAATTCCATTTTCTATTTCTTGTATTATATAATATTCAAATTCCTTCAAATGATATATTTATCCTTTCTTCGTGTATTCATTATTAATGTTTAATTTGATCATTCCTAGAGTAGTTATAAGAAAGTAAAATAAAAAGTGAATCATTTTCTCCTTTATAAAATATTATGTTTTATCAAAATTAGAATAATTACCATTTAGATATAATTGATTAATATAAAATTCTATTTAATTTCAAAACTCAGGCTCAAGTTAATCATCTTCCATTCTAAAAATAGTTTAATTTAAATCAATATAAAGGTATTTAATATAATTTATGAATTTTTTTATTGTTTGAAAAAATTTGATTATTTCATTTTTATTTTTAAATTCTGATTAATAATATTTTAATTATTATAGAAGTTTGATCTACTTATTCAAACTATATATATTCAGCTAATTCACAATATTATTACTCAACTTTATAATACTACAACATATATAATAGCATATAGAAAGTAGAGAATACTAGATTTAAGTGAATTTTAGTTCAAATTTAAACTAAATTTTAATAGTAAAAGATTAAAATAAATATAATTAAAATTATAGTATCAATGAAAAGACATATAATGAATATAATAATTGGATAAAAAAATATCAATTTAAGCAGATGAATATTGAGTTAACATGTAATTTATCTTGTCTTAATTATCTATTAGGCAATAAAATGATTAAGAATTTAAAAAGTATTGCATTAATATTAATTAATATTTTTGAATAATACTTAAATTTCAGTTCACAAAATTACACCTAAGTTTTAGTTAAAAAAATTTCTATTGTATTTAACATGAGAAATAACAAGGAAATATTAATTTATTTGTTTGTTAATGATTCAAAAACCTCAAGATATATTGCTAAAGACTAATTATCATGAAATTAGTTTACTTCCTGGAAAACCAATTTATGAATATGAATTAGAAATTTAAAATTCTACTCCAGAATTAATTTAAGCAGCATTAAAAGCACATAAAACCATTTTATTAGAAATGCTTAGAAATTATATGAGTATTGATAATAAAATATACTCTCCTAAAATAATAGATGGAATTGAAAAAGGATAATCAAAAATATTGGGAATAGATGAAATCAATTAAGAAGCATAACATATAGTTTCTATTAAATTAATTGGTCGTTTAAGTGAAAATCACATAAGCAAGAATTAAATAATTGCTAGATTAATAAAATAAGTAGTTAGAAATTAATTCTAAATGGTTTCTATTGGGAAAATAGGTAGTAAACTTTTTTGGAATTAAAGAGCAATTAAATAAAAAGAAAACAATTTAGAAGTAAATATATTTATTTAATTCTTAGATTTGGCCAGGAGTAGAATGCATTTATTAAGCTAGTAATATATAAAATTTTAAACCTAAATTAATAATTGATTGTGCATTTAGAATACTTCGTTATAGATCTGTATTAGAAGAATTGAATTTATAGAAACAAAATATTGATATTCTTATTGGTTAGATTGTGATGACTACTTATAATAAAAAGTTTTATTAAATATCTGGTATAGATGTTTAAATGAATCCAAAATCTACATTTTTAAATGAAAATGGTGAAGCAAATACTTTTGAAAATTATTACAAAACAAAGTATAATTAAAATATTAATTCTAATTAACCTCTTTTAAAAGCAATTGTCAGAGGTAGAAGAGATTAAAATGAAAAAGAAATATTTTTAATCCCTTCTCTTTGTTAAATGACTGGATTAACTGATGAAATGAGAAATGTAATTAGATTTATATATTTTAGGATTTTATTGCTATGAAAAAGATATCAGAAATAACAAAACCATCTGCAGATGTAAGAATGAGAACTGCATAAGACTTTATTAAATAACTTTAAGATACTAAAATTATTAATAAAAAGGATAATTCATAAAAGGAACTATTGAATGAATGGGGATTAGAAATAAAAAAGGATTGTGTTTAAATATAAGCTTATAAATTAGATCCTGGAAATATGTTAATGGGTGGAGAATTACGTTTAAATTTAGGAGATAGCAAAACAAATTTAGATAGATAAACTTAAACTTAAATGTATTAAACTCCTACATAAAAATTACTATTGGGAATTATATATAATGTAAATTCAGGAGTATCAGCAATGAATTCTTTCATACAAAACTTTGATTTAGCTAGATAAGAATTTTAGTTTGATGTTTTTCTTTAACCACTAGTGATTAAAATGTATTAAGACAGAGAAGAAGAATTAGAAAGATTATTACAAGGATTAAAGGCGGAAGCTGATTCAATGAATAATAAGATAAACTTTTTATTATTTTTGTTACCAGGATAAAAGAAAAAAGCAAGATTATACAAAGCTTGTAAAAGAATATCTATGGCCAAATTTGGTTGTGCTTCTTAAGTAATTATAGAAAAAACGTTAAAAAATAATACAAGATCTATTGTAAATAAGATTTTAATTTAATTAAATGCAAAAATAGGAGGAACTCCATGGGCATTAGATGGTATTCCTAGTATATTTACAAATTAACCGACAATGATTTGTGGAGTTGATATTTTTTAAAAGACTGGAAGAAAAAGTCAATTAGCCTTTTGTAGCACAATTAATAGATATTTTAGTAGATATTATTCTTAAGTTGTAACATCAGGTGAATTTTGTTAACATTTATAATAATGTTTGAAGGCTGCTTTAATTGCTTTCAAATAAGAATTATAAATTTATCCTAAGAATGTTATCATATATAGAGATGGAGTTAGTGATGGTTAATAAAAAACTGTATTAGGAACTGAATTACCATAATATAAACAAGCTTTAAAAGAATTAGAATTAAATGATATATCACTTACTTTGGTTATCTGTAACAAAAGAGTTTCTGCAAAATTCTATACTGGAGGTTAAGGTAGAGCAGAAAATCCACCTCCAGGAACTGTAATTGATAATAAAAACATTACGAATGAAGATTCTATGAAATTTTATTTAATCTCTTAATTGAGTAGATAAGGAACTGTTACTCCAACTCTCTATAAGGTTCTTTATTCAGATTTACCAGGTATTTATATTTTATAATAAATAAGGTATTGAGTAAATGATTAAAATAATGACATTCAAATTATGTTGGTTGTTCTATAATTTTACAGGGTCTATCAAAATACCAGCACCTGTTCGTTATGCACATTGTCTTTGTAATTTTATTGGAGATAATTATGATGATAAGGATAAAATAAAATTTCTACCGTAATAAGACTTAATTCTTAAAAAAGTGCTGTTTTATATTTGATTAATATTATTGTATATTTATAATAATTGATGATAAGGCCATTATCTGAATATGAATAATGTTACTAAGAAATTAAAATAATTGGGAGAGGTTAATTTGGTAATAAATAATGATTAATCTTATAGGAATTGTTTATTTGATATAGGAAAAGTCAACTTTAAAAGAATTTGCAGCAAAAAAAATAAATGGAGAATGTTCCAATACAGAATTAGATATCTTATTAAAATTGAAACATCCAAATATCATTAATGTTTATGAATGCTTCAAAGATCAAAAATCAATTATTATTATTATGGATTATTGTTAAAGTACAAACTTATTAAATAAAAAATAGAGGGAGATCTATGGAATATTATTTAATATAGAATATTAGAAGGAAAGAATAGAGGATACACTTAGAAGGTAATTGAATAATGGCTTGTTTAATTACTTATGGGATTAGCTTGCATACATGAAAATAATGTTATTCATAGAGATTTGAAGAGTTCAAATATTTTAATTAAAGAGGATGGACAATTAAAGATAGCAGATTTTGGAGTAGCTAAAGTAATATAATAATTTATTACGAGATTTTATCAGAAGATAAAATGGCTAAGACAATTACTGGTAGTCCATTTTATTTATCACCAGAAATCAGTTAAGGTTAAGATTATACATACTCCTCAGATATATGGTCACTTGGATGTATATTATTTGAAATGTGTACATTGAAAAGAGCTTTTGACGGTGATTAATTTGATTAAGTACTTGATAAAATACAGCAACGAAAATTGTAATAGGAAATACTGATTTAGGATTAGATTGATCCAACACTTTCTGATAAAAGAACATATACTTCAGAATTAGTAAATTTAATTTAATCTCTTCTGAATGTAGATCCTTCAAAAAGACCCACTGCCAAAGAACTTTTAAGATCTTCTTATATAGCTAAAATTATGTTATAAAGTTTCGAAAAGAAAAGTGTTAAATAGAAGGATATTCAAAAAATAGGTTAAGTCACTATGATGTAAAAAAAAGCACATGAAAAATATTAAAAATAAATGAGTTATGTTAAGTAACTTTTAGGAAACTCATAAGATTCTATCAATGCATAATCTTAAGTTTGTGATACTATGTTTACAAAAAAATAAACAAGTATTTGAAACACTTTTATATAAATATTTCTTTAAATTGCAATCAATTTAATTTAATGAGCCATAGAAGACTTTCTCAAAATTATTCTGAAAAACTTGATACATCTGGAGATGTTGGTCTACCTGAAATTCAAGAAATCTCATAATTATTTTTGAATTACTTATAGACTTAATCCATCACTGAATCAGAATGCTTATCAAAATCTAAACAATTTTTAAAGAGAATATAAACTGCAATTATCATTTTCACTTTTTATGAAGCAATTACATTTTTTAGTTGTTTGACTGTATTTATTATCAGTCTAGAATTCAAATTAATTTATATTACAATAGGATTATTTTTCAAATTATTGACATTTACCTATCTAATATTTTAAGCAAATAAACAAATAAAGTATATTGGATTAAAATCTACAATCACTAGAAAAATATTCTTATATTTATTAAAATAGAATAAATCTATTGATTTAGAAAATAGAGTTGAAATAAAATTAATGGATTTAAATATAGCTACAAATTTAACATTTAAGTAGATACTTAAGGAATTTATAAAATTACATATAAAATCAGTAATAAATGTCATAATTTTAACAATATTGATTTATGTGTTATATATAAGGTTCATTCTCTATGAATCTTATATTAATTCATATTTAATTTACTCTGAATTTGCATTAATCACATTACCTCTTACACTAACTATCATAACCTTAAACCTTATACTATTATTCATCTTTATTAATTCCTTTATCAATCTTATTGACATAATAATTAGATTAATTATTAATATATGTATTTCATTTCCAAGAGTTATAAGATTCTTACTAATGATTTTCAGAATAAAAAAGAAAAATCATAATGTTTTATTGAAATATGTTCATCATTCATTTACACCAAAGGATATTTGTTCAATATGTCTATGTCCATTTTAAAAATAATGTATTTTGTTACCATGTAAACATTTCTTTCACATTAATTGTATTGAAAAATGGTTTTTTGCTAATAATTCATGTCCTATATGTAGAGCAAAAATTAATAATAATGATGATAATTAATAAAAATGAACCTTAATTGTTAAATATTATTTACTATATTAATTAATTTTAATTATAATTTTAATGTAAATAAAACATAATTAAAATTTGAAATGCTTATATTTGAATCAAAATAAACTCAAATATTGATCAATTTATATTCATTCAATTAAACAATAACAATAAACAGGCATAATATAAATATTAGAATGAATAAAAATCAATTTTTATCATAAAATTTGATTGGCTGATTTTTGCATCATTTGGATTTTTATCCTATATACAACCTCCACTTTTAAATTATATTAATTTCAATTCAAAATATACAAAAATGGCTGGAAAATCAGGAAAAGGAATAGGTAAAGTAAGTGCAAAGAGACATGCAAGAAAACCAAACAAAGCTTCAATTGAAGGAATCACAAAACCTGCTATCAGAAGATTAGCTAGAAGAGGAGGAGTCAAGAGAATTTCATCATTCCTTTATGATGACTCAAGAAATGTTTTAAAGAGTTTCTTAGAGAATGTTGTCAGAGATGCTATCACATACACTGAGCATGCTAGAAGAAAGACCGTCACTGTTATGGATGTTGTTTACTCATTAAAGAGATAAGGAAGAACACTCTATGGATTCGGTGCATGAGTTTTATTTTCATTCAGAATTAATTAATTCTATTCATATATCTTCTTACATTTGGTGCCAATATTTTTATATCCATTTTTTAATCTAAATTATTAAAATAAAAAATGTATAAAATATTTTATGAATATTTATTGAGAAATTGAATATGTGTATTGATAATATGGATTTAAATTCTTTATTGAAATAATATATCAACTTTTTTATGATTGAATATTGAAACAAATCTTATATTATAAACAAATCAAAACATCTTTTTGATAATTATCCACTTATTTCAATATTCCAAAACTATATATTTATTTATATCAATTCTAATATATTAAAAATCTATTTAATAGGATTTTATTTATTTTTATTAATCAAAAATTCCAAAAATTTATAATTGATATATACATTAAAGAATTATTGATTAGAGCAATTTTTAATTGATTAACAGAATTAATTTAAAGATTATATTTTTCATTTAAATAAATCCTTTAATTAAAAATATTGTTAAATTATCCTAATAATAAATGGGGAGATGTAAAAACCTTGTTTTTAGTTTAGTAATATATATATTAATTATCCTTATATAAATTATTAAGAGTAAATTTTAATCAAGAATTATATAATAGTAATATAGACAAGTATATAATAAATAATTCTTTTTTACAAAAGGAATAAGGTAGATTTTATAATATTGCTATTGAATAGTATTTAAATAAAAAAAGTATTATTTGGAAATATATTGCATGAAATTCGTGAAGAAAAAACAAAAAATTAATTTTTAATTAAATCTTTTTCAAAATGAAAACCCACATCGAAGTTTCAAGTTAAAGAAGAAAGGGCAGAAGAGCCTAATTAGGTGCACCATCAAACATTAGATATAAATTAATGAGTGCTCATCTTTCTAAAGATTTAAGAAAGAAATACAATGTTAGAGCATTGCCTGTTAGAAAGGATGATGAAGTAACTGTTGTTAGGGGTATAATTGTAAATTTGAGCATAGGCACACATAAGGGAACAAAGGGTAAAGTTTCATCAGTTTACAGAAAGAGATGGGTTATTCAAATTGAGAAACTCACCAGAACTAAAGCTAATGGTATATTAATAATTGTTATTGTAGGAATGCCATACTAAATCCCAATCAGACCATCATAATGCATTATCACAAAACCTTACCTTAATGAAGACAGAAAATAATTGTTAGCAAGAAAGGCATCAGCCAAAGTATCAACAAAAGGAAAGGGTGAAAAACATACAACTGAAAGCACTAAGAAAGCTGATTGATTTATTAAAATATAGAAGTACATTAGAAATATTCTTTTTTGTTTGCCACATATTTATTTATAAAAGTAATATATATTAATATTTCATTATTCATCATCTTCTAACTAAAATCCATTAAATTTTTTTAAATTTTCTAAATTGGGAAAGTGTTTCTCAAAGTTTTTAGCTAAATTTAAGATTTTTGCTGCAACTTCTACTAACTAATCTTAATCAACTTAAATAATTTAAGCAACATCTTTAATCTATTGATATAAATAAAATTATATACTTAACTATCAGCATTAAAAGTAGTTTCTAATTATTCAACTATTTTGAATGCAACAAATATTAAAGCAGCAGATAATAATGTATAATTATTCTTGCCACATATTTCATAATCATACAAAACCATTTTGGAAAGATACAAACATAATTTTTTTAAATATTTGTAATTTTTCTCAAGTAATTTAGATTCAATAAAACAATTTGTTAGTATTAGATTGTACATATCATAAAGTGTTCCACCAACTAGATCAAATCCAATAGTTTATAATATTTCACTTTCTCTTTTTTTTATTTAATCAGTTGTTAATTTTTTATGACCTATTTTTTCATAAACAACAGATAATTTCATAGGATGAATTTCTTCATATTTTGCAGCAATAAACATAGATGTGACACCACATAAATGTAAATCAGATATTTCTAATTATTTTTCATTTTTTGCAAAATAGAAATCTAAAGTTCTCACTGCTACAAAAAATGTTTAATCAGTGCATTTATAAGAACAAAGTACTTCTACCATCCAATCAATCATTTTAGCTCTTAAATTACTAGGAATTGTATGATTTTTTAGAAATTCTAATGGTGTTGATTTTTTCTAAATAATTTTTATTGTTAAATACTTCTTATTCTTTTAAATAGAAAAATATTTCATCTGTGTAAAACTTTTACAGATTTTTATTTTCTTGAATAGTGTGATCAAATTTTGGCTTAAATGTAATATTCTATAATTCTTGAGGTAGAGTATAGAGTTTGGTTGTAAGTCCTTTGTGTTGGGGTACATTTTCTTTATCTTCCAATACATCCTGATTCAAAGATCTCTTTACTCTCTCTTAATTAAGCATTTTCCTTCTTAAGTCATTGTTACTACTTAGCATTGACTTATTGATTTATTGAGTGTCTTTGTTTTATACTTAATGGATTTACCTTCATTATACAACATAGTTAGATTCTTTCTTACAGGGTCTCTGTTTTCTATATAGGTCTTAGTAATTCTTTTTAAAGGTTATTACTATTGATTTTCAGGAACTCCACTTAATGATCTGTTGTACTTAATTTCCATTATTTATTCGTTAAAATAATTAACGTCGCGCAAAATTAATTATAATATAAAATCCACAAAAATATATGAAATAAAAATATTAATAAAAATAATCCATTTTCACTTTATTTTATAAAATAAAATTTATAAGTTCATTCAATGAAATAAAACAATGGTTAAACTCCAAACAATGAAAACTTAAGAGTAGTTATAAGAGTCCGTCCACCAATGGCTAGAGAAATTCGTGATGGCAAATTCATTTCAACTGTTTAGGTTGCCCCAGATAATTTATAACTTTGCATATTTGATTATCATGCAATAGAACTTGTTCCTGATGAAGATTTAGAATAATATGTATCTAATCCATCTAATTACACTCTCCATTAATTTACATTTGATTATGTATATGATCAAGATAGTACATAAGAATAAGTGTATAATACTACAGCAGCATTATCAGTAGATTCAACTTTGCAAGGATACAATTCAACCATAATTGCATATGGTCAAACTGGAACTGGAAAAACATATACAATGCATGGATTTAGTTTCAATCCTAATTCTGATTAATTAGGTATAATACCAAGATCTTTGCATAATATATTTAATCACATTCAAATGAAAAGTAATTCATCTACAACTTTTATGGTTCGAGCATCATATTTGTAAATATATAATGAAAACATTAATGATTTATTAAGAGATTCTCCAACATTGAATATAAGAGAAGATAAAAAGAGAGGAGTTTTTGTTGAAAATTTGTCAGAATGGGCAGTAAGAGGTCCAGCTGAAATATATTAATTAATGCGTAAAGGTAATGCTAAAAGAGTGACAGCAAGTACTAGAATGAATGATACAAGTTCAAGAAGTCATGCTGTTTTCATAATTACAGTTGAATAAATTGAAGAGAAAGTTGAAGGAAAATCTGCAAAAGTTGGTAAATTGAATTTGGTAGATTTGGCTGGAAGTGAAAGAGTTCGAGTAACAGGAGCTACAGGTTAAAGATTAGAAGAATCTAAGAAAATAAATTAATCATTGTCTGCTTTAGGAAATGTCATTGCAGCTTTAACTGAAAATAGAGGTGCTAAACCTCATATACCTTATAGAGATTCTAAAATAACAAGATTATTAGAAGATTCTCTTGGTGGAAATTGTAAGACTACTTTTATGGCCATGATATCACCAGCAATTGATGCCTTTGGAGAATCATTATCAACATTGAAATTTGCAAATAGAGCAAAAACTATTAAAAACACTCCAATTGTAAATTAAGATGGAGATCAAGGGGCTTTATTAAGAAAATATTAATTAGAAATTTAGAAATTAAAATAAGAATTAGAAGAGAGATCTAAGTAACCACTAGAAAATCTAGTTAATGAATTAGAAAAAGAAAAGCAAAAGGCTTTAGAAGATAAATAAGAAGCTTAATCTGCTTATGAATAAAGATCTAATGATTTATTTAAAGAAACTGAATTAAGAAAATAATTAGAAGAGAAGATTTCAGCATTAAATTCTTAAATGTTAGTAGGTGGATAAAAAATAGAAGAAACACCTTAATTTTAAAGTGCCTTAGAGAAGTAATAAAGATTAATAAGATAATAATACCAAGAAAAATTAACAGAATTAGAAAAAGAAAGATAATCAATTGAAGAGGATAAAGCTTAAACAGATAAATATAAGCAATTATTATTAAAATAAAGAGATATTATGATAGCATTAACAAATAGATTAAATGATAGAGATGAAACTATACTTCAATTATAGGAAGAATTAGATGTTTATGAGAAATTATAAAAAGAGAATGAGGATTAACTTCATTTAAAGTAAATTAGATTAGAATAATTTGAAGAAATATTTTTGGAACATAAAATTGAAATTCCTTTAATGTTATAAAATCAAAAATAAAATAACAAAGAAAAGGTTGTTGATATTTAAAATGATTTATAAATCTAAAAACTGGAATCTATACCTGTATAAACTTTACATACTAATTAATAAGTCTAATCTGATGCTCTTATATCTTATGAACTTAAAAATTAGATTGAAATCAATAAATAACTCTAATTCGATATGAAATTAACAAGAATTGAATTAGAGAAAAGTAAAAATGAAATAGAATAATTGAAGAAAAAATAAAATTAAGAATAAACAACTTTGATTGAGAATGCAAGAAAATCAGTTGATAGAATATTAGAATAATTAACTTCTGAATAGAGTGAATAAAACTTAGGGAATGTTGCTAAAGAATTAAATTAATTATAAAGAATGCTAAAGTAAGGCTTATAACCAATCAGAAATCATGTTAAAGGTCAATACTCTTTTAGTAAATCAACAAGTGATTCTCCAAATAAAATAGTCTTAATAAATAAATAGAATGATTAAATGGCTAAATCAACAGGATAATTAGTCAAATTAATGTAAATGAAACCATAACCTAAATAAAATTAATCTCCTGTCTAAAGGTATTTCATTTATATTAATATTTTAGTTCCAAACTGAAATAAAAACAAAAATCAGTGGAAGATCTCTGGGGTTAAATTTGAAAAAAGAATTTAAAATAAAAGTCTCTTTATTTTAATATAAAATATATGTATATATAATAAATCTATTGCATCTCTAACATTTTCAAAGTCAATTTTGTTCATAAATTGTTTTAAATGAATTTTATTTTAATTTCATATCAAATAAAAATATCTAATGTCAATAAGATTTTAAATCAAAAGTAAATTTTACAACTCTATATTAATAGAAATTCTCATATTTAGATTATAGAACATTTTAAATGTCAATTAATAAAACTTTTCTTAATTTAGCATCATCCTTCATTATATTATTATTCTTGATATTAACGATTCTGATTAGCAATTTTAATTTGATGGATTTCATCAAACTTCCTCATATTGATTAATAATTCATTTTAGGTATTTTTAATTATCTATTCCCATATAAAATATTTGATTTCAATTAAGAATTGAAAATCCTTTATAATTTTAACTTCATTTTTACTAAACATTAAGAGTGTATCAATTATTAAGTATTAGAGAGAATTATATAATTATTCATAAATAAAAATATTACTTAAAAATTAGATGATAAACTCATGCTAATCCCTTTTCTTTCATGACTTCCAACATGGTTTTGCCAATTTAAGCAGGTGATTTCACTACTCTAATACCTGCTTATTCAAGTGCTCTAATCTTTTCAGGTGCACTTCCCTTACCCTCTATTAAATCAATAATATAATATATTTACTTGATACAATAGCTCCTGCATGACCCATTCTTCTTTCAGGTGGTGCTGTGATACCAGCAATAAATCCTACAACTGGTTTATTTTTAGGATTATTTTTCTTAATCCAATCAGCAGCCATTTCTTCATTTTCACCACCAATTTCACCAATCATAACAATACCTTAATAAATATATTCTAATTAGATACCTTCTGTTTCAGGATCAACCATAAATCTTTCCAAAACATCAATAAAATTAGTTCCATTGAAAGGATCTCCACCAATACCAACAACTGTTGATTATCCTAAACCAGCTCTTGTAGTTTAATCAACAGCCTCATATGTAAGTGTACCAGATCTTGAGACAATACCAATTTTTCCATTTTAATGAATGTATCCTGGCATGATACCGATTTTACATTCATTAGGTTTGATAATTCCTGGACAATTAGGCTATATTATTTTATTAGTTTAATACTCCAATAACACGTGTAACTGATTAAGATCTGAGTGCATGTTTAACTTTAATCATATCATGTTAAGGAATTCCATCAGTAATGACAACCTTTTTATTTAAATAATGTATGATACCACTAATCCAATTTAAGCTTCAATAGCTTCAATAATGGCTGCAGCAGCTGTAGGAGGAGGTACATAGATTACAGATGCATCACATTAAGTGGCTGATTTAGCTTCTTGGCAATTCTTGAATACAGGTAAACCAAGATGTGTACTTCCAGCCTCTAAATTAATAAGATTGACATTTACTCTTTGGTGACACTCCACCAACCATTTTTGTAAAGTAGTTCAATGCTTATTCAGTTTAGAATGTGCCCTAGTTTAAGAATAAACTGTATACCTAATTACCAGTGATACCTTAGCATATGACTTTGGTGTGCTTATTAACCCACACATATGGAGCTGTGGTTGATGAAAATGCACGAAAGATTTATTTGCCAATCATTTATTTTATTTAATCTATATATATTGAATATTATTGCAATATATTACATAGCATGAATTAACTAAATTTAGTAAATATAAAATACCAACCAAATTTCTATTCCATCTTGTATTAATGAATATTTTCAGATCCTTAATTCAATTCCTTAAAGTAATAGATTTACACAAATTTGAATATTTAAGTAAAAGAATGTATTTAAATTTTACATTAATAGGATGAAAATATGTTTAATAGTAATAAACAAGAAAAAATCTAGAATGATGTTGTTTATAACTAATATAAGTATATATTAGAACAACTGCAAATCAATATAGATACCAAAATTATATGTAATGAAGAATATTATATCAAATAAATCGCTAAAAAAAAATTATGATTTGAGATGGATCAAAAAATCAAAAACAAAAGATTCAGAATTATATAATTGTATTTTATGAAATGTAAGATGAAGAATCTCAATATTGTAAAAACTAGTATCATATCTTATCAATAAATATAAGTTAGAACAGTAAGATTAACTAAGTAATTAAGATTTAATACTTCAACATTTGATTTTATGTCTTTATGATTCAAATTACTAAAATAATTTCTATCTAAAGTAATGAATATGAATCCAGAAGAAATCTACTTAAATTAATTATATGAGTAACAATAAATCAAATTTCTCTATCTTAAAAATAGGAACCTGAGTGAATACTCTATTAAAAGTTTAAAAATAATACTTTTATCAAAGAATAACCATCTAGAGAGATCTAATAAGAATTATCTAATTACGGTAATACTTCAATGTCACTTTTTTAAGAGAAATCAAATTATTACAAGATAGTATAATTTTATTAGTTAGTTTTTGATATTTAATCTTTTACTATTGAGAAGATTTCTGATTTAAATGTTCAAAAGTTTGGATCAATAAGTATTTAATATAAATGATTGTTTTTATTATAAAATGTTGTAATAATAATTTTACTATGACGTGTTTAAGATAGTCCAATAGATGTCTGCCAATTAGATTATCACTACTAATGAAAAGGAAAATTTAAAAAGTCTCAATTCATCATTTATTTTTAGATATAATAATTAATCATGATTCAAAGTTTGTACAAACCCTTGATACTATTTATAAATCAGAAGAAAATGAAAAGTCTGAGAAAATTATTGCTGAAATCAAATTATATATCAAATCTATTAGACAAAGAAAACCTAAATATTTGAAAAACAAATAAATGCGTGTTATTACTGATGAAACAGAAAAATATATATATGATGACATAATAGCAGAAGTCTCTTCAGATAGTGACTCTATTTCCTGAATTATTTTGATAACTATCTTTACATTACTTTATAATTATAATTTTATCTATTTCTCAACATGCTATTAATGACAAAGCTGAATAATTCAACAAATTGAATAAAACACATCACTTCAACATTATATAAGTTAAGTTTATTCATATCAAAATTTTATATTATCAAACAAAAACTTGATTTTGCATAGTTAATAAACAACTAATGAAACAGATCATATTATTTACTTCAAATCAGTAGATCTAAGTTCATTGAAAAAGAATTCTCAATCACAGATCCATAAAATTATTAAATAAGAGGTTATATTAGACACATATAATTAATAAAATATTTATATATTAAATTGTATGATTAGGATTTCTGTTATTTTAATTTAAATGCTTAATAATTATTTTTATAATTTTATATATATAAAAGTACTTACAACAATTATTAATTTACCAACTTTCTTATAATAATCTTATTTATAATATTCAATAAATATTCAAACTCTAAATACAACTATATAGGTATTAAATTTATACATAATATATTTAATATGTTTAATTATTAGTTATAAAGTATTTATGTTAAACCATAAATTATATCAACATCTATGACTAATTTTAACTTTTTATTATGATTAAGTTTATGTTATATAAATAATGTATAAATAAGATTCTTAATAAATTCTTATAAATTAAGTAATCATTATCATTATTAATACAAAAAATAATCAATTAGATAAATGTTATACTATTGAATTAATAGTTAGAGGTGATATTTTTAATTTATCCTATTAATATTCTTATAAGAAGTGAGAATGAGTATTAAAATAACAATTAATTATAATCAATATGGTTATTACAAAGGAGGGGGCTGTTGTACAACTTCTCCAGTTTTTGGATCCCACAATTCTCCTGTATCTGGATCTTGGACCAATCCATCATCAACTTCAACTATCTTTTTAGGCTTTGGTTTCTTCTTTTTCTTATCAAAAAATAATCGATCATCCTAATGAATTGGTTTTAAAAGCACAGGTTAACCTTAGTCTAAAAATGGTCTCATTTAAAATTCATTAAACTCCTTTAATTTTTAATCAACAGATTATGAAACATTGTAAATTAAATAATTTTATCTTCTCCTTTACCATATTTCTTCATTTTCTCTTTCCAGTTCTTTTATTCTCCTTTATATTTTATTAGTTTAATCTTCTTCTAATCTTTTATACTTCTAAAGTAGATTTGTAAGCATTTCAGATTATCTTTCAAGAAGTGCCAACATTTTTTCTTCTCTAATTTTTGCTAATGCATCATCTTCATTAAATTAAACTGCAACTGGCCAAATCATTTATTGTACAGGATGGACAATTGGTTATGGAGGTGGTTGAATAGGTTGTACAACAGTTTCTTCAGCCTCTAAATATTATTGTTTATTTTATACCACCATCCATTGGAACTAATTTCCTATGTATGCGTCTAGTAACAACAGGTTATTATTAAAAAGAAGGCATTTAAAATTAAGAAGAGGATTTGGATATTAATCTTTTAGTTGATGTATCTATCAACCCAGGTTATTAGGATGCAAGAAGAACTTGCTCACTTTGTTTCATAAATGTATTAAAAATATAATAATATAATACAATTATTTTAAGAAGAATTAATAATAGCTTAATATTTTATAATTCTTATTATTCTAAAAATAAATATTCAAATATCTATTTGATAGAATTAAGCAGATAAATACTATTTTAAAATATCTATAAAATAAAAAAAAGAAGTTAATGATTACAATAGTATATATATTCATATCAATTAAATTTTGAAATGTTAAAACAATAAAAGTTAAACTAAAACATAACTATAAATAAATAAATAAAATATAAATATTCTTTCATTTTGTAATTGTGCATTTTTCAATAAGTAATTCTCCATTGACTAACTTATATTTATAAACTCCCATTTCATCTCCTAAACATTCTAGAATGACAAATTCAGGTTAAATAATTGCATCTCTAATGATAAATAATAATTTAACTATTTAATTGATCCATAAGCTCCACTCATTGTTCCAGGATTTATAAAATATTTTCTTTCAAATTTGCTTATTAATGATTGATGAGAGTTTCCAAACACTGCAATATCACATGAATTTTCTTTTAAAAAAACACTGATTGTTTCTTCATCATTCCAAGGAACAAATTAATGTCCATGAATCAATAAAATTTTCCATATTCCTATTTAAATTACTTTTTGATCATTATGAATTTCATTGTTTTCCTTAAATCAAAAAAGATAGATACATCATCATATTAGCCTCTAACACAATGAAAATTTGGTGAAATTTACTTAAGCCAATCAAAAGTCTCTTTATTTCCAACATTTCCTGTGCAAAGTACATGTTATAATTTATTTACTCCTAAAACATTAACAATTTTTTCATGAATCTTCTACATTCTTGTACCTACATGTAGATCTCCACATAAAAGTATAATCTAGGATTTATATCTTAATTTACGTCACCATAATTAGATTCCTATGCCATATTTATTTATTTATTAATGAAATTTAATTCAATCTCAAATATAACCAAACAAAGTAATAAGAAACTAATAATAAATGTATAACAAGAATAACATTATTTTAAAATAGAAAATGATGAAATAATTATTATAAATTTATTCTACACACGTCTCATAAATAATTAATTAATAATCAAATATCTGTATTCTTACTATTAGTTTTCATTCCTAATTATTTTTTTAGATCCTATATTTATTTGATGTATTGCTCCTCTTTTTACTTATATTCATTCAATTATTATTCAAGTTTTTCTAAAGAAAATAACTTATACTTTACATTCATCATCCTCAGATCCAAGCTAAAAACGATATTGAAAATAATACACTATCATAATAAGATTTCTAATTTGATATTGCCCATTAATAACCTAAAAGGAAAAAGGCTAAACATGAAACAAATAAGACTAGTCCTATCTAGATCTCTTACATTAATAATTATTATTCTCTAATTTTAATAATTATATTCAATTTTTTTCATCGCTTCATAAACAACCCTTAGTAGGTTGATACTATACATTCCACTAACTTATCTTAATAATTTCCATTCAATTTAATTTACATTTAATGATTTTTAGATGAGATTGATATTAAAAATATTGATTTTTCAATTTATATTCTTGCTAAAGCTTCAACAATCTGTTCATTAATTTAATTAATTTAGAATTCAGGAAGTAATTATCCAATTTGATTTTAAAAGCTTGTTTGAAAGAGTTTACTATTATAAAAATATGATTTTGGAGTTTCTTATGGAACATCTAAAAAAGTGAAAAATTTATTTATTGTGCAAGGAAGACAAATATTTATGTTATACTCTTATTATTATTTTGTATACTTTATTTAAAATTCTAATAATTAATAAGGAATTTATTCAAATTAAATAAATACTTTTTAGGATACTTATTCATTTCCTTTTATGGATTATTGAATATTAAGAGGATTAATCTAAAATGATAGATTCTTATTTTTTTAATATGTAATACAACAATTATATATCTACTCTTAGGTTCTATTGTGTAAGATTAAATTAATTAATAGCTATTAATTTGTTTATAAATTAGTTTGAACTCCAATTTAAAGATTATCATCAGAGTATAATATTGTTTTTTTAAGTAAGCATGATTATCTAAATTTGACTGTAAAGGCATCAGGAATAATAGCAAATATCTTGCCATCATAATCTACAAACGGAGAAGTGATTTCTTTTGATCCTCTTGATTTAGGTTAAGAAATAGATAATGGAGAGAACATAGGAACTAAAAATTTAGATACAAATTCTACCTTTATATTAAGTTGATGCAGTATGATAAGAGAGTATAGAATTAGTATGACCAGAGTGTAATAAAAATTTATCAAACTTAATTAATTGGCTTTATAATGTCTTAATATATAATTATTAACCTAATAGTTATTGTCTTAATGATAAAAATAAAGTGTTTTAAAATTCTGAACTCTTTTATTTTTTTTATACAATTGTACCTGTTTAGCTTATATTTGTCATAGTATTTTGTCTATATTCACTTAAACATTGTTATGTTGATAGAGATTTTAAAGGCTGCTTAGTATTTTATAAAAGTCTTCTTTCTAAAACTAATATTGTTTAATTTAGAGTTTTATTTTCTTCAAAAAGTTAATTCTTTTTTCTAATAGTTTAATTTAATTCATCAGTTAGTTCTTCTATTTTAAAGTCAGACTTATAAACAAGAGATTTTAATTTTTCTATTTCATAAGTTTAATCATAAATTCCATAATGTAATTTTAATTTTGTAATCTAATTATAAGAATTAATTTACATCTGTTTCAAATAATTCACTATTTGATAAATTGTTGGATGTTAAAAATTAATTAATATTGATCGAAAACTATTTTTATAATTGTTATAATTCATTTTACAATTAATTTATTTTTTATTCTTTATCTAAAAGTTGTTTTTCTAAACTAGCCACTTTATTTTATAATTAGATAACTTAAGTTTGAAGATCTGGAACTTTTATAGAAAAAGCATTATATAAATTTTGTAAACAAAGATTTTCAATTTACAAAGTCTCTTATGAAATAGGGTTATATTAGGGATCCTTTTTCAAAGTCTCCAGATTTTCAAATTCTTTCTCTAATAGAAAAGTTGCCTTTCTTAAGACCTTTTTCTTTTGAATAGGATTTTTATTTTTAATCTAATGAAAAAAATCTCCAAAAGTATTATATTTATGTTGATAAAAAAAATGAGCAGGATTCATAGCTAGATAATTTCTAATTTATTTAGTTGAGATATTAAATTAGTTTTTGAGTAGTTCTCTTAATTAAATAATCATTGATAAAGGTATTAATTAATTAGGTATATGCTATTCAATGCTATCAAAATAAATGATCTTAGGAAACTTAACTCCCAATTTTACTAACTTTTCATAGGTAATCTTAAAAGAACTTAAATAATATGATTGATAATCTAGAGGAAACCATCTACTCCAAACTCTTATACATTCTAATACAACTCTTACAAATTATTCTCCAGTAATTTGTAAATCTCTATTATCTAACATTATTTTGATTATAATATAAACCTTAATTTGGACTTTCACCATTTAAAAAATAACTGACTCCTCTATCTGGATCATCTGATGTATATTTATATTATGCTATTTCTTCAAGTACAGGCAATAATGTTTTTTAGAGGGTATAAATATAATTGCTATTGAAAGTTTCCACAAGCTCTTTATTTAGCTAATTTTTGATGGAGTTATACTTTTAAAGCCATTAGCTTTATGTTTGGACTTTCAAATGGATCTTTGATAATTGTTGTTATTGAGTTTTAAACTTATTTAATAAACTAACTAGAATTTAAAATGAAAATGTCACATATCAGAATATAAGATCTTGAGTTTAATTTCTTCTGTTTTTGAGTAAGTCTCATTTGAACTTAAATATTATCTTAAAATTTAGGTTTCCATTTAATTTATTAATATGAAAAATAATATAATGAATTATCAAAACTTGTATTTTTTAAAAGGTTTCATAAAAGGTCCATACGAGAATTTAGGATCTGTTACTGCAGGATAATCTCCTTTTTGTTTTCTAAATATAGTTTAATTTTCCTTAAATTTATCTTAATATTCCCTATTGAAATTTGGATAACACAAACCACCTAAATCAGCTATTTCACCCATTCCACCCTTTGTTATCAATTCATAATGATACTTTTTTCTTGTGCAAGATCTTCAATTCCTACTTTAGATCATGAAATGGTTATTATTTTCCCTGAGTAAAAGAAATAAAATCAAATTTGACTGATGGTACATTCATCATCGATCCTGGTTATACTTACTTTATTTCCTATTGAGAATTGTTAACTTTGAAGGATTATGTCTGTTGCATTTATACTTATTCTTAAGCTAACTCGAATTTTGCTTTTCTTGGAAAAGGATGATCTTATGATTAACCCAATTTTCTTAATGGAGGTAAGGATTATTGTTATTTATTAAAATCCACACAGGTGATGATATTATAATCTCTATTTTCAATTTAGTATTTTGATGCTTTCATTATATATATATTTAATATTTATTTTAAGTTAATAATGGCAGAAGTACCAGATGAAATAAGGGATTTATAGAGTAATGTTGCCCTTAGTATGCTCACTGATCTTTTTAAGTTTAATTTCCATAATATTTTATAGACAAGGAAAAATCAATTAAGAGCAATGTGATTCATATAAAAAAAAGTTTCATAAACTACATGATACAGTTGTCTAAACCTTTAAGAATCATCACTTTTTATGGGAAAAATCAAAAAAACTAAAAACTCAATTAGCAACTGAGAAATAAAATCTCGAAACTGCTTTAAATGATTAAGTATTAAGTTCGAAAATACATTTTAGGCTAATGCATAAGAAAAAGCATAGAATTTAAATGCAAGTTTAAAAAAAACAGAAGCAGAATATGAAATGATGGAATAATTGATTGATGCTAAATAATTTTAATGTGAAGAAGTAGAACATGAAAAATCTATAATATTAACTAGAATATCTGAATAAGAGAAAATGGCTAAGAGTAAGGCATTACCTGAAATGCTTTAAAAAGATGCTGAAATAGAAAGAGAGAGAGATTTATTATTAGAATATAAATAAAAAATTGAGAGTGAATAAAAAAGTATAGATGAAAAAATAGAAAAGATTGAATAATTAAAGATTGAGAATGATGAGAAACTTAATAAAATAAGTAAGTTGAATGATGAATATATTAAAATAAAGGATGATCCAAATCGTTTTAGTAAGAATGCAGAAATGTTAAAGAGTGCTAATAAAATTATGTTAAAGGATTTATAAGGATATAAAGATGATATAGGAAAAAAGAATAAATAGATTGATGATTTAAATATGGAACTAAAAAAGTTACAATTAAAATTATAAGAATATGAAACATAAATAGATGAAGAAAAAAGTATTACAGAAAAGAATTAAAGAGAATAGGCCATTTAAAATGATCTATCATCAAAATTAAAAGAAGAAATAAGTGATTTAAGTAGTTAAAAAGTGGCTAATGATATTGAAATTAGAAATGGTTAGTTAGAAATCAGAAGACATAGAGATACAGTTAGTTCTTTAAAAAAGGCAATTGATCTTGATAAAAAAGAATTAAAAAAATAATAAACATAAATGCAATAAATTAATGATACTTTACATGAATAAAAGATGATATTAGAAAATATAAAAAAAGAGATTGTGAATTTAAAGTATGAAATTGAAAAACAAAATGAAATTGGAGAAAATATTGCTGAAGAATATACAATGTTAGAAGGGAGAGTTAGAAAAGTAAAAGATAAAGCAGAAGAAAAAATATAGGAATAAACTAAAGTAGATAATGAAATTAAAAAATTTGAAAAATAAATGATTGAATTATAAAATTTTGAAGCTGAAGGATTAAAGAGAGTCAAAGCTTTAACAGCAACTAGAGAAAGTATGGCTAGAAAAGCATCAAGTGCATTAGCTGAAGTAAGAGAAACAAGAGAAGAACTTAAAATTAAAGAATTATTAATTATGGATCTATAAAAAAAAGCATAAGAAACAGAAGCTAAAGAACATAATTATAAATCATTATATGAAGAAGTCAAATAGGCAAGAAATAAATATGTCAATATGATATAAAATAGTTCATAAGATTTAGCAGAATTAAAAGAAAGAATTAAGATATTATAAAATGAATTAGAAATTTTAAAAAATGAGTCTTAAGAAAAGGAAAGAACATTATTAGAATATAGACATTGTTTACAGGTAGAAGTACATAAGAAAGATAGAAGTCATGCAAAATTAAATAAATTAGAATATTAAAGGAAAGCTAAAAAAGAAATCATTGATTAAAATATTAATGAAATATAGAAATTAAATATGATCATATCTTCATTAGAAAAAGATATGTTAAATTTAAGAAAATAATATGAGTAAGTTTGTGAATCAAGAAATCATACAGGTATAGTATTGATAGATAGAAATGATGAATTATGTATAATGTATGAAAAATGTAACATTTAAGATAACATCTTAAAATCTGGAGAATTAGAAATAAAAAGATTGGAAGATGATATTAGAATGATAAAGATTGAAATATAAGAATAAAAACGAAAAATAGATGTAGCAAGAAAGGATATTTTATAAATACCTTAATTATCATCAAAAGTTATTTAATTAAAAGATGAATTAGAATTAGAAAAAAAAAAAGAATCTTAACTTTCTGAAGAACTTGAAAATCCAAATAATTAATAAAGATTCAGGGAATTGGGTGGTGAAGATCCAGATTAAGAAGCATTAGATGCAAAAATACATGTCTTGGAAGAAAGATTGAATAATAAAAAAGAACAATTATTAGAAAAGGAATTAATTTTAGATGAAATTACAAATTTATCAGAAAAACTAAGAAAATAAGCTTTAGATGGAAGATTATCAACACTTGAATTATCAGAAAAAGTGAATGAATTTTAAGCAAAATTAAAAGATTTAACTAGGAAAATGATGGCTACAATAGCAGAATTATCAATGTATCAGGCAACAGCAATTAAATTATAATAAGAAAAAGATGAATTAGAAAATGTTGTGTAAGAAGCAAGACAAAGATTAGACAAAAGTTTACCACCTTTACCAGAACATGAGGATGAATATTTAAGATAATAGAAAGCTTAAATAAGATATTTAGAAGATAGGTTAATCATTTATTTAATGTTAGACGTTAAAGATTAGAAAAAGAATAATAAGATAAAATGTTTGAACCATTTTCTTGTAAGACTATGGCTAAACAAAGAGTTCAATAATATATTCCAGATGACAATATTGGTGCACCATTACCAAAGAATTATGGTAAATAAGCTCCATTTTATCCTCCTGAATCAAATGCTCAACTACGCTTTTACAAGAAGCCAAAAGTTAAAGAAATAGAAATATGAAAATTATTAAATTTATATGATTAACTCATAATCATAACCTAATTACATAAATTAAACTGATATTTCTATAAACAATCCAACTTTAGACTAGATCAATAAAAAACAATGTGGGGATATTCTTAGACAATAAATTGAATAAAATAAGATCAGAAATAATAGGTAGAGATTCAGAAATACTAAAGATATTGATTAAAAATAAATTAAAAGGAATTGTGGATGACTAATGGTCAAACAAATTCTAAAAGAGAAGCTGGATGATCATCTATACGAGATCAAAATCAAAAAATATATCTGTAAATGATAATTAATATTATCATTAGACTACTAGAAAAATCTTATGGATAAAATGTATAATCAACTCAATTCTTAAGTCCATATATTTTAAATTTAATTATATAATATGAGCATAAGCTAATTTCCTTCATAATAATAAAAGTCTTTATTACAAATCAAAATATGATTAATCTATCTATTTCTAATAATGTAGGAAAATAATTAGAATTTGAGTTAACTGAACTAGATTTTGGATTAGATTACTATAACTGAGAAAAGATAAAAATCACTTATTTTACAAAGAGAATAATTATGATAATTTGCTTTATTCAAAAGAGGAAATGAAAGAAAATGCAAGACTAGGAATCATATTGAATCCTAATGATCCTCAAATACCTAATGATTTAGATAAAAACATTATTTTGAAAAATCGTTCAGAGAATATTTTGATTATATAAAATGGATAATGTATCTGATTAAACTCAAACAAATTATGTATGTAAATACTTGTTTCTTAATAAAAAAATAATCTAGAAAATTTGAGTAGATCAAAAGAGTTAAAGGATAAGCTTTGATGTTTAAATGAAAGGATACTCATAAAGTTTATAATCTGCTTTTAAAATAATCAAAGGTTTTTTTGAATGATGAAAATAAGCAATATTGTAATTACTGATATAAAATAATACAAATACCGACATTATAGGAATTAAATTTATTCCAAATACTGATATCATTTATTGGAAACAATAACAATGTTTTAAATAAAATAATGAATAAATAGTAAACTCAAATCTTAATCTGGATGAATAATCGTTCTAATAAAAACTGATTTTTATTAATTTAGTTAATATGTTATGTTATTCAATCTGAATGTTTAAATACTAAGAAATAAATAGTATTTAAATAAATAATTATGTTGAAAGTAGTAGCTCTGATGAATTAATTAAAATATCATAAATATATATAATAAGTGAATTCAGTATGATTGATAAAATATGAATTAATTTAACGTATTTTAATGTGTTTATTATATTTATTAAATTATATTAAAAAACTATATGCTAATATTTATTAATCATTTCAAAATTGTCACCAAAGATTGTACTAACATTCTATCATATTAACCACCTGATTAATGATTCATTTATATCCATTTATGTATAGCCATTTATTCTAATCTAAGTCTTTATTATGGATCTTTTCTTAAACAACATTTAGTAAAATCCTATAATTCATTTGATACATATTTTGGAAAATCTACTCTTCCTTCTATAATTTTTCTCATTGTATCTTCTTTAGATGATTAATAAAATGGAGTAGTTCCAGTAGTTAATTCATATGCTAAAATTCCTATAGACCATAAATCAACAGAATGATCATAATCCTATCCTGAAGCTATTTCTGGACACATATAATCTATAGTTCCACAGAAGGATTACCTTGGTTTTGATTCAGGAGAATAAGTTGCTAAACCAAAATCTGCAATTTTTAAGAATTACTAAAAATGAATAACAATTTAAATACTAGACTAATTAAAATGTTTTCAGGTTTTATATCTCTATGAATAACTTTCATTTTATGCATATATGAAATGCCTTCTACAATTTATGCAATATAATTTCCTGCTTTATTTTCAGTGAATCTACGATTTGGCTGTTTTTTTAATAATTTATATAGTTCTCCATCTGGTGCATATTCAAGTATTAATATAATCTATTTTCAAATAAGTACCATTACTTTAGTTTATTCTTAGAATACTCCATAAAGTTTTAAGATATTAGGATGATTAAGGTAACTTTGTATTTTTATTTCATGTGCCAATTAAGCTTCCATTTTATATTTACTAATAACATTTTTCTATATCACTTTTAAAGCAACTAAAACCTTTGAAGTTTTCTCTCTATCTTAATTTAAAGATATACTATGCTTAAAAGACATCACTGAATTTTCCTTTGCCTAAGAATTTTCCAATATGAAATCTATCAGATATATTTTAATATTTAGGACTAAGTAATTCTGCTTATTTTAATTGAATTCTCAGGGTTGAATTATTTGAAAAGGGGGAAATTGGAGATGGACATTCAGCAGTATCTGGAGTACGAATAGGGGATTTAGATGCACATTATCTTAAGGCAGGTTTATCCTTCTTATCTATTGATCTACTATTATGTTGAATTATCAAAGGAGGATTAGTTTTTTGAATGATTGGATCTGGATTAGTAATTTTATTTTATTCTTCTGATTATATGATTAATTGAGTAAGTGCTGATTGTAATCTCATTTTAATATTCTTTATTTATTAATCAATTCTGGTTGTAGTCTAGACAACTTTCTACCAATCATTATCATCACTTTGCATTATTATAAATAAATAATTTGTTATTACAATTCCATAAAAAGAAAGTAAAGGAAATATTGTGATTAAATAATTATCCAATAAATGAATTAATAGTCAGATAAGCTAAAGCAATATGCCTAAGAAAATGTGGTTTTCTTATTATAGAGACTTATGGAAGACATTTTAGCTCAGTAGCCAAAGAATGTGGTAAGCTCTTTGATAATATTGAGATTGATTGGTCAATTGCATGGTTAGATAAGAAAGGTAGAGAAATAGTAAAATAAAAACAAAAACCTAGTGGCAAATCATCCTCATCAGATGAAGAAATAATTGAATTACCTAAAAGACCTGCTGCAGCTCGTAAATAGAGAGCTTCAATATCTGCTGAAGCATATGGATAATACAATAGAAAAGAAGTGAATAAATAATTATAAAATTTCAGTCTTTTCAACCTCGAGTGATTGTCAAATCTCAATAATAGAAGGAAATTATAAGCAAAAGATTATCATAATCATTTATGTTTGCATCTTTAGATAACAGAGAAAAAGATATTGTAATAGATGCAATGGAAGAACGAAGTTATAAGTATTAAGATTGCCTATCTAATTATCTAGTGTAGATGATTGGGTGATCAAATAAGGAGATAGTGGAGATAATTTATATGTTGTTGATCAAGGAGAATTAAACTGTTTTAAGAGATTCACTAAAGATGGTGAGAACAAATTCTTAAAAGTGTATTATCCTGGAGAGTCATTTGGAGAATTAGCTTTGTTGTATAATGCTCCTAGGGCAGCATCTATTTAAAGTAAAACTAATAGTGTTTTATTTGCATTGGATAGATAAACCTTTAATCACATTGTTAAAGATGCAGCAATGAAGTATACCTATTTATATTTGAATCATAGAAAAAGAGAAAAATATGTCAATGTTTTGAAATAAATTGAGCTTCTATCAATGATGGATCCATATGAAAGATCTCATGTTGCTGATGCTATCAAGAGTGCATCTTTCTAAAAGGGAGAATATATAATAAGAGAAGGTGAATAAGGAGATATATTTTATATGATTGAAGAAGGCAATTTAATTGCAACCAAGACTTTAATTCAAGGATAAGATCCAGTCAAAGTATTTCAATATAAAGAAGGTGATTATTTTGGAGAATTAGCCTTACTTAAGGATATACCAAGATAAGCTAATATAATTGCTGAAGTAATTTGAATATCATTAAATAGACCGAAGTGAAATTAATCTATTTAGATCGACATAGTTTCAAAAGAATGTTAGGGCCTCTAGAAGATATTTTGAGAAGGAACACAGACAAATACCAGAAATATGAGTAATATTGGATCACTTAAGGCAAATGAAAATGTATCATTTATTTATCATTCAATGCTTTCTTTTTCTCTTTTGTTCTTTATTTTATTTCTTATTTCTTTTTAAGGGTTGAGTTTAAACAAAGCTTGTTGAATAAGTATCTTAAAGTGATATCACTCTTGCTCCACATTCATTTGCAACTTCTACTATTTCTTCTTATTTCTTTTTGAAAATATCATAAGCTTCTTATTGATATTCCTATAGATAGTAGAATGTTGAATACATAGTCATTCATAACTTTTTCTAAGAATTCAATCATGTTGATTAATTCATCCAAAATTAAATCACATAGTTCTAATTTACGATTTTTTCTTTCCTATAAATCTTAAGTTCCCATATCAGTATCTAATGAAGTAGCCATAGCAACAATTCTTCTGATTTTCTATGATAAATAAAATGAATACGCTTTTATATTTAAGTGATTTGCTCTTATTCATAACTTCCAATAAAACCTTAGCATGTCCTTTAAGATTTTTATTATGTTTTTTCTTGCTATCAACCAATAATTATTATGGGATTTCACCTGCTCCCCAACCAAATGGATCATCATTCTCTTCTTCATCATCATCATCCTCTTAAACTTATTCTTATTCTGGTTAAACTGGTAATGGATCAGATTATTATGTAGGTTGTTATGTTGGTTATTCAACTACATTATTAGTTTTCTCCTACTCAAGTTCTAAATTCAAATGTATAAATTACCTTCATCCAAATCTTAAATATATTCTCTGACTAATTTAATTTTATCTCTAGCTTAAGTAAGTACACTGTGATCTTCTTACATTTCAATTTCACCCTCTTCAAGTAATTAAATCCAAGGTAAGAACCTGAACATATGAATAAGAAATACGCTTCATATTATTATGTGAATTAATCATCATTTCCACAATTGTCTCCTGACATTGTTTATGGATCAAACTCTAAGGCTTACTAAAATGATTCAAAATCAACTGCAGCCACAGCCAGAATTAGTATGCATACAAGAGATGCTTTCATATTTTGTATATTAATAATAATACATGAATTCGTTTTTAGAATCCATTATTTTTGATTCCTCTAATTTATAGTTTCTGCTATTATATTTATATTAATATATTTATCATTCATGATATTTGGTAAAATCAAAGACATTAACTCTTTCTTCATCTTATCCCCAAACAAAACATACATAGAAATTCTTATTCTTTAAACTTGAATGTAATTCATGAATTCTCACTCTCTTAATATAAGCACCATTGGCAGCATTATCTATTTGATCAATTTATTAGAACTATAATAATAAAATGATATTGATACATTTCTATTATAAATATGAATGCTTCCATCAGCAGCTACTACTAGAATGTTTTCATTTACTGCAGCTGCACTGATATTTGGATGTTCAACTTTAGTTAATAACTTAGCATCTTCTTTAATTTTTCTTTCAGTATTTATTTTGTAAACTCTACATTATGATTTATTACATAATGTAGCTAATGTTCCATGCTCATTTAAACTAGCATCTAATACACTAGTCTTCTCACCTCTTAAGACTTCTTCTTTTTCAAGTGTTCTAAATGTATGATCCTTATTGAACTTAATCTCATAGATACTTGTATCTACACTCCAAGAACTAACTACTAAAAATCCTTTCATAAAACAAGAACTATAATGTTCACCATATGATGTATTTATTTCCTTCAATAAATCTCCTTTCATATTCCAAATCTTTATATGTGTATCTGAACTTGTAGATATAAGAATTTTATCATTTTCATCAACATGTAAACTATTAATATCACTTTTATGACAATTCTTTGTTTTAGGAATTACTTTGAAATATTATTTATCTTCAGCTTTTGGATAGAATTCTAAATTGAATAATTGATTATTAGCTGAAAAATAAGCAATTTCCTCTTTTTTTGATATACAGATTGCTGTTGCATGCATGTCATTTAAAGTATGAAATAAATATTTTGGTTAATCCGGATTCTTGAAAAATTATTCCATCTCAAATAATTTTATACTATTATCAAATCCTGTTGCAATCAAATATCTATTATTATATGCAAAATCTGTTATATAATCAGAGAATCCTTTTACAGACGATAAATATAATGGATGAGTAACTAAAATAATAATAATTATTATATACTTTTGTTTGATGATTTAGATTTCTCTTTATTTTATAATTATTTATTATGTCTCTCCTATTTCAACAATTCCTTATATGATATATGAGGATGATTCTCTTATTTTTATTATTAGGTCTCCTATTTATTTTATTGTTTTTAGACATCTTTTGATTATTATTATTATTCTTTTTCAGAATTCTTTCTCTTTCCTTATTTCTAGTTTTTCTCTTACTTATCCTATTTTTCTTAAGTCTTTTATTTTTGTTTCTTAACCTCATCTTCAGTATTAATCTTTTCAATTCTAGTAATTTTAGTATATGCTTTATAATTTATATACTTTCCTACACTCACCTTGTATATGGTATACAAAATATATAAGATTGAAAATTCAATCAGTATTTTCATATAATTATACTCTGGCCATATAATTTTACTTGTGTATTCAAATAAAATTCTTTCCATTATAATTAATATATATAATTCTTCTTAATTTTTAATTATTTGACTTTATACATATTATAATATATTAGATATATTTTTAACATATAGGATTATTTCAATGAATATATTTTAATAAAATTGTTGTTTCATATCATCATAAAAACATTTTTTAAAAGCTATATCAAAATAGATTACAGATTTATTCTCATATTGAAATATAATAAAACTATTTATACTATGAATAACTTAAATACTATTATTTTTGGTGTACCATTTTATCTTTAATAAATTATTAAATTAGATATTCTTTAGTAATATATTTTCTTAAGATTTTCTTTGATCTTTTTTTTATAATAATAATATAGTGAAGCATCTTCAAATTCTTCTTAATTTATGGGTCAACTAAAACAATCTTCAATGAAAATATTTTTTAAATAAGAGATGCAAATTGACATATATAAAAAGAATGAATTATTATTTATAAAATAATTTATGAAAGTGCGTAAGTAAGCACCATCATTTACAGCATCAGCCTACTTTAATAAATAGTTTAAAAGAGTATACAAATCTATAAAATTAGATATCTTTAAGTGATTATAAAAATAGATATGTTGTTCTATTCTTCTATCCATTAGATTTTACATTTGTATGTCCAACAGAAATAATCCAATTTTCTGATAGAGTTGAGGTATATTGATATATCTAATTTAGGAATTCAAATCCATTGGATGTGATATTTTAGGTGTGTCTGTAGACTCTTAATTTTCTCATATGAAATATTGCAAATAAACACGTAATAATGGAGGATTAGGTGAAATGCAATTTCCTTTGATTTCAGATTTAAGTTAGGTATTTGCTAATATGGAATTAAGGAAATATCTAAAAAATATGGAGTCTTAATAGATGATTCTGAAGATCCAGATTTTGGAGTAGCTTTAAGAGGAACATTTATAATAGATGGAAAAGGAATTCTCAGACATTATTCCATTAATGATTTACCTGTAGGTAGAAATGTAGATGAAGTTTTAAGGTATTCAATAATCTAAATTATTTAAGGTTAGTATAAGCCTTTAAATTTACAGATGAACATGGAGAAGTCTGTCCTGCTTAATGGAAACCTGGATAGCCAACTATGGTTACAAATCATGCTGATCCAAAGACATAGAAATATTGGAATGAAGAACATATAAAATAAGCTAAATGATTAATTATTGAGGTCTTTTAATATTTAATTCTTTTTCTATGTTTTTTCTTAAGTATTATTTTTGTTTGCAACTCTCAAATAATTTATAAAAAATTAATAATAAATAAATATAAGACATTATGATTATTTGATAATCATATAAAAAATTAATAATTCTTAACATCTTCATTAGTGAATTCCTTAATACTCTTCTCATTATGATAACAACTAAAATATAAAATATAAAATCCAAAATACCCTATCAATGATACACAAGATGTAGTTAATTTCATACTATATAGTTCATTAATAATATTAAGAATGTCCATATCAGTTAACTCAAATGTATGATTAAAATTGAGTTCTAAATGCAATAAACTATAATTCATTCTTAAAACCTCTATTAATTCTGCCCAAATTTATCTTGTATATTTAACTTCACTTTATTCAAAGTTTAAGCTTAAACTTTATAAATTCAATTCCTTTAAAGCTTAAAATAATTCTGATAAACTTTCTCTACTTATACCATGTCTTATTATTATACAAAACTATTTACCTTTGAAAACTAAGATTAATTTATTTTAAAGTATCATTCTCAGAAATATATTTAAATAGACTTGAAAAGATTGATTGATCATATGTGATAGTGTCATTGGATGAGAAACTGAATTTCTATAATTTCATATTTTTAATTCCTTCAAATATAGTGGATGCCAAAAACAGATCTTCATCTACAAATTATAATTCACAACTAAATTATAAAATATTTTATACTCATCTAAACTGATGGAGAGTGATTTTAGAGATTCTAAACTTGACAAACTTATAATCATATTTTTTAATGTTAATAATGAGATATTCTTCATACTAAATATATATAATATAAATTACAACCTTTAAAATCCTAAATGAAAATCTTATAACTATTATAAATTTAATAAACTATTATGAAATAATTAAAGTGATTTATCTTAAATGACTTTAAATTGATAAAGTTACAAAGACATTTATTTAATAAGGTCTTAATTTTTATTTAGCAATAAAGAAAGAGTTTTAAATATAAATTTAAAAGTTTAAATATAATGAGCACGTATAATTAATTTAAAAGACTTAATTTATTCTAATTACATCCACAATGAGGGTAAATGTTATAATTCTTATATAACATGATTTGATTCATTAATATTTATTCTAATTTAATAATATATTAATAAATATACATTTGAATATTTAATTTTCCTCCATTTAAATATAATAGTTAAGGAAAATATTGCAGATATTTTAAAGTTTGATATAAATTTTCAAATATAGTTCCTCTAAAGTCTATATTAATCAAAGTATCTGATAATTTTTATAAGTAAATCAAACTTTTAAAAGTTAATTTTTTGCATTTTTTTATATTTATTTCAGTTAAAATCAAATTTTAACAAATACCTAAAATATCTTTATCAAGTATTTCAGTTTTTTTAAAGCAAATTTTATTAATTGTCTAAAAATTGTACATTAATCTTATAAATTTTATTTCATTATTATTAATAATTATATGCTGATTCTATTTGAGTAATTTCTCATAAAATTAATTTGCTGTTAATTAATTTTTCTATTCACATTTATCTTAATTGTCTAATTAAAGTGGTTTATTATTAAGAAGTAATCGTTCACAACCAACACAACTTTTAAATAAATCATATGTTTCTGGTTCTAAAATAATTTAATCTGTTGTTATTATTTTGGTGAGAATTTAAGTTTACAATAAATTTAAAACTACTGTTGATATATTTTAAATATTTTTTGTTGATGTATAAATTTCTATTAATTAAATTTCAGATAAGTGATTTCTGATATAATATGTGCACAATTCTGGTATACTAAATTTAAATATATCTGTTTATCCTCCATTCTCACTTATACCACTAATTCCTAAGTATTTTAATTAATTAAATTTGCCTGTATCAAAGGCTTTCTTTAAATGTTCAGCTTAAATCTATGTTGAATAAGCCAAATTCAAATCTGATAAATTCTTCAAAGGTTTATTTGTTAAATATTCCAAAGAAGATTCAGTTATTTATGGTAAATTAGAGATATCTAAACTTTTTAATTAATTTGTTAATGTATAATGAGCATCACACAATAAATAAATTGATTTATCAGATATATATCTACATCCAGAAAAAGATATTGCTCTAAGATTTTTAAGCAATTTCCCAGCTTCAACCATAGATTAAATTAATTTGTCATTTATATAACAATTTGATAGATCCAACTTGTTTAATTTAGTTTTGCTTGCTCCTAACAATGCATATCCATTTTTTTTAAAGATACTTTCTTCAACATCTGTAATTGATCCTTGAAAACTCAATAGATCCAATTATTTTACATGTTTAGAATCATGAATAAAATGAAATACAGATAAAGATAGTTTACAATCATTAGCAATTAAAACTCTTAGTTCTTTGTAATGACAACTAAAAATTACTTAAATAAGTTTATCAGATGCTAATCCACTTATATTAATAGATATTAAATTCACTAATGATTTATCTCTAAATAATTATAATAATGTTTCTTCTTTAAATTTACTATATGATATATTTAAAATCTATAAATATTATGGTACTGATAAATATATTTAAGTGTAAGATAAATCTAATTTCTAAACTCCAAAATTTTACAAAAGAGAAATTCCTTCATCAGTAATATTAGGACATCCTTTAAAACTTAATTCTTTAATGCTTTTAAGATTATTTCCTTATATGAGACCAGAAAGAATGGAATCTTTAAAATTTGAACCATCAAGTATTAATGATTCTAAATTAGGATTAAGATTGCATTAATCCAAAATTAGATTAAAATCTTCTTCTTTAAGATCAGCTTGTATTTCTACTTGTAAAATTGGTATCTTTTAATTTATTTTACATAAGGTTCTAAGTTATAATTTTTAATCTTAATATATAGCATTTTATATATTGATTTATAGAATTGTAAGTAATGTTTTTAATGCAATAAACCATATTTATCTTTTAATCTATTTATTTATTATTATGGCTTTGTTTTTCACATCCCCTTAACGAGAACAATTTAAAAATATTAAAGAACTTAGACAATTATTATTAATGAATACCCTCTTTAATCAAACTCATAATGGTTAAAATTACTCAAGATAGCATTATCTATAGGAGTAAACAAATTATTCGGAAGTTGCTCAAAAGACTATCCATCTATTCTTTAATTCTCATTAATCATAAATAAATTACAATCAACTCTTTCATATTATTCCACTCTGCTGTAAGTGTATAACATTATTATTTTATTTTTATATTTAATTAAACATTTCCTCTCTCTCCAATATCACCTATTCCAATGGTTTCATTATTTTAATTTAAATAATGTATTTTATCATCTACAATACTTTTACTACATTTCTTTATTACATCACTAATTTTTACACCAGAAGTCAATTCCAAATACTTTAATATATGAATATCTTTCATTTCATTCAATTATTTGAATTAAACAAGTTGATCATTATATATTATAACTATAGCAGATTAATTTGAATAAGGAATACTATTACTATTTTAATAGTCTAATTAATCTACTTATCCTATAAATTCATAATTGTCTTCATTCAAAATACCATCCATAAATGTAAAGGGTATTATTTTATTCATACTCAAATCTTCAATATGCATAATTATTTATGGTCTCACACCCTTTAGTTCTAAACCTGTATAAAATTCAATGCAATTTGCTAATCCTAAATTCACTTGACCTTTTTAATTTGAAAGTCTCATTGTTTTGCAAATTATATACATTTAATCATCATTCATAATAATCTCGTATTTGATAATATCTACTAAAATTCCATTTAAACCAAGATTTCTTAATCTTTAATTTATCATTATTTAATGATTGATTAATTATTCAGCCATTTCAATTCTCTGATCTTAAGTTCCATGTGAATTAATTGTAATTATTAATAACGAATACTTTTCGTTTGATATTATTTGAATTTATTCATAATCATGATGATCGTATATTAAATCTGGTTTATTTAATATGCTTTTGAATTCTTCAATTAATGCACTTTTGATATTGATATTTAAATTCATAAATATTTTATATGATTAATAATAATTAAATTATTGAATCTTATTAAAATATATGTTCTGGGATTTATTTATTATATATATAGATATATATTAAGAATCCGCGTTAGTATAGTGGTTAGTATTCAAGCCTGTCACGTTTGAGGCCCGGGTTCAATTCCCGGACGCGGAGCTTTTTTTTTTTATTTTTATTTTTATTATTACTCTTCATTATACTTCTTAAATATGTTTAAAATGATAACTTAATTCTTATTTATCTCAGTGTTTATTTTAAATATAATAAATTGAGTAAATAAATCAAACAATAATTTAAATTTAAGGATAATAGTTGGATTTTTAAGAATCAAAAAGTTTAGATTCATAAAGTGAATCAAATTTAATCAAAGAATTATATTTGATTTAATATTGATATTATACATTTTATATGAAAATTTATCGTAAAAATCAGTTATATTATGATTTAAGCTTAGGGCTTCACAAATTTGATTCTAATCATTTATATAGTATATTTATACTCCAATCAAAATAACACTTGAATTTAAAAATGGTATTCAAAAATAAATGAATAAACTATATTTCTTCAATTTCTTTACACTTTTGATATTATCTAAAAATCAAAAGTAATTAAGAAGAATAATCAATACATTATATATGATGACATATTTTTAAAAGTATTTTTAGTAAAAACTTTAACGTAAAATTATAGAAAAATATGTTAAGATATATTAGGCTTTAATTTCAGGATTGATTCATATTTAAGGTGTATATATCTAGTTTCTTAAAGACTTGAGCTAAATGATCCAAAATTAAGATTTTATTAATTAATAAATGATGTATAAACAACTTTTTATAAATATTTAATCAGCGTTTTTACATTTATAACTAATATTTGCTATTAAAAAATTTAACCATTTAATATTATTTTACTTTTGATTTAATATATATTTATCTAAAAATTTAATATCATTATAAGAACTTTAATTTATTCTTATTTCAATTCATTGACTTAATTTATAAAGAGAAGAACTAAAGAAAAATAATTATTAATTTATTAATTATAATGAATGATACGAGGGAAAATGAAATTTATGATCAAGCTTTGAACTAAGTTGAGTCAGGTATTCTCAAATATCTCTGTGTTGAATTAAAGTTGGAATTATTCACTGATCCACAGATGAAATAATTTATATATGAAGACTTGAAGAAAAAACAGATATTTTCTTTACGCTCTTTAGACTCTGATAATGAAGCACAAGACATTGTTTCTTGTTCCACAAGCAATAGATGCTCATTCTCATTAATAAGATCTCCACTAATTCTCAAAAGATTAAGTGTTCCCATAACTGAATAAATTTGATGTTTTGTATATGTTTAAATTTGTTTAAATCCATCATTTATACTTTTCTTAAATTATTTATTTAGAAGAAATTCAAGATATTGAATATCCTTAAGGAAATTTTCAGTAATTTTATTGACTTATTATATCAAATTTTACTCCTTATCAGGTAATAATGAAATAATATATATATGATGATTTCATAAAAATATTTATAATATGAATCAGCTTAAAATATATCAATAGTTTAGAAGAAACAAAAGTTATTTTTTAATGAATAATTATTTCTTTTGAGGAATAAGTTTTTTAATTTATTTTGGTAACAAATAAATAGTAAAAGATTCACAATTCAATCTATTCTATAATAAAAACTTATATGAATAGAAATAATATCTATTTAAGAAAAATAGAGGGTTTAAATTATTATTGATTTATTACTTCTTAAAATAGTTAACATCAATTATTTATTGAATTAATTCAATTTTAAGTAATCTCATATTAATAACATTTGAATCATTTATAATTAAAAATAGCTTTAAAGAAGTATGTACCTTGAGTTAATTTTTAAACAAAACAAAAATATTAAATTTTTAAAAAGTATGTTTTAGATAAAGATATTATAATGATGATTTTTTTAATTAAGAAAGGAAAATAAATTAAATTTAGAGAGTATATTAAATTAATAGTAAAATTGTATATAATGATGAGTATTTGTCTTTTGTAAATGATATATTGAAATTATAAGATTATATCTCATTTTTTTAATCAAAATTTAGATTTTAATTTATTTACACTATTTTCAAGCACTTAATGAAAATTCTCTTTTTTAACTATATTCAATAAATAATATATATACGTTAATGCTCTAATTCAGCATTTCTTAATTCTGTATATTTCTTAATTTATTAATTCATAAAGTTTTGTAATTAAGTTCTGCAATCTAAATTATTATCACTAAATTAAACTAGACATTCAAATTGCAATTTAAATCCTTCAGTTTTAATTAATTCATGTAATTCTTCATTTGATATATTATTTTTATTAAACTAATTACATAATTATACAATTCTATGTGAATTTTATAATGCTTTTTATATTCTTTCTTTTTTAGTTAATGTTTATGTAGGAGGTTCAATAACTTATGAGACAGTTCTCTTTTTTCTTATATCTTCAGAAGGTTTAATGCTTTCTCTACTTTCAGTTTTTTATATGGTTTTTGGTTTAGACATTTAATTATAATGAGATTTCAAGTCTAATTTATGATTAATAGTCTCATTTTCAGAACTTTTTGTAGTTTCAAAACTCTAAAAATTCTATTTTAATTAAAGAGGAGGAAAAATACTCTTTGGACTTTTTTATTTATTTTTATTAGAACTTGGCTATAATTACAAGGATCTAATATGTAATAGTTTGTCATTTTTTAGGATGTCAACCATTTCATCAATTGAATATTTATTTAAATCAATAGGTTGTTGAACATTTTCTTTTTCTTATTTTTATTTAAGTTTTTTAGCAATTCTTTCAATTTATTCTTATAATGATCTTGAGCTAGTGCATTTTGTTAATGATTATTAATAACAAGAAACAGTGCTTTAAAATCTATTAGTGACTCCTTGATTAAAATGATTTTTAGGCAATATCCCATTTAATTTAAGTTATTCTTATTAATTGACAATCAAAAGTGGGTTTTGATTTTCTTTATTAACTTTGGATGATTAATTAACAAGCATTATGATTTGTTTCCGTTAACAAATTTTATTAATAATATTTTCGTGAATTAATTCTGATAGAATAATTAGAACATTTTAAACATTAAATTTGAATATCTAAGAATGTATATAAATATTTTGATCATCTCAATTTGAATAATAGTGTAAAATATTTAATTGCTATTAAAAAAATAAAAGTTGAAATATATCATCTTTATTGATCAATTATTGTAAATAATATAATTTACATAGTATTACTAAATGAAAGACTAATAATCTCATTAGTATATAGAAAATAAATAATATTCAAATTTCAAAATATAATTATATTAGTCTTAAAATATATATATATATATTGTATGAATCACTAAGACAATGCTATAAAGGGAGTTTTAAAATAATAATTGATTGTAGATTCAGAAAGTGGGCCATATAAAACAATTTAAGAAGCTATTGATAAGGCTGAACCTAACACAGTTATAAAAATAGCACCAGGCCTTTATTCTTCAAACATATTGATAAATAAGCCTGGCCTACGTTTAGAGCCTAAAGAAAAAGTTGGAGATATAATTATTGTTGTATCCTCAAAACCTACAATATTAGTGGATTTAAAAAAAGATGAGCGTTGCACTTTGATTGGATTAAAAATGTCTCATAGTGGCACAAGTGAAGAAGTTGAAGAATTAGAGAAACTCATAGAAGGACAAGAAATTGCAAAACATTTATTTGGTGGTCATGAGGATGGTGCAGCTGGAATGGAATCAAATCCAGATGAAGAATTTGTAAGTAAAGTACCTATTGAAACAAGTATGAATTGTGTTGTTTTATTAAATGGTGGTAAGTTATTTATGGAGGATTGTTTAATTGCTTTAAAGTAAGTAATTAATTTACTAATTTAGTTTTATTGTAAAATCATTTAAAGGAATATTACCAGGAATTGCAATAAATAATGGAGCAGAAGCCTTGTTTATAAGATGTGAAATAAAAGGAACTTCATCTAAAAACTAAGATGCAAAAACTATTGGTATTTTACTAAAATTGGGTGATCTAATAATTAAGGATAGTAAGGTTCATAATCACACATATGGAGGGATTCTGATTTAGTAAGCTACTACAAATAAAAGTGTTCGAATAATGAATAGCAAAATCATTTAGAATAAAAAAGTTGGTATTCATGTAGTAGGTGCAGATGCTGTTCCATAAATAGAATAATGCAGAATTGAAAACAATGAAGGTCCAGGTATTAAAGTAGGTATTGGTAATAAAGCAAAAATTTTTGGTAATGAAATTAAAACAAATATTATTGGAATTGAAGTATTGTCTGCAGATCCTTAGATATTTAATAATAAAATTGATAAGAATTTTACAGATGGAATTTTGACTAAGGTTTTTGAATAATTAAGATGTGATGGTAAGATTAAATCAAATTAGACTATATCTGGAAATAAAGAAAATGGAGTTCATTGCACTGGATAAAATAATTTCACAAGGATTGAATCTAATACATTTATAGGCTATAATAAAAAAGCAGGAATCAAAGCAGATACAGAATCACGCATTTCTATATTTAAAAATAAAATCTCAAAAAATTTAGGTTAAGGAGTTTTATTAGTTGAAACATCATCTGCTGTTATAGAAAAAAATGAAATTACAGATAATATTAAAGCTAATATAGCATTAGGAGGAGCAAATTCAGTAGACACATTTATTGTTGAGAATAAAATTCTTGGTGGTAGATGTGAAGGTATTTTCTTAATTGAGTGTGGTAAATGTTGGATATTTAGAAACAATATTGCTGAAAATGTATTAATTTATCATATACAATAGAATGATGGTATTGTTTGTATAACGGCAGTTCCAGTTATAAAATTAAATAATATATAGAAAAATAAAAGTAATGGAATAATGATACTAAAGGATAGTAGACCTGAAATTATGGAAAATAATATAAATGATAATGATGGTATTGGATTGTTTATTAGAGATAAAAGTCATGGAAAAATATTAAATAATATGATTAAATCAAATGAAATTGAGTTAGTTGTTGAAAGGAGAAACCCATCATTGGAATCTATTGTATAAGAAAATAAAGTAAGTGGTGATATTAGAATACCTTAAAATTATGATTGCACAATATAATGAATTTATTACCCTAAATTCTTATAAATAATTAATTTATATAACAAATATATGAAACTTTTGAATAACAACACATAGGTAAAAATATTAATTAAAATGAATATCCATTAAAATATAATTATATAATTTTACTATAATAATTTCATTTTAGTTTTTTGACATATATCAAATATATATAGTTATTCACATATATTCAATAACTTTTATCAAACTGATTAATTATATTATTGATTTCAGATTCTTAGGTTTTATATATCCAATAAAAGATGATCTTTATTACTTTGTAATTCTTATCTACTTAAATCTTCCTGAATCATTAATAATTCTTTTATGAAATGAAATATTTGAAGTTGAATTAACAATAAATCTTTATAACTTTTAATGATAAATTATGAGGTTTAGTCATTTTTTAATTAAAATTCAAAGCACCTTTTAGCTGATTTTCTATTATTTTTAATTTTGAAGTTTCATGCAAATCTGTAAATAAATTTATATAATTTAATCAAACGACATATTAATCTAGAATATAAGTCATACTATTTAATAATTTAGAAGTATAGGATTATAAATGCAAATATTTATTTTCTAAGAAAATACTTAATAAAAAACAAGAAAACAAAAATATTTATAGTAGATAGTAAAATATATGATAACGTGAGTGAACATGTTCTGAGATTTATTTATTATATATATAGATATATATTAAGAATCCGCGTTAGTATAGTGGTTAGTATTCAAGCCTGTCACGTTTGAGGCCCGGGTTCAATTCCCGGACGCGGAGCTTTTTTTTTTAATTTTTTTTTTTATTATTACTCTTCATTATACTTCTTAAATATGTTTAGTGTGGGATAATTTCATTTTCTTATGGTATTGAATAAACAAAAAATTTTAATATGGTTTAATTTTTAAAATATAATTAAGAATTAATATTAAATCATATTATTTTAATGAATATAAATTAATTAGACATTTGTGTAAATATTTAAGAAGAAAACGAAGACTTAAAATTTATTTAATATTAGGTTCAACTAAATGGAAATAAATATAATTTAGAGGATATAGTCTTTGTTAATAATTTTGATTAAATAAAGGTGTATTAAGAAAAATTATAAAAAATGGAATTTTTAGCTTTTATTGTGAATAGATGTAAGATAATTCCAATCAATCTTTTTAAGATATGTGTTTGCAATTTAATCATTAATAATGAAAAATATAATGGTTTAAAAATCATTGATGAATAATAGATAAAAATACATGATTTAATATTAAAAGCTTCTTAAGAATCGATTTAAGAATGTTATTAGATATTAAATATTTTTAAATCTTAATTATAAAGAATTGTGTATTTACATCAAATAGTAATGGTTGATACTTTTACTAAAGTAGAGCAAAGAATTTAGTTTATATAAGATTGTATAGATTATCTTTCAAAATATAAATATGAAGAGGGATCACATATAAGCCAATATATTCAGGAGAAGAAGTTGTTTGCTTTAAATGATCTATTTAGACTTTAATCAAGTCTGATGAGGAAAGATTTGTGTCAAACAACTCTTTTTTAATTGTAATAATAATCTGGTATACTTCAGAATTTAAATATTTAAACTAGGATTATTAGATTGCAACTTGATTTTAATTAAACAGAGTATATTTACACTTTAAATAAAAAGGTATAAATAAATATGTAAAATATTTCTGAAATATTATAAACTTTAAAACTTTTAGATATTTATGATATAAATAAGAAATTGCATTAAATACCTGTTATTTAATAAAATAATTAAGAAATAATATATTAGATAAATGATTATTTAATAAAAATAATGTAAATTATATTTGGAAGTCTATAGCTATAAGAAAATTCATTGTTAGGTGAATTATTATAGTAACATAAATAATTTTTTGCAATGGTTTGTAATTTATAAATTCGTTATACTTATCATATATGTTTAAGTCTTACTATGTAACAATAAGAAGCATTAGAGAATAGTTTGAAAGCATTTTAATTGGCAGTTGAAATAAATGATATAAATGACATAATTGAAATATTTATAAATACTTAACTATTATATATTGAAACTGATTAAGAGGCTGAAGGATTGAAATTCAGTTAATAATTTATAGATAATTTTGGTAGCTAAAGTATTTAATATTAATAATTAAATTATAGAAATAAAATTAAGTCATAAAGCTGAATATAAATAAATAGAAGATAATATGACTTATATGATGGTTAAATTAAGAATGAATGAATGATTTATAATATTTTTATAATATAAATTTATTATATATATATATATATATAAGAGATTTAGAGAGAATATTAGAAATATGAAATATGATTATATAAAAAGTAATACAAAAATAATAATCAATTTTATAATAATTTTTAAATAGAAATTTCTTTGACAACCTTATATTGTCCTCTTCCATATGTTATAAATTAAAAATGTTAATACTGAAGAGATAAGGTATCTCAATAAGAAACCATAAAAATATAGAAAATTCGATTAACTATGATACATTATATTTATTTTAATTCTTATTACTAAAAATAATGAGCATTTTGCAAGAAAGAGAAAACAATAATCATCCATAAGGTTCAGAATATTAATCAATTGTTTAAATAATATCATAACCATCTGTTGAAAATTGGAGGAGATATACCTTTACAATCAAAGAAAAGCAATATGTTTATTAAGGTCCATTAAATGAAGAAACTGAAGAATTGATATAAGTTTTGTAAAATTATGAAAATGCTGAAAATGTTTAAGCAAAAAATGCAATAGAATCTCTTTCTAAAAAATGGTTGGATTATGAAAAAAAATTATATAGAGAATGGAGTTGTTTTAATTAGAGGTTGAAGTTTGATACAAATTAAATTATAATTACGATCGTATATTGGAGTGCATATTTTAGTGTACTTTCAGAATCATTAGTATTTAATAACCTATATGTAGGATGTAAAAAATAATTCTAATGTATAAAATGATTCAAAAAGATCAGATATTGCTTAATATATGCCTTTATATGCATTCTTATTTACTTTATTTTCGTAAATGTATTAAATTATATTTATATTCATTAGATGTTATTAAATCAAGAATACTTATATATGGATTTTATTGTTTATATCTCTTATAATAATACCATTATTCGTTTTGTTAGGTTATCATTTAAATGCCTTTTCAAATTACTCTGAACCTTCAGATGATTATATTGGAATAGGATTTTGTATTTTAAGTTTCTTAATATTTATAAATTCACTGTTAAATAAAGGATTTAATTCTATTATTACTTCATTATCATCATCTTTAATAGCTACTTTATTTAATTGCAGTTTCTGCATTCTTGTTATATATTTCATACTTTTTAAGATTATTGCTTTTTTTCTATTGCTTTAAACCAATAACACTGCATATATAATAGAGAGTATATCAGATCTAATAGCACCTTAGATATTTATAATAATGCTAATCTATTCAATTTTCGTAATTAAAGCACTATTTAATTTAAGTCCTGAAAACATTGAATCTGATCTCAAAATATTATCACTTAAAGATTAACCAGATCCATACATATAAAAAGAATATTATAGCTATAAATTAAATAAAAAAGTTATTCATATACTTAAATAATTAAAATTAACAACTGTTGCACCAATATTGATAGCAATTAGTTATTTTACTCTCGAAATCTATTGTTATTCTGGATGGCTTTATTTTAAATCTATTTAAAACTATGAATTAACAGTTACATATGGATTCTTATTTATAGCAATACCTATATTTATGTCCTTTGGAATATGTATGTCTAATTCTAATGTGAATCCATAGAATTTATACTTGTATAGTTCATTGTTATTGGGTGCAATTTTTAGCATTCTAACTATTTAAGTCTGGAATTTAACATATGATATTTAATACTTCTAATCTATATCTAGATTATTTGGTATATGTCCATTAATAATAACCTTAATTTGGTTGACTGTAGCATATTTTAGATCTTGGAGAAGAAATTAAAAAATGTTAGTTTTAATAATTTCTTGTTACTTTTTTGCATTCCCAATAGGCATATTAATTACATTATCAGATGCTTTTAATAATTTAGGAATCTATTATGGTTCTATAGTATTGATAATTATTGGGTGTATTCCAATAATTGGTCTAATTATATATTATTTTATAGTTGTTATGATTTATCTAATTAAATTACCTTAATAAGCTTTAAATTTAAATTTCTATGCATTTTAATATGTGAATTTGACTAATTTGGCAATTTGGTTTAATTCTATTTTTTATACATTGGGATTCTATTTTACTTGCTATTTTGTATTGAATGAACCAGCAACAGCAACAGGAACTAAAAAAGGAGCTGTAAATAATATAATATAATTCTATAGATGTAAGGACTATTAGTAATTTAAACAGTTTTATTTATTTTAACAAAGAAAGCATTGTAAGTGAGAATAAATGACCATTAAAATGATTAGAAAGATGAATAAATAAAATATTTGGAGAGGATTGATAATCTTATAAGAGGTGGAATATTTTATCCATTTATTATATTATTACCTATAGGTTTAACTTAAGATAGTGAAACAACTAAAAATGCTTTAATTGCTAATGCTGTAGGTCTACCAGTAGTATTTATTTATTTTAATTTTTTGATTTATTTAAAAAAAGAACTTAATGAATACTAAGATTTTTTTTAACCTTTAATAATTATACTTATGTGGATCTTTGTAATAGGACCTATAGGAATAATATTTCCTATATTAGCAGATATTTATGAAAATTCTTCATATTAATTTGCTGTATTTGCATAATTAGCTGTAGCTTATACAATTTTAATAACAATTATAATAATCACTTGTATTTCAAATGTTTATTCAGTTTTATTAAATAAGGAATAATTGGAAATGAAAAAGAAAGAAGTATTAAAAATTGTTATGTAATTATTGGCTAATCATAAAGTATCATCAACTGAAGAGATCTGTACTTTAATATTCTTAAGATATATTCAATAAAATAATCCAATTAAATTAAAAAATGATTTAAAATAGGGTGATCCTGTTAATGTTTATGATTATCCAGGAGTAGATAAAGGTAGAATGTTTGATGAATAATTGGTAACTAAAACAGAGTTTGAAAATAAAAAGAAATTAGAACAAATATCTAAGAAAAAGAAGGGAGGAGATATTCGTAGTCTTTAAGATGATGAAACAGAATTATTGAAGAAATCTACTACAAATAATGATGATGATGAATAAGATAATTTAAGTCATAAAATATTAGATATAGTTTTTGAATGTGTATTTTGTAGATGTGGTTTTGAAGAAATGGAATAAATTAATAAAAATAAATAATAATTAGATGTAGAAATATTAGAATTAGAAAATTGGAAAGAGAGAGAAGCTAAAAAAATATAAGGAATTATATAACCTAGTGAAGCAGATATGAAGACAGCAAGTGATATTGATTTTTATACTGCATTAAGAACAAAATATAGAGATAGAACTGAAAGATTTTGGGCTGCAATATATACAAAATTTAGAGACAATTTGAATGTGGTTTTAGAATATTTAGAATTAGAGAGAAATGATGAAATATTAAAATAATATAAAACTTTTAAAGTTATTGAAGATGGTGATTTTACAATGTCATAGAATGATTTTGCACTTTTCTTATATGATAATTTTTAAAGAGGTGATTAAACTAATTATTATAATTTAATTTGGGAAATGGCAGTAAAGAAATATCATCTATTTGTTTATAATTATAATGATATTAGATAAATATTGAAATTACTTTAAAATAATACTAATACACCATTTCATTAAAAAAATTTTAAATTACCTAATAATAAAGGAGAGAAAAGATTAAAATTAGAAAAAAAAAAAGTTGTATAAAGTAATGATTAAATTGATTTACAATATTAATAAAAAAAATAAAATATTGAAAGAGAATATTAAGATAAAGTTCCAAAAAATTTAAAAGTTTAATTTTGGTCATTTTGTTCTAAAGTTAATGAAATTTTATGGATTAAACCTAGAATGTATACACAATAACTTGTTAGTTAATTAATTAATTCATTATTTTAAAAAATAACACCACCTGAACCAGAATAAGATAAAATTGTTTAAAATGTAAAATGGGAATAATTAGCTGAATTAGTTGGAGATTGTTTAGTTGATTAATGCAATAAATTTGATAAAAAAATAAAAGATTAAGAGTTTATCTTAAAATTTACATCCACAAATATTATAGCTGTTTTCTTAAGAATTTATGATTTATATGGTTTGGCTACATTAGCATTTGATTCTTAAGTTGGATGGTTTGGATAATCATAAACAATTAATCCAATTGAATTTGTAGATTATTCAGCTATTTGGAGTGAATATAATCTATTTTTCTTTTTAGCACTTTTTATGAGTTTAATCTATATTATTTTGGGTTTTGAGGCAGCAAAATAAATAGCTAATAATACATTTGGATTTGATGAGAATGGAATTATAGCAACCTATAAAAGTAGAAGATATTGGTTGAGTAAAACCATATAAATAGTAAGTGGATAATTTATATTTGTTATGAAAAGTTATATTGATGCATTCATTTGTGATTATAGTTCATATCCTTACACATTAGTAAGATAACCAAGTGTTGAATGCATGAGTGATTTGCATTTCATGTATGTCACTTTAGCCATTTTTGGGTGTATTATTTATTACCCTCTCTCATCCTATTTATAACCTACATTTTAATATATGGATCACTCTTTAGATTTAAAATACAAATCTAATTATGTAGTTTTGTATATTTAATCTAAATTGTTAATTTTGGGTATGAGCTCAGTATTCTCAAATCTTTAAGATTAAGCATATTAATATTAAATGCTCTTTTCTAGTATTGTTATGTTAATTCTTATATATTTTCATATCAGAATTAAACCATGTTATGTTAAATGGTTTAATACAATTGAATTATGTATATTGTTATTGTTACTATATGTAATTTTATATTTATTAAATTAGATGTATTTTGGAGCTTTTTTGATATTAGCAACAGGTTTAATGATAATAGGATGGATAATTTTGGCTTGTATGGGTGGTTTAACATTAATATTGACAGCCATATTACTTTTTAGACATTACGATAAAGAAAAATAATTATAATTGACTAAAGTTCAGCCAGTTAACCAAGCAACTGAGATGTCTTAGATATTGAAGTAATGAAGATTTGAATTAATTCTAAATTTAATTATTATTTAAAAATATTAAAATTCATATTTGTAAAATAGAAATAGAATATTGAATCTTATTAAAATATATGTTCTGGGATTTATTTATTATATATATAGATATATATTAAGAATCCGCGTTAGTATAGTGGTTAGTATTCAAGCCTGTCACGTTTGAGGCCCGGGTTCAATTCCCGGACGCGGAGCTTTTTTTTTTATTTTTTTTTTTATTATTACTCTTCATTATACTTCTTAAATATAATTATTATATAAATAATAATTTTGGTTTTCAGAATCTAAATATATTAATTTGCAGATATCTTTAAATTTAATAGCCATTTAGATATTAAATAAAATTGTTATTGGAGTCAACTTTTTCAAATAGTGTTTTTGTCAATAATTGATACTTATAATTAACTTAGAGGATACTCATGATGGATACTAATTATTTAATTATCAAACATTAAATAGTTATATAAATATTATTAACATTATTACAAGAAGCAACACTTACTAATAAATATATTTTGATTTATCTTTCAATTCTAAATATTAAAGAACTCCATTAATGTATTAAAATCTAATCCATTCTTTGTTATTCAATTATAATTAATCTAATAAGGTTTGCTGTTATCAAATAAATAGTCTGGAAATCTTTTATTCTCTTATTCAATTAAATTCGATTCTGATAATGATATTTATAACTTTAATGCTTAGTTATTTATCAATAAAATGTCAATTAAAGTAGATTATATAATTGAAATATTTTGGAGATTTTATATGATTATAATGATTAAGATGTTTTAATTTTTGAATGCATTTTTATGAATAAATAATCAATATTACTATTATTCATATTTACTTAATTGTCCTAAAAGTTCTTGATTTTAAATTTGCAAATTTTGAACTTGTGCTTATAAATCCATAATTTGTTACTATTGATTTTAAACTGTGCTCTCTAATTAAGCCTAAAAATAATAAAATTAATTACAATCTTTTAAGCATCTTATGCATTTGGTTGTGTTAATTGCTATTATTATTATGGTTTTTGTGGTTATTAAGTAAATACAACATTTTACTATTATTATTGTTATTATTATTATTAATCTGGTTTAAGACTGATTAATACTGCATTGGCATTTTAACCTCCAAAGAATTGAGCAGCAGTCTAATTATATATTTAAATTAAATTTACTTAGGCTGGTTAAGTTCCTGGACAAGGGGGGAATAAATCTTCCTAGAATGTATTAGCCTTTCTTGGAGCAATGAGTTGCACATAGGATAGAGCATTTTCTTCAATTTTAGCCACTCTATTAACTTCACATATATTCACATCCACAGCTCTTTTAGGGAAAAATGCGTAACTCTTTCCAGGTTTATTTGATGTGTATTGATTTAGGAAATGTAATTAACCATCAAGGAATTCAAAATATTTAATACTGGAATCTCCCTTACCGGATAAATAAAGGACTTTCAGTTATTCATCCCAATATGGGTAAAGTACTCCACTTCCTGTATCAATTTAAGTTGTTGAAACAGGCTCTGAAGGATTGCTTGCATTCCATAATGAAAATTCTCTTCCTTAGGTTTTGTTAAATCCAACACTAACAAAATATCCAGTGGATCCTAACCAAGCAAATCTCTATGGTTTTGTTCCCTAATGTGCATTAACTTCTAAGGTTAGAGTCTATTATCTTGGATCAATAATTTTCAATTTTTTATCATTCCAAGATGATCCAATGAGTGAACCATTAAGATTCCAATCAATAGAATATGGTAAAGCATTAGCATTTATAGTATTTCTAGCTGTACCTGCTTGAACATCCCAAACTTTTACTGTTTGATCATGAGAAGCTGATCCTAAGACCCAAGCAGATGTTGGATTCCATTAAATTAAGTTGACCTAATTAATTAATTTATTTAATATACTTTTTTATCATGTCCTGACAATGTAGTTAAAGGCTCAGTGATATCTGTTGTCAAATCATTAATTTTCCAAACACAAATATTTTGATCTTAAGATGAGGTAGCTAAGTATTCATCATCAAAAGGATACCAATCCAAATCCAATATTGTACCTAAATAATCTACATAATATAAAACCTTAATGTCCTTTTATCATAGGTGTGTCAAAAGGAAGCTTAGCGGGTTTATCAGATCTCAAAACACAAACAAGTCCGCCACCACCAGTTTACCAAAGAAGGGCTGTGTATAAACCATTGGCCTAGAAATTTTTAAGTTAGATTTAATACCTTGACCATAGTGGAGTCACAAGTAATGGTGGTTGGTGTTACTTATTCAAATTTTGATTTCATTTCTTCTCCATAAAGATGCTTGAATCTTAATGCCTTCATTGAATATCTTAATTATATTATTAATATATATATAAATTAAAATTTTTTTGGATATTTATAAATAAATATAAATATCAATTAAATACATAGTATATCAAATTTTAAAATATAAAAATTAAGATTAATATATTTGATGTTTCATCAAATCTCATTTATATAGATTATAGAATATATTAAATAATTGATAAAATAAATTATTTATTAATTAAAATAATTATGATTATATATATATTAATATAATAATATTAATAATAACAATTAATTATTTTTCTAAAAATAGAAAACTATATTTAATGTAAAGTAAATTTTAATCAAATCCTCAAACCTTTGTAAAGAATGACGTTGTGCATTTATAAATGGATTTATTAAATAAAGCAAAATAAAATTAATTTTTTTAATTCTGTTTAAAGAAATGCAATAGGTAGATAACAACTAAGAGTCGCCTCATAAGAAAAAGTTTGTTTTACCAAAAGGTCACTTCCTTTTTACATCAGAGAGTGTTAGTGCTGGTCATCCAGATAAATTATGTGATTTTATCAGTGACAGTGTGCTTGATGCTTGTTTAGAATAAGACCCAAACTCAAAAGTAGCTTGTGAATCAGCATGCAAAAACTCTCTTGTTATGGTATTCGGAGAAATCACTACTCATGCTCAAGTCCCATATGAAACTATAGTCAGAGAAGCAATAAAGTCGGTTGGATATGATAATATAAGTAAATATATAATATACTAATTTATTTAGATAAGGGATTGGATTATAGAAATGCTTCAGTTATAGTATCATTAGATTAATAATCATAAGAAATCAATTAAGCAGTTGTAGGATCTAAACATGAAGATGAAATTGGAGCAGGTGATTAAGGCTTAATGATTGGATATGCATCTGATGAAACACCAGAACTAATGCCATTAACACATCATCTCTGCAATAAACTAATTTCAAGACTCTAAGAATGTAGAGTAAATGAAATCTGTCCTTGGATGAGACCTGATGCAAAGGTCTAAGTTACAGTTGAATACAAACGAGAAGATTCTTCATTTTATCCTGTTAGAATCCATAATGTACTTATATCCTAATAACATGATGAAAAAATAACTCATAATGAAATTGAAGCAGAATTACATAAACATGTATTAAAGTATCTATAATTTATTCTATTCATTTAAGATATGTCTTACCATCAAAATATGTTGATGAATAAACTCAATACCATTTAAATCCTTCTAAAGCTTTTACTGTAGGAGGACCTTATGGAGATGCTGGATTAACAGGCCGTAAAATAATTGTAGATACTTATGGTGGATGGGGTGGCCATGGAGGAGGGGCATTCTCTGGTAAAGATCCTACAAAAGTGGATAGAAGTGCTGCTTATGCTGCAAGATGGGTAGCTAAATCACTTGTTGCATCAAAATTATGCAAAAGAGTCATGATTCAAGTTGCCTATGGAATAGGTATAAGTGAACCTCTTTCTATATGTGTTAATTCATATGGAACATAAGCTGAAGGACTTGATGATGATGATTTGTCTGAAATTGTTTAAAATCATTTTGATCTCAGACCAGGAGTCATTATAAGAGAATTAAAATTAAGAAGACCAATATATGCTAAAACTGCCTCTGGAGGACATTTTGGTAGAAATGAACCAGAATTTACTTGGGAACATCCTAAGATTATCAATTTAAGTGCTTGGAAAGCTCATAAAGCAGAATAATAATAACAAAATTAATGATAAAATAAAGTGAATTTATTAACAAAAATAAATAAACAAGTAATTTTCATCTTCTTTTATTCAATTCAGCTCCTAATAATTTTATTTAATCTCTTAATTGCAAATTTTCAATCATTGTTTTCTAAAATATTAATATCATAATACTTCTAAAATATCTTGAACATTTTATTTCTTTCTTAACGATTAAATTAATTTAATGTCTTCTTTATCAATTCTAAAAGCTAATATTGAAATTATTACAAATCTGCCTCTGATAAACTGGGATATGCTTTGCTGAGATTATATGCTATTGATTGTATATATGTTATTTTTTCTTCTAATTAATTTGTCAAAATAGCAATTTTGGCATTATATTAATCTCTTATGGTTTTATTTTAAATTTCTAATTCTTGAACTCTATTAGCCAATGATTCAACTACTATTTTTTCTTTTTTTGTTAATGGGGCATCCATTGAAGGCTTTTATCTAAATTACATTTCTCTCATAATTTATAAATCTTTAGACATATTATGATTTTATTCCTCTAATTAAATTAATTATTTTTATTTTAAGATTAAATCTTGTGTTAATTATTCAGTTTCTTAAGCATATTTCTTTTATAAGAGTCTCAACTAATTTCTTAAATCATCATTAACCTAATTTTAATCATTATACTTTTATTCTAAAATAGAAAACTCTTAAAATTAAGTAGACAAGATTTTCTCTAAATCTTTTAATTTAATAGATTTTTAATCTAATTCTGATTATATATTTTATAAATATTTTTTGGTCTTTGCTAATTCATCGCACAGTTCATCATATTTCTCTTGCAACTAGAATTTAATATATTAATTTACTTTTATTCTTTATTTTTCATTTTATTTTAGTTACTTTGAAGTATTATCCAATTCTTCTATTTTTCTTTAATTCTCATTTTCAAGCTATTTTATTAACTATAAAATTAATGATAAATATTATTACACTTTATTAATCTTAATATTCAGATAATGTGCTTAATGCTTATTAAAGTTCACTTTCTAATTTAAATTTATTTTAAGAAATGATTCTTAAGTCTCTTAGTTCTGAATTACATAGTTTTAAATCTTCTTTAAGTTATGAATTTTATTATTTATACAATCCTAATTCAGCACTCATTTTAGAATTTATAACACTACTATCATCAATTATTTATTATAAAGCCTAACATTTCTAAACTAGACTTTCCATTGAGAGATTAGTTTTTTATTGTTTAGTATTTAATGCTTTTGCTTATTCCTCTTATAGTTATTTTAATTAAGAAATTTCTGTTTGTAATAATTTAATCTAATTTAATTAATCTTTAGATTTCTTATCCCAATTTTATAACTCTTTTACAGGTATTGTTACAGTCTTTTCTTAATTGTGTGTCTATTAATGATTTGATAAATAGGGATTTAAATTAACTGAATCTATATTTTATTTAACTTATTAATATTATTATTATTATTATTATTATTATTATTATTATTATTATTATTATTATTATTATTATTATTATTATTATTATTATTATTATTATTATTATTATTATTATTATTATTATTATTATTATTATTATTATTATTATTATTATTATTATTATTATTATTATTATTATTATTATTATTATTATTATTATTATTATTATTATTATTATTATTATTATTATTATTATTATTATTATTATTATTATTATTATTATTATTATTATTATTATTATTATTATTATTATTATTATTATTATTATTATTATTATTATTATTATTATTATTATTATTATTATTATTATTATTATTATTATTATTATTATTATTATTATTATTATTATTATTATTATTATTATTATTATTATTATTATTATTATTATTATTATTATTATTATTATTATTATTATTATTATTATTATTATTATTATTATTATTATTATTATTATTATTATTATTATTATTATTATTATTATTATTATTATTATTATTATTATTATTATTATTATTATTATTATTATTATTATTATTATTATTATTATTATTATTATTATTATTATTATTGTTATTACTGTTATTAATATTATGATAATGCTTATTGTAATTAAGATTGCTATTATTAAGTTATTGTTTATAATTAAGATTGTTATTATATTATGACTTTTTATTATTCTTAATTATCAATTTCCAATTATTTGATTTGATTCTTAAACTTTTCAATCTAATTTCCCAATTTTTCAAATTACTCTGAATAATCTTCTTCTTATTTTAATATATAGGCATTTAATTCTTCTATTTAAGTATCTTTATTTTATTCTTATTCATTCTAATCATTATTTCCATCAAGTTTCAATTTAAGTTCATCAATCTAAACTTATTTTTCTTAAATCTTTTATTTAAGTTCATCATTTTCAGTTTTCAATTCCTTACATTTAAAATCTAACACTTCCATATCATTTAAACTATTTTACATCATCTTTCCTTCACTTTCTACAGTTTCTAATTACTATTTCAATTCTTAAATCAATCTATGTAAATCATCTATCTAAGATTCATGCTTCTATTTTTATAATAATAATCTATTTTCATATTTTTATTCCATATTATACTGATCTTCTTAATTAGCACATAATTGTAAATTCAATTAATCTATTTATAACTCCTTCTCTTTTAAAAGTGTCTAAGATTTTTATAATGATTGAATTATTTCATCTTATTCCATTCTTTATCTAGTTAATAAATCAACTTCTTATTAATACTCTTTTTCTTTTTTTTCTAACTATTCCAATAATTATTTCTTTTATTCTTAATTTTAAATTTCTAATTTTTAAATTTATTCTTTTAATTCTTCTACTTCAATAATCTACTATCCTTATTGCTATTATTATATTTCAGATTATTATTAATTATCAATTTATAATTGTTCAATTATATTCAATCTTTCTTATTCATGATTAAATTTATATTATTCATCCATTGTAATTTTTAATTATTCCAATTCATTTTTATGATTTTCATTTATTATAGTTAATTTATCATATAATTCTTAATATAGATTTTATTTAATTTCTAGTTCTTTTTTTAATTATGATATCTCTTCATTTAATTTATTCTCACTTTCGTTGAATTATTTTTCTAAATTTTCATATTTTATATTTAATTCTTAAAATTTAATTTTTATATTATTTTCTTGTTCAATACTCTCTTTTTCTTTTTCTTAAGCCTCTTCTAAACTTAATTACATGACTTCAATCTCTAATTGAGTTTTTTCTTCTTATATCTTTGATTAATTCCTAAGTTGAATTATTAAATTTTCTAATTCTTAATTTTTTTCCTATAAACTTATATTATTTGATAAAAGTTATTATTTTTATTGTAATTCATTTTAAATCTACTAATTGAGAATATCTAAGTCTTTATTTTTTTATTCAACTTCTTAGAGGGATTATTCTTTAATAATTAAATATTGTCTTTCTTAATCTTAGAATTATTAATTCAAATCCTGTATCATAATATTCAATGACTCTAATTACTTAGTTAACTCATTGTTTAAATTTTCTAATTCTAAGTTTTTATCTGTTAATATTTCAATTTCTTTTCTATTTTATTCTTATGAGGCATCTATTTATTAATTTTCTAATTCAGATTTTTTTAATAATTATGCCAATGCTTCAATTTCATTTAATAATTCTGATTGATAAGTTTCATATTATGATTATAATTGTTATTTTTCTAATTAAAATAATTCCTTTTCTTATTGTTTTTCATTAATTAGATTAATATTTAACATGTCAATTTGTTGTAATTATTCTTAAACCTTTTAATTAAGAATTTCAATTTCTTTTTTCATATTAGAATTATCTTCAGAAATATTTTAATTTACAAGATTCTATTGTTGTAATTAATTTATTAATTCATTCTACTCTTATATTTACTCTTATCCTTTTAAATGATCTTGAGTTATTTATTTAATTTGATCTTTTAAATTTTGAACTTCTTTATATAAATCTTTTTCTTGATTTTGTAATCTCTAAATTTCTTATTAAAATTCAAAACACTCTTTATCATATTTTTATGTTAATTCCATATTAGTTTTTTCATTCGATTAAATTATTTTTTGATATTCTATATTGTTGGCCTCTATCATTTGACATTATTAATTACACTAGTCTTTCAAAAGTTAAATCTATTGGACAAGTGATTCATTTTCTTTTTTAACCAAATCTATCTAATTCTAATAATCTTCTTGTAATGATTTAATCATATTTTCTTGATTGATATCTTAATGATTGTCAACAAACTTTGATTTATTAGTATTTAAGTTATCATCATCTTAAGAATCTTAACTTATTGGAATTTGCTAATCTTCTAAATCTAATTTTTCTCCTGAATTATCCATAATATTAAAAAGAAATAAAATTAATAATTTGTTATGTTCTAGATGTCTTAAAGAAATACAGTATAAATATTAAGATTATTAATAATATGATTCTTTTGTATATGATAATTTATCTAACAATCATTTGGATATTAAATATCTATTTTATTGAATTAAAATAAAACACTGTTATTTTAACATAATAAATAAATTTTATCAATAATGCTGTTGCAATAATCAAGAAAGAGTGTGGCACAACCTTAATAATAAACAGCTTCATCTCATACTATAAAGATGATTTCTGAAAAATGGAGAAGAATATCTTCAGAAGTTGATAATCAAAAAGCCAGCAGACTCTAGTAACTACAAGAAAAAATTAAATAGATTGAAAAATAAGCATTAACTGTTAATAATAATCAAATCAAATAATTATAAGATTCAATAAATACTCTCAACTAAAATGTTTAAGATCATTTGACTTAAGATTATAATCACAAAACATAAAAAACTTATGAAAATACAAATAATTCTTTAGAAAAGAGTCTACAACAATAAAATTAATAATCATAGGATATGGAGAAGAGGTTAACTCATCTACTTGATTGGAGTAATCTTTAAGACTAGTTGTCAAGAAATGAATCACAATATGATTTTAGTCTTCAAAACAAATTATAATTGATTGCTGATTCAGTTAATTAGATTGAAGACATTCTAGAAAGTGAAAGAGAACAAAGGTAAATATATATTATTAATAATAGAATGTAATCCTTTGAGTAAATAGAAGGTGAATTAGAACAAAATCTTTTTTAACTTAAAAATTATATTTCTTAAGAATCTAGTCTAAGGAGATAAAAGGAAAATAAAATATTTGATATGATAAATGATGTGCATTAGAATTTATCATATATGTTGTAAGATGAAAAGAAGGAAAGACAAATTATGACAAACAATTTGATGCAATTAATGGATGATGCATGTCTTAGAATTGATAGAAGTCTAAGTTCATTTTGATAATTTTATATTTTAATTAATACCATATTCTCTAGATTCTTAAATGACATAGATAACATAACAATAGAAACAATATGCATCACTTCTCTATTTCATATAATATATGAGTGTTAATTGTAAAATATTTAATAAAAGTATTATTTATTCCCTCAATTCACAATCAATCTAATTTTTAATAATTCAGAACATATGATCAAATAATTAAATTAGAAGGACAATCTAATTGTAGAATCATATTACTAATATATCAGATCTAATAAGATTTATATTGCAGTAAAACTATTTGAAAGTTTTAAAAGAGATTAAGACGCACTTCCAGAATTTCATAGAAATTATATTTAATTTAGATGATTGAAGATGTTGACAATTACTATCTTTATACAATACTTTTACAAATAATAAACTAAATAAACTATCAAAAAAGATAAAATTATTGAAAATAACTTTAAGAATGGTCATTTTATAGTTATCTCAAAATTTAAAAGTAAAGATCAAAATGAATAATTTTATTATATAATTTAACAAAAAACTATTCAAAAATTATTGCACAGTTTGAAATGAATTATTAATTAAACAAATCTATTTATTGCAAAATTAAGAACGTTAATCCAATTATATATAGAAAATAAGCAAATAGTTACTTCAGATGATTCAAATTTGACTTAATTATCAATCTATTTATTCAAAGTCTAAATGTTAAACATATTTTATGGAAAAATAAGATGACACTTAAAATTAAATTTTAATTAGTTAGCAAATATTAAATAATTTATATTATTAATAAATGTGTTATTATTATTAATAATATTAATTAATTTACATGCAATTTTATATTAATAAAAGCCAACAAGAAAAAAATTCAGTTGCCTAGTAATCCTTCAAAAGATTAACTAATGATCTTCTTGATGAAAAGCTTTAAGATTTAAATGATAATACTTGTTAGATTTAGATGAATTAGAATGGTGACAAATTGTATTTATAAATATCTCCAAAAATCGGCTCGTTTATTTATAACAATTACTAAGTATTTTAAACTTTAGTATTTTAGTTTTAACTAGATTTCAGAATTAATTACCCCTATAGTCCTCCTTTAATTTAAGTAGAGTCGAATATCCCACATCCTAATATTGATTTAAAAAATCATTAACTTTATGTAAAATTTTTAGATCCAAATGTTTGGAAGCCAGTATATGGGTACTTTTATATATCTAAAACAGGCTATATGATATCATCTAAGCTATAAAATAAACTATCTTATATATCGATTACACTTATATTCCTAATGATATACAATGTATCAAAAGTGCATAAAGAATGGGTTAATAGGATCATAGTACTGATGAAGAAGAATCAGAAGATAAAGGTTTTGAATTAAGTGAAAACTTTAAAAGAAATTTTGAATTACCAACTCTCTCAAGAATTAGTGTGGAAAATGAATAATCAGATGATACAGAAGAAGAGAACTAAGATGATCCTTCAGAAAGATCTAGTCAAGAGCCAGCAATAATTAATTTAACTAAAAATACTAGACACTCTTTAGATGATAATAATACATTACCTAAACCAAAAAAGTGATTTTTCATCCATTATTACTTATATTTTGTAATCTAATTAATTATATTTGATAATCTTGAATATTTCAAATTGATCATAAATTATCTTATGAATTTATATAGTAATATTTCACTTTATATTTGACTAGATAGAATAATTGAATATAATTTCCATATAAATAGCTAATTCATTGAATCCATATTTTTATATTAATATTAAGAATAACATAAAAAGTATTATTATATTCATTTTGCTTTTTTAAAAATATCACTCATCCTTGAGATAAATTAAAATTTATTTTTAGGATTTTTAATTATTGTCACCTTAAGTTTAAGTTATCATAACATAATTAATAAAAATAGATAATCTGCATATTCAAAGTAACCATCTACATTTAATGACTTTATTGCATAGTTTTCAAATTTCTAAATGTTATCTCTCTGTGAAATCTGTTCCTTTAAATTATATCAGAAAATTTAAGTTAAAGCTAATAAGCTAAAAAGTTTAATAGGATAATCTTAAAATAATCGCAAATCATTTATTTGTTTATCAAAATTTTGTTTAAAATATTCTAAATATTTCTTTAAAATATCCATAAGAAGTTCTTTATATTTTATTTAATACATTGTGTTCATCTTATTTAGTGTTTACAATCATTCTTATTTTTAATCTTTTATAATTTAATCAATACACATTAATTTTTATTAATGTTATTTTTCTTATCAGTCACAATAATAAATTGCTTACAATTGAAACTCTAACCATTTAATTATTAGAAAGGAGATTTAATTGATACAGCATATTCAGTAAATTAGATAAATATAAATATTAGGTTTCCTTACAAATTGCTGGTTCAAACTATTAAATGGTAATTGATAATATTAATTCTTATTCATGGATATATTCTAAAAACCCAACCAATAACAATTAATGTATCAATTGTCCATCAGCTGTCTAATAATTTGATTGTAAAGAAACTGATGGTTGTGTAAAGGTTTAGAATTCTGAACCAATTACATTATAAAACTCAAATAAATGCATCTTATCTACAAATGTAAGCTAATTTACTATAAAAAATAAGAATATTATGTTAGATCGCCAGTCATTTGATAAATTTTAGATTTGCCTATCCTATGATATATCTAATCAGCAATATAAATTAAATGGGGTTTTGAGTTTAACAAAATTAACAGAATCTCCAAATAAATCAAATTTATTTTATTAGTAAGTAAAATTTGAATTAGATTAGAACAACACAGCTTATAATAAATTTACTAAATTTCAACAAGTGTAGGATAAGAAAGAATCTTCATAAGTGAATAAAGTAGCTATTAACTCCAAAAATAAATATCATATTAAAATTAAGCAGAAGATCAATGGAAATTATAATATTAATTATCATATAAAGATATTTAATTTCTTAAGAAAGAAGATAATTAATTTATTACTTTTGATTTAACAACTAAATATAACTATTTTACATAAGATATTATTAAAAAGATAATAACTTAAATAAAAAACTATTAAAGTTTGGTAAATTATTCTATTAATTTTTAGTTTTGCTCTATAGAAAATAAGAGATTAATGTGTCTATGTCCAAAACCAGAATTTATTGATAAGATACCAAAAATTAAAATTGCATTCAATGGATTACCTAATACTTTTACTCTGCCCTTAAATCCAAAATATTTATAGACCGAATAAAAATGTGAATTAGACGTATTCCAACATAACCAATATTCAATTTTAGGAAATTAATTCTTTCAGTAAATATGTGGTATTATTTATTTAGATAAAATGGAGCAATATTTAATTCAAAAGAAAACACAATTATGATAGGATAATCCAATTAAGATACTGAGGATAGCTTTTCATTTCCCAATAATTCTATATATTGTTTATTAGCAGGCTTCTTAATATTGTTTGGTTTATTATCTTTAATATTAATACTCAGGTAATTATATTTATAAAATATAAAGTAAAATCTCCTAGGAGTAATTATCAAAACCAAAATATGAACAACCATAACCAAAACCTTTATATGTTGTGTCAAACAATCAACAAATGTTTAAACCTTATAATCTTGAATTATCAACAAATTAAAAAATGATATATACAAGAAAATGAATTATTATATGATTATTTGCCAGTTAATAATAGAAATATTTTAATATTAATAATAAATGATATAATTTATTGAATCATAATGGTTTTTTAGCTATCAAAGATAATGCTTCAACTGTAAATGGTAGATTTAGATTCAATCTATTTTATACTTCTGATTTATATAATGAATAGAATTAATCAACTTATTCTTTTGAAGCTTTATCTAAAATTTCTCTAAATTATGGAAAAATATAATTATCATCTATATCAAATAAATCAAATGGAATTGTTTAATTCCAACATACTATAATTATTAATATATATTACCAATCTCTTTAAAACCATGTTTATATAAGAAATTTATTAATCCTTCTCGATTTTCTAATTCAGTTGGTTTATATGCTGCGTTTGGTATTAAACCAGCTTAGATAAAGCATTTTTATAACGATAACATTGGAACATTACCTAAGACTACAGGAATCACAATTCCTATTTTCCCTCCAGGTTTCAATACTCTAAAAGCTTCCTACAAAGCTTAATCTTTATTAGCCACTAATTGTAATACTAAATTTGAAATATAGATATCAAATTAATTATCGTTCAATTATGGTAATGATTATACATCTCCTTAAAAGACTTTATATTTGTTTTATTCCAATAATGGACTATCTATAAAATTTGAACATCAAAATTACTTAAATCAACATTTTCAATCTCTTAATCGCTGATATCTTCAATTTAGCTGTTTAGAGGATTATTAAAGTATTTAATCATTCTTGCTGCGGCTATTTTTGTCATTTCAAGAGAAAAGTCAAATGCTGTTAACCTACAGTCCTTTTTTCTTTACTGTAAAATATATTAATGTAAATGGCCTCCTGCACAACCAGCATCTAGAATTCTTATTTATTTTAATAGTTTACTCATCTGCTTCATTCACTCTCAACATGTTTAACAAAGAAAATTGAAATCCTGCTGGATTTTTTTCGATATTATGATAACTCTTACTATAGGCATCCCAAATTTTAGGTTGATTCATTAATAGTTAAAGATATTAAATAAAAATAACAAAATACTTATATAAAAATAATGAATCCGCTTAAATTATTTTGTTATTAATTTAATTTTTCGTAAAATAATGTAATTATTAATGAAGAATAAAACAAATTATGATTTCTTAATACAAATATGATTATTATGAATTCATAAAAATACTGTATAAATCTCTTATTTTTTATAATAGAATATCTAAAAATTTGTGAAATGGAATTGAATATTTTAATTAAATATACATTTTTGCTATAACAAAAATAACTGAATTTTTCATAAAAGAGATATGAATTCAAATTTGATAATTATATAATTTTAAATATAATTTTTCATGATAAGACGCCCTAGATTTTTAAGTCCTTAAGAGAGAGTAAAATCTCCTCCTCCTCATGTAAATTTACAGTTTCCACACAAACAGTCTCTTATGATGTAGGTAAAAACTTATATTAATTAGACTGGTCCTTATGTATTTGATCGCTCTTAAATAATTGGAAAAGGATAATATTCTGTTGTGTATAAAGGATATGAATAGAATAAACCTAGCCAAATAGTTGCGGTTAAAGTGATTACAATTCAATCGAACAATCCAATTCAAATGTACATGATAGAAAACGAAATCAACACTCTTTAACTTTTGGATTCTCCTAACATACTTAAACTATTATATCATCATCAAAACAATAAAACTGTATTTTTAGTGACTGAATTTTGCAATAAAGGTAATATATCTAATCAAATTCATAGGTGATCTTTTACAAAAATTATAACGATCTCTAATTTCAGAAGAAGAGGCATTACAATATACTCTACAAATTGCTAAAGCATTATAAACTATTCATTCACATAATATAAGTATGTATTCAATTTAATTTTAGTGCATGGAGACATAAAATCTGCAAACATTTTACTATCAGATAGATGTGTTTTAGCAGACTTTGGTTTTGCATAGAAAATAGATTAGGCTTAATAAACGTTTATAATAGGCACACCTCTTTATATGGCACCAGAAGTACTCTTTGATAATGAGATAAATTGTTAAGCAGATATGTGGTCTTTAGGCTGTGTGTTATATGAAATGGTTTATGGATAATCACCATTTTATTCTGAGAATAACGATATTTTAAAAAATACATTATCAAAGTTTAAAGAACATGGTAAATTAACATTTCCAAACACTGGAGTTTCTAAGAAAATTTAAGCTTTAATCTTATATTTAATTAGAATAGATCCAAGTTAGAGATTAACAGCTTCATAAACAGTTGCTTTACTTGAACCAGGGAATGTCAATGAATAAATTAAATTAAATGAAAATCAAATTAAAATTAAGCAAGAATTATTAAACTTGGATGAAAAAGAAGCTCCAAATTAAATGCTTTAGTAATAATAATAGGCCAACATTAATGAAACTAATATAAATTCTAATTCATAATCAAACTAAACTTCTTTTTAGGATATTCAATCTACTCCTGATAACTAAAAGAATACAGGAGGTCATAATTCATAAGATGAACATAGAAGAAGTACAAAAAATAGTAATTCAAGTGCTAAGAGAAAAAAACTATTGCAATAATTAAATAATCTTAATTAAAGGAATATCAATTCATAAATTAATAATACCCCTTCTTAATAAAGTTTGCCATAAAATACTTAAAACTCTGATGTAAAGAAAATTCCACAAAAGAATATTTAATATCCATAATAAATTAATCCTAATACTCCTATTAATCCAAGTATTAATAATAATAATAATAATAATAATAATAATAATAATAATAATAATAATAATAATAATAATAATAATAATAATAATAATAATAATAATAATAATAATAATTCTAATAATAAAACTATTTCTTTATTAGATTTGGTTAATTATTTTTATAAAGTTTATTAATTAATAATAAATGGCAAAGAAATTAAATTAGCTTTCATTTATCTTAAACTTGTTAACATTTATTATTTGGCTTATTTAGAAGAATAATCTAAACAATAGAAAAAAGTAATATTTGTTAGTTGTCAAAATGATTATTTTGAATTAGAAAGAGAAATTAAGAATAAATATCCTTATTGGCTAAAGGAAGAGGAATTTTAAAAGATTTTTCATAGCAAATTTACTCTTACATAAGATTTTCTGAAATATTCCCTGAATTATTTGAATAAAGCAGCCGTTGATCAATAGTAAGATGAAAAAATAACCGAAAAAATAAAGAAAACTCTATAAATAATATAAATTCTTGTGTCAAATGAGAGAAGTAGCACCCTTTAATTAGATTAATAAATTATACGGCTTCATAGACTTAATTCCAAAGTTTGATATATATATAGTTTCTCATAATTTAAGTTTATCACAATAAAATTAATGCAATATTTTTTTACTGATTCTTAAATTTTGAAGTTGTAAATTGCTTATTAATATATCCTAAATTGTATAAATCAATTGAATTCTATAAAAGGATATAATTGACTTTAATCTATGAACATTATTATCTAATTCACTTGATTAAGAAATAAAAATTATGAAATGGAATTGTGCATCAAAATAATTAATACAGAAATGTATTGATATGTAATATAAATAACAATACAGCCACACATTCTAATGTACATTAAATTAATTAAATTAAAAATGTTAAAGCATGCCTTAAGAGTGATGTAAGTCTTTAGACCTAAATTATTGCATTGTACACCTCTTTAGACATTGGCAATAAGAGGACCTCTTTTTACTAACATTCCTGTTAGCTATTTCTGCACATCCTTGCCAAAACACAAGAAATTAGCAATGCCTGCACTGTATTTAAGATGTAATACAATTATAGATCACCAACTATGGAGGCAGGAAATATTTAGAAGTACTTAAAGAAAGTAGGTGATCCAATTACAGCAGGTGATGTACTTTGTGAGGTTGAGACTGATAAAGCAACAGTGGGATTTGAAATGCAAGATGAGGGATTCTTAGCTCAAATCCTTGTCCCTGAAGGTAAATAATATTAAATAAAATAATTTAGGCTCAAAGGGAGTCAAAGTTGGATAATTAGTTGCAGTAATTGTTCCAAAGTAGTCAGATGTGGCATCATTTGCTAATTTCAAAGATTCGCCAACTAAATAACCTGAGTAAAGTTAAGCAGCTTCAAAACCAGCATCTCAACCCTAATAAACTCCAACACCTTAACAAGCACCTTCTAGAGCTACAGGAGGTGCACTTCCAAAACATTCAAAATTAGGCCTTCCTGCTCTATCCCCAACAATGGAGAAAGGAAATTTAATGAAATGGCTTGTTAAAGAAGGAGATAAAATAAGTCCTGGAGATGTGATTTGCGAAATTGAAACAGATAAGGCTTCTGTTGGTTTTGAAGTTCAAGAAGATGGTTACATTGCAAAATTAATGGTACCTGCTGGAACTAAAGATATCAAATTAGGAACTGTAATTTATAATTTAATTTTAGATATTGGCTATCTCAACTCCAAAGAAAGATAATGTATCTAGTTTTGTTAATTATACTCTTGAGGGTGCTACTGCAGCTGCTTAAACTATATAAGCACAACCAACATAATAATAAGAATAATAATAATAATAATCTTTAAATAATGATACACCAATATAAACAGTTTCTTAATCTGGTTCAAGAATATTTGCTTCACCACTTGCTAAAGAATTTGCTAAAAAGAATAATGTTGCTTTAGAATATATAAGAGGTACTGGTATAGACGGAAGTATTGTCAAAAAAGATGTTGAAAGATTTATTTAATCTGGATCAAAACCTGAAGTCTAAGTTTAATAATAATAAGCTGTTTCAACTCCTTAATAATCATAATAAACTTAAACTTCTTCTTAAGAATAACCAATTTAACAAACAACTCCTCCTCCTGTTTAAGCTAAATAATAAACTAAACCAACAACTGCTACAAAACCAGTTGCCATTGAAGGCAATCCATATGTTGACACAGAACTTACTAATATGAGATAAACAATTGCTGCTAGGTTGTTAGAATCAAAAACAACAATCCCTCATTATTACTTAACAATGACAGTTACAATGGATAAAGTCTTAAAGTAAAACCTATTTCATTATTTAAAGAGTGCGAGAAGAATTGAATAAACTATAAAAAGTGAAAATTTCTGTCAATGATTTCATAATCAAGGCAAGTGCTTTGGCTTTGAAAGATATCCCATAAGCTAATTCATAATGGCATGGCACATATATTAGAAAATTTGCAAACGCTGATATTTCAATAGCTGTTGCCACTGATGCTGGTCTAATCACTCCTATTGTTTTCAACGCAGGTAGCAAAGGACTTGGTACAATTGCTTCCACTGTTAAGGAATTAGCTGATAAGGCAAAAGCTAATAAACTTAAACCTTAAGAATTTATTGGTGGCACTTTTACCATTTCAAATTTAGGAATGTTTGGAATTGATTAATTTATTGCTGTTATTAATCCACCTTAATCAGCAATTTTAGCAGTTGGAAAAACAAGTAAAAGGTTTGTTCCTGATGAAAATGGTTAACCAAAGTAATATATAAAATAATTTTAAGGGTTGAAAACTAAATGGATGTTACATTATCATGTGATCATAGAGTAGTTGATGGAGCTGTTGGAGCATAATGGTTACAAAGATTTAAATTTTATATTGAAGACCCTAATACATTATTGTTATGAGCTTTATTAGAATTTATAAATAAAAAATGTATTTATATAAGTTAAATTGATATAATATCATCATATTTTTATTTAACTATGATTAATTGCTATATGAGGATTCAATTTCATTCATTCTCTACTTAACTATTTTCATCTAGGATTTTAAATAAATTATAAATGCAGTTATTCATAATTAAATAATAACTAATAAGGTTATTTTTTGATATTAAAAATGCTTTTAATTAATGTAAAAGATGTACTAAAATTCTTAAAATGTATTTTTATATACATTAATAAATAATTAAAATTAAAGGAATAAAATAATTTATCATCTCATACACATTTGTTGTAAATAAATAATATTATTTTGGAATGTTTTTTTAATAAATATAAGTAGAAGCCTAAATTAAAAGTGCTTTCATAAAAATATAAGAGATTTCAAATGATTAGGATAAATAGGTGTAACTTGAGTTTTTTTTGATTTTGATTTTAAATTAAAAATTTATGAAATTTAGTGCTATTTTTATCAATGATTTCATTTAAATAAGAATTTAAATAGAGATCACATATACTTTTTAATTTTTAAAGTTATTTATCAAAAAAATCGAAAATATTTATTAAGAATTCAGAAAATTCATTTCCTAATAATATAGTAATAAATTAATGACGAAATTGAGTATTTGCAATGATTTCATCAAAAAATAATACGCATCAATCTAGTATTTTAAACGCAACAATTCAAACTTAAAATCTTAAAATTTTAATTCATGAATCACCACACATGGGATGCTTACAGCAAAAGTTATTTAAACATTTAGAAAAATCCTGCTACATTTTAACTCACTTTAATGAATATGTTGAGATTTGAGCAAGCAGATGAGTAATAATTATGGAATAATATTAGAATTTTAGATGCAGGATGTGCAGGTGGACAACTACATTAATATATTTTACAGTAAAGGAAAAAGAATTGTAAATTGACTGCATGTGATTTTTCTATGGAAATGGTCAAGTTAGCATCTGCAAGAATGTTAAAATTTTTAAATAACCCACTTGATGGAGCAATATCAGAAATCAGTGCTTAAGAGATTGAAAATGTTGATTTAAGTAATTTTGATGTTCAAATTTTATAGATAGTCCATTATTCGAATAAAACAAATATAAAGTCTTTTAAGGAGATGTTTAATCATTACCTTAGTTGAATGATAATTAATTTGATATTTATATTTCAAATATGGTGATACATTTAGTAGAGAATAAAGATCTAGCACTATAGGAGGCTTTTAGAGTATTAAAGCCTGGAGGGAAAATAGGAATTGTGATTCCAGTAGTTTCTGGGAATTTATTAATGTCAACATTAACTAAATGCTTTATATAAGCTGGTTTAATAAAAGATATGCCATTTAAACCAACCGATATTGAAACAAGGGAAGATATAATAAATTTCTTATATAAACATGGTTTTAAAGAGATTGGTAATATATATTAATAATTATAGTATGTTGGAATTAAACAATTCCATTTGATTTATTTGATATAGATGATAATTATATTTTTCCATAATTTAGAGAAATTTTAGATAAAGCTTCAAAAGAATAAGTTGATTAATTCTATTCATTATATAAATCAGAAGTATAAAATAGATTGAATCTAAATCTACCATTTACAGTTGAAGCATTATCTTTGATAGCTAAAAAACCATTATGATTCAATAAATTATATCATTTATTATTAATAATTTAGTTATCTTATTATAAGGATTATAGAATCTTTCTTGATAAGTAAGAATTTTGTAATCAAACTATCTTTATACATAATATATTCTTAATAACATCTTATTATGATTATAAATCATAAAGGTTTGAATAATATAATGTAGATTTTGAAATAAGAATCAATTTAAAAATCTCTTAATATTCAACAATTTATTGAAATTTAAAATCAAATGATGTATTCCAAATTAATTTTTTTTATTAAATAAAGTTGACTCTTTAAGCTACAGATAGGAAATTAAAAATTGTTTTTTTCTCTAAAATATAACCACCCAAATTCATTTAATCAAGAAATATAAAGACTTGTCTTATATCAGGTTATATTTGATTCTTATATAGTTTATATAAATTTTATCATAATAATAATTAAAATATATTATCAAATTCTTAATATGGATACTATCTTTTTTTACACAACGATAAGCTTTAAATATAGTAATTTACTATATGAATAATAAAATTAGAATAAAAAAAAGAGTCTAATTAATAAATGAGTTGATATATTAAATCATATTTATGTAATAAAAATGTCTAAGATTGAAATGCCTTAGAAAAATCTGCAACAAAGCTTAAAAATATTTTTTCTTTATTTTAAGACTATAAGGATTAGCGGGAATATCTAATAATTAAATTAATGACCAAAAGAAAACCATAATTTGATATAGGAAAAGATGGAGATGACGAGGAAGTATTACCAGTTGTTGGTGTTATTAATACTGCAGAAGAAATTCAGGAAAGAAAGTAAATTTACGTAAATATAAAAGAATTTTGAAGATCAAAGGACCAAAACAAAAAGAGAATAATCAAAATACAAAAATTGTTATAACTGCCCCACCACCATCATTTGAATAAGCAGGATCTGATTAAAAACTATCAACACCTCCTAAAAAGTTTTAACCAACGAATATATTTAATTCTCAACAAGAAAAATTGTTTTTCAATACATAGCCATTAAATAGTTTATAATTACCTTAGCAATAAAAAAATAATATTGGATTGGTTAGTCCTATAATAGAATTTAAATCAATTCGAAAGAGTGATAAATCAATTACTTCTCCAAATTAGGAGACTAATAAAAAAGGTGAAATTTTTTAAGTAAATTTTATTATTAAGACATAGAATAAATTAAAAAAAATAAAAATAGGTGAAAAAGAGCATGAGAATAAAGACATAATATTAATTGTATAAAAAGTAGGAGAGAATCATAAAATTATAATTGAGTATGATTATTTTATTAATATAGACCTGATTTATTTGAAGGATTGATTGAGAAAGAAAAAACAAAGAAAGAGAATAATATTGTAAGATTAGAATGTAAAAAAGAAACAGATATACATGAATTAGAACTAGAATTTCTTAATGAAAAAGACTATGAATAATTTAATTTATGATTTAATTTCAATCAATACGTTCTTTTTATCATCCTATTATATCTATTTATTCTTCAATTAGATATTATATTGTATTATATTATTCCTAATTATTTATATCATCAAGTTATTTTTTTTGAATAGAAGTAAAAAATGCTATTCATATCAATATAAAAATTGTAATTATTAAATCCAATTATATTCATCAACCATAACCTATATTATTTTTCAATCTATCTATTATACATAATAGTTGAGAATTAATATAAATTATAAATGTAAAAATAAAGTTAAAGTTATTATGGTTAATTAAATAAGCTTAGACTAGTACTCTCTTTTATTTCTATTGATAATAAATTAATGATTCTCTAAAAGCAACTATGGAAGTTGAATACCATTTAAAAAATCACTAAATTAATTATTAATTCCAAATCAACATGTGCAATTGTTTAATAGACTATCTCAAAGGATGATGTTGATAATTGGTATAAATAATATTACTTTATTATAGATATAGTAGTATTCAATTAGACATTTAAATGCTCTGCTAAAAGAGGAGCTATAGTTAAAGAAATGTATAATGAATTAATTTAATAAATCTTTCTAAAAGAATGCAAAATAATGATTAATCCTAAAGATTTAAAAATTTCCTCAAGATTAAGTAAAAAATACATAACCATAAAAAGTGTTTTTGAATAAAATCTAATCATTATCCCATTGAAGAATTCATTTTTCTAAATCCATCAGATTGCATTCGTTTTTTCTTTTCATAATCTAACATAAACATTTTCCTTTTTTCCTCTGTTTCCTTTCTTATTTAGTCTGCCTATTTACTAATCAATTCTCTGTCCTTTCTCATCTATTAACATTTCTCTTCATCTTTTGTCATCTTCTATTCTAATTTCAATCTACGATATCCACTTAATTATTCCATTCTTCTTATATTATCTTCTGTATCTATTTCTTTTATAATCTATTAAGTAATTCTAGTCTTATTCTATATAATTCTACCTGTATTTATTTTCAAATTCTTTTTTACTATTCAAATTGTTCAGTTTTTATTGAGTTCTATTCAATTTTGATTACAATTCATTCTTCTATTATTCTTACATAAATTCATTATTAAATAATATTAATTTTATTTTTTTTTCTTTCTCTTCATATTTCTTAATCTTTTCTTCCATTTGCTATCTTTAAAACTCATCCATTAATTCCTTCTTTTTTAAATATTCTTATTGCTTAACCTCATATTTTTTTCTCTTTTCTTCCTCCTTATTAATATTCATTTACTTAAAATTATACTATTTTTTACCATAATCTTATTAATTTGCTATTACTTATCAAGATTTTATTTTTACTTCTGCTACTTCACATAATCTAAGAATTGTTCAAAATCTTTTCTTTTTGCTTCTACTTAAGCTTCTCTTTTTAAATAATCTTGTCTTTTTCTCTCCATAATTTAATCATTATATTTTCTAACTTTCTCTAATTTTTATTCAAATTCTTTTCTCTCTAGATCTGCAAATTTCTTTCTCTCTTCATTCTTAAATTCAATTAATTATAATCTTTTTCTTTCTTTTTCTTCTATTTATTATTTTTTTTATTCCTATAATTTTTATTATTCTAATAAAAATTATTCTTATTCTCTTAAAATTTAATCCTACCTTTATTTTCTATCTTTCTCTTTGAATTCTGCTTCTAATTTAGCTCTTTATAAATTTTCAAGTTCTCTTTATTTTCTTTTTTATTCTTTCATTTCATTTTCTTTTATTTTTTGTTCTTAAATTTCTTTTTCTCTTTATTCTTTTTTTAGCTTTTCCTTTTCTAATTATTATTTTTTCATTTCATTATATTCTCTTCTCCTTTTTAATTCTTCTTAAAACTATTATTCTTTTTATTGCTATTTAAGCAATTTCTATTGCATATCCTTTTCTTATTATTCTTTAAGTTGTTCTTACTCAATCATTTTATCAATTTCTATTTATTACCTTCTTTTAATGTTCTCTAATATTTTTGATTATTTTTCTGCATAGCTTATTGAACTAAAATTTAATTAAGATTAATTATGAGTACTCTTACTTCTTGTTCCATTTTCTTAAAGTATTTTTTATCTTTATGCTCTAACCAAATCTATCTTTTATTTTCTTTTTTCTTCCAAATGCTTTTCTATTTCACAAATAAATTCATCTGTAAGAGATGGATCTTTTTATTTTACCATTTAAATAACTTAAGCTTTAGTTTTTTTTATAAGTTCATTTTCATGAAACCCTTCTCTTCTACATGCTTCCAAAAATCTTGGAGTTAAAATTTCTGTTGTAATATCATATGTATGCATTATTTTTTATTGTTATATTATTTTAAATTATTTGTGCTTTACTTAGTATTTAATTAAAAATAATCAATACAATAAGACTTTCTATTTACAAATTCTAATGATCTTTTGAGAATGATCTAAAAGTTCATAAAAAAAGATTAAAATTTATTTAAAATTCCTATAATATTCATTAATAAGAATTGATATTAACTGCAATATTTTTATATTTAAAAACTTTCAATCATACATATGGAAACTATTACATAAAAATCATGCTCTTTGTATGACAATTAGGTTTTATCTTATTTTTTGTTTGTATTATAGGAGACATAGATCTAGTATTTTTGTTATTAGTTTAGCCTAATAAAAGGTTAAATGAAACAGAATGCTTGTTACTTCTATCAGAAAAGCTGCTCAAAGAGGAATTTTATTTGTTTTATTTTAAAATACCTTTTGGTTCTAGTTTTTTTTATACTGGTTTATTATATTATTTCTAACTCTTTTTGGAAGAATTTCCATCTTTTTTTGTTTTTTTCTTTATGAAAGCTTAATTTAGAGGGTCTTCTTAAATTGTATTGAGATTAATTTTATATTGAATTTATTATTCACCAACAAAATTTAAAGAGGGACATTATTTCGTAGTATTCTGTTAAATATCATCTATATCTGTCTTTTCTAACTTAATTTTACTATCACAGCTATGTGTAATGTTATCATTAGTAACATCAAAAAGAAATTCATTTTTAAAAAAATCTTCTTCAAATGTATCTAAATTTTATGATAAGTTCTAAATCTATGGATGCAAAATTTATTTACTAGGTCTCTATAAATTAGAATAGCCACCTATTCTAATAACTTTTTCATTTTAATTTATGGTCTAATTTTGAATCATACAATTATTGCCCATAAAATTAATCAAGAAATATAAATTAAAGGAGTATTATAATATATTCTTAAGAATTAATACTATCAACAATAATAAACTTGTTATAAAAAAATAAAATAAATGAAAATTACCTTTTGATAATTAATTGTTTTTCATCATAAAAATAGTGACTTATATGATTAAACCAGGATTAATAAATTATATTATATTGTCAAAAAGTATAAATAATATAAACGAAATAAATAAATAATCAATCATCGATCAATAATTTAATCATTTTATTATAAGTAAGTTTTTCATTATCATTAACTATCTATTGTGCTAATTCATAAGAATTTTTAAAACAACTAGGATTTAAAACTGTTATTGTTTTTTAAATATCTTCTGTACCAATTAATCCATCTCTATCTTGATCAATAATTTTTGTTAATAAAGTATTTTTATCTCCAAATTAAATAGCATTTAATAATCTGACTAATGAAATGAAATCAATCTCTTATTATTTCCTACCAATCAACTATTAAATTAACAATGGACTATATTTATGATGTTGTATAATTTTAATAAAATCTGTTGCACTTACAAATCCTTTATTATTAGTATCAAGTTACTAGAATTTCTTGTGTATTCTTCTTATTTATGCAGGAGTGAATTTAATATAAAAATATATGACTTACATTATGTTTCATTTTTGTATAATAGAATCTATTAATCCGTTAATTAAGTATTTCCCATTTTTATTATTAAATTACTTTAATTATTATAATATTACAAACTCCCGCTTTAATTTTACATTGAATTAAGTACTTTTATAAGAATAAAAGTATTCAATCTTAATTATAAGAAAAAAATAAATTTAAATATAATTATGAAGCATTTCATTCAATTGTATCTAATTATTTATATTATTATTGAATTTCTAATATTTCCAAAGGTAGCAATTCAGAAAGACACTATTTAGTTTAATATCTTGAAATAAGTATAAATTATACTTAAGATAGACTCTCAAAGATTATTCATTAAGAAGTTTATAACTCATCCATAATATATCTAATTATTAAAATAATAATATTTTACTTTAAATCTCTTTTTTATTATTATTTATCAAATTATCTAATTCTACGAATGTATGTTTAACTTTGGAATATTATTTAGCTTCTAAAAACCTAGATTTTATTGTATTTTTCTCATTTTCCCAATGTTCTTTTATTTTTTCACTCCCTTCTCCATATTTAATAACAGATTCTTTTGGAAAAATGCTTAATTCAATTGCCATTTCTGTAAATCTAGGTAATGTTATATACTTATCTCCTTAATCATCAGCAAAGTCAGCATTTTTTAAAAACACTTATAATAAACTTTCATTTAACATTTATTAAGTATGGATTGCTCTATAAAGAGTTTTAAACTATATTTTTAATTATATATTATTTACTTCTTAATATTCTATTAGTTTATTTCCATCTAAATCTGCAGCCTTAAATAATGTTTCCAATATCTTTTAATAGTCTTTTTTATTAAATATATAAAAATCTAAGATTTTCATTATAAATTAATCAAAATTAATGTAATGTTTATTAGATCCATATTATTAGTTTAATACCTTAAATTAATTTTATAATTATTGCATTTAATTAGTTTATAACCAAAGTTAAGATTTTTCATTTAAAAATTCATTTGCTGATTCATAAGTTATAAAAAATTCTGTTTTATTGGATTCAATTTTATTATTAAAAAATAAAAAAGCTTCTATTAAAAGTTTTTGAGCAACTTCATCAATTTCATTTTTTAGATTACAATATTTTGAGATTAACAAGACTTTTGCATTCTTTTCTTTCTCAATTATGATAAATTCATATATCTTAAAAATAAATAATAATAAATTACTTATTTTATTTTTTTTTCAGCCACTTATTTAAATCCATATTTATTTTTTATGAAATCATAAATACAAACATGAAATGGTATTTTATAGGCTTCATTTTACTTTGAAACATCAGTTAATATTTAATTAATAATTTTATTGAATTGTAGAAAAGATAAAGTTTTAGTTAAATTTTTACTATTCATTACTTATTTAAGTAAATTATTAGCTACATCAGTATTTTAACTATAAACCCTTCTAAATTTTTTAGCTTGCTTAGTTTCTTATAGTAAATTATAATTTAGAGTCTTATGAGCAGAAGAATCTACATATATATAAAACATATATTACATTTAGTAAATTATTTATCTTTATATTATGATATGACATCTTTAATTCTTTGAGAACGGTTTTTTTCATCATCTAAATCCATTCTATCTGATTCTACTAAACTTCTTTAGCTTTAATTTATTTAAGAAATTTCATCTGTTTCTCTTATGGGACTATTACTTATATTATGTTTAGAATTATTTTTTGTAGGTTTAATAGAATTATTGTCTAATTAATTTTTACTATTTCGAATATGATATTATTATTGATTGATAATCTTTGAGTCTCCTAATTATTATTATTAAATTCTTTATATAGATTTTGAATTGGTAGGATTATTCTTTGAATTAGTCTTGTTCTTAGTAGAAGTTTTCAAATCATTATTTTTCTATATAAGATTTTCATCTAATTCTTTAGATTTATTATTTTGATTAGGATTTATTAAAAGTACTGACTTTGAATGATCAGATGGCATTTAATCTGGAGAATCTTTGAATGTATTTTCATCATTAGGTTCAGTATGTTATGATTCTTTTTAACTATGATAAATATCTTATAGGTATCTGATATCTTTTGGGCTAGTTTAATTATCAAAATAATTATCAAATTATTCTGATTAATCATTATTAATAGTTTCTGAATTATCTTCTTAATAATTTTGAGATTTTTAATTTGTTTATTTTTTGAGATTGATTGAATCTACCATTTTAATTGATTTCTCTTATGGATATCTTTCATCATCTAAATTTTAAGATTCTTTACTAAGACTTAATTCATTATCTTCTTTATTTTAATCTATATCATTAAGATAATTATTGATTTAACATTCCTCCTCATCTATTACATCATTAATTTTAATTTCATATTTACTTTCAATCTATTTCAAAGTTCCAATTAATTAAGTATTTTTAGTTACAAGTTTATACAATTTCTTTTTGCTATTTTAAATTATTGATATAAAATCTTATACTGTTTATTATAATTTCATTTCTAATTCTTAACATAATTCCTCCTTTTCCAATAATTCCATTTTTTACATTGAATCTAATCTATTCATTGAAATCAATCTCATTGATAATGATTTATTTTATTCACAAACTTCCTTACTTTCACTTAATGCTCTACTTAATAATTGTTTATTATTCTCATCTAATTTCTATTCTTCTAACATTTTCATAGCCATAGATATTTTTTATTCCAAACTATTAGATACTAGTTTGCTCTTCTCCAAAATAGATATATTTTACTGACTTTACAAATTATGTTGTTCTTATTAATTATTGTTTTAATTTAAAAATTAATCTTCTGTTTATACTGATTTATCATCTGTTCCGCTTATTTATATTATTTTATTTTAAGAGGGTTGTTAATCTTTATCAAAATCTAAATATTTTAGTGATATGATTTAAGATTTCAATTAATTTTCTTATATTCTTAATTATTCCCATCTATCAAACATAATACTATTTTTTTTAGGTGATCTACCAGGAGATTTACTACCTTATGATTTAAATGGAGATTTAATTCTATATTTCTAATTATTATCAATTTTAGCTTGAAAATTCATTAAATGTGAAACAATTGACTATCCCTATTATACTTTTATATTTATTTTTTCATTTTCTGGATTATTATCATTAATTTATTCAGTTTTTAACATAACAATTTATAATTGTAATTCATCTATTTATTTTCTATGTTATTCAATAACTTCAAGTGCTTCTCTGTATTCTTATGTTAATTATAATATTTCTTATTTTTATTATTAATCAACATCTAAAGCTCTATCATAGTCAAACTATAATTATTTAATTTAATTCTAGCTTTCATTATAAATGAGTTCTTAATAATGAAGTTATTCATTATAAAAATTTTGTTATTCAATCATTTTATTTTTCATTTCTTATTCAACACATTGCATTTATTAATTTGAACTTTTAATTATTTAGTCAATCAATTAAATATAAAAGTCCCATATTATTTAGAGTAATTCTCCTCTATCAACACATTCAACTTTAACTTATCTATATATTAAAATTATATATACTTTATAATTTCTTTAAAACAAGATGTATAAATTAGTTGAATTTCTTCAGCTATTTATATAGATGTTAAATTTTTGCTTTTATCTTTTGTTCTTTAAAGCATAAAGAATAACCACTCTTTCAAATCTAAAGCTTATTATCTATTTGGTGGAATAACTGATTAATTTGGTGATTATTTTATTTCATGTTTCAAAATATCAAAAAAGTATTTTTATAATCCATTCTCCATTAAATTCTTATCTTTTAATAATTCTTCAAAGTCTAACCATTAACCTTTATTAATAGTCTTATCAATTTTATTATTGAATTGCAATTTGTTTTATGATTTTCTGTACATTGTACTATAAAAACTTTGTAAAGATTTATCATATTTCTAAAACTAATATATATTGTTTTTACTGTTTAAGATAGTTCTGGATCTTTGTATATGCTGCTTTCAATTGATTGAAATTTTTTATGTTTATTTTTTAGATAAGAAACATCAGAATTAGTTTAAAAGTTTTTATTAGTAAAATCAGTTTTCATTCGGTTTGATGACATTTCTGCTCTTATTGTTAGAGGTATACTTGAATTGATACTCTAATCCCAATCTGTCTTTATAAAAAGTTTTGCCTATATTTATATAAAATACTTTTACTGTTGATTATCCCTTTTAGATTTTAGGGAAACAATTTGTATTATTCATTATAAAAATTAATTTATTATAGACTGTCTAATAATTTTAATTAAGTGAACATTTATCTATAAACATATAATATCATATAAGAAAGATACTCAAAAAATTTAGAATTTTATAAAGAAGTCTTAAGTTATACTGAAATTCAATTTGCTATAAACCAGTAGATTAACTTTTTCAATAATACAACTATCCAACAAAATAATAATTGGTGATAAAAATCATCTTATTTATAGTTTACATTTAATTGAAAATTCAATGATAAATAAAAACATTTCTAATTTATAACATGTTTACACAATTATTAAAAAGCAAGATCTATTTTTATTCTTACTATGGTATTATGATAAAGATTGGTAAAATTCTAGATTTCTAATTATAAATTATATAATTACATAATTATTTTCTACAGTTAAGATAATTATGGAAAAATATAATTAGGAATCTTTTAAAGGAAGAAAATATGTTGCCACAATGGTGTTTCATTTTTAGGTGAAAAGTATTTTTTTATATTTATATTTAAAGATTTTTTAATTAAAATAGAATATATATCTTAATATAATTTGTTAAGTTACTTCATTAAATATATATATTAATAAATGTATTCATCTTACAATTATTCTAATATTTACATATCTAAATTACTTATTATAAATGGTATATACATAATATAAAATAAGTAATTATTATATTGTATTAATGAATAATAATTGTTAATGAATGATAAATTTTAATAAATTGATATAATCAACTTTCTTTTTTAT